ACTTGCGGTCCAGCACCCACCTGGGATCCGTGTATGATGACATTGACTGGTCACACACAATATGTCACCTCCGTAACGATCTCGCCAGATGGCAAATGGATTGCATCGGGATCAAACGACAAGACCATCAAGGTGTGGGATGCCGCCACGGGCCAAGTGAAGCACACCCTCGAGGGACACACAGAAGGTGTGAACAGTGTGGCGAACTCACCCGATGGCAAGTGGATCTTGTCTGGCTCTCAAGATGGCACCATCAAGGTGTGGGATACCACCACCGGCCAGCTGAAACAAACTCTCGAGGGGCACGCAGAAGGTGTGACCAGTGTGGCGATTTCACCTGATGGCAAGTGGATTGTCTCTGGCTCTGAAGACAAGACTATCAAGGTGTGGGATGTCGCCACTCGGCAGCTGGAGCAGACCCTTCAGGGACACACCGGCTATGTGCGCTCAGTGGCGATCTCACCCGATGGAAAGTGGATTGCATCTGGATCTGGCGACGCGAGTATCATAGTGTGGGATGCCACCACTGGCCAGCTGAAGCACATCCTCAAGAGACACAAAGACGTTGTGAACTCCGTGACGATCTCACCCGATGGCAAATGGATTGTCTCTGGCTCTGGTGACAAAACCATCAAGATGTGGGATGCTGTCACAGGCGAAGTGAAACACACCCTCGAGGGACACACGGACAGGGTCCTCTCAACGGCAATCTCATCCGATGGCAAGCTGTTTGCCTCAGCTTCGGATGACAAGACTATCAAAGTGTGGGATGTCGCTACACGGCAGCTGGAGCAGACTCTCGAAGGACACACAAACTATGTGTACTCTGTGGCGATCTCTTCCGAGGGAAGTACCATTGCCTCTGGCTCTTGGGATGGCAGCATCAAGATTTGGGATGTCACCACTGAGCAGCTGAAATTCTCCCTCGAAGGTCATACATTAAATGTGTACTCAGTGGCGATCTCACCTGATGGAAAGTTGATTGTCTCTGGCTCGGAAGACAAATACATCAACGTGTGGGACGCCACTACGGGCCAGTTGAAACACACACTCGAGGGACACCAGTACAGCGTCATATCCGTGGCGATCTCGTTGGACAGCAACTCGATCAAGACCCGTGACTATCGCGGTAACGAAATAATATGGGTCCGTCATGATGACGAATGGATATCCTTCGATGTAGACTCCTTCGAATTTATTCCAGCACCCGAATTACGTGCTTCGCCCCAGTGGAGTCAAGTTGATCGGCTAAGCTCTCCCCAATGGATCCGCCACGGCACCCATACCTACAAAGTTCCATATGCCCTGTTCGGCAATTGGGACGACCGTGTTTCCATCGTATCCGACTCGCTCGTACTGGTCAAGTCCCGCCCCGTCATTATAGTGGTAAGCCAACTCTTCCTCGGGCACTCGTCCTTCACGTAAATCAAACTGTTGCTTCAAAGGTCGATCCACATCTTGACTTCCGACATTCATATTGAAACTTTTTTGTTACTATAGCCAACTTTATTCAAGAAGGCAAGCCATCAGGTCCAACATGTTGGTACCCCGGCACGTTGAGTGCACAGGCAAGCCTATTTACTCCTGTTGCAGCCTAGTGCTGCCTCAGCTGCCCACAAGGTCTGAGATCAAGCGGGTGAACACATTTTCAAGCAGTTCCCACAAGGAAACAGCAGGATCGAGGGGAGGTCGGGGTGGTGGAGTGACAAGTGCTGGTACTATACTACGCTGTGATGAGGGTGCAGAGCGAGATTGCAAGGGTGGGACTACACTGAGTGTGGGAACGGATGCTAGCGCATGGTATGCACCAAGTATTTTTGGGTTATTTGGGTTTATTTACGATAGTTGTATATTCAAGAATATTCAAGATGCCATCAGCACCATGCGGTACCCGGCAGTGGGCGTACAAGCATGCTCACACACCCCTGTTGCGGCTGTTGCTGACTCTTCAGCCCACACGGCGGACCTTGGTTGGACACTTCCTCCAAGAGGTCCCACAGGGACTCGCTGTCGTGGCCTCGTGGCCCTGAGCGCCCTAGTTACTCTGTCACTGTCTGGCATTCTGCTTGGTGTAAAGAGAGGGTTGTCTCTCCTGCTTATCGTGGAAAGTGGTGTGTCCACCACTCTGTGTAGGTAATCCGCAGTTGAGGTGAAGTGCTCCGTGTGAAGTCGTACGTGCTGTGCGGAACAGCAAGCTCAGGCAGAACGTCTGTGTCCGGTGGAGCCACTTCTGTTCGTTCTTTGGGATGGCGTCGAGGGCGAGGCCGTATTCCATCATCGGCCGCAGGAATGTGCGGTATGCAATCGTCAGTGTCTTGGCCGTGAGGTTCCCAAGGGTCAGGCCCATCTTGGCCATGTTGGATGCTGCTTCTCTTGTCCTGGTCACCATTCGGTCCTGGTAGATCGTCGATGAAGGCGCTGAACATGAGTGGGCTCAGCACCGATCCCTGGATCAGTCCTTTCCGGAGCCATGCTGGCTTGGATCTTCGGCCCTTGCTGACCATTTGGATGGATACCCGGTCAAACATGGCTTTGAGGAAGCCGAGGGCGATGCCGTTCATTCTTCGCTGCTTGAGCTTGGTCCAGAGTCTCTCGCGCCATACTGTGTCATAGGCGGCTTTGATGTCGAGGAACACCAGGGAGTACTCCTCACCGTTCATCCTGTGGTGCTTGATCAGGGTGACCAGGGCGACGATCTGATCAAGGGTTCCTCGTCTGGCTCGAAATCCGCCTTGGGTGACGTCCATGTCTCCTGCCTGTTCTGCCAGGAAGGGGAGCATGATCCTTTCCACGATCTTCCTGCAAGTCTGAGTGAGACCGATAGGGCGATACATGGTCGGGTCCAGGGTCGATCCCTTCTGCTTGTACACTGGGTGGATCAGCACGCTGTTCCATTCGCTTGGCACCACACTGGCCTTGAGCGCCGCCATGATGATCAGGCGGAGCCACTCGGCTATCACTAGTGCGACTGGTATGAGCATTTCGCTCTTGATCTTGTCGGACCCCGTTGCCTTGCGGCGTGGTGCCTTCTCGATGGTCTCTTGGATGTGCTCCAGCGATACTTCTGGGAGCCGCTTGTCGGGCGGCAGGAGGGTCGCCTCCGTGCTCAGGGGTGGGGTCATACTTCTGTCGTACTCTGTCCCGCTGTCCTGCGAGGCAGAGGATACCTTGCCAAAGTGCACCACGAGTTTCTCGAGAGTCGGATCCGAGTTGTCAAAGAGATGGGATCCTTCCCTCTCCTTCCTCGTGCGCATCGCTCCGATGGTCTTGGTCATCTCGGAGCACTTCTGGGTGTCCATCGTGGCCATGGATTCCTTCCATGACCGTATGCCGTTCTTGCGCTTGAGCTGGGTGATGGCCTTTCTCGTGGACTGGAGCAGACGGCGCAGGTCGTCCAGCTCTTCCGTGTCGTACTCGGGGGTCTGGGCGAGCATTCTGCTCAGGCATCGCCGTTCTCGTTCCAGGCGTCGGATGTCGAGCCCCTGTGTGCCCTCGATCCGACCAGGGCTGATGCTGGATGATCCCTTGGTAGGTTTCTGTTGTTCTGCGCTTTGGCGACCATTGCTGGCAGTGGGACAGTGGGCGGGATGTGGTTTGTTCTCTGGTGTGTGTTCTCTTGCTGGGGATCCCGCGAATATCGAGATCAAGTAAGGGCATGCCACTTCTCATATCGCGGAGCTTGTCGCCATCGAAAAACAAACAAACCCTTGAGCATGGCCTCGATGATATTGAGCAGCATTGACTTGCCGTTCTGGGTGTCAACCACAAGGAACATGATCATTTCCCTGTTGCGTTCGGCGGTCAGTGCCGCATGGTCGTATCGGACCTCGAGCGTCGTCGTGAACATGTCCTCTGCCGTGGCCATGCGCCGTATGCCATTCAGGGGATTGATGAGAGTACCATCACTGAACACGACGCTGTCCGTCGATGTGTCCAGGGTGCCCACAAAGGCCTTGTATCCTTGGCGAAAGCGGTCTTGAACGACGAGTGGTGGTTGGCGAGTCCGCTACCGTCCTTGGTGATCAAGTCACAGTGGATCTTGTCGATCTGGGCAGCAGCGATTGCTGTATGGGATCGCATCGATTTGGGCCTGGTAGGTGCTTGGCGGCGTTGAGTGCCTCGGGGAATGCCAAGTGTTCGTCTCGAAGGAGACAGTCAAGGATGTTCGAGAGTGGTAGCTCCTTCCACATCGGGAACTCGAACTGGTAGCCCATGGTGGCATCGTCCTTGTCGGTAAACTGGGCAAGGTCATGGGCACTGGCATTGAGGCAGGAATAGATGCGGATGACATCATTCTTGATGGCACTTGTATCCTGGCAGCTGTGGATCGAGAGGAGTGGTTCTTGTCATTCGTGGTCCAAAGAGTCCCCTCTCAGTCTCCAGGCTGCACTGCAGTGGACTGGTTTCAACCTCGCATGGGCTTACCACATACGCTGGCGTGCCCCGGCGTCCCTGGGTCGGATCGAGGGTGGACCAGAAAGCTGCAGTGTGGCCATTATCTTTCTTTTGGCGGCTGGAGAGGCGAACCTATGCTCGTTTGGATCCAGGCCATTCGTCGCCTTTGCCATCCTTTTGTAGGTCCATCGATGCTGATCAGGGCACGCTGCCTGGTGTCGGATCGAGGGAGGATGGTCTTGGTGCCGGGGAAGGCTGGTGGCTTGCTGCCTGCTTTCTTCGGTACCATGTGGCGAGGAATGGTCTGGATCGTGCTAACTCTTTCCACTATCTTTGGTTATAGAATGAGTATCGATTGTGAATGTCGAGTTGTCGTTGTCGGGTCATCGGATGTTTCTCTCGGTCGATCAACATCAGCGATTGTTATGGGACGGCACTATTGTATATTGGATGTATTGGATGTATTGAACATCAAATACAACACCACTTAGCGATTGATCGGAATCACTTTGCAAGTCCACTCTTTGGTGTCATGGTGTCTTGGCTGCTTGTTCGGTGTTGTGATCAAGTTGTTTGGGAGTGGAACTCGAGAGTGGACTTTGGGATCAGGGCCATTTGCCGAGTTTCTTGAGACTACTGATGGCCCAGTCGAGACCCTGGTCGGCCGACTTGCGGTACCAGAAAATGGCGGTGTCGATGTCTTGAGGGACACCTTCGCCATTCTTGTAGCGGTTGCCGAGCCAATATTGTGCGTATCGATTGCCCTGCTCGGCAGACTTGCGACACCACTCGATTGCCTTGGGCTCGTCTCTGGTGACTCCGTATCCCCAACAGTTGAGAGAACCAAGCCTCCACTGCCCATACGAGTTGCCTTGGTTAGCCGACTTGCTGAACCACTCGAATGCCTTCTCGTAGTCCTTCGGTACACCCCAGTCACGCCAATAGCACTCTCCGATGCAGAACTGGCTGTCGCTGTGGCCTTCGTTGGCGAGCTGCTCGAAGATACCCGCTGCCTTCCTCCGGTCCTCGGTAGTTCCGAATCCATGAAACACACACACGGCCATGAGATGCCTGCACAACCAGTCTCGGTCCAATCCGAGCTGGCACAGTTCGAATATCTTGCGGGAAACGGGTGAGTTGGATGAGGCTACGAAACCAATCAGGACACCTTCCCCGAGCTCGAACCCATCCAATTTGTTCTCTCGGATGATCCTGACGCCCGTTTGCTTGTCTTGCTGGGTACCCCGGCCAAGATAGTGCATCCACCCAACCATGTGGGTGGCGATGGGTTTGATGATCGGATCGGTGGATTGGGTGATAACTTCCTGCCAGTGGTTGAGAGCAGCGACATCGCTCTGTTCGACACCATGGCCGATGAACGAGAACCAAGCTTGCAAGAACACGATGTGAAGGCGCCCATCTTCACTGCCCTGGTCGGCAGCCCTGGAATACCACTCGATGGCTGTGCTATAGTCTTGATCGACACCCTCGCCGCTCTCAAAGCATCGACCGAGAGCAACTTGGGCTTGTGCCATTCCACATTCTGCAAGACTGCGAAACATATCGACAGCTTTGGTGTGGTCTTCGTCGACCCCGACACCTTGATAATAACACTGGGTCAAGTGGAACTGTGACATTGTGTGGCTTGTGTTGGCGGCGATCTCCAAATGGCGGAAGATTCGCTGGCGGATAGCTTGCTGCTCGGATTTCTCCAAAGACTGATCGATAGCGAGATCGATTTGAAGGATCCGTGCCAGGAAATACGAGGCCACAGCATTGCCCATATCGGCTTGATCTTCGAGCCAGGATCGGTCGGCTGTGACCGGATCGTCGCAATGCAGCGATATGGCAATCAAGTCGCTCGGTGTGAGACCGATTCGCATCTGTCCATCTGGATTGCACAAGCCTGCATTCTGGCACCAGCTGTGGAAGCGAGCCACCTTGGAGCTCAGGAGAGGCTGGACATGCCTACACACTCGGAGGAGAGCCTTGATGGTGCTGTGATCGAGGGCAAGCTGGAAGCTGTCGTTGCAGCATATGATGGTGAAGATATCTGGGCTGTGCTCGAGTGAGAATTGGGTGATATCGGGCATCGACGAGGTTGCTCTGGTTTCAGCTTGAGCTTGGTGAGTGGGAGATGACTCCGTGGTTGGAGCAGGCTCGTTGATGCTGGCCATGTTGAATGTGGGATGGAGGAAAGTGGATGATGGAGATGGACAGGGGACAGGGAATTTGTGGCAAAGCAAGCCAAACAATGGCAGGCCATACACTGGCCATTGAACACACACACACAAGCCTGGCTCGATCCGATGGTTTGATGGCTGGAGTCGTTGTTCTTTGCACTGCCACAGGCACCGCCACATTCATCGAATGTGGAATCGAACATGGAATCGGATCCCACATTCATCTTCGCACGGGCTCTGATGCTGGCGAGATGATGCTCTTTGATATGTCTTTCGCTTGAGATTCCGTTTGTTCTGGCTGAGTGACACATGTGTGGCGCCGATACACCAAGCCACATCTCGTGGATTGGATCCGCAAGTGAGCATCGCCCCCAATCGCATCATCGTCGGCCACTCCCACACGCATCCACCACCATTCCCCCGCCTTTCTCCATCTCACCTTCTTACGTCATGCCGGCTTCAACCGAAACGATGGCGGAATCATCCTTGGACCAAGGGGGCTTCTCTCGCTTCGACCTTCTCACCGTCCTGATCACAAATGAAACGTTCATTCGCGCTGCGAGTCTGCCCTTGCTCACCAAGCTCCTGAGAGTCTCAAAGCGGACTCGGGCCATCCTCAGCACTGACCAGCTACAGAAACGGCTGTGGTTCGACTATTTGCATATCACTACCGAGTTTCTATTCCAAGGTGTCAGCCCATCGGTCAACCGCCATGATGTGATGCAGGGTCTCCGTTGCTATGTATTTCGCCAGAATCAGCGCAAGCCAACAAGCCCATCGATGCTGGAGAAGGAGAACAAGTTCTGGTTCGAAGTCTATCGAGACAGACAATTGTTTAACCGAGTGCAACGATACTGCCAAGTGACTGATCCAGAGTTCCGCCTCCCCGAGGACCCAAGATCTAACGGACTCGAGGGATTATCCGTCCAGGAGATGGTCGCGGTCGCTGAAATTGGATACTTAGAGTTCCAGTGGTTGATAAAGATTGAAGAATGGAACCGTCTCACGATTCGACCCAATGAGAGAAGAGCCGGCAGCGTCCATGTTTCGAAGCTTCTGCCATTTGACATCCCAAGGGTCGACGTCGCAATGGGAAGGAAAATGACAGTCGAGGATGTATCGTTTCTGGAAGTGTCCGGGTGGCCCAAGTGGCTCTCCAGCATTCAAAATCTGACAGTCAAGTATAGCTACCGGGAACAAACTACCGATCTACTCATCAGCCTGGAAGGCCTGCCGAAGGAGCTTCCCAGGCTGAGAAAGTTCGACCTGAGAGGATGCAGCCAACTGGCGTCGCTCAAGGGAATGCCTGAGATGCCAATGTTGGAGACTCTTCAGCTTCCCAAGTCGATAAAATCCCCTGAAGGAATCCCGAAGGAGCTGCCTTCGCTGACGACTCTCGACCTGAGTGGATGCAGTCAACTCACATCGCTCAAGGAATTGCCTGAGATGCCAATGTTGGAGACTCTTCAGCTTCCCAAGTCGATTGAGTCCCTTGAAGGCATCCCAAGGAAGGCACCCATGCTTACAAGGCTCGACCTGAGTAAACGTAGCCAACTCAAATCCCTGGAGGAAATATCTGAGATGCCGCAGCTGGAGATCCTTCGACTACCCGAGTCTCTAGAGTCCCTGGAAGACATGCCAAAGGAGCTGCCTTCGTTCCCTTTCTCTTTCTGGATTGATCTATTGGATTGAGTTGACTCCTTGGACGGTCAAATGTGCCAATGCTGCTCGAGCTCGACATTCCAGCTCGCGTCGAGATTTCCGCGGATGTTCCCGAGGAGCTTCCGTCCCTCACCAAGCTCACGATCTCCAGTCGGAGGATCTCCGGACTTCCGAAGGGATGTCGCGTTGTGTTCAACGATTTGCTCGAATACACCTTTGGCCGATTCTCAAGCTTGCTCGGCGTGGAGTTGCCCAATGTTTAGTGCTTCATCTATTTGACTCTATCGTTAGTGCCTCTCTTATTGTTTCGCCTGTTGCGAGTCATATGGGGGGATTTCCCCTGCAGCTATTGTTATAATCTCGCCATCGTTTCGAGGACGACGGCTTTGCTCGTTGTGGATATGGCTTGGCTTGACCCGGATGGATCCGTCTCGTTGGCTCTGTCATCGCCGAGACTCTCATGGGTCCTCAAACATCCGTTCTCTCGCCAGCGTCATCCCGCCGGGCCAGTATGCACCCACGCCGCTCTCTCGCCGTAGCGATCCCTCGCTGCCTCTATCGAGCTCCGATGGTCCGGAGCTGCGCGGGTCTCCCTGTTGCAAGAGCATCTTGGTGCAGACCCTTCTCGGCCGGCCAAGCACCCAAGCCTCGTCACAGCCCGTCCTCCGATTTGCTCAAAGATGTCGGGCTGGAGATTGTCTTTGAATCGGGACAGCCGCTCGACAGCTCTGGTGCTGCCTCGGTGCTTGAGCACACCGCATCTGTCCGGGGCATCGAGAATGCCGATCGGCACCCGCGCACGACGTCACTTGCCGAGCTGCAACAAGAATTTGGCGACCAGAGCCAGCTCGGCCTCGAGATCGAGTTCGAGCCGCCAGAGTTCAAACCCTCCTTCTTGGCCGATCCGCTGCCCGTATCGCTGCCCGTACCGCAAAACGACGTGATGCCCCTGCCTCCCGCTGCAGCCAAACATTTGAATGCCATCGACGATGCGCCTGAAAGCTGCTCCCAGGACACCGTCAACAATGCCCTCTCTGAGCTCTACGGCGAGATCGACGCTATCGAGCTTCGCCTTTCAAATCTGCGCAGGAGGATCCGGGCCATCGAGGGCACTCTGGACCATGCCCAACGAGCGCTCTGAAACCGTCATCCTGCAAGCCAACTGAATCGACGTGTCGCCGTCGCCACCACACAGCCGATCGAGGGATTTCCGGCTGGCACTGCACAACTCTGGCCAAGCTCGATATCACCTTCACGGGGATCTCATCTATCGCCTTGCCATCGAGGTGTATTGAGAGCCGCACTATCCGTCAGTGTGTTCTCGGATCAAGAGAAGCCCGTAGCGGCGGCCGCCACCACCATCATCGCCCATGTGTTTCTCTGGGCCTCAAACGAAGGACAAGGGAGGGAGTGCGAATGTGAATGCGAGTGCGGATACGAATGCGGATACGAATGCGAATGCAAGGAAGCGGGGGGCAGGCGAATTGGGTCGTTCGGCATCGAAGCCGCACTTGGCCAAGCGGCACCCAGCTGCTCAGGCATCGTTGTGACCCGCCGCGGCGCCGTCGTTCAGCTGTCGAACGAGGAGATCGTTTTCACGCTTCATCTTGGCCACCACGTTTTTGATGGATGTGAGCTCAGTGTCCGTGGGCGACTCTGAAACAAGTCCCCGGTGCCACGTTAGTGAGCAAGCCGAGATTTACACTGACAAGCTCAATACAGAACAATGGATCATGCATTCTCACGCCCAAGCAACCAGCACCCATTGCGCTGCCGTCACAATCACTCCACTCGTCTCTTCGTCGAGTGCTTCCGTCTGAATGCCCTGGCTACTTACGGGTCTTGCGCAGCGTCGAGGGAATCTTGTGGCTGTGTCGTTGGCTGAGATCGACATCGACGCCGCTGTCCTGCCTCTGGCTGTTGTTTTTCGGCTGGGACGACTTTGTGGCAGCCTCGACGACCGCAGCAGCCGTTTCCGTCGTTCCCAGGGACGTGAGCATCATGATCTGCTCTGTCGTTGAGCGAATGCGATTGCCGGACGCCAGTTTGTACATGTCCATCAGCGAGATTGGGGAGGGCCGTGACGGTCCTGCTTGGCCAGCACCGTCGGCGACGCTTGCGCTGGTACCGGCATTGGGTCGGCCCGTGCCACTCGGCCCTGCCTCTTGCTTGGCCGGCTCCTGGTGGACCAAAAGTCTGTACTGCTCGTCGAGCCACTCCATAGCCAACTTCTGGGCCAGGTCTTTCTTGATCGACCCATCGTGCTGTGCATGGGGAGGATGGCCGCGCATTCGGTGGGGTTGCTGGGTCGGGTGGTCGGCACGCTGCTTGCCCTTCTCATGTCGGTCGACATGGTGGCTCCTGCGGAGCTTCTCGCGGTACTTGTCGAGTTTACGGAGACGGTGCTCTTGCGCATGAATGCGCTCCTGCAGCTCGGAAAACTTCTCATAGTCCTCGTTGTGGATAGATGCAATGTGCCTCTTGAGCATGTCGTTCTCGCGGGTCAGGCGGGAGAAGGCATGGCGGTCGTCGTGGACATTGGATTCGCTCGAGTGCGCATCGCCGTCGATGGCTGTGACATAGCTGGACTTGCGGCTCTCCATATCAAGGTAGTGCGGGTTCTTTCTCGCGGGCTCTCGAACACCTATCAACGACAGGATGCTGCTCATGCCCGGAAACCAGTTCAGGCCAGAGTGCTTGTTCTTGTTCTTGCGTCGTCCGCCCGAGGACGGGTTTCTTGGGACCACTCGGTTAACCGGAACGGTCGCAGGTGTTCTTGGGAGACGATGGTTCAGGGCCGGCGCTGGATGTAATTCGTTCGCCTGGGATGTACTCGTCGGGTCGCTGGAGGTTGTCGTCGGAAGAGACAGCTCTTCGCTTGCGCTGGGCTGGAGGACGTGGTCGTGCAGCATCCTCCAGGCGGTGCTGCCAAAGAGGGCCGCCTCCATTTCCTGTTTCTTGTGGAGCTCTTGAAGCTTCTTGAGTTCTTGGTCCTGCTTCTTTTTTGATTCGGCATTCTTGGCGATTTCCTCCTGCTGGCTGAGCATGAGTCGCTTCATGTAGTCCTCGACGGTGCCATAGTCCTCGGAAGCCCTCCCGCCCAGCTGCTCCTCCTGACCGCGCCGCAGAAGCAGGGCATTGATCAGCATCTTCATCGTCTCTTCGCTCTGGGTGGGCACTCGCTTGGCATTGCCACTCGGCTTGCGAATGCGGGTGCCGGGGATGTGGGCATCAAAGTCGAGCGGCTCTCGGCCCTGGTTCTTTGCCTTTTCGCCCTTCTTCAGGACTTCCTGCTGTTCCTGGATGATTCTGAGCAGCACATCGTCGCCATCGTCTTCTCGCGCGGCCTCGTCGTTGTGGTGCAAAGTAGGGCTGCCCCGCGGGTACTTGGCCTCGACATCCCTGGCGTTGGATGCGAGCTTGATCTTGGCAAGTTCAGACTCGAGTTTGGGATCGCGCTCCAGACCAAGGGGATGTGGCGGCAGGGGGGCGGGTGCTCGGTGTGGTGATCGGTTGGGCGACCGGTTGGGCGAGCGATTCGGGGAGCGATTCGGGGAGCGTGCCGGTGATCTTGACAGATACTCGCCGGGCCCGGCCTGTGGCCACTCGCTGTCGCCGGGGATAACAGGCAATTCAAGACAACGGGCCAGGATGTGGACCGAATCCTCGCGGAGCTTGACCAGTCGCTGCGGGCGAGAAAGGGGCTTGGTTAGAACATGGGATAGTGCGCCAGCAAGACTCAAGCACTCCAGGCTGCGGAAACAATGCGTTTGATGTGGCAACGGTTGTTGCGGACGGAAAGCATGGTCATCTGCGGTGCTCGGGCTGCATGCGGACCCAACGTTTGCAGAGCATCGCGCGCAGTGAGCCGACGATGGTGTATGCATACCCCAATCTCGGTCTGGGAGCCTTCGCGGAAGCACACATAGTGCTTGAACGTTTCTTTGAAGCTGTTGATGATGCGGTGGGACTCTTCTTCCTCCTTGAGTGAGCTGTAGCCCTTCTCGATGGCTGTTGTTGTCTCCTGCAAAGACGGTTCAGAAGAGTAACGTCAGCTGGGCCACAGAATCGGCGCCCCAGTTTGCCGCTGAGCTCGCTTACTCAGCCGCCTCTTACCTCGAGCTTTTTCAGCAACTCATCCTTCTCGAGGCGATTGATGCGAACGGCATCCTGAATTGTCTTGAGCTGCCTTCTCCTGGCCTCGAGCACAACATCGACGCTCGCATTTCCCTCAATATCGTCTGCAAGTACGTGCGCACGCATACACAGTCAATCCGGGCTACGCTGTTGGCTTCTGCACTTTGTATAAGCATGAATCGTCTATTGGCGGTCGTATATAGGCGAGCGGCTCGGCTTACCCAAGTTGGTGGAGACCTTCCGGAGTTCCTCAAGCTTCTTGGTGCAGTCCTTCTTGATCTCCTCGACTCGGGCCAGGAAGACATCGCGTTCCTTTCGAAGAGCCTCGATGGTGCTGATGCGGGTCTGGATAGGGATCTTGTCGGGCGGAGGCAGAATCGCTTTGAGCTTTTCCTTTGATGAGGCGTCGTTCAAGCGCAAGATCGGCGAGGATGGTAAGCGACGCACAGTGCCAGGACGAAGGGCGAATCACCCGGACCCAAACTGGGTGCAACTGTCGCTCACATTGCTCGTCCCCTCCCCGTGTCATGCACACCGCCCTGCATTTTGACGATTACAAACTCTGCTGGCCTACCTCGCTCCATCCGAGAGGACTGAATTCGCTAATGTCCAGCTCATACAATGTCTTGAGCTCGCTGCATCGCGCACGGCTTTGTCGTGCGAGCTCGTCCGTTTGCACTGAGGCGGCCCTCAGGTTGCTGATGGACGAGAAAATGAGAGGATCGGACGGGAACTGGGTCACGTCGATATGGTCCAAGATATACACAGCCTGGTTGTGGATGATGGCGATGGTCAGTTAGTGTGGGGTCTCTCTGAGCGCAACGCCGGAGGAGAGGGCATTCGGATGGCAGACCACAGGGCAACTTCCGGATGCCAAGATACACAGTGAAGTTCATGTTGCCTGCATCAACTGCATCATCTACATCATCTGCATTGACTGCATTGACTGCATTGTCTGCATTGTCTGCATTGTCTGCATTGTCTGCATTGTCTGCATTGTCTGCATTGTCTGCATTGTCTGCATTGTCTGCATTGTCTGCATTGTCTGCATTGTCTGCATTGTCTGCATTGTCTGCATTGTCTGCATTGTCTGTATTGTACCTCGTGGATGTTGTTCCCGATAATCTCATGGAGGCGATCGAGCTGGATGATCAAGTTGGACGACGAAATGATGCGTTCCTCGAACTGAAACACCTTGAGCTGCTCGATGATGGAGTTGCTGCTGAGGCTGCCTTCCTGGGCGAGCTTGGAGACCCAGGGGAGAGGCTGTGCTGGGACGCGAGTGTTCAAACGGGCGACGATACTGGAGTGGTGTATGAGTGTGAGACAGTGAGATTTCAACGAGATGTCATCCCTGCGCGCCCCAATATCTGTCTCGTCCCTCCCTGTCACGCCCTCCGTCATGCTCTTTGACGTACCCGTCAATATCCGCAATGCAGGCCAAGAGCTCCGACTTTCCAGCCTCCACGATGCGCTCGGCGTCCTTGATGTATGATGCGGCACTTTTGTGGTGATTTGGGGCCACGAGGGCGTGAAAGATGTCTTGGAATCGCGACATTTCGCCAAGGACTTGGTCCGCCGAGACAGGACGCACGAGGTTTTCGGTGGGCCGTCGCACCGGCGCCAGTAGTCTTGTGTCGATGCGAGGGTGATGGAATGTGGCCGTGTTGGCAGCGTTGGCCAGCAGCAGCGCACTGGAAATGACTTTGTGGTATCCCTGGCAACAGCGAAGCAAGCCGAAACGAAACGGAGGTTGGTGCGCGGATCGAAAGGCGGAGGACGGCTCAATACGCCAGAGAAATACGACAGTGCGAATCCTTGGGTGAACACCACCCACCAATGCCATTTCGGCCAGGGACCCGGGTACATCTTTGACGAGCTTCAAGGTGCCCTCAGCCATTTCTTTCGCCAACCCAAGCCGAGCGATTCTCTCTCCGACAATCTTGTCCGGAGTCATCGTGGGCGGTGTGTGGAAGTGCGAAATGGCCGAGAACAACAGCGACTTGACTTTCATTTGCAGAGACCACGACTACATGTTGCGCCAGATTGGGTTAATATATACGCCTGAATCGAGGCAGTTGGGTAGATCGCCCGTTGGCAACATGACTGCGACTTTGGCGACAGGGCAATGCGTCCGGGCGACCCTAGACACTGATCATGCGCCTCCACAAGAGGGATTTCCAGAGTGCGAGGATTGGACGACGCAACATACCCTGGGCACACGGGTCTTGGCAAAAGGCAGTGCGCTCTTCGAGCTGCGGTAGGCAAGCTCGTAGTAGTCCCCGGCCTGAGCGGCGATCATGGCGGTGACGGGGCTGCTGGTTTTGTCTGCCATGTCAAGAAAACACGCACAACAACTCAGACCCATCAGCAAACATGGTGCATTCCGATATCCATCAGAGAGCCAGGACCTCACGGGTGACGAATAGATGAAGCGCACAGCGACTAGAGACAAATGCGCAATTATTACAAGCCACACACCACCCTCCCAGGCTCACCTTCGTTGGCCTTTTCGTAGAAGCACTCGAGGGCCTGGCAGAGCATAAACTCGGAGAGTGCCGTGAGAGTGCAGTCGCAGAGGTCGCTCGTCTTGTCCAAGGTCACCTGGATGCGCTGGCAGAGAACATCGCGGACGTAGAGCAGGACCCCGCTCGCTTGCTGTGGGACATCACAAGGCGCATTGCCGTTCGGTAGTCAGGTTCTGCATCGCTGAATAGCAGGTGCCGAAGCGCTGTCGCCAAAAGTCGCACATTCTGCTTGGGACTCGACAGACCTGAAAGTGCTTGGCAGCGAGTCGTTTGCCATCGGGCGTCCAGAGCCGCTGGGATACGCCGAGCTGGCTGAGTATGGCAGCGACATTGAAGAGAGTAGCGGCCTTCTCATACTGGATACAGTCCGTGATCACTGCCGTGGCGAAGGTGACCGTATCAGCGGCAGGATCAGCGTCAATGTGGTCGATGTAATAAGAGCCAACTAAACAGCGAAACGCGACTTTGTCTGGGCACACGATGCGAATGATTTACCTTTCTTATCGCCGGAGAAGGCCTCGAACCAAGTAAACCCGATTCGGATCTATACAAACACACCACATCCAGCAGCGGTTGGGCCACACCCGCAGTTCAGCGCCGTGCCGACCAGCGGCGAGTCATATAATATATAGACACCACAATATCAGGTATGAAGGAGAGCGTCAGATGTGAGGTTGATGTGCGCAAGATAAGCGAGCAGAAGCTGCAAGCAAGATTGCCTGCTGACAGAGGCGAGCTTTACCGAGCTGGTCTGGAAAGGAAACTTCTTCTCGAGGCACGTAAGATGGTGATAGTAGCTATTGCCGTATCGCGGGGGTGGCATTATAAGTCACGATTGTAGTGACAGAGTCGCCAAGGATATACATCAGAGAGTACTGACGACAAGAATCGAGCGATACTTACTGGGCAAGCCTCTCGATGCCTTCTGCGCTTCGCTCGGGCGCGCCGGCATGGACCCTGAGCTGGTTCAGGGCATACCACTGCGAGTCGGACGGCAGCAGCAGCGACGTGGTCTTCAACAGCTGGTACCTCCACCACTCATCCGTGTGGGCGCTACTGGGCTCCCTACAATGGATGGACAGAAGGCCGCGCCGAGTGTGTATCAGCAGCAAGATGGTGAGCGCTGGCAACTCAAAGGCGATGTGTTGCAAAGATAGGCGAGTCTGGCGGCTGATGGATGGGCACGGAGGTGCTGCGACACTTACTGAGCTCGCTCCTGGGGCTCGAGGTCGATGCGGGTTGTGGGAGAGCCAACGGTCTCGTAAATCCAGGGGAGTAAGACGGCCTTGAAGTCCAGGAAATCGAGCGGGGGCTTTGGTTCTCTCGGCTCGACCTTTGCAATCTTGAGGATCACTCTCTCGGCAATGGAGCGAATGCCCTGGACGGCTGGGGCAGAGCCTAGGTTCGAGGGCAAGGGGTGGTTGCGCTTGCATGGAATCGCGCAAAAGGTCGTGGCATCGCTGATGCCGGGAAACTCGGGCCCGTCCACGAAGGGAATGTGTTGCTGTCCCTCGTGGGTGAGTTCGTAAAAGTGCGAGAACGAGTGCGGGATCTCGCTGTCACTGATCATGGCGCTTTCTCACGCGAAGCGAGCGGACGCGGGAGCCAGAAACCGATGCGACGAGAGAGAGGTGGGAGCGTGGACGTGTGGGAAATGGGATTGCACGCAGCGGATCGGTGCTGTTGGAAAGGGTAAATGTGGAGCAGTGGTGCCAGGAAAGTGTAGGGGGGTTGTGAAGACGAGACTGAATGTGCCTATGCTTGTGACGATAGCCGCGATAACTCTGCGAGTGAGTGGGCTTGGGAACTGAGCCAGACAGACCAACAGGTCGACAGAACAAGAAAGCGAAAACGCAGGGGAAGGCGTGGGAACGAAGATGCGATGCGACGGGACGCTCGAGATCGGGGCGTGGGCTGCGGAGCACCCGCTGGCGGTTCTGTTCAATCGAGTGTGCTATCGAGGAGGAGGAGGAGAAACCCAGGACCGGCCGGGGCCGCCTGGGGACAAGCTCGCAGCGAGTCTCAATCATGGAGCGATGGCAACGGTGATTGCGGCTGCAGCTGTCGGTGGCTGCAAGGGCGGCAAAGCCCACGCCAGTGCGTTTCATGGTCATGTCAGGGCTCATCCTGCCCGACCCATGTAGCTCATGCGGCTCATGCCAGGCAGATTCATGGCCTGTCCAGAGATCATGCTGTCATGAGACGGCGCCGTCGTGGCGACGGAGATGGAGATCCGCTCGGCGATGACGCAACGGCGAGGCGCATGGGCCGAGTGGCAAGCAGCAGCGAAATCACAAGCAGCAGCGAAATCACAAGCAGCGACCAGCAAACCACGTCACAAGCCGCCAGCCAGACACGGACACGCCCAGCCCCAGATCTCCAGACAGCCACCGAGCACCGACAAGAAGCGATAGTGGGCTGCAGGGCGAGGAGAGCACTCGTCTGGCCGGGCGAGAGGTGGCCAGCGATCGCGATCGATTGATCGATCGATCCAAGACCACCTCTCAGCACAGCATCTGCCACGCCCAGGCCTCACCAGCCGCAGCACCAGACCTCACCCAGACCTCACCCAGACCTCACCCAGGCCAGCACCACCACGCCCAGACCTCACCCAGGCCTCACCCAGGCCTCACCCAGGCCAGCAATCCTCCTTGGCCCCGCATCCCCAGAGACCATGTCCAGGGGCCGCCCGTGCCAGTGTTTGTGGGGCAGCCCAGGCGCGCTTTCCTTTTCGGGCTGCTCCTGCCACTCCCCAAAAAAAGCCAGCGAAAGTGCGAGCACGCCGGCCTCGGCCGAGCCCGCAGCCCACAAAGCGCCTGTCCGCGGCTGGCATGTGAGAGCCCGCCCCCAGCCAATGGCCGTGCGCATCGCCGGCTCGACCCGCCCTCGAACCGCCGCCTGTGGCTCGTTTTTTTCTTTGCGTTTTGCGGCCATTGCGCGACAGGCGCGGTGTGGTGCCTGGCACCGGCTCCCCCGCCCATGTCCTGCCTGCTGGCGATATAATCCCCCGTGTCGCCCTCGCCGGCTGCTGCCTTCCTCTACCTCACCGCCGCTGCTCTTTGCTCCCACCCCCCTCATCGGTGCTGGAAGGTAAGGCCCCTGTGTGCCTCGGCTGCCGTCAGATCAAATCCGTCTCTCCTCCCCCCCGATCGGTCCTGCTCGATCGGGCTGCATCGCCTGCCGCCCATGATCCTGATGCCGCTGCGGCGATCGTGCTGCTGGCCCAGATCGGGGCTGATCTGCGGCTCAGATCCCGGCTGCATCGGCCTCTCCTTGGTCGCCGTGAACCGGCCAGACCCTGTGCTGCAGCATTGGCTGCACTGCCGGCATCTGGACATGTCGCTGGCACTTTTTTTGCGGCCGCTCCTGCTGTTCCCAGCATCTTTCGTCCGTTTCTCTTCCGTTTTCTTTCCGTTCTGCCAGCGTTTTCACCCAAATAACCTGTGACTCACCACACTTCTCGCTTCAGTACCTGCTGCAGAATGTCGTCCCAAGTAAAGGCTACTCCCAGAGCAGCCCACGTCCCAAGCGCCCACACCGCCGGTATCCAAGTCTCGGCTGGTGGCTCCCTGGGCTCCAAGGCCCGCGGCTCCCGCAGCTTCTACGAGTACAAGCGTGTCTACTTTGCTCTCGCTGCTGCCGTCGGCGTCCTGGCTGTCTTTGACTGGATCCCAAAGTCGCTTGATGTCAAGCGCAAAGTCCTGGCCCCCTTCTCGCCCTTCACCTACGTCCCCGTGGCCTTCCAGGTCGCCGGCCTTACTCTCTTCTTCGCCATTGTCGCCTTCTTCCTGACCTCGGGTCGCCCCTACCTCCTGTTTGCTTGGAACTGCTTCATCAAGCCCTTCTTGACCAAGAAGGCCAACGGTGTCGACACCGATGAGCACCAGAAGCGCCTCGAGCAGTTTTACGAGGGCCAGGCCGACATCTATGACGTCACTCGCCGCCGCCTCCTCCGCGGCCGTTCCACCATGCTCAAGCTCTGCGCTGCCCAGCTCCGTCAGTACTACCCCCTCCGTGAGGCCGGCAACCCCGTCTCTGAGCTCAGCAGCAAGGTCAAGAACTCGGACGAGCTCCCCTCGCCCCCCCTGTCCCCGTCCAACCCCCGTGGTGCCAACCGCCGCTTTGCCTGGATCGACATTGGCGGCGGAACCGGCGAGAACATTGAGAGAATGAACCAGTTCTTCCCCATCTCCAACTTTGACAAGGTCTACCTCGTCGACATCACCCCCTCGCTCTGTGAGGTCGCCCGCAAGCGCTTTGCCCGTCTCGGCTGGACCAATGTCACTGTCCTGTGCATGGACGCCACCAAGTTCAAGGTTCCCGAGGAGGACGGCAACGACATTGAGATTGCCCTGATCACCCTGTCCTACTCGCTGTCGATGATGGAGACCTTCTTCCCGCTGGTTGACTCGCTCACCACCATCCTGTGCCCCACCGGCATCCTCGGTGTCGCCGACTTTTACGTCTCGCCCAAGCGCTCGTCCGACCCCACCCGCCAGCTCGGCTGGTTCATGCGCTGGTTCTGGTCCATCTGGTTCGATCTCGACAACATCTACCTCCACCCCTCGCGCCGTGAGTACCTCGAGTACCGCTTCAAGACCATCAAGTCCCTCAACGGCAAGAACATGTTTATCCGTCCCTTTGTCAAGATCCCCTACTACGTTTGGCTCGGTGGCCAGAAGGTTGCCGAGGAGATGCCTCTCCTGAGCCTCGACGACAGCGCCCCCGCCAACGACAACGACGAAACCCAGTCCAACGCCTCTGACGACCAGGAGCTTGACTCTGTCGAGCTCCGCTCCGAGAGCCAGCACCACGTCTCTGCCAACCACGTCCACGGCACCGGTGCCAAGTGGCGCCAGGTCTTTGACCCCAAGCTCATCCCCCGCTTCACCACCTACATCTACGCCTTTGCCTGGGAAGACCCCCGCGTCGACCTGGAGTTCCTGGACCTGACTCCCGAAGACAAGATGCTCATCATCACCTCTGGCGGCTGCAACGCCCTCGAGTACGCCGCCAAGGTTGGCCCCGCCCGCATCCACTGTGTTGACCTCAACCCCTGCCAGAACCACATGCTCGAGCTCAAGCTCGCCGGTCTCAGCTCCATGACCTACAACGACTTCTGGCGCCTCTTTGGTGACGGCTACATCCCTGGCTTCGGCACCCTCCTGGACACCCACTTCTCGCCCTTCCTGTCTCCCTACGCCTACCACTTCTGGAAGCAGAACGCCGACTTCAAGAGCCTGTTCACCACCGGCTGCTCGGGTCTCGCCATCCGTGTCTTCCAGTTTGTCGTCAAGGCCCGTGGTCTCACCAAGTCTGTCAACCGCATGTGCCACGCCCATGATCTCGAGACCCAGTGGAAGATCTGGGAGACCGAGCTCCGCCCCCACTTCCTCAGCAAGTGGCTGATTGCCCTCCTCAACAACGACCACTTCCTGTGGGGTGCCCTCGGTGTTCCTCCCGCCCAGATGCAGATGCTTCTGGAAGAAGGTACGTTGTCCTAGTGTGTGGAAGTGTTTTTTGCCTGGCTGCCATGTTTGTGAGTGGTGAGCTTTGGTGGTCATGTGCATGCGCTCGCTGTGGGATTGTACTTTTGCAGCATGTCACTCGTCTGCGGGTGGATCGCTTGGGACAGTCGCTGCCTATGCTTGCGACTGCATGTGGTAGATGTCGAGCATCCGCGACCGCCGCCTGGTACGCCGCCTTCACACCGGCTTGGGTGGTGCAAGTCCCTCCCCAGCGCCAGGCGGCGGTTGGCAAGCTCCGGTGGCCTCGTCCCATCATTATCGTCATCACTTCCCCTGCCCCGCCCCCTCCCCCTGCGCTAGCGATGTGCGTGTATTGCGTCTGCACCTGGGTTTTGCGACCCGTAAGAGCTCCTCTTACATTATGGGAATTCAACCTCCCCGTCGCATTATTTCACCTGGTGGCCTTTAATTTGGCTTGAGTGTCGGAGTTCAACCTCCTGTCACCCCCGGTGATCTAACCCATCCGTCCCCCCCTTCTCTGCCTGCCTGCCTGCTTGCCTTTGCGGCTCCCACACCTCTGTCTTTGGTCCCGTTGGCTGTGCATGCGCCTCTCTGCGCATCCCTTGGTCTGTCTCTTTTTCTCCTCTAGGCTCTGCCCACAAGTACGTCGTCGACACCTTCGATCCCGTCATCCGCAACACCCTCCTCCGCGACGATAACTACTTCTATTACATGTGTCTCATGGGCCGCTACCGCCAAGGCAACACCCCCGCCTACCTCGACGAGGAGGGCTTCAAGGTTCTCCAGACCGACGCCCGACGCCTCGAAGCCATCAGGATCCACACCGACACCATCCTCAACGTCCTCAAGCGCGAGGTGCCCGACGGCGATCTCACCCGTGTCATCCTCATGGACCATCTCGACTGGTTCAGCGACGAGGATGCCGATGCCGAGATCAGCGCCGTGGCCCAGAAGCTGAAGAAGGGCGGCCGTGCCTACTGGAGATCCGCCGGTAAATATCCCTGGTACAATACCATCTTCGAGAAGCGCGGTTTCCGGGTCTACCCCTGCCAGATCCGCGAGGAGCCCAAGATGTACATCGACCGCGTCAACATGTACGCCTCCTTCTGGTGCGGTGAGAAGCTCTAATGGGTTTTTTGGCCTTGCGAGAACTGAGGACGCTCTTCCCCCCGGGGTCCTGCATTCCGCCGACCGGCCGAGAGAGAATGATGTCGTTTTGCTCTTGTTTCCCTACCTGTACCTGTTCCTCTACCCTTCGCCCTCTGTGATTGTCTTTCTTGGCTCTCTCTGTGGTCGGGGTGTTGCCTCCTTGGTTTTGGCTGTGCTGCGCTGCTGTTGCTGCTGCTGCTGTCGCTTCTGGTGTTTTTGGCAACAGGACCGGGCGGGATTCTCCTTGGGCTCGCCCGTGGGGGCCCGCAAAGGACGATGCCTTCCTGTTCAATGACACCTGTAGCGGGGCGGTGGAGGCCGCAGATGGATATGCACGCAATGCCAACAGAGGACGGCAACAACCTGCCGGAGAGTGGGCAAGAACAGTCCATGTAAATGTCAAAAAACCACCCCATCCGCAATATAACAGCGTTTCCAAAATGAAATGGGACACCCCCGTTTTAAGATGGGATGGGATGGGATGGGATGCGGATGTCGTAGGCATAATCCATTCGATGGCCGTGTCTTGAACGTGGGCGATACTCTGGCTGACAATGCTCGCAACTCCCTGGGGCTATCGCACGCCGATGAGTTGCTTTGTCCATCGACGGAACCATCGACAAAACCACCGGCTCGTCCTCTGGATAGGCGTCCCGTTTCGCTTCCTTTCGTTTTGCGTGCGCTGTAACACTGTATATTGCGGATGGGGGCATCGGCAAAGCCGTCGAAGCAATCCATCTTCGATTGGCCACCTGCCCCTCCACCTGTCTTTTCTCGGCCAGCAACAAGCGACCTCTCTCTCTACACAACTTCGTCGCTCTGGACGATGCAATCTACAGATACTCCACTCCCCCCCCCTTCTCGTCTCAGTACGGAATGCCGTTCTGCCAGTTCTGGAAACCGTCGTAGATTTTGCTGTCGAGAGAAAGAGGGGCCGAGTGCGCCAGAATGGATGAGCTCATGGTCCTGGGATTGGACGGATCCGCAGCACCAAGTACACACCTCGCTTCTCGCTGGAGCACCAGCCCAACCCTTCTCCATTCCTCCGCTCCCTCCAAGTCCTTGCCAGATTCGTCCACCAGCAAACCAACCTCATTGTGTTCTCGTGAGACTCGCGGATGCGACTCAGCATGAAATCCGCCGCCTGGCGCTCCGTCAAGTGCAGCTGGAAACGATCTCGGAGCTTCTTGATCGAGTTTTCGCCTGCGATCGATCGTACGAGCAGAGACGTCATCCACGGATGGGTTAGTGCGGGCTGCAAAGTTTGGGGCTTTGAGAAGCCTTGGCTACCCCACAGCTTTTTCTATCGTCCTCTCGACTCGCACCCACACAACAGCTGAACCTCCCCACACACGACGGGCTTGGCGTGGCTGCCTCGTTTCAGGTGCCCGTATCAGCGGTGCACAACCTTACCTTTGAAGCACGGCAAGCCGGACTCGAGCATGCTGCTCACCAAGGCAATGATCTCCTCGGCATGGGGTCTGCACAAGGGTTGGCGAGGGCGTGGTTTCAGCACAGCGATCGAAACGGCCGGGTGAGAAGCGGCTGGGATGGAGCGACGAGACGGCGCAGCCGTACCTGCATGCCAAATACGCCTTGATGATCTGGTCTGAAAGTAGCTTGTAGGACGGTGTGGTGGCATCGCCGCCCATTACGGCGATCATCTCCGTTGTCAGCTTGAATGGCGAGTTTTCAAAGTTGACGCCGCCAGGAGAGATGTCGATGATGAAGCCAAAGTCTATGGAGGGGACACCCGACATTGTTTGTTAAACATCAGCATCCCCCAATCCAAATATGCACATGTATCCGACTCACTATCTCAATCCGGAATATAGCTGTATGACCCAAGGCCGCTATTCAACCCGATTGGCCCGTGCGCAACCAAACGTACCGATGTGGACAATGTGTCCGTCCGCATCGAACAGGATGTTTCCGTTGTGTCGGTCCTTGATTTGCAGCAGGAACAGAATGAGGGAGTAGGGCGCCAAGCTCCGCACAAAGTTGCTCCGGGCCTGTCGGGGCACAACATCCGGCGATGCAGCGAGAGGCAGGGAAAGAGGAGAGCGTCGTTATGATGGCGATCATTTGGTCCCTACAGCCATCAGCAGTCGCACATTCCTGCCCTCTGCCACAGGGGGACAAGTCTTACCTTGGCGAACCCAGCAGAATCCTGAGGCCCAAACTTGCTCACAAAGTAGCTGTGGTGGCAGACAGGTCTCTGTGAGCAACGCTGTGATCGCCAGTGCAGTGCAGTGCAGCTCGAGATCACCAGTAGGGCTCTACATACTCGACCAAGCTGTTCACTGTCTCGCGTCCCATGATGTCTCTTGAGATGGAGTTTGGAACGACTTCAATGACACCGCTCTGGTGGCGAGGGGGAGGGAAGCCACAAGTGCAAGAGGTGCAGGTCAGATCAGCAAATTGCTCGTGCGGCGATGTATGCGGCAGGGTGACGGACGCGAGCAGCCGGCCTCGACTTACACCCGGGGCAGTGGCCACGACTCGATAAGGGAACACATAGAGGTCCAGATCCACTTTGGCAAAGATGCTTTTGAAGACGCTGATGAGCTGAAGAGCAAGAATGTCCTGGCGACAGTCGTCGCCAACCTTGAAGATTGCAGACTGACGCATTGCGGGTGCGTTCGAGGCCATAATTTGCTCGCGCGAGCTCGACAGATCGGTCGAGTCGACCATGGGCTTGATCTGGAAAGTAGCCATGAACGGCGCCTGGAGAGTCAAAGTGCACGAGGGGGCTGAATCAGCCGGCGTTGCCAGTGTGGCCCCACGGCAAAGGAATCGCCTTGATGCGCGAGATTCGGCACACTCTGTCGATGGGAAACGCATACCTTGGCATGGCTCTGCAGGGGGCGACCAGAGTCGTAGTCGATGTCGACAACGACGCTCTCCGGATTGCTCGGGAGATACACGCCGACATCGACCACAATCTTGCGCATCTCTTCGTCTATTTTTTTCTGTGGTGTGTGGCCGGAGCGACAGCGGACCGTGTGAGCAACTCTGTTGTGACTAAAGAGAGCTGTTGCCGTGCGCTCATGACAACTGTCGCAGAGAGTTGAGCCATGCACCAGCAACACCGGTCCATTGGACAGCCACGGCTCTCACCTTCTTCTCGGGCTTGCTCTTGTGGATGTATGGCTTGAGCTTGCCCGAGATTCCAGTCACCTCGCCAAAGAAACTGAATTCACGCTTGTAAAAGTCCTCGTCGGCACCCGACAGCGATTTCACGATCTTGTCGGTGATCTTCTCGAGCGTGGGCTTGAGAGGATCCTCCTGCAGTGGCTCACCGTCGTCAGTCGTCCGTCCGGCTCACAGACGACCCATCCAGCATCTCGACCTTGGCGCGGGGCAAGGTCGCGGACGACCTGCACGACTGACACACTCACCGTGATGCCCTCGCCCTCTTTGGAAAAGTCGCGGAACTGGTTGGCCTTCATGTTCCAGATGATCTGGTGAGCGAAAAGCTGCTTCAACTTGGCCGCGCCGAGAATGTACTTCTCGATATATCCTGCAGTGTGCATATGCTTCGTCAGAAAACAGCAACAGCACGCCCCTTCCTTGCCGAGCCCAAGAAGTGACAGCGCCAACGCAACACCTACCATAGGTGTCATGCCGGAGGGCCTGAACGAGTTGCGGAATGTAGAAGAAGACTTGGTCGATCGGGAAATGCTTCAACACACGGATGCCGTACTGGATAATGTGGGTGTTCTGTGCATCTTTGGTGAGGAGGCCGATGGCGCTCACGGGCGAAACTGGTGCCCAGTACAAGAGCCACTGGTGTAAAGAACAGTCAATCAGAGTCAACAATCCATCGCAAAGTCGGCATCTGTGGTTCTGGGCAGCCGGCACAGATGCCGTTACCTTCCACGAATCCGCCCGTTTCTTCATGGCTGGAAGAATCCAGGGGAGGGCATCGCTGTTGTTGACAAACAGCCGCAGGTGGTGGAAGCACGTCTCGCGTATTTCGTGATCGATAACGTCTGAAGAGGTGATGAAGCGCTGCTGAAGGTACAGGATGATCGAGGGGGCCACTCCAAGCGCAGCTCGAATCATCCGGCTCCATTTGATCTAGCGACCCGACAGGCAGCAGAGATTAGGACGAGTCGAGTAGAGGGCCAGGAGGCATCGCCGGAGAGAAAGATGGCTTCCGGCGGACAACCAACTGGCCGTACAATGCTCAGTTGATAGCAGACCGCCATCCGCCGCGAGAATCGGCTTATTCCATTGCCCCCAAACGAAGACAGCTACTTACGATCGTAGGGGCAGCGAGCGGCGTGGAGTCCTCTTGCGTGGATTTCCATACACGCAAGCGAGTCAACTCGCTCTCCAAAAGCATCAGCAGTAGCTGGTGAACCTCGTTGATCTCCACTGGATATTCAAGAGATACAGCTGTCGTCAGTCTCGGTGAACAGCCTTGTGCCGGCCAACACAAGCAGCGGTGCGGCTTCGGAAGCAACACGGCGAGGACTCGGTCTTACAGAGCTCCTTGGGCGAGAATACACCAACGCCGGCAGCGATCTTGAGCGATTTGAATCGGGTGCTCTGTGCAACTTCGGCGTCCCTATCGATCCGTACGCTTCTCATGATGAACATGATTGACTCGAGGGTCTCGCGTTCATTTTCGTCTGTCACCGACCACCTGAAAGGTTCCACAGAGATTCTGTCAGGCACAGGTGCTGCGTTATCTGGCCACCCCCCCTCCCAACCGAGCAAGATCCCACTTACATGGGCGGGTGGGCAAACCACGATAGCATCCAGTTGTAAACCGATCGTCGAACAGATGGCAGCAACGAGGAGCGCTGCTTTTCAAGCTCCTGGACGACGAGCAGTCCAAGCTTTGAAATCAAGAACCACAAAGGACGAAGCTCGGGCTTGGGACTAATCGCAGTATTGGCGGGATCGTGGCGTGGGGTTAATTGCGTTGCGCAAGATGCCCGCTCTCGCCAAGAGGACCGATCGACACGCATTTGCAAACAAGCTCCCTATCTGCCATGAGGCTGAGTCGGCACCGAGCCCTATTGTTGCGGGACCGGCATACCTGGCGAACTCCAGCGAAGTGTCCACGAGCTGGATGAGCTTCAAGAATGGGTACAGCAGCTTGCGGTTGGAATGCCGGACAACCTGGAAACGGTCGATCAGGAACTGTACCCATACCAGATGAGCCGCGTGCTCCTTCTCTGTTTGCTCCGGTGGCACGGACGGGGCATATGTCATTTTGTTGAAGAATGGATTGAGCGGGCTGGGAACCGCAGGCGGATGTGAGCATTCGAGCACGCTAGCATGCAGCATGCAGCATGGCTGTCCCATCAACCCAGCTTTGGCGCTCATATGGTATACACGATTGCTCGCGCATTCAATAGAAGGGAGGTTGTCCAATCATCCGATGTCGTGGCTCTCAGCTTCGTGCCTATTCACAGTGGTTGTGCGCACGGCTTAGTGTCGTACCTTGGCTCAGCGGCATAGAGACCTTGACGCTTCTGCACAGTCTCTCCCCACGATGAAACCAGGTCGCCCAGAATGCGAACGGAGAGCTGCGGATGGATACACAGGATCCAGCCCCAGACTTCAACGGCAAGGCTTATAGCGCTTGGAGCAAAGTGCACTATGGGCACCCAGCATATGCGTTGCAAAAGTTCGTGATCGATCTGTTCGAGAGAGATGCTCAGCACAGCGGACGGAGGATCTTGCTTCGCCGATGCTAGTCCCCACCAGTGTTCGTCCCCGGCCAGCTCACCTCGTGTTCTTTCGCCAACACAATCGCTGCCGCTGCCCGATACAGGGCCGGTCTCAGCTTAGCATAGGTCTCGGGTCCCGTTGGCTCGATGGCAATCTCTCCGAGGCTAGCCTTGCATAATTCGGCAACTTGCTGCAGCTCTGTTTGCGGGTGCGAGATCCGGCTCATCTCTAACACCGATGATGCAAATATACACATCAGAAAGGGATATCACAAGCAAGCACGTCCACCGTCCAGTGCCGACACAGCAGATACTGACGTACCGTTGATGTGAGCCAGCATCGACACCATGCCGCGAACCTCGCCGGTGAAAAATGACCCGTTCGTTTGTCGCTTCAGCAGCTCTTTCAGTAGATCTGGTGCGGGTATCACGAGTATCAGCATATATAGGCGACAAGTCTCACGCAGCCCCAGGCCGCCGGGCGGCTATCAGGTTCCAGGCGAGCTCTCTCACCTGAGTTCAGGTGCAGGCCTCCCAAGAGAGCACTGAATCCCTTGGCGCTGGTGATAGATGCGCTCGGAACACCAAGAAGCGTGTCGAGCAGATAGTGCTGAAGAAACAAATGAAAGTGTGACAGTTAGCGAGGCCACACATCTCCCTGTCCACCCACCAACGATATCCTGGCTCTCCATGCAAGATGCACCGGTGGCAAGTACCTCCAGGACTCCGACCGTTTCCGAAAGCGATTTCTCCGACGAAATAGACAGCCATTTGTTGCAAAGATGCTGGAATTCCTGAACCGCAGCCCTTCGCTCGTCGTCGTCAGCAAACTCGAAATCTAGGCCTGTGCGCGCCGCAATATCCTGTGGTGGCAGAGTTGAGGCGTGCGGATGAGAACCAAGGCTTGTTGCACCTGACAGTGACCATCCAGTGACCATCCAGTGTGGCGATACAATAGCCGTGGTGGTCTGGCTTGGCGTTGTTGCTCACCGATGAAGTAGCAGCGACTGAGTGGGCTTGATTGCAGATTCGCAGGATATCAAGGGACAGAGCTGCACATGGATAGTTCCAGAGGAGCGACGGCGCAGCTTTCCACATCTTCTGTAGGCTACGGATCGCAAACTGGCGCACTCGACCTGAGCGATGGACGGCATGTGCAACCAAGGTTTGGCTGCTCAACACCATGTTACGATGCCTCTGAGACGCACAGAGCGACGGGCGGGGATCTGCACAAAGGGTTCGCACGACCTTTGAGATGGAGTGGCGTTAGCAGAGGCAAGATCACAGAGCGGAGGCCACAAGCAGTGCGTGGGGTCGACTGATCGTCCAAGTCTCTCGGTGATGCTGGATAGGCTGTCGCTTCATCCGGCTCATTATGAGACACGTGCCGATCGTGCCCGTACCTCGCTTGCAATGCTTTCCAGATGATCGTAGATGACCCCGCTGTTATGCAGGCGTTCATCAGTCAGATAGGACAGCATCTCCTTGAACGGCTTTTTGGACACGCGCAGGAGCTCCAGCTGCCGCACAGTATGGAGATATGCACAGCACACAAATGGAAGCGCTCGCAGCTCAGTCGTTGGAACAGACAGTGTGCCTGCCAGGTTCAAGCGAACCTTCTGAGCAGTCTAAACGCAATGCATCACGCATCAGTATCTAAATGAGACGGCAAGCGCATGTGCGAGAGATAGAACGGGCCATGCCGATGGCTTGCGCAGCTCGTGCATTTGCTCATGGATCTGGCTGCCGCGCTATGCTTCCTCAAGAGGCTTACATCATCGCCGTAGGATGAGCCGAGAATCGAGTTTGCAACCAAGTCGGCCTCGAGAGAGTTTTTGGACTTGTCGAGCGTCAGGGCCGGGGACTTTGCGGCGATGTGCGTCAAATCCGTGCTCCAATCGGGCTGAAGTTGACCGGACGGCAGGGTAAAGAGGATCGAGACCTGGATCCAAAAGTCTCGGGTGACCGCGCTGAGCTTGGCGTTGTTGAGGCAGGAGGCGTCGAACTCGTCATGGTCAAATATGGCTCTGATGATGTGCGCCAGGTTACGCAGCTCGTAGACGACAGACGGTTCCTGTGAAAGAAAGGTGACTACAGATCAGTCGCGCTGTTGTGGGCTGATGATCGGGCGGAGTAAGGCACCTACACTCTTGCCAACCAGGGTCTTAGACTTTTCGATAAAGATCGAGAACACAGTTTCGATATAGGTCTCAAAGTACTCGGACGATTTGCCCTGGACCCGGGCAAGCGTCTGGCCGACTCGAGCAATCTGTCATCAGCAACAGAACGGCGTCAATGCGGAGCCTTCAAACTGCCTCAGTGAATCCAAAATATCGGCAAACACAACTCGGGTTCAATCACATATCATGCCAATCCAAGTGCAGATGCGGATGGGCAAATGCAGACGCATACCCGCTTGAAGTTGCCTTTCTCCTTGAGCAGGCAGTTCACAACTTCACGAAAGATATCAATATTGCATGTGAGCCCGAGGTTGCCGAGGCTTTCCCAAAGGAAGCCATCGCTGGCTGAGGCATTGTCGAGTCGCTGGATGAGAGCCGCGATGATTTCGATGATCTGCACAGTCGATGCAATCAAGCCCATTGTTATTTCTAAAGGGTATATCGAGCCAAGCTAGAGCCACCACCACAAGCGATTGCTGGCGAGATCCCAGACAATATCGGAGTTCTCACATTCACGGGCTTCAAAAGCGGCGCGATACTCGTCAGAGCAGCGACAATGTTCTGGATCTTGATCTGCCTGACTTCTGCACTGGGCCCGCTGTCGGCGGACGACATATGGAGGGCCCCGTTGAAGACGGAGAGACAGGTGCTCGAGACAGCCGAGGATGATGTCAACTGAGAGAAAGCAAGCAGTCAGCCACAAAACGGACACCACCATGCCACAGAGCCACATGGTGACACCTGGTTGACGACACTGAACACTGCCAGCCCTTTTCCGGCCGCACGGTTCTTGTGGATGCTAGTATGCTGGAATGATGCTTGTACCTTCAAACACTGGTAAAATACGGTGCTTGTGCAACGGCGGAGCACATCGCATAGCTCAGGGCTGTTCATCGAGATGAACACCGGCGAGGGGCCGATCAGAAAGTCAGACAGCAGCTTCAGGACATCTTCGCGGAGGCCGGGAAAGCTGCACGAGCAAGACAGCAGAGAAACAAGGCACCGTGTTAGTTTTGTGGTCTGCATAATGCCAGCTCCGTTGCCGCCAACGTAGGCTGGGTGGCGAGTCGTCAGAGCAATCCAAACACCTTACTGGCAGTACAGAATTCCGAGGCCCTCGATGGCCGCCAGATAAATGTCCAAGTGCTGTCCGCCGATAGTTTCAAATCGCGCGAGCTGGTCCAGGATAATATCCAGGGTCTGGGACTCATGACCCGGCACCAAGACGGCGCCTATGACAAGTACATCCTGATACATATCGTAAGGAGTACATCAGTATCGAGGGGGCAACTGCGCTAATACTACACAAATGCCTGCTCCGGGCAACATAGTTTATCAACTCGCAAAGCCTCACCACAATAACCGGGAAGAGATGCTCGCTTTGGGGACTGTCGACCTCGTTGATGACCTCGCCAATGTTGGCGAGCCACATAGGGTCGCGAAAGGTGGCAAGGACTGAGTTGACGACGTCGAGGATGGCTGAGTTAATGATGGCGGTTGGGGCGATATTGGTCATGAGTGCATCCCAGACGTCACGGACACCAGGGTCGCTTTCTGAGGAAACGACCAGGAGTCTGGCCAGAACTTGGTTGATCCATTGGAAGAGTTGACAGAGCAAGTTGACAGCATCGTCGATGTGCGAGTACGACGACGATGATCCTGGCGTCTTGGCTTCAGAGCTCACAGAATAGTGACAGAGCCCAATGCGCTGCAGGTTGTTGAACAGCAGCCCAATCTCTTCAAAGTGATCGTGATTCTGAAGCTGCTCCGAGTCGGAAAAGGCTGAAAGAAATCCTGCGGCCAGAGAAGTCGCTGCGGCGCTCTGCGCGGGTACTGGGCAGATAGTCATACTGTTCAGAGAGCTGGCCTGTTGCATCAGTTCGCCTCCACTGCATCAACCCACTCCTGCATCTCCGGCCCGCCCTGAGATACCAATGCCTCGCGAGTATATGGTGCGTCCGTGCCCCTCGTCTGAGCTGACACAAAGGCGAGTGGATCGTCCGTCCATACATGTCGTAGCCGAGAGTGTGTTCGACAGTCCAATAAGCAGCTCCCACAACGAATTGTGGATCCGCGCGCGCAGAGAAGCAAAGCGGCTGGCGATGGTCAACAGCCTCGTCACCACATCACGAGTGAACGTCTGCCACCGCTGGGCATCTGGGCCGAAGAAAATGGATGAGTTAGGCTCGTCAAAGTCGTGGTATGGGTTTGTGGCAGCCAGAGTTGGCCAGAGCATCATCCGTCGAGGGTGCACCCGGGCATGCATACCTTCGGGCGTATCGACCCCTTCGGCCTGGGCTATGAATGCCGCAAATATATCGATCGCGCTTGGAACCAGTGCGTCCTTGGAATTCCCGTCGGATACGATGATGAATTCGAGAAGCGCAACGAGTCCGGCCATGTCGCTCGGTTGCTGTTGGGGCAATAGGTGTGGGTCAGGCCGAGCCCGCTGCCTTCGCACACAATGCTAATGGCTGGCTGCGAGAATGGCGAAAAACACTCCCCAAAACAGAAATAGCATCTCCGGAACTCTTGTCGGACGAGAAGGCAGCATACCGTTTCCCATTCGACGCCTTGGAACTGAGTTTGTCCGCTCAGCAACAGCTCGTGGACATTAGGGCGCTCCGTGAAGCAGACCTCGAGGAACAGGCCCAGGTCCGTTTCAGAGAGAGGCTCTGGGCCAGCCGAAATAATGTGGGCGGTCTCTACAAGCACATTCTGCGAATCGAGTGGGTCTGGAAGTCTGGGGCGAGACGGAAACCAGCAGGATCAGCAAGCCCGTCGTGCTGCGGATGGGTTTGCGGCCAGGTCAACCCCGGTCGAACGCAGTTGCCCGAGCACGGCCAGCGTGGGCACCCGCAGCTCGCTCGAATGTACCTGTAAAACATTGCTGTCTATAGTCTCTGGGCGACGGCGCTGTCCGGCAATGATATGGGATTGCCCCGGCGATGCTATCAGGGAGCCCAATGAAAAAGTCAAGCGAGCCAAGGGCGCGGCGGCCTGGCGCTGCTCGCTCGAGCGACGCTTGTGGGCGGTCACGCAGGCCACGTGATGCAAGGCAAACGCATCCTGGTTTCTTGCGAGTCGTGCGAGCCGTGCATGTCCGCGAGATACTGGCACTGCGATGTGGGAGTGCGGTGTGTGCATTCGACCCTTTGGGCAGCTGCGTGCGGGGAGTGATTTCGCGACTGCAAGATAATCGGGATGGACGGTCGTTCTGCACCATGTATATGGCTGTATTATCGTCCAAAGAGTAAACCAAAGGCAAGGATGCCCCGTTTCATTATGTGGGCACCGCAGTACATTTTCGCCACTCAAATCGACAGGACCAGCCTTTCGAACTCTGTCAGCGCCTTCTCTGCGATGGCGTCGAACGACGGAGTTGTCTTGATGTCGATATCGGTCGTCTCAACCGATCCGCCAAGCAAAGCACCAATATAGCGGTCGGAGGAAGCTGTCAGGTACTTGTCGATGAGCGCCTGTCCGTTGGTTGCGAGAACTTCGGTGGCGTCGGCCACGTCATCTCCACATCTATTCAGCACGATCGACCGTCAGTAGGACACCCAAATCCGCTTCATGGGCAGCCGAATAATCGACACGAGCCACTAGATCTGCTCGTCGCGTGCAGCGACAATTGTGCAGATGACACGAATGACGACCGTACCTCTGCGACGCCATGAAGATTGTCTTTCTCTTGCGCACATCGTCATAAAAGTCGATAAAGTGAAAGAGCTTTTGCTGCTTTGCTGCTGGATACGTTTTGCACCACTGCTTGAAGTCCTTTCGAAGCTCGTTGTCGGCATCGAGGGCAACCATTTTGGATGGCGAGTTGTGCCCGAATGGCGTTTTGCTGTATGGCTGGACGCCAGGCGTGCCGGGGCTTGCTGCCTGGCCCTTGGCCTCATCGGCGGACTGAGAGGGCTTGCTTTTCTTGTTTCCCATGGTTGATGTCGGAGCCGTCGATTTACTGAGGGTGTGATGATGATCAAGTTGATCCATCTGCTCACAACGATTCAACAGACACAATTTGAATCAGGCGCGTCATCCGTTTCTGGATGCAGCGTTTCCAAAATGAAATAGGACACCCCGTTGAGCCATGACAGGGTTATTTTCTGTAACCTGAATACACCCACCCACTCATCGCAATCATGGCCAAGCACAGCACCCTCGATTTCCGCATCGCTGCACTGCGACCGGTGGTCTTCACTCGGAAGCTGCCAAAGTGATCTGTTCTATTTCTTATGGCATAGTTAGACGCATGCCATCGCATACTACGCTGACAAATGGGTTGTGGGCAGGTGTCCAATTTCCCCTTGAATACGGTGTATGAATCCGCGACGACCAAGCAGCGTGTCCAAAGCCACCGATATTGTGAATGTCATTGAGAATGCATTGAGGAAGCAAGGGAAAGGATTCTATCGTGCCCACACCACGTCCCAGAACACAGGGCAGCGATGGAACGCAGATGAGCACTGTCTCATTCCCTTCTGCTTGCTTCCCTCCTGCTTGCCTCCCTTCCCACTTTAGGCCCGCTATCGCTCTCGGCCAGCCACTTGACTTCACTCGCACTCCTCGGCTTCAGATACATTTGCTACCCCCCCCCACAAGTGTCCTTGGCATGAGGACCATCACCCTTCGTGTATCAATCATCAGCATGTATTGGAATGCTTGCACTCTGCCTCAGTGAATCTGCCGGACCTCGATGTAGTTGGCCCGAGGCTGAGGTGTGAGCTCTGCTTGCTGTTTTGGCGTCTTGAGCTTGGCTTCGTATCGGATATCTTGTTGTCGATCGAGTATTCGTTGAACTGCCAGTGAATTACGAGCGTCGGAGTGCCACACCGGTAAATACATTGCATATTGCCGAGGAGTGTCGGTGGATGCTTGCGCTCAGAGCCAGCCTTGACTGGGACACGCACAACACACGGTATACAACACACGCCACAAACCTCTCAGTTGCTTGCTGAAATCACGATGGGCATCGATAATCAGCTGGGCCTGTGATGCAAATTATCAGCCGCGATGGTCTCAGCGACCTTCGCATCGACCAAGTCCACGTCGTCTCAGCTTGGCATCGCATCCATCGCACCCATCTCAGCCCTTGCCTTGGCGGGGGAGTCGGCGACGTTTCTGATAATGTTCGTTGTGGTCGGCAAGGCAAAGTTCGGAATGACTCGAACATCAGGCTCAATGTCACCAAGAACCCTGAGGATGCAAGCAGTGCCCTATTCAGTAGTTGGTCCGCAGCGAAAACCCGGAATCCCACTTTGGCTGAGTGACTGCAAGTCCATCCATACCGGCGGTTCGTCAGGAGAGCAAACGTGTTCCTGACGAACAAAACTGCGGCATCGGGCTGGCATGTCATCACGGCGTTCATGGCCTCTTGCGGTATTTTGATGCTCTGTTTCTGGAAAACTGAGCAGGCGCTGCGGTCAAACCATCACAGCCCGGTTCAGCACCTTGGATTTGCGTGCCGGTGATACTCACACTTGGCCAGCTCGGACTTTGATCATTTAGCGGGAGTTGACCCAGCGATTGAGCAGTCGCATTCAGTCAGGGTGTCGGCAACATATTAAAGCTCCTGAATCCTTAACAACACACACGCCTGTACCCAGTTGTTCTCGCGCAGACCCATCGAATCTCCTGTGTAGAAGCGATGGATATGTATCTCGCCTGGGAAGTAGCGCGAAAAAATCTCGCCAACGAGATACCCATTTGCAAAGTCCCTGGGGCGACGGCTGCGGGTCAGTCACACTGGCGTAAGACACTGGGTCTTTGATGCAGACCGGTGTCGCTGCAAGCGTTCCAGAAGGGTTGCTCGTCAGAGTGGGCACCCACCGCTTGGGATTCTTGATCTCGAGAGAGAGATCAAGCGACTGGAGCCACTTGATCACCTCGCGTGGGAGTCCAGCCATTTCGAAGTCGATGCTGAGGTAGGGACGATATACTTGTTCGGCGCAGCTGCTCTTGATCAACAAGCCTGTAGTTGGTCACTGCCGGCAACCTCTGGGCTCCTGCTCTTGAAGTCTCGGAGATGGGTCTTCCCAGAGTCTCTTGGCCAGAATGCCAGTGCCACTATGACACTCTGGCGACGTCCTCCAATCATGAAAGCCACTGAAACGTCATCAAGCCCATTCAGCGAACTTATTTCGAAACAGGACACCTTCACACACGGATCGGTTGGTGTTGGTCGATCTGGCTGAGCGACTTTGATCTGTACCAAACCAGCGATATTGCTCTTTGCCCTGGTTTCTTCCTTCCTCATCCCATGTATGTCTTCTTGCTCTGACCCGCAGCGACTGCATCTGCAGCGACTCGCTGGTCCCTCCATGCCCGGATATTGGTCGTTGATCAACCAATTTGTTAACCAATACCATCGCGCGCTGGCCATGACCATTCGCCAGTGTGTCCAAGCGCACCATTCACCGCTGGCACTCCGAGGCCAGAGTGCAGGTCGATTGTGGAGACGGAAGAGCGACCAGTGGTCTTCACTCGGAGGCTGCCAAAGCGATCTGTTTCATTTCTTATGGCTTAGCTTGACGCAAGCCCATCACATTCTAAATGTTCATGGAAGCGGGTGTGGCGTCCCGTTTTTTCTGAATAAAGTGTGATGCTCGGTCCCGCGGAATCCCACAGCATCATCCCACAGCCGCTGGCGAACATATCCAAGCACCTGAAATCCGCGCCAGAGTGTTGCTCAAGGCAAGAGACCATGGGCACTGAAGTGCGGATCACTGTCGCTGTCCGGGAAACTTGTGGGAAGCTTCGCGGGTGATTCCGGGCAGTCAATCAGCAGCCAACTCTGCCGGCCAGCCGCGGCTGTCAGAAGTACAATGAGGTCTTGCGCAGAAACAGGCTCTCAAAGCCAGCGTCCAGCTGTGGATCGCAAGTGGTCACATTCAATTGGGTGTCCTCCAGTTTTGCAGCAATCCGGGTTAAGCATCCGGAAAGGAGAGTCGACCCAGGGCATCCGAGCAATACACCAGAAATGTCGACCTCTCTCAATCTGCGGCTTCCGATAATGGAGCGACCGTGCAAGTCTCCAGGGTCGCCGTCTGGGATTCAGAGCGAGACAGACGACTCCAGCTCCGTGTGCTCGAATCCGCCAAGCACCCCCAGATCGAGTCTGGGACTCGTCACGCGGAGCAAGTACCACAGCGTCAAGCGGGAACGAGGTAGGCAAGCAAATGAGCGGATGAATGTACGTGGGTGAGTGGTTGAAGGAGTGACTGGGTGGAGGAGTGACTGGGTGAATGGATAAGTTAGATGAAAGCCATCCAGAGCATCCGTACTTGGATGCTTTGGTGTCGTTGACCATGTCGAGGCGACATCATCCCCAGAAACGCTCAAGGCCCAGCTCGCCGAGGTTTCACGGAGCTACGAAGATATCTCGGCCAAATATCAGGCGCTCAATGGTATTCCAACGACAGCATTGGCATACAGTTGCACTGGTCGCGGGGGGGCTTGGTTATCCGAGTTCCTGTCCAGGGGTTGTCTCCAATGCTTTGTCTCACCGAACTTGCTTCTCACAGAGGAGGCCGCCGTCTGCCGGGACCAAATGGAGCAGTACCTCCAGAGCTTCCTCGATCGCGAGCGAAGGCTTTCCAAAGCAGAGCAAATCATCGTCAAACTGCGGGGGGAAAACCGGATTCTTGTCAAGGAGCGGCGCAAGGTTGAGCTCCTCACCAACGAAATCGACACCGAGCTGCGGGCGATCCTGGAGAGAGCCTGGGAACAAGAAGAGAGCGAGCGCATCGCTGAAGAGTGCGCTGATGTTTCGCTGGCCAAGCAGCTCGAAACCGTGATCGCCCAGCTCCAGACATCGCAACTTGCATCTGCCTCTCTATCATTGGCGAACGAGCAACAGGCGGCAGTGTCCCAAGAAATTGCACAGCTACTTGAGAGGCCACACGATATGATGCCGCTGCCGTCGACCCAAGAGAGCCTGCTGCGACCGACCCTGGCGCAGAACGCATCACAGCGCCAGTCACAGGCGAAAGACACAGGGCAGACGGAAGAATCGAGACCGACTCTGGGGATGGGAAATGAAATACCGTCGTCCTCGGGGCTGGGGCAGGCCAGCATAGCATGCCCACAGTCCGATCCTGGCGTACAAGTTCTCCTATTCCCGGCCGGCCCCAAACTGTCTCCGTGCTGCTCGGTGTCAACAGCCGACTGCTTGGACGGATCCTTGGGCAGCGAGCTTCTTGCAGCCCCGGTCTATCATGGTGACTCTGCTCTGCAGAGTCCCCTCGAAGCTGCCATCCCATGTGTGCTTGAAGGAAATGATAACGCCTCAGAGCAGCTCGACGCTGCGATTCGACTGAGTTCGCCAGAACTACCACCACGCAGGCCTGCAGTCAACCATGCATATACGATGTCGGGTCTCTTGGAAGCAGCTAGCGAGCATGCCGGAGCCACAAGCGACCCAGTTCGCCATGCACTGTGGCGGGCCACCAGCGAATTGGCCTGGACAAAAACGAACCTACATCGCACCACGGAGTTGCTGCAGATGACCGCTGTCGAGGTCATTCATCAAAATAACCGGCTCCACAACCTCGATCTCGAGATCAAGTCACTCAAGTCGCAGAACAGCAGCCTTGTCGCCCGGGTGACAGTTCTCCACGAAGTTCTCACAGCCGTGCAGACACGATGGATCAGCCAACTATCAGAGTTGCTGGCGCACCAGAACCAGCAGGGAAGAGGGCTTCTGGCGCTGCTCCGCATTGACCCGGCCCAGTTTCCGAGTCAGCCGAAGGCTGGGGCAGTCACACCAAAAGGACGTAATCTCGCTGAGCAGGGATGACCGCCAACTGAACACTGCAGGATGGGTCAGCCAAATGCCAATATATTTGTAGTAATGAAGACAAAAGCCCGAGCCCTCCCGGACGAAGCGGAGCTGCGACTAGGGCAGCCACATTCCTGTGGGTGCCGGCGACTCGGGTGCTCTTGGAGATCTGCGACCTGCCCACGGCGTCAAGAGTCAAACTGAAGGCCATTGAGATCGTTTTGAATCGAACCGTCGTCCTGGCTCTGGACGGTGGTTGCGGCATGCTCCGCTTCGGAAAGTGACAAAGCAAGCGCCAGCTGCAGCTGGAACTCTTCCTCATCCAGCTCAAGCTGTTGCGGCGAAATGGCTGCTTCTGATTCGGCCACTCTGGATGGATTGGGAGTGGTGTCACCTTTTGGGCTATCAAAGTCGATGAGATTGCTGCTGGACGACGAGGTTGAAGTCGTTTGCAGAGTCTGAGAGTTACGATTGGATGTGGCGTTTGCTTTTCCACGCACATTGTCGACAAGCTGATCGACTGTTCCCACGGCGCTTTCACCAATTTCCCGGACTTCCTTGAACAGCCCGGTCAGGAATCCAGACGTGGAGCTGTAAACCACGCTCGCCAGCTGGGTAATCTTTACGGACGAGCCACCTTTTGATGAGGACATGGACGGGCGAGGGGTGTCTGGTGCGCTCTCGAGTCCGCTGCAGCATTATGATGGTGTGAGAATGTGAGAATGTGAGAGTGCCGTCGACCGTGGACGGAAGATGGGCATGGACATCTACGCCAGATTGCATTGATGACCTCGACAAAGCTACTGTTCTGCCAGGACCTGCGACGGATCTGGCCCTGCGAAGCACATTAGCACCTACAATTGTGTCATTTCGTCCGCTGAGAGCGTTAAACTCTTGATGTTCATGTTGTAGATAAATGTCACAGCACCCATCTGGAATCACGGACGAGTCCGTATGGTTACGGGAGGGAGTGACCGACATGTTGTTGTGTTATCCTGGGCATCATTGGCGGCATGGCACGATAATACGATGTCAGGAACACCGCTGCCGATGCCTACCATATTGGTCAGCACAAACTGAACCGATCCCTTCTCAACCTCGGCATGGTTGCGGAAGCGCATGATGTATCTGTGACGCCATAGCGATATAGACGGTAAGCCACTCAATACTGGTTCGTGAGCCATTATGGAGCACGCCACCCCATCCATGAGTAGGGCAAACCGACAATCTTCACAGGCGATGCTCTAACAGGAGCCATGGCATAGACACGCACTTGATATGGCTAATCAGTTGCGGAGGATTAGCCCGGACAACGACGAGGATCAACACCGGGAGAAGCTTGTCTGCGCTGACGTTCCCAGAGTACCGCTTGATCAGATCTGGGGACGAGTCAGCAAACCACAGAGTATTTCGGAGTCGGTGAGCAGATCGATGCCAAGGACACCGCTACACTTGAAGCGAACTGAGATGCCATTGCATCCCACAGTGTACGCCACGCCATGAGTAGCTTCGCATGTCCGGAGGCAGCTCCACTCGAACACGCCCCCTCAGATATGCATATCGAATTGGCCCTCGAATGCGCTGATTTGGAGGATCGATACGCACCTACGACGAGCTGTATTGTGTTCTGTAAAATAACAAGCTTGTCTCTTGGGGCCCTGAAGCCGCTGATACGCAATAGCTCGCCCTGGGCAACCTCGAGGCTGCTGTTGAACCGGATATCGAGATCCAGGTGCCGCTCCTTTGGCGCAGGGCAAGAGAAAATGCTTGGTCAATGGGATTCGCCTGCAAAGCCAGGCTGCGATGCTGGTGGGGAGCATCCAGCGCCATCCAGCGACATCCAGCGACATCCAGCGACATCCAGCGACATCCAGCGACATCCAGCGACATCCAGCGACATCCAGCGACATCCTCCCACCTGGATCCAGGCAAAGCTGGAGATCTTGGTCTGCAACTGGGTATTCATCTTGGCTTCCTCCGAGCCGTGGGGCTCGAAGACGACATCGTGGAGCTTGGTCATGACCAGCTGGAGCATCATTTCGGAATCGATGGTTGGAGGAGTTATGTATCGCCGATGATGCCGGACTCTCCAGGACCTGGACGGCAGTCGACGCAGCACCCTCGAGCCGGACAGATGCGCCCGGCAAGCAGCGTCTACCTTTTCCCAAACCTCCACGAGACCTTCTTTTTGCTCTGCTGTCAGATCAGCGAAGAGAGGGTGCTGGATGGACAAGTGGCAGGGTGGTTAATCGCAAGCCTCGGCACTCTACGAGGTCGGGACGGTCCCGTCGTTCGGAAGCTCTCCAGCCCGGCCTCTCACGACGCTCGATACCTCCAGACAGTCGTGGTTGATGTTCTCCAGGAACGTCGATATAGCCTGCTTGTGCACCTGGACGGGCTGGTGGCTCTTCAGAAGCGCTCGGGTGGACACTAAGAAGGTCTTGAGCTTGTTCATCAAATCATGGGCCTGCTTCTTGCGCAGGATCCCAAGAAAATCGTCATAGTCCATACTCTGCGAGGCGGCAGGTCTGATCCGGAAGCAGGTGTCTTGATGGCCAGCAGCCCGGATGTGATCAGGCTCTGGCTCTGGCTCTGGCGACTCGGGCTCGGGCTCTGGCTGGGAGCGATGAGAGACAGCCGATGGGGGGATGAAGCCGCACCCGCGCTGCAAGGCTCGACGAGGGGAAGGAGGCCTTGGAAGCCGCCCTGGAAGCGCCACGAAGCCTGTTCGGTGGGGGCATCAACGACACCGAGGACACCGAAGGCATCGGGGGCATCGGGGGCATCGGGGGCACCGAAGCCATCGGGCATAAAGCACCAACTATGCGCATGGCTGGGACATCCTGCTGTGCCCGAGGGAGCTCTATCTGGCTTCAGCACATTCGCCAGACACAGCTGCACCGGCTCCGCTTTCGCCAACGGGACAATCTATTGGGGCTCACTCGAAGATACAGAGTCGGCAGAGGGATAGAGCGTGGCAAAGGTGAGATAGGAGGTGTGTCCTCGCACCTCCTTGGTGATTCTCGAAACGAGGGCATCCTTGGAATTGCGTTCTGATTTCTTGGCCCCGTCATCGCCAAGCAGCTTGGGCTCGCTATTCTCATCAAGCGACGACTTGCTCTCGTCCAGCTTGGATGCCGAGGGCTCGTCCGGGTCGTCCATCTCCTTTCGCTTGACGCCGACAGACACAGGTCTCATGTCTGGCAGCAGCGACGCAACGACAGAGTGAACTTCGTGCGGGCGGATCAGCACTTCCATCATGCGAATATCTGATGGGACAGAGGACATCGGTCGCAATGCGTAAACGGCATAGCCAGTGTTCATGTACATGAGCCAGCGACTCAATCGGCCCTCACTTCACTCCGGTGGGTCCAGTCGCCGGAGCGTTTACTCGTGGGAACACATCTCGGCACCGACGATCGGCCAGACATGACATACCATTGAACCCATGCTCGGCCAGAGCCTTGCAAGTCTGCTGCACTTGCTCGATGCACGGACTGAAGCTACACAGTCGACCGATCCGGTTGGACTTGAAGGCGGCCTTGGCCGAGGCAATCGCTTCCCAAGGCGCCGGAAGGTCCAAGAACACTATGAGCGGATTCAGTCCGAGCATGGTTAGTGGGTACCATATGCCAGTCTCTGGAATATGGCGAGCCTGCGGCTCTGGGACGGCTGGCCGCCCAGCAGGACCAATCCTACCTGCAGTGACTCGGTTTTGGATGCCAAAGCCGTCCTTGCAGACATCGCGACACTCCACCGTAACAAGATGCTCCAGTTGGTGGTCCGCAAACTCCTTCGTAGCTTTGGCAGCACGCTCCTCGTGGTATTCAAAGGTGAAGAGGTGGCCGGATGGTGCAATCGATCTGGCAATCGAGTGGGAAAACGATCCGCTTCCCGTTCCTGAAGACGGAGTGCACGAGTCAGCGTCCCGGCCGAGTATCACAACCGTGGCCGACTCGATGTCGAAGCTGCTCGGGGCTTTGGGCCTAACCTGATTCTATCATCTTGACCCCTGGCTTGAGCTGCAGGAACGTGCTCACGAACGAAATATCGGGCATGTACAAGATCTGGGTGCGGTGAGGCAGGCACAGCGTCCATAGCTCGGGTGAAGGCTGAAGCAGATAGATGAACCCGCGGCCGGTCTTGGACGGCATCTGCAGACACCACCGGACAAGGCATCTGTGAGTATCGAACGCATTCTTGAACTCGGCGAGCGCGCGGCCGCTCCGTCTCACGACATGCCAATGTCGCAGCTCCGAGAGCCAGAGCAATGACATACTTTGGTGCCCCACTTTTGTCCGATCATGTCCTGGTGCTTGAACTCGCCGAATCGATTCTGCAGCGAGCCTTCCTGGCTCATGGTGAGGATGCACATGGACTCGGGGCCCTGCGAGAACGGAGCTGTGGGTCAGCGCTGTGCTCATGCTTCAGCCGAGGACCGAGATCGAGAGTCTCACTGTGCTAGCGTGCATCATCCGCAGGCCACAGGCCGCAGTGAAGTGCCCGCTGATTTCGGTAAAAGGCTCGTTGAGGGATGCATCGGGCTGCAGCATTGCGCCGCCTGGTCACTCCAAGCCCAAGATCGTACCATGTAGCAGAGGACCTTGTCGCCCAGCTGAATCTCCCGGTTGAAGGTGAGGAACGACATGATGGCTTGGCGTGGCTGCGGGGACTACGACGGTGCTGGTGGGCGGGTGTCTGAGTTGTCGGTGTCGGCGTCCGAATCGCTCGTATCGATGCCGGTATCGATGCCGGTATCGGTGATGATCTTGCTGATGGATGCTGGGCGGGTGCTGGGCAACAAAAAATCGCCGTCGTGAGCCCGCTTCATATGCCCGCAAGGGGGCATATGAACTGTGCGCGTTTCGCCGGCGCAGATCGCACTTTCCCGCCTCTGCCCTGCCCCGGCCTGCACGGGCTCCCCTCGCGCCGGCCAGATCAGGCCTCCTCTGCTCGCTTGACCAGGCCCAGCCGTCTTCGATCGACACCATGGCGGGATCCGCACCTCCACAAATGTACGTCCGCTGGGCTGCCTGTGCCAGGGTCTCGCCCGTCGCTGACCGCCGCACTGGACTCGAACCGGACCCAAGCTGGATGTGGCCCTCGCAGCATGACTCTCGCACGCTGCCCTCTGGCCTTTGCCCTCTGCATCCCCGCCAGCCCAGAGACTGCCCGCATACTGCCCGCATACTGATGCTGAGTTTGTATGCTTCCCGATGGCAGATCACGAAGAAAGCTGTTCGACAGCCTCGGCAGCGTCGCCGACGACTTCCGGTTTGATCAGACCACCAGCGATCTCTTCCAAAGGCACGCTACCGAGCTGCAGCAGCTCCTTGATTTCTACAACCCATGCACCGACGATACGCGCAAGCAGTTCAAGGGCAAGAAGATCGAGTTCCGGGATCCAAAAGAGGAGAGCTTTGTCCTCAAGCTCTCGGCGCTCTGGGGCCTGGACGAAATCAAGAGCTTTGAGATTCATCGTAGCTTTATGAAGTACGAGATCCGGACGACCATCTCCATCATCCAGAATCCCAACTTTGACTTTTCGTTTGGCAGTGAGGAGCTCGTGGACGCCGCCACGCATTTTTACTTTGAAGAACGGTGCTACACCTTGCGGACCATCAGTGCTCTCCTGCGCATCGCTTCGGGCGACAGCGACCTGGCCCTGGACCTGGTGCGCCAGATCATCGGCCCTCCCGACCAGGTCCATGAGTCGGCCTTCGTACAGAGCCTGCTGAAGCAGCTGGAGTGGTCTTTCACAGCACGCATCCCCTCCCACATCGAGGGCTCTGGCTCGCGCAAGTATGTCTGGGCCAAGCAGTATCTGCACGAGCAGCGCGGCCTCCTCGAGATCCTGTTCTTGGTCTTTTACGATCCAGCAATCGCCACCTGCCCCCCCAAGTTTGTCTGCCAACTCGTCAAGCTCTTTGCAAAGTGCCGCTTTGGCAAAGAACAGCCCAACGCCGTGCTCTTTGACGACGAGGCCCACGCCATCTGGGACCACGTTGCACACTTGGCGGTTTTGATCTCCATCATGATCCTTGATCTCGGCACCCTCGTTGGCTTTCGCGGCAATCTCCCAGATGCCCCTGATGGCGAAAGCCTGCTTCAAAGCCCCGAATGCATTGCCGATCTGACCCGTTTCTTGATCGAGTACGAGACCGAGTCTCTGGGCGACACTGCCGAGGTGTACGGGCCCGTTTTGATGGCGTTCTCGTCGTTCTGGGCACGTTTATCGTTTGCGCTTGAAGAATATTGTCCGGACGCCTATGGAGGATTGCTCGACTCCATCATCCTCAGCGACCGACAGCGCAGCATCCCCAGGGACAAGATCTCGGCCCTGCTGATGCAGCGGGCGTATAGCAGCCAGCTGCACGCCGTCAAGTACATCAACCACTCGCTCAAGATGTCAATCTGCTACTCATCCGAGGACCACAGCACCGATGGATACAAAAGTGTCCTCAAAGAACTCTTTGTTCTCTTTTCGGCATGCTATCCGGTCCAGAACTTGCCTGATTTCGATCTCCTGATCGAAACCGTCTCGCTCATTTACTCGGGATTCACGGATATATGCACGCAGTTCTGGGAAGTCCACGTCTTTGACGAAGATACCCGCCATCTCTATGACGCCGTCTCGTCCCGCTTTCCCGTCAATGCGCTTCCTTTCCTCCAGCTGGTGAACTCGTTGGTGGCATCGCCTGAGCACGCCTACAACGTCTTTGACGAGCTGCAGCATATGTCTAGGTTCACGGAGGTGGCCGACGCCACCCTCTTCGTCGGCCAGGACCTTAACCAGATCATCACCAAGACTGGCGACCTGGACACCAGCGAGAAAGGATACCCGCTCTATCTGACAAAATACGCTCACGATGTGGCCCCCGAGTCACAGGGCCGGCGGGTCTCGCCCGCGAACCAGACGCCGCTGGTGATCCAGTGGGCTGCAAACTACTCGGCATGGCTGTTCTTCATCGATGTGATTGTCCGCTTTCTCAACACCCCAGCCTCGCTGCACAGCGACGATCAGGTTCAGGTGATCGTCGCCATCGTCAAGCTTTTGTGCACTGTCCTCAAGCACCTCGAGCAAGCCCCGAACGACCAGACCGCGGTCATTGAGCATCTCCTCGAGTACCGCGCACCGGTCACGATGGGTGCCGAATCCCGTCAAGTGTTCAGGATGCGCGGATCGGATCTGGTCGCGATGGCCTGCAGCCTCATCCGCTACGCCGGAGCCATGTCCAAGCCAGCCAAGGAGCTGATTTCCAACTCATTCGCGCTCCTAGCCATTCTCCTGCCAATCTTTCCCGAGGATGTCTGGCGCCATCTGAACCAGCAGGCCCTGCTCCCGCGTTCGCTTGCCAAGGGCGATCGCCTGGCCACGGGCGCTGGCTCTCCTCCAAACTTTATGCAACAAGTGCTGCTGCCTTTGGAGAAGGCCGCAGGCTCGTACCCGACCACGCTCAACTTCCTGCAGCTCGTCGAGAGCTTGCTGCTTGAGGCCCAGTCGCACCCACTTGTTGTCCCCGAAGTCATCAAGATCAAGGCCGACGTGCTGCTCTCGGCTATCAAGTACATCCACGGAGAGATATTTGCGTCCTACAGCTCATGGCGATATGTCAAGGTTCTGCAAAAGTATCAGATCGGGCTCTCCATCACCCGCATCTTCCACCTGATTCTCCAAGACACCACAACTGTGGCCTCTGCATGCGAGGGCCTGGTTCAAGCGCCAGAGACAAAGCACCGTCCCGAGGTCTATCTCGGGGTCTTGCAAGAGTACCTGATCCAGACCTTCCTGGATCACGGCAGTGCCCACCACTTTGGCTCGAACTCGTACCTGGTCAACCCCCTGCTCGACATCATTGCCCTTGGGTATCAGTATCCTGAAGATCTGATGCGACGTAGCCGCATGGCTGAGTACTCGGTGGTGGAACAGTCCATCGCCGAGGCTCTTTCGGTCTGCGAAATCCTCCTGAAGGTTCGCATCAAGGCATCGGCCAAGGACGGCCGCATCGGCGGCGACAGGCGCTCGTTCCTCGAGCACGCTTTATTGGACAGGCATGTCTGGTCCGATAAGGAGACCTCGGAACTCGTGTGTGTTCTGGCATCGTACATTCACTATGACTACTCGATCACAATTCCGCTTCTTGCAACCAAGGTAGGCGGCTGTTGTTTAGGAGGCGGACCAGGCAGCAATTCGGCTCATCGTTAGCGGCACTAACGCAGTTCTGCACACATACACGCACTTCCTCGCCCTGGTCGACAGATCCTTACGCTGCTCTGTGCGATCGCATCGGACTGGGAGCCCCGTCCCCCTTCGTTCGCTAGCTACTTTGGAGACCACGCTCAGATCATCGTCAACGCCTTCCTGGAAAACCTTGAGGATGACATCGTGCCCAAAGCCGAGCTCCAGCGCTCCATCTTTGACTTTATCACTGGGGTCGTCCAGACGCAGCCCGGCCTCACAACACTGTTCCTCAAAGGCGATCATCGAGGCGCGCCTGGCTCGAACGAGCCCGTAGACAAGCTTGCCCCCAAGCCCATCCTCAAGCAAACCATCCGGGTCGACGAAGCCGTGTCGATTGCCAAGCCGTTGTTGTACCTGCTCAAGAACTGGCAATTCAACATGGAGCACAAGCCGTCACTGCTGCCCTCGCTCATGCGGCTGCTGGATGTCCTATGGCTCAACGCCCCGGATTTCGAAGCTCTGCTCAAGCTGCTCCGACCCAACCCCGAGTTCTGGCAGTCTCTCTTTGGCATCCTCGAATCTGACCTGGACACGGCTGAACGCGTGGAGATGCTCGATATTCCAAGCATCAGCGACAGCGACCGAGTCAATATCAAGTGCTGTGCTCAGGTCGTCAAATCGCATGTGCTTCGACTGCTGGCTTCGGAGATCTATTTTGGAACGACCCTGCGGAAAAAGACCGCCGGTTCGGGACCGGCCGACGCAAGGGATGTACCGCCGACAACGCTCAACAAGGAAGTGCTGAACATTCTCAAAAACTCGGTGATGAAGAACATCACCACCTTCCAGATGGGCTTGTCGCATGACCCGCAACCTTACCTGGCATCCCTCCACATTCTTGAGGAGGGCTTCAAGCGTCGACAGGCCGAGCTCGGCTTTGAACGCTGCCTGCGCTTCCAGGACTTCAAGGTGCTCACCTGGAGCGATCTCTTTGACGCAGGCCGGAACTTTGGCAGCTCGTACGTCTACGATATCGAGATTTTCAAGATGAAGTTTGATAGCCTCTCGCCCAACGACGAGCACGGTTTGATCCTGACGACATCGCTCATCAACCAGGTCTGGTCCCAGGCCGACGCTGAGACGATCCTGTTTGGCTCGTGGAAGTTCCTGATCGATGTGCTGTGCACCAGCCATGCATCCTGGGTCTGGACTGCAGCATCACTGCAGAGCACGACGGGCATACAGGAGTTTCCTCTGGAGGTTTTGATCCAGCGGGCCACGGCCGAACTCCAGAGCCAGGTTGAGCGCTCAGAGGCCATCTATGCTACCCACCGCTACAACCTGGGGCAGCTTGTGCTGTTCCTGACCCAGACCTGGGTCTCGGGTCTGGGAGAGAAGCTCTGTGCCGGAATCGGCCGCGACGACAACGGCGCACTGTATTTGAAGAAGACAATCAGCCTTGTCGCGCAGATGAGCGACTGCATCAACAACAGCGCCAACCGCATGCTCGACCAACACGGCCGGTTCCTGGAGCAAACCTTCCACACACCCGTGGCGGCTGCGCTGCTCGTCACCCTCCGACAGCTCTCGAGCAAGAAAAGCGCCATTCCGCGCGAGTCGCTCCAGATCCTGGGCGAAACCGTCACGGGTCTGTTTGCGCCGGTGTCGGACGGCGTCGCCAGTTTGCTGATGGTATATCTGCAAGAGGACCTCTCGGCCTTTTGCAACGATGCCCTCTCGGTGTTCCTATCATGCCTTGTGGAGCTGGTCCGCTACGACACCCAGAGCCGCCAGCAGAGCGGCTATTCGTCTCGGGGACTCGAGTTCTTTGTCAAACACCAAACCATTCCTCTACTGCTGCGGTCGTTCTGCAAGTCTATGGCCGTTCCGACCGACCAACGACCAGTTCACGGCGAGCTCTTCCTGAAGGCACTGCTTGGGCTCGCCGAGCCACGGTCCGTGGCCGAGCAGCTGGCGTCGGAAGGCATCATTGGAGCCCTGACGAACAACAACTTCACATCCGCCCTTACGAACGTCAACTCCCAAACACCCAGCCACGGATTTGTACCGGTGTACGTCGCTCACGGACACGAGCGGAACCCATGGCATCAGATCTGGTGCATGATGATCCAGGTCACGAATCGACTACTAAGACACCTGGCCTCGAGCCAGCAGTTTGTGCAGGGCGTGATGAGCTTTGTCCTGCTCTACTGGGGCCCGATCTCGTATGCCCTGGACTTGAGCGAGACCAGTTTCCGAAAGGACCAAACCATTGCGCTTGGATGGATGGAAGAAGTTGAGCGAATCACCGAGCTCTTCTATCTGCTCACAACTCCGTGGACAGTGATGGCCGACGAGCGCCAAGCACACGAAGCGCACGGAGCGCACGGAGCACACGGAAACAAGAAGCGGGGGACAGCATACAACCAATATGTCATCAACTGGACGGCATTCGAGGCCTATCGCGTGCTTGCCGTGCAAATCCTCAAGACTATCACCTTCCTCTTCACGCACCCGAACCATTTTGCCAAGCGAATCCAGCACGAGCGCGCTGGTCGGGACGACAGCGAGCCGCTGAGCCAGTCCATGTTCGCTGCCGGCTCTATCCAATCTGCAGTGGCCGAGGCTGCCCGCCCTGCGCGTGCGACCCGCCGAACCGAGAGCCTGGAAGAGTGTCTTTCGACGGTGCTGCAAATTGTCCGCAACCTCGTCGCACATCTGCGTGTCGTGACCGATGCCGACAGAACCATTCTCGACCCGCGCAAGCGCACCAACCCTGACACCACCCTGATCGACGACTTTGTGACGGGGCTCAACCAGAACGAGCGGCCGTACACGCTGCTCTTTGACATCATCGAGTTTATGATTGACTTGGTCAAGAACCTGATGGAAAATACCGGGCAGAGCCAGCGGCTTGACGCCGACGCTGGACGAGCAGCGCCGCTTGAGGTTGTGAAGCAGCTCGTGGCTGCTCAACCCAAGAAACATGGCCGGAATCTGGTTTTGACGATCGAGGCCTGTCTGTTTTTGATAGTGAGCCAGCTAGCCAACCTGCTGGCCGATCCCGATATCGAGATGGCTGCCAAGAAAGACGTCTACCGCGACACGGCGCACGATCTCGCCACGATCTTTGCAAGTGTCCAGCAACGGCTCAAGGATGCCAAGTCGCCGGGCGGCCGAAGCCCCTCGGCGTGGTGGCCGGAGGAATCGCAAGCACGCACCTCGGAGATTGTCAAGTTCCTGGAAGGCTTTGTCCGGCAACTCAACTCGATCGGGCAGAGCATCCCGCGCCGCACCGACAGTCATGTGTTTGACCTGCTGTGATCTGATCTGGGCAGCCGTCCGTTCTTTTGCAGCAGCAGTGGTCACCCAAGCCGGTGCGCATGGCCAGCGAGACGGTGTTTTGCAGCCCGTGGCCAGCAAGCAAATATATGATTCGTATCCATTCATGCGGCAGCAGCTTGTGGGAGGGAAGCAGTGCTGCCGAAATACCATTCGGCGCGGGGATGGAGGTTGGACACACGATCATGGCCTTGAAGGCGACCCGCACCGTCCCTCGCCCAACCTTGAGGTCGGCTGCCCCACACAATCGAGCTGTCCCCACCTACGGGACGATGCAAGGACGGCACTGCTGATCTCGGTGCGAGGCCAAGCGCCTTGCCACGCCTCCCGCCAGGCACGACCACACCAGGCGTGGCGCCGCGCCCGGAACAGGGGGCAGGGCGTCCGGGCCTGGCAGACGGGCAAACCATCGTCCACTTGCAGCCAATCACGCGGGCTGCGTCTGTCTGCCTCTGCCGCGCGATTGGCCCAAGCTTCGCCCGCCCCCTCGATGGTTTGAAAGTGGTTCCGTTGTTGTTCGCCGCCTGCGCCACCCGTGACCGCATCCACCGGCATGTGATTGGCCCAAGCATCGCCGCTGCGCCACATTTGTTCTCCGCAGTTCCAAACCGGTTCGTCAGCAGCGCTGTGATTGGCTGCATTATTCTTGCGGATCTGGGCACAAGTCGCTCGTTGCCGACGCCGCCGACGCCGCGCACCGCCGCCATGCGGCCTCGTGGCGGCCTCGTGGCGGCCTCGTGGCGGCATCCGGCGATTATATATTTTGGTCGAGCTGCTCCCCCCCCCGGATCCCGCCTGCAAGCAACCTCCCCTTTCTCTGCGAGCCCATCCAAGCTGTAAATGAACATTCCGTCACCCCGCATTCCCACTCCTATCTGCAAACAGTACAAGACATGAAGTTCCTCTTCCAGGACGAACTCGTTGCCAGGGGCCAGGACCTGCCCCCGTGCTACTCCGACGACGCTGTCGCCGAGCCATGCTGGGACCCGCTGCAGCCTCTCCCTTTCACCTTCGAAGAAGAGATCCTGGCCCTGCCCTCGTATGTTCTCTCCAACCTCAGCCAGTGGGGCGTCGAGCCCGGCGTCAGCACGGCGCTCAGCTTTGGCTTCCGCGAGGACCAGGGTATGGTTCGCGTCTTCGTCTCCAACGCCGCGCACCCGCCGGTGCCGCCCAATTCCCGGGCAGCCTCGCCACAAGACCCCGCAAAGGCAAAGCCCGCGAGCCTTCTTGGATCGGTGCTTCACAAGATGAGCTCGCTTGTCCACAGCGCCTCTGTCGAGCCCCACGAGCACGTCGCCTTCGTGTGGAAGCCCTGTCGAAACGTTAGTATCCCCCGGCTTTGCCGTGCATTTTCCGTCTGCAACATCGCTGGAGCTCGTCTCGCTGCGTCACAGAGTTTCGGTGGCTCACCGCATTTTTATCATCTTGCTGTTGCTGCATCATGTCTCTGTCATATAGCTGCTGGCACGTAGCCCCTCGGTCCTGTTCACCAGCCGACTCGGCGGGCCCGTCTCCCTGGTCATCACACCATATACCACCATACCTCTCGGCGATCACGCTCTCGATGGCCACCCCAACGCCGTCCGCCGCACCATGAGCTCGCCATTTGCCATCGACCAACCCCAGATCCAGCTGGTCAAGCCCAAGATGTTCTCTCGACAGCACGACTTTACCATCGACTCGGCCACATACTCCTGGAAAGTTTGCTGGAGGGGTGCGAAGCTCGTGCAGACCGTGGCGAATGCAAGTCATGTCGTGGCCATCGTGCACGCCGCTCCTTCGTTTTCAACGGGCCAGAAGATACTGAAGGGTTCCATCGATATCTTCGCGGCCGGCTTCCACATGGTCGATATCATCGTTGCGTCCGCCATGTGCACCGTGGTTGAAGACTCCCTCTTTTGTGTCGCCGCTCCCGAAACCTGCTACTGAATCCATCACTCATCCCCATGAACGCTCCTGGCGACTTGATGGACAAACCAGCGGGGCGACACAAGCCGATTTCCAAGAGTGGCCGAGAAATCCGCCGACCTCATGCTGGGCGTGGCGAATCGCCCCCTTCCCTTCCTTCTTTGAATCGCTGCGGTGCATGCGCTAGCATCCTTCCACTGCAACTCATACCCACTCATCATGTTCACCCTCGCTCGCGAGCTACGTTGGATGAGGTGCATCAATAAATTGCGTGTTCAAAAAAGCGAGCCAGTCATATCCTTCCAAACGCAGAGTGTGTGAGAGCATGGAGGGCGATCGAGAGCGCACTGGGCGGCTCTGTCATAATTCAAAGATGCTGCAGCGATGCGGCGGCTCACTCAGAGCGCACATTGCACACACTCTCATCAGTTATCCTGCAAGTCATCGACAGGCCCGTCTCCAAGGCTATCGGCATCGTCGTTTGCTGGTTGCGGGTAGCTAGTTACGGCCTGCACATCGCCGGCGTCGCGGGGCGAGGTGGGAAGCGGGTCTTGTGTCAGAGCGTCATATCCGTAGGTCCGCCTCTCGAGACCCACAGCTTCGTCGTCCCCTTCCATAGCGCGATTCGCATGCGAGTATTCGCTGCTGGCCATTTCAAACTGCGGGGCCGGGTAGCGCTGGGCCTCGCGCTGGGCCTCGCGCTGGGCCTCGCGCTGGCCATGTCTCTTGTCGTGCCGCTTGCCCGGACGATCGTGCTGGCGTCCCTTTCCGTGGCCAGGCTTGCTCTTGCCCCGATGGGCCTTGCCCTTTTGTCGGGGACGGCTTGATTTGTAATGGACTTTAGGCCCCTTGTGGTGCTTTGAGGGACTTGATTTACCACGAACGCTCGGGCGATTGGAAGTCGTGTCGTTATTCGCCGGGAAATTCAAGTAGTTCATGCGATACTCTTGGATCCGCCGATACTCGATGGCCTGGCGGAGCTTCGTGCGTCCCTCCAGGTACGGCTGGACATCGGCGACTTGTCCGACGGTGCGATTGTTCAACCAGATCGGCTCGCTATCGCCATGGTGGATCAGGCCCCTGTGTGGCTCTGACGGGATCTTGATCATCTTGTAATCCGCATTTGTGTCTGGATTCCGCCTGCCGAAACCTCGGATCGAGAGCGGGTGTGCTTCGGTGTTGAAGACGTAGTTCTCCAGCGGAACAACGTCGTCGTCGCAGAAGAGCAGATAGAGGTACTTGAGGGTTTCCGCCAGGAAGAAGGACTGCTGCAAGTCATCGATCGCATCGACTTGGTATGGACTGTTGATGCCCTCCTCGAATTGGGTGACGATCTCGCGCACGGACTTCAGGCTGAAGTAGCCTGCTTCGGCTTTGGTGTACTTGTCGAGGTTCTTTGGATCCACAAATGCCCCCCCCCAGCAGGCGCAGTTGGTATCGTGTGCGACCGACAGCCAGAGCAGCCAGAAAGGTATGTGAAATGTGAATAAGACAATGTCCCATCGAGAGCCGATGCGTCGCAAATAGCCCTACAAGAGATTCTCCCTCTTGTCTCCCTTTGTCCAGCGCCGCGGAGCACAGTATCCCATACGCAATACAGCATATGGCGCACAGCGCATCGACTTGATGAGCGAATGCTACCCCTTTGCAGTGCGCCCCTCCCCACGAACTCGACTGAGCCGACACTTTCAGCTGCAGTGGTACTGGCTCTTCACGCACGGATGCGGACGTATCAATCAAGCTCAGCAGCAACTCCATACCTGCACGATTTCCCACCCCCACTCGCGATACATCGGGTCATGGGAAAAGCGCCACATGTAAAAGAGCGACTCGACGAGCTCCGGCCGTTGATAGTATCCGTTCGACATGCTCATCTCGAGATCCTCGGCGTTGACGCTATCGGGGGCGATACCCGACGGCGACATCTCGTAGGCTCGGTAGCAGGTTTCGGTGATGCGCTGGCCGGCATCGAGCTGGGTGGTCCAGTTTCCCTTGCGATGAGCGAGCGCCCCAATCGCAAACATGCCACCAGCAAAACACGACTATGGCACAAGGGTTGATGAATAAGAAGCTGTTCGGAGACCGTGTCGAAAGAAATGGGTATGCGATCGCAGACGGGGGGGGATAGCGGAGCCTACCAGGTGCTCAAACATGTTTGATGTTGACCAGCGGGACGAATCGTTGCCCCAGCGTCTCTGATTCGAGATGTAGACTTGCTCGCTATCCGGTGTGACTCGAAGGAGCTGGTCCGTAAGATCTCTCGCCATGGCCAGATAGCGATCCCGATAAACTTCGTGGCCGGTCGACAGCCACAGCTTCAGTGCATATTCATAGAAAGAATCGCTCATGCCGGCGATTCCGTAGTATTCTGAGAAAGCACAAGGCAAAACGATTGAACGCATGTGAGGAACATGGGCTTGTTTCGTCCGAGGTGAATCTGCCCCTGGGCAGCAGCAGGCCGGCATCGCCGACCCGCCGCCAAAAGGCTGGGGCCAGCGATCGAGTGCGCTGGCCACGCATCAGACCTACCGTCTTGATATCGCAGCGTATCAGTGTAGTAATTCATAGGAAATAGCCCTTCGACTGGCCGAGTCGCGTTCTGCAGTTGTTCCCATGCAAACAGTGCTGCGTCTGCATAGCGACGGTCGCCGGTAAGATCTGAGAGCTGAAGGAACTCGAGTTGGAGCGTGCCCGCCTCGGCCAGGTTCGAGATGGAAAATTCGTCGTGGGAGTCTGTCGCTTCGCCGCTGCAAGGCGTTGGCAGGCCGGTCAGTCGAACAAGACGAAGAGGAGCGAGCGATGGCAGAACGCAAGAAGCGCATCCCTGTCAGTGCCATGATCAGCACGTCCCAGCGCGATCTTTTGCATCCCACCCGAGCCTGATGGATATCGTTGTGGTGAAGCCGTCCGGCCCTTGCCCGCGAGACGGCGTGAGCGGCTCCGTCAATATGATGTCTGCAGCCGAGACGGCATTGCGACCACGCACCTGATTAGATGGACCTTGTTGAACGGAAGTCCCGACGGGGTGTCGAAGGCCGGCAGCAGCCGATCGGCGAGATCCATCGCCTTCTTCAGGAAGGCAGGGTCGCCCTCGAGCTCGTAGATGCTGAGCAAACCGCCCAGAATGCGGATGGTGGTTTCGAAGGTGCTCACAAAGACAGGGATGTCGAAGCGGAGACCCTGAAGCGACAGCGCCTTGGCCTGCTGGAACTCGTCCGCCAGCCCCATGATGTAGAGAGTGTCCATGGCATCGACCGGGGTGGAGAAGAGCGAGTAGTTGCCATACCAATTCTTGAATGACTTTGTTTGGGGTCGCAGCTCGTCTTTGCCGGCGGCATAGAGCATGTATCCGTCCCAGGCATGCTTGGTCATCTAGGAGAAGTGAAAGAGCCAGGGTTCAGTGCCGGCGTTGTCAGCACCGCGAATGTAGGGGAAAGACATTCGGAGATTGAACGGACAAGCCCGGAGGCGAGCGCAGGATGAGAGCGACGCTTTTGAGCGTGGTGTCGGCGTCGGCGTCGATACCGATGGAGAGGAAGTGCCCCCGTCCTGAATCGACATGGCGGCAACGAGCACAGCACGAATGCGAGGCAGCTCGCCCCGCCCCTCTTTGCATCGGCCGATGAAGACCAGATCTGCGGCGCGATCAACTCACATTGCGGACAAACGCCATTTTTTCAGTGTCGTTGAAGCCTCGATCGGGACCGAGATACGGCGGCCACATATACCGCTGCGATGATTTGGTGCCGGCGGATGCTTGCCTCTGGCGAGAGCCTGACGGGCTGTTGGATGACGGAAACAGCACAGTCGAATAGGCATCGCCGAGAACCTCGGCCAGACCGGCGCGCGATGCCTCCAGAGAAAAGACTGGGCCCGAATGCGATCGCATCCGGAGGAAAGCGGCGATGGCAGCGAGGACCAGGACGGCGAGCAGCAGCCGCCGTCGTCCGGCAGAAAACAGACGGGAGGCCCGGCCAGTAACAGGCAGCATGGCGTCGAGACGAGGCGGGCAGCGAGGGCTGTTGGGTTCCCAGCGCGAGCGATAAAGGACCAGGGCGGACGAGCGCTGCAACGATGCGTCGAGCAAGCAGAGCGGAGCCCCCGTCTGAAGGAAGAGATGCAGACCAGGGCGTTTCTGTCGGCAGGACAGGAGATCAGCAACGACGACGACGACGACGACGACGACGAAGCCAGGGCAATGCCGACAGAGGGAAACCTGGCGAATGGAACGCTGGTGCGCACACATGACGGTGGTGGGCCGACCCCATTGGCCACGCGGGGTACACCACTGTACGAGCGAGCGCGGGACAGGCGCGGGACAAGGGCGGGACGAAAGGCAAAAAGACGGGAAAGGCGTCGGTTGGACCAGGCGAGTCAGGCGACAGATCTGCTCGACGGCGATGCGAAACGCAACTCGTGGCGCTGTCGATATCTGGCCTGGATGCACATCCGATCCGATCCATCCGATCCATCCGATCCATCCGATCCGCAACAGGACACCGGCCTGGCTCACCCCCGGACACGCTATCTGGCCAGGGCGGACGATGGATGGGTGTGTATTCAGGACCCAGAAAGAAGCGACAGGCCTGGCTCGAGACTGGCATCCCGTTTGCTTCGGTCTTGTCAATGTGCATGTGCATGTGCATGGTCGAATGCAGGCAAGTGGATGGAATGCAATAGCTCGGCATCGGGAAGCCGCCTGGTTCACAGCACAATGCCATCCAGATCGGAAAACGACCTGGCCGCCAGGACCGGGTTCGAGGACTTTCTGTTCGGCCGCGGCGGGGTGCGGGCGCCCTTGGGAGGTGGGTTCTTGAAGAGCCGGTCTTCGTTCCCGACAACGCCGACCCGGACGTTCAAGTTGTGCAGCGCCGGAATGACCCCGTTGCCGAGGAGAACCTGCTCGAGGCTGTTGACGAGCACCTGCACGCCGGAAGTGAAGCCGACGCCGTCAAAGGCGCAATGGCCTCCGACCGAAGTGGCATCGGCCGTCAGCTGCTGGTTGATGACGCTGTCGCTGATGCCGACCTGTTGGGGGAGGGAGGAGGGAAGGCAGGTCAGGAACTAGAGACACAATGCCGGCCCATCGAGAGATTGATGCGTTTGTCCGTTGCGGCGTGTATACATACCGTCCGAGCCTGCTTCTCATAGGCCTTGATGCAGTCCGGGATCGAGTTCTGCAGCTCAACGAGGTCGTTCTGGGTCGACTCCCAATGAACCCGGAAGGTCTGCAGGAACTGGCCCTGATCCGAGAAGGCCACCTGCGGGGGCATGCCGCCGCACAGCAGCAGCGCCCCGGCGTTCTTGAAGTTGGCTCCAAACTGAGGCAGGAAGAACCCCGAGAGCAGAAGCGAGCCGCCAGAGACGCCGGTGAAGAAGACCCGCGACGAATCAAAGTTGATGTGCTTGGGCAGCTCCTGCTGGATGAACTGGTTGATGATGGCCGAGTGCAGCGGGCCGTCGGGCCGGGTAAGACCGCCGCCGCCGCCCCATCGTCGGTTGTTGTTCTGTTGCGGCGACTGGTTGTCAGCGCTTTGATCGGATTCATCGCCGACCCAGACACCCGCCGGGCGACAGCTGAACAGGCGGCACCGACCGATGCACTCTGCCTCCTCTGCCTCCTCTGGCTCCTCTGGTTCCTGCTTACCGGTGCGAGCAGAGCAACTCCGATAAGGTCACTCTGGCTTTGCTTGTTTGGGAACGTGAAGAAACCCGAGCCGCCGTCGCCGTGGAGGAACACATGCACGCCGAGCCGACCACTGCCCGAAGACGGCGAGCCCTGGACAACGGCCTGGCTCGGAGCGTTGATGCGGAATCGCACCGAGACGTTGCCCAACGTCACGGAGTCGTCGATGAAACGAAAGGCTGACGAGTTTGTGCCCTTGACGCTGTTCTTGCCCGAAGAAGAGGCCGCTGCTGGCTTGGGAAGAGCCGAGGCCATCGAGCACAGACCAAGAAGAGCCATCAGGCCCAGCAGTGCAAACAGTCCGGTCCGCATGGCTTGTTGGTTGCGGGATCAGGCAGGTGCTGGATAGGATGCGAAGCGATGGAAGATGCAATGCGATGCGATGCAATGCGATGCGATGGGCGATACAACTGCCTCGGATGAACGGGGGGATGCTGAGCAGGGCAGGGCTCGCCAGAGCAGCACTGCCGGCCCGGCTGCGAGAATATATGCAAACCGCATCCCAGAGCAGGCCCAGGCACCTCCAGGCGCCTCCCCAGAGCCGGGGCAATGGCGCCGGCCCGTGGCCAAATCCATGACGACGCGAACGCCAACGGCGGCGCCAGGCGCGCAGGGCGTTCGGCTGAGGAAATCGCGGTGGGTGGGCGCGATGGCCAGGGCTCGACAGAAGCAGGACACTCCTCTCCCGCTGGTCCTGACCATGGCATGGCCGTGATGGACGGGCGTGTTGGTATGGAGTCAATGCTGGGGAGGGCGGCCCGTCGCCTCGATTGGGCCGTCCTATACACACTCCGAGACCATCACCCCCATCTCCTATGCATTCAGCTTGACGGGCGCCTCTGTTTGCTCTGTGGATCGCAAAGCAGCGCAAGTGTAAGTAGCAGGCGGCATCGGCGGCAGACATCAAACTAGCTCCCCTGTTGGAGCCATGGACTTACTCGGCTCGGTCTGCAGGCCCTGTGAATAAACGCACAAACATCAGTACGTCGCTGTCGTCCAGAGATTCGCCGCGGACTCTCGCCCAGTCTTCGGTATCTCGCTCCCATCCCTCATAGCCCACGCGCAACCAAGGGCCTTAGCTGTCAATCAGGGCATGGCCCAAACCTACTCCAGGCATAGTCGGCTCCTCCGTCGACACCGAGGGAAGCACAGGCTCTTCCTGCAAGTACGACGGCACTTCCTCCTCTTCAAAGTTCAGCTCGTCTCCCAAAGCATCCAGCTCTAGAGGCGGTCGTCAGATCCACAGAAACACGTTAGGCGGTACGGCCGTCAGATCGTAGCTCAGGGATCTTTATGCTACAGTCCAGCGTACCTGCTTCCAGGTCATCCTCGTCGATGCCATCTGGCAGGTTGTACGAGCGGCCGATGGTCTCTTGGATATCGTTGGCCTGGTCCATCAGGTCTTCGAGTTCGTCTTGCATTCTCTACACCATCGCGCACAATGACAATACGGCAGAATTGTGCAAGGTAACATGCATGTAAGTTGTGGCAGCATCGGCATCCAGCTGTCGGTGCACTGTGAGCTCGGCATCCAGCTGTCGGTGCACTGTGAGCTCGGCATCCAGCTGTCGGTGCACTGTGAGCTCGGCAGTTGCCCCACCTCGATTTGATTGATGTTGATTTTTTTGTACTGCTGTTTCAACTCCTTGTTTGCGCTCTTCATGCCATCGACAATGACCATGGTGTTTTTGAGGTTTTCGGTGGTCATACTCGCTGGAAACAGTTGGTCCCGCCCAGCCAGCCAGCCACTCGATAAGTCAGCCAAGCGAAACCGGAATACCGCTGCCGGATCGGCCCAATGCTGCGGCACAAGCAGGACAACTGGCAATGCACAAGCCAGTCTCGCGACCAGAGGTATGGAATTGACTGGATGGTGGCTAGGCCAGACGACACCAACGGGCTGCTGGGTATGCATACCTTGCTCCATGTTGAAGGATTGCTGCATCATCTGATCCCGCTGTCCTTCGTACCTGGTGGAAATCAGGCTCGGTGTTCAGACGAAAGCATCGGGCAATCCGAGACAGGCGATATGGGGCCGCATCATCTCGCTGGCGCTACCGTGAGCGTCGCTGGTATTGCTCCATATCCGCCGGTCCCCTCCCAGGCGGCATATCTTCACGACCATCGTCTGGTATCCACTGACTCACATTTTCTTTTGCTTGAGGACACGGAGAGCCTTCTCCTTGACGACATTCTATGACAGACCCATACGGAAGGAAGGGGGGGTCGATAAAGGGTCAGCCACTCTGTCTGCACCAAGGCCGATGCCAAAATACTGCGACGGCCGTCATTGATTCCGCGCGGCCCATCGATGGTACATCATGCAATCCAGGGCCATCGGTGACCAAAAAGAGAGAAAGGACAATGCAAGATGGAGGGAGGGGGTGCAATCGGCTGCGGTGGGTGAGATAAGGCCGACTCACCTTGGCAGGCCCGTCCCGCATCTTGTTCATCTGCTCTCGGTATTTCATGAGCTCGGCGTCCAGCTTCTTGATCTTGCTATCGATCGAATCTACCCGGCCGTCAGTCTGGTGAAACGAGCAGCAGAAGGATGAGCGAGAAGGCGGAGATGAGTCGCTCGGTCTTGGCCAACTCGAGTGTCCTGGCGATCGCCAGCCCTCCGTCGCAATGGGAAAACCAAGCCGAGTTTACGAGTGCAGCATGGGTGAAGGTGCGCCAGTAACACCGCAGACCGAGTAATGTCGAGCAACGAAGAGATAGCCGGGCAGGCAGATAGACAGACAGACAGATAGATGCATCGACAGGCAAGTGGCAAGTGGCAAGTGGCGAGTGGCAAAGTCCCTTCGCAGAGGATATGCAATCGACTGCTCAAGACGGGGCACGCACAGCTTTGATTGCATCGGCCAGGGTGGCCTTGGGAGGCTTGGGCTTGGATGTGCCAAAGATGCGGTTCATTCTGGGGGCGCACAATCGGGGAGCGAATACAGCCGCTCTGGGGGTGGGGTGGGGTCGATTTCGATGTTGTTGACGGACGAGGAGCAGCTCGGGGTGCCGGCGGGCAAGCGATGCGAGGGAAAAGTCCGATGGCAGGCGGGCCCACGTGAGGGCCAGGGCCGGCAAAGCCAGGACGGAAACGCCAAGGAAACGAGCCCAAGACCAAGGTCCGTGCCCCACACAGGCTTGCATCGAGCCGGCCGAGACCCCTGCCACGTTTCTCTTCTGCGAGCGAGCCCGTTGCACTTCGGACAGAGGCGGATGATCTTTGTTGCGTTTTTATGACCAGTAAAGGAGGGTAAATGGGGGGGAAGGGTGAGGGGCAGCAACACCGAAACGCCCAACAGGAGCGGGAATCAATCGCAAGGGCAAAGCAGAATGCAGGATGGCACGGAGGGAATACAAAGATGTGCAGACGGAAGGAAGAGGGCGACAGAGACCGGGGACAATTTTCCAACAAACGCAGCCGTTCACAGCGCGGGGTCCGGATCGATTCACTGGGCAGCCTCGATCGTCTTGGTGAGCGTGTTCTGGAGCTGGGCGATGAGATTATCCTTATCCTTGAGCTCCTCCTCCAGTCTCTTGATTTTCTCCTCAGCAACCTGTTGCAGAGGAACGGATGAGTGAGTACCGCACGCTGTCCGGCGCCAGGAATCGTTGGAGCGAGGGAACAGAGTGCCCTCGCAGCCACACACCACGGACCAACCATGTGTATCAGCACCAGTAATGCCACGCACGGTATAATGCGACAGCCAGCTCGAGACCGTACCTGCAATTTGGATCGCTCCTCATCCAGCTCCTGGGCCAGCTCGTCGATTTCCTCCGTCTTCATCTGCGCATTGACAAACCGCACGGTTCTGTAATCAGCCACAAGGGAGGGCAACCTACGCAACTACCTGGACAGTGGCAGAGCCGATAGGAGCAGGCAGTCAGATGTCCAGGCGCGCTTACCTTCAGGAGGCTCTGAGTCGCCAGGCTCAACGGCTCAGCAGCAGCCGGCTCTGCAACAGTGAGCGACTCGAGCTTGGCAATCATGGCAGCTGTGGGCGAGTCAGCCGAGGCTTGAGGCAGCGGAATGCTCTCTTCGATTGGGACGACTGGAGACTCCTTGGCCGACACAGGGATAGGACTCTCGGGCTCGTCCTTGGTGAAAGCAGCCATCCGGTCTGCGATTGTGCCGCTCTTGGGCGGCGTGACCGACACAAACTTGCGGTTGGCCTCGGAGGGAGGGGAGTTTTCGACATCGGAGGCCTGCGATGATGATGGAGGCAGCGATCGAATGAGAATGGTGGTGAGCAAAGTGCAGCCCGGCCCCTTATGTCGAGCAGGGTCGGCCCGGGTGCTGTTCTCACGTTTTGAGAGGCCTTGGCTTCGGCAGCCTTGAATCCTTCGCTGTAGTTGCCCTTGAGAGCAAAGAGTTGCTGCTCAGAGAGAATGTGCAACAAGAGTCAGATTGTCGCCGGAAGCATCAGGATAACTGCCGCCGATACCAAGTGTGCGGATTCCTTCATCAGCGCTACGCCGTGAGTCCAGCACGTCTCGCCAAGGCTGTGCATGGTTCAACACAAAGCACATTGCCGAGCAATAGATGCCACAGCGGCTGCGGCCATCGTTGCATGCAGCTTCAAGACAGCACCACACCCAGATTCACCTTGAAATGGGGCTTGCAGTAGAAGACGCCTGAGACCATCCAGTCGGTACAGTCAGTGCAATCGGTGCAATCGGCACCAGCCAAGGCGTTGAAAAATCCAAGTCAGATCACGGCAATGGCTGGTCCTCCCTGGTCGCGGCCGGACCGCCTTTGGACGAGTGGCATGACTCTGAAATAGATGCATCTCGGAGACTGCTTGGATCGAAACCATTGCTGCACGCCTCTGTGGATACATTACCATTGACAGCAGCGTAGTTTCCGAGCTGGAGATGCCCCGATCAACGTTCATCCGAGTGATTTTGGTCATGTGGAGAAAAGGAATCATGAGTCGATATGGATATGCGTATAGATATGCGTATAGATATGCGTATAGATATGCGTATAGATATGTGTATGGACATGTGTATGGATATGTGTGCGGATATGCGATTCATCGGCGGACGACCATGTGTATGGATTTGCATCAAGCGGGCGAGGTATAGGCGATGGCCTTTGCCTCCTTCTCCCACGCGGCAAGACCAGCCAAGTCCATTCGGTGAAGAGGATGCCCAGCAGACAGGGTCCTCGACTGTGGTATGACTGGCAGACTCAGAGAAGGGCTCTCATCGCCCCATTGGTAAAGCTGCACTCAATTCTATCGCAGCCGAACCAGACAGTGGCTACGCACGTACCGACAGAACTTTGTTGCAGTGGCCGCAGCGGAGACACGTTTTGTGGAAGAGCTGGAGTAGACACAGGAGACGGATCCAAGAAGTGAGTGGGGCTTTCGAATGGCGAGAGCCATGTGCTCGCCTGGGGGGAATATCTTCTTCCGAGCGCGCGGTCCATTTGCTCTGATGTTCGTGGCGGTGGGGAGGGGAGCGTCGAGACTGGAGGCCAATGTGGGCAAGTTGCAGTAGCCGCTGTCGATGTGCTTTTACCTTATCGTCGGCCGCAATCTTGTCCATAGGATAGACGGTCTTTTGGCAGATGCTGCAGATATCCTTCTTGGTCTGGGGGGGGGATCGCGGATATGAGGACGAAGGATGAGGTTTGCGTGACGGTTGGACTCTCTGGCATCCCCTCGGAAAAAGCACAGACAAGTGCTCTCGTGCAGAACGAGTGAGTAACGTGCTCGAGCTTGGAAATAGAGCTCGCTGCTGCTGGGAGGGGTGGGCATCTCATCACGCGCTGGTACTGAAATCCACAGCCGGATCCAAGCTGCCCCATGGTGTGTGGGCAGAGCCGATGGAGGGCACCGTCGATTTCCCGGAATAACGGATGATATGCGACAATCCTCAACCACACACGTCGTTGCAAGGGTCGGAAGCCCTCCCCGCACAGAGGGGGGGCGAATCTTGATGACCCCGTCATCATCTCCTCTGCTCCGCCATCGATTCGCTCGATGCAAGGTCGAAGCAGACGGTGTTCAAGATATCGGATGCACCAACCTCCATTGTTGCTCGATTCAAAGACGCTTGATTTCTGGGTCGGAAGAGCGGGGTCGATGGATAGGCTGGGGCCTTGCTGGGGAGCGAGCAGATGGCAGGGAGGGGAGCCGGAAGTGAACGATCGAAGCAAACAGCCGCGCGAGGAGAGAAGCGGCGAGGCGGGCAGGCGAGCGACGCCAAAAACGGCAGGCGACGGCGGTCACGTGTGCATTGCCACCGGGTGGCGGTGGTGGCGGTGGTGGCGAGGCGTGGGGGCGGGTCGAGCAAGACCAGATTGTACATTGCATTCAGGGGGGAAATGGGACACCTGCCCACAACCCATTTGTCAGCGTAGTATGTGATGTGCCTGCGTCAAGCAAAGCCATAAGAAATAGAGCAGATCGCTTTGGCAGCCTCCGAGTGAAGACCACCGGTCGCAGTGCAGCGATGCGGAAATCGATGGTGCTGTGTTTGGCCATGATTGCGATGAGTGGGTGGTGTATTCAGGTCACAGAAAAAAGCCCTGTCATGGCTCAAAACGGGATGTCCCATTTCATATTGGAAACGCTGTATGAAAACGGCGACCTCATTTTGAAGAGACACCTTCACACACACGGACGGCTTGCTGCTTGCATGGCTTGCATGGCTTGCATGGCTTGCATGGCTTGCGTGGATACGATCCGACTACGCCGTGTCTGTCCGAATGAGACGATGTGCCCCATCGCTTATTCAGCACCCCGCATCCTCCGTCCAGAAGAAACGTTGTCGTTTAGTGAGAGCTGTAGAGGAGGTGTATTCCGGATCTCTCGAAAGCAGACAGAACAAAGAGTGGATTGGAGGAGGGATCAGACAGAGTGCTATAGTTATAGAGCCCGCAGGCTTCGGCTTCACACGGGGAAGGGTGAATGAGCAAAACTACAGGGATATCAAATAAATAGACACACGCAATGAAATCAGGAGCGTACGGCAAGCCATCAACATTCTCTCCTTGGCGACAGGAACGTCCTTGCCGTCCATGAGAGAGATCAAGCAGGCTTGTTCGCTGATGATCACGGTTCGATCGAGTCAACCCATCTCTGGATGGCTTGCTCTTTTTCGTACTCCATGTACTTGATCTGATAGCCGAGTGCTTCGTAGTGCTTTGCGTCAAAGGGCTGGTCGGAATACTCAAACTCGATGGGCTGTGCGGTGGCGAGAGCAGAGGACGAGTGCTCCGCATGGATAAGCGAGGCAACAGGTGTCGATTGGTTGCTCGAGACAGGGAGCGAGTTGGTGCGCGAGGGGATGAGCACATTTGAGGCGAACGGCAGGGGCTTGCGGAGCTTGTTGTGGGGATGAATATAGTTCGAGGGAGAGGCGTGACTGAGCATATGACTCTGACTGGGGCCGGGGCTGGAGTTATGGCCTTGAGTCGGGGCGTGGCTCTTGGAGGGGCGGAGAGGGGTCAGGAGTGGCCCCAGGCTGACATTGACTTGGGCGACAGGAGACGATGCAATCGGGGGCTGGACTTGCGGCGATGCAGTTGAAGACAGGGTGATGGCGGGCGATGAGGTTGTGCCACCAGCGGTACACTCGAGGGAGGCCTTGGCGGCGAGGATGTGCGGGGCATCAGGATGCAACTTGACTGGAGATGTGAGCGAGTTGTGCGTTGGCGATCCAGGGGTGAGGAGGTGGTTGAAGAACTCTTCTGCCGATGGGGACAGGTCCGAGTGGGAGTCAGGGTCGCGATAGTGGATCTCATCGATGACCGGGTAGGCTGCTGCTCCGCGAGGCTGAGACTGAGGCTGAGGGTGAGGCTGAGGCTGAGGGTGAGAGCTCTGGCTCTTTGGGGCGTCATGGCTCGAGGTGGACACGGACGGTGGCGTGGGTTTGGGGTCGCTCGATTGTGCTGGGTGGTCAGCCTCGATCGTGCCCAGGATCACAACAGGAGATCCGCCAAGGACGTTGACTTTTGTCGTCGGACTCGGAGGCTCAGGAGCGGCTACGGGGCCAGCCGAGGAAGCATGGTGATCCGACACGGACTCGGCGTAGTCTCCAGAGTTGATGACGGTCAGCGAGAAAGGGCGAGCAGCGGCGTTCGTCCGAGTTGACTCGATCTTGCGGACCAGCTCTTGGGCGGCAAGTGAGGTCGACTCGCCGCGTACAAGTGGAAACGGAGAGCGGACAGGAGACGTCAACGAGGCCGGGCCGCGGGGGCCAGCGGAAGTGATGACCAGACTCGGTGGAATCGGAACTGTCCGCTTCGGAGGGGCAGACGGGATCGAGTGGAGCTGGGTGGGCTCGGACGGGGCAGGTGTAGACAGGTGTTGTGTGGAGGAGGGGAGGGGCGGTTGGGGCTGGGCGGCTTCTGGATGCGGTTGCTGTTGAGACACAGAGGGCGAAACTAGGGGCGATGACCAGTCTCGAGACAAAGTATGAGGCTCTGACGGGGCGTCTCCAAGTTTTGGCGATGCATCTGACGACGACGACCACACACCAAACTCGTTCTCGGCAGGCGCAGGGGCTTGGTTGGCGAGCCTCAGCGGAGCCGGAGGCGGAAAGTCTGGTGGCTTGGGGATCGTGAAGGACTCTGCGGCCGGGCTCCAGGGCTGTGTAAGACCTTGGGCTTGCGAGTCACGACGCAGGGGAATCTGTATTCGGGCTGATGGAGATGCTGGCCGGAAAGCATGGGGTCCGGGGTGCAGCGAGGCCAAAGTTGCAGAATGGCCAGAACTTGGATTCGGGATCGGGATCGGGGACGCATACATGGCCGAGTTGGTGCGAGGCGGAAAGCGCAGGGCTGCAGCTGCAGCAGAGATTGCGGGTGCAGGTGTAGGCAGAGGTGCCAGAGACTGGGGCGGGAAACCGCGAGGCGACAGCGGGGTGGATACTTCGACGGGTGACAGCGGTGAGTCGGCAGGAGCGAGGGAAATGGAAGGTGAGGTGAGAACCAGCCCCGGGCGGCTCTGGGTGCGCGGGGGCACTGCCGTTTGCAGATTGGCGAGGCTGTTGGCTCGTGGCGGAGGAGCAGACGTATCGATGACTCGTGACAGGCTGGGAAGAGCGGGGTGGTGTGAGATGTGATCGAGAGTGTGAACGGACGGAGTGGCTGGAAGTTGCTGCTGAGCACGAACTTCAGTCACGTCGTTGCCATCGAGGAGCTCGGGCAAAAGCATATCCAGCTGATGAAAGAGCTCAGCGATGGTCTTTTCCTTCTTGTCGGATGCATGGGGAATGGCGGAGTTGGCGGACTTTGGAGTTGGAGGTAACATCGTCGACGGTACAGAAGGCGTGGTCGAGATCCGAGCAGATTCGGGTCGGGCAAGCTCCGAGTCCTTCCGGGGAGGGAACTGAGGCGGCGGAGCGTATGGCGGCAGAGTGTCGTGGTGGGCTGTGTCTGGGTGGCTGGGTGTCTTGGCAATCGGCTTTGATGGCAGAGCCTTTTTGGAGTCGACACCACCGGCCGGCACAGGGATGGTGGCCGCCATGCTGGCGGTGCGAGGTGCGAATCCGGTTGATGTGGGGGTGATATGTCCAACGTTGTTGTCTGAGAGGGCAGTCTGGATGACCTTGGCCAGCAGGAGCTGGACCTGGTCGGATGGTGGGTGCTCGTTTAACGAATCCATCTCGGAAGGATGATTCTTGCGAGCACTCTGGAAGGCCGTTTGGCAGAGTGAGTTGGTGGTATTTGGTTCGGTTTGGTGATGAGACCAGGACGGCAACAGGGGAAAAGAGAGAACATGATACTGCGATGTGAGCAAGGTCGACTCATGATGAATCCGATCCAGCGACCCCCATCTCCGAGACCAGAAGCACGATGTGCATTGTCCTAACAAGCACGGAACGGCGATGGCATGTGAAGCCGGTCATTGGATCGAAGGGGGCTGGCTGGTTTCAAGGGGCCAGAGCACAGCCACAGGCCAGAGTCAAGCGGGCATGTCGACAATCGTTACCTGGACGGTGTGCGCGGGCTGCCAATGTCGTTACCAGCGACGTTGCGGAGAAGGCCACGTCGATCCGGAGCGGTATCGAGCGATGAGTCAGGGATGCAGCGGCATGGACCAGTGAACCGCAACCAACCAAGGCCAGGATTGAAGGACAAGGACATGACACACAGGATCGATAGAATTGATGAGACGGAAGCACCACAGATTTCCAAACGAGCCGGTCCGAGGAGTCGAGGAGCAGCAGCAGCAAGCACGGCGAAACCAGCGTCGCAGCAAGCCATGGAGTGCAGCCCAGACATGGAGCGAGGGATGCATCCGGCAGATTGACTCACCGACTCGGGCAGGCCAACAGGTCAGCAATTACGAACGATCGGGCAAGGACGGAGCAGCAGGGGCAGGCTTGAAATACGGACTGGGCAGGCGGGAGGCAAGCGCAGGAGGAGGCGCTCGACGGATGCAGGAAGGCTCGTTGCGGCCGGGTGGGTGTTGCGTACGGGTGGATTGATGAGGCGAGGATGAGTTGGGAAGGATGCGAGCGATCGACCAAGATGAGATGGAGCAGGACAGTGCGAGAGGCAAGAAGCGAGAGCGGGCCGGCAACGAGAATGCCGGCGAGCGAGAGGGGCAAGGAGCAGCGACTGTGGTGCAGCAAGCTGGGCGAGAAGCAGGCGAGAGGCGGACGAGAGGCGGACGAGAGTGCTGAGCGTGTGCTCAGCAGGCAATGAGGGGGTTTTGCGGCGGGCTGGCGAGAGCCGTCTCGGCAGCGATTGGTTGCAGGCGGTGCGACACTGAGCGAGCTTGAAGCGGGCTTGAAGCGGGCGCGCCCTTCCTGGTGGTCGGGAAGGTCGTACGGCATCATGAGCCGCTTATAGCGCCTTGTCCGGAGCCAGTGCAGCGCCCGCGCTGAGGGAGAGTGCGTGGTTTCTGTCGAGCAAGAGAGCAGGTTGTGGGCGCTGGTTCTGCTGGCGGCACTGCTGGGCGTGTGCCGTGGGATAGCCGGGTGCAGGTGAGTTTGCCGGGTGCACTGCTTGTTCTGCAGGAGCAAGAGACAAGCGCGATCAGTGCCGCCAGCACACAGAACACAGCGCTTGCGATTTGCGCTGAGGCAGCACAGTCGAGGCGCCGCGCCACAGCAAGCCACCGAGCAAGAATCACGGTGGCGGCGGAGCAGACACAGCAGACAGTGCGCGGCACAGAACAGAGACACAGGACACTGTGTGACAGACGACTCGCCACAGGGCGGGGTCGACGGACAGCGCAGCCCACACAACCCACACAACCCACACAACCCACACAACCCACACAGCAGAAACAGCACCGTGCCACGCAATGGCGCGTGACTGCCTCGCCCACCCACACGAGCCGCCGCTCCACCACCCAAGGGGCCGCGGCAGTCCCATGGCCCCGTCGCTGGCACCGTCCCCCTCGCGTGGCCCACCTCTGTGGGTGGGGGGCGCTTGGGTTGGCTGGCCAGCCCCGTGGTTGCTGCCTCTGCCAGCTTGTTGACGCTGGCTTCCCACACCCGCCCTGGCACGCACCAAGGCGCTCCCGCCATACATCCAGCCTGCTTCGGCGGGGTCCTCCGAGTCCGGTCCGACCGACCATGCAATCGCCTCTGGTCCCCTCAAAAAAGAAAGGTGCGATGCTGGTGTTGATGCCACGGCCGCCGATGCGATTGCTGCCAACATCGCTGTCGTCGATCGCAACCGCAACGGCAGCACGAGGCATCCTCCACGCCACCTCCAGCACCACTCGCGCAAGCCCGGCGGCAACCCCATCTATCCACCCATATGACTTCCCATTCCTCGCCCGCTCAAACCTCAGCCTGTTTTATCGTCTTCCTCCTTGCGCTCAGGTGGTCTCTCTCGCGGTCCCTCTCGACGACGGTTGTTGGCCTGCCAGTCCGTGCAGCGGATTGAGTGGCTGCATTTCAAAACGAAGACAAGCAAACAAAAAGCGGCGCACCCGCGGGTTTGGTTGGGGGTCGGTGGAAGCGGTAATTCACTTGGCCTGCTTCACGAGCTGGCGTGCAGTCCGGCACCGAGGGCTCCCAAGTCGTTCTCGTCCGGGACGTATCTATCGTTCGTTGGGAGAAGCGGCCACAGCCATCAGGACACCTTTCGCCAAGCCTCCAAGCAGAATCGATTCATGCAGTCGTGCGGCTCACAGACCGCAACCCAGCAACCCAGCAACCCAGCAACCCAGCAACCCAGCAACCCAGCAACCCAGCAACCCAGCAACCCAGCAACCCAGCAACCCAGCAACCCAGCAACCTGGCAAACATCATCACAATACTTACTCCTCCGAGTCCTCTGTGGCGATATACAATCCGTGCCGTGCCGTGTCCAAACCGGCGACAATCAGCGAATGTCGGAGGAGTGGCACGGAGTGGGGTTCAAGGCATTCGCATCGGTCAGTCGACAGTCCACTCAGCTCACAGTCGAAGGTAGCCATCCAGTGGACAGTGTCAAGCAGCAGCCAAGTGCAGCCCTCTTTCCTTGCAGCCCTGGCACTGCTCTCTCGTTTTGGCTCCAGATCAAGGATTCCCGGCCTTAACCCATAGCCGTCGCTTCTCAGCAGCCCGCGGCGACGAGCTTCTTTGCCACAGAACCGCCGTTCATCACACCCAACATTCAATCCCCATCCTCTGGCGATGTGACATACCCTTTGCACGATACACCGTTATCTGTCGATCAGACAAGAGCACAAAGCATCAGGATCTCGTGCTCACAGCGCAGCGACACTTCAACCCCATTTCACCATCCATCCTGGGGCTTCGTTGCGGCCCTGAAACAAAACTAATCCTGCATCAGCGGCAAGCCTCGTTGCTGTAGACATACCTCTTGCTGTTTGAAGTAGCGGCGATTCTCCTCATCGATGAGCACGAGGTTCAGGTAGTATCGGGTCGAGAACTTCTTGTTGACGTCGCGGTATGTTGGCGTCAACTCGAAACCGCTCAAAAACAGCCGGATGGGAATCGTCTCGCCTACAGATGACATCACAAGCACGATATTGAATGAGAATCCGCAGCAACCCAAAAGCGGGCCAGGTAATCCAAGGAGTATGTCGGTACCCGTGTGTTGCGGGACAGGTGCGCCGAGCGTGGCCATCCATCGCCGTACCTCGAACAGGAGCGCCGTCCATGATTTCAAACTTGGTAATGACTTCGTTCTCATTGTACTGATTTGCTCCTGCATGTCGGAGACAAGAGAAAGGGAGCAAATGGTGTGGTCAGAATACAGGCAATTCTGCGACCAAGCCTTGCCACCGGTCAGGCGGAAAGACTCGAGCCTGGGCATAATATTGCAATTGCAAGGAGCGTACTGAGCCAAAAACTTACCAGAACCGGTGCTTTCGCGCCGGATGATCGAGAGCTCCATCATCTTGATTTTGATGCGCACCAATAGGAAGTAGATCTTACCGACAATGACATCACGCAGATGATATCTGGACAGATGGGTCGGAGACAGTGAGGAAGGCATCCAGGGAAGCAGAGCAAGAGCTTGTGCAGACTATTCCTGCCCTTGACCGGCACAATGTCTCGCAATATGAGCCGGACCGGGCACAATGCACAATGCACAATGCACAATGCACAATGCACCGAGAGTGGCGTGAAGGAATCTGGAAGTGTACGAGCGCAGCACAGTTTGCGATCTCCTTTCAACAGCGCCCTTCCCCGGCGAGCACGTCTCCCCGACGCTTACTTGGATTTGTTGTACTCAAACTCGATATGCAGGCAATCCTCGATGCCGACCTCCATCTTGATCGAGTTGTTGACATCAGGCGGCATGCGATACGAGTACACCCAGATGTCCTTCTCCTTGACAATGTCCGAAAGACGTCGGCCGACGGTAACCCGGACAAAGTATCTTAACTTGACGTTGACGCCAAAGTAGCTCTCGTACTGCTTCTCGACATTCTTGAACTCAAAGTCAAAGACAGCGGGCTGGCGCAGCTCGCCGGGGGAGGCCAGTTCCTGGGATAGCGAGGTGAACTCGGAGTGGTTGCCGCGGTCGTAAAACAGTTCTGTGTCATGAGGGCGCACGAGAGAGCAAGCATATGGATTGGGGCAGCCAAGTGAGTGAGTGGGTGCTGTGTCATTCTCTGGGCATCTGCAAACTCGTCCGGGCACGCACCGATATGGCCGATCAGTTCAATCTTGATGCCCTGGTGCTCCAGCTTCTTGCCGTCTTTCAAACGGACCTGGACCTGTTCTCGGTGCGAGCCACATAGACAGGCGTTCTTTTAGCTTCTTAACTAACTCACGGCTGTCTCTCGTTGTGCCCCCACCCCATATTCTCGGCGATCCGCCCCCCTCCCTCCAGGAAGCTGACTGCCAATGCCCAGTCGATAGGCATGCCAACACATCCGGCGTGCTCGTCAGCAAGCAGGAGGAACGAGAGGATGTTTCGGCAGCTATCGTACCTTGCCCGAAATCGATTCGCCGTCAAAGTAGAGTGGGAATCTCGATTTTCGATCCTTCTCGACCTTGACCTCGATCTGCTTGCGCTGATCTTCGTCTGTCAGGATAATGTCAACATCGGCCGTTGAGCCAAGACCAAAGAGTGACTAGGTCGGGAAGGTGAGCGAGCGCAAGGGACATTGCAGGCGAAGCGAGCGGGCGGGCGGGCGAGTCGAGGGAGATTCGATATCGGCGAATGGAGTTGCACAGGCCATCGGAGAGACAAGTCGACAGAACAATGGGCCGGCCATATTCCATGATGACATCGCGTCCGAGTAGGAACACAGGTCAGCCGATGGGATCAATGACAACAAAGCATTTGCAGTCGAGGTGATGCCGGCCGAGATGACAGATGCAGAATGGTCAGCAAATCTTTTGGTCCGATGAACCTGGAGCCAGGGCGATCCCACAAAGCCGATGAAAGCGACGCAAGGACCCCTATGATCAACGATATCCAGACTGCCCAATCCAATCGACAACCGAGATCGCACCGGAACAGACATGGCTATCGAGAGCCTGAGCTCGGGCGTGCGAAGCAGCCCTCAGCCAGCCCAGAAACCCGGGGACAGCGTTGCGTGGCTCTGTTGGATCGCCATCGGACCGAGTCCATTTGCTGATTCCAGGCTTGGCTCAGCGAATGGCACTCCAGAGGTGGAGTGGTCTGCTCCTGGCTGCGTGCGAGAAAGTATCAATAGTATGGAGACCTACCGCCATGGCTGATGCAGAGATTCAATTGTGGACTGAGGTGCTGGCTGTTGCGGGAGACTGCGGGTCTGATACGAAGACCCAGAAAGGTTGGTCCAGGAGAGAAGTGCGGGGACGTGTGACTCCAGGTGCGTGGGCAACGACCGGGACGCTGCTGCTGCTCTTTGCCTTATGTCGTTTGCGGAGAAAGGGGTCTCGGCCTCGCTCGTGTGCCTTGGTGCTGCGAGCCAGACAGGGGGAGGGCGAGACGGCGATGCGATGCGGATGGGTGGGCGGATGGAAAGCCGGATGGCCAAACGCTCGTCCTGGGCGGCGGCGCCAGGGTGGCCGAGCGAGGGGCGAGACGCTCTCGGCGGGCCTCGGCGGGCCTCGGCGAGAGAACGCCAAGCCCGCGCTGCGATTGGCCGGCGGCTTCTGTGGAATCAGCCCGTCACGTGGGGATCTCATGGATGTGGTTGATGAGCGAGCCAGCCCAAGGCAAAGCAGACGAGCGCGATTTCCATGGGGCGGCCAGATAGTGCTCCTTGGGAACAGGAATCAGGGCAAAGGCGAAGCGAAAGAGGGCCACGGCGCACACGAATCGATACACAGCCGCCGCCCGGATCACATCGTGGACATCCTCGATGGGCTTTATTGATGCCATGATGCGAGCCTTCGGCAGCGACTCGTCATTTCTGGCTGCTGTGGAGTATTTGATGCACCGTCCGGGCTGTCTTTATGATGAGATCAAGGTACTTTTCGCGGTTCTCGAGCGGATGGAACATGTTCATGTGCGCCGAGATCTCGTCCTGGACGAGTGATTCAACTTTTTCAAACAGGTGCTGGATTTGCGGGTCGGGTGGATTGCAAAAGTGCTTCGATATCGGCGACTCCGTTGGACTGGGGGGATCGATGGAGATCTGGAGTCCGTTGGTCCGCGACGAAGCCAGCGGGTTGGCGAGTAAGTGATTGTGTGTGGAAGCGAAAGAGGACATGAATGGGTGAGTATGGAAGTAAATGACCAGGCTGCCGAGCCCACTCGCCAAGTCATGTCCCCTGTCCCTCCGAGACCACATACATCGAGATAGTATCCCTTGAAGAAGCACCGCCGACCCTCGACCTCCTGCTGGATGTGGGCAACTCGTCGGTGCATCTGCTCCTTTGAGTCGGTGAGTGGATACAAAAACTCGGCATGCCGATATGCTTCATCCGCAGCAGACACCAGCCACCGGGCTGCCAGCCGCTGGACACTTGGAGAAGGATACAGGGTCGAGGCAAGCCCGAACGACGCATAGGCAGCCGCAGCTGCAGCTCCACCGGCAAAGACATACGGTCCGAATCGCCTCGCATGATTGCCCAGCGGCGCTAGCACACTGCTAACCATAGAGGTGGCTGCCCAAAGCGGGTTCGTTGCTGTGTCGGCTGGCGTGGCCCTGATACCCGCCGGCTCGCCATCTTGGGCTGCAGCGGTGGCCTCATTTCCGCCATTGTCTGGCTTGGGGCCGGCCGGAGCCTTGGAGACCTCCGTTGGCGACTGAAAGGGCAGCATCGACGACACATAGTTCATGGCATTTCGCGAGCCCGATTCCGTGAAGACGTTTGGGGTCAGTCCGTAGAAGGGAGAGTCAAAGGTGACGATTCCGATGATGTTGATGAGCTTGCGTATATCCCCTGCGCTGACAGTCGCTGCCTGGCTAGGCGTCTCGTTGGAGATCCCGGAAGCCGCAAAGGAGGGTGCGTCAGACCCATCCGCAGAGTCGACGCCGTAGAGAGACCGATAAGCGTCTACGGCGGCCAAGCCTTCCGGCCAGACGGAACAGGGGTCTTTAGTATAACGCACAGCGCAAGCCATACAAAGGGTTGCCAAGACAATCGGATTCAGAGGTCAAGCGGCAGCACCCATCGCCCCTTACCGCCCATCGAATGAGCCATCAAAATGACGCCCGAGTAGGATGTGGTGCCAGCGTTGCGGAGCAGATAGTCGACAAGCTGGCTGACGGCTTTGGGGTTGCTGCCCTTGGTGTCGTATTTTGGATAGACTTTGACGTCAAAAATCTCGTCATGGTCAACGGAGGTGGAGTGGGACAGGTACGAGACCAGATCATGTGGGAAGGTATTGAAAGACTTTTCGTCGCCGAGGAACCCGTGGATATAGACAAAAACGATCTTTTTGACTGGCGAGGCAGCCATGGCGGATGGAAACTGAGGTGGATGGCGGATGAGGTGGATGGAGACTGAGACAGGGACTGGGCGGAGACTGAGACAGGGACTGGGGTGGATCAACCATTTTGAAACGAGTCACATGTAAGTCGCTGTTCACTGGATGCTGAATACACACCCACTGCGATGCAGAGACCCGAGGTAGTTGAAGGGACCAGAGAGGCGACCCACAGCCTTCACTCGAGGGCTGCCGAAGTGATCTGTTGTATTGCGTATAGCGTTGTTAGACGCATACTTGGCCCGCATATGGGATCCCATTTGCTCATATATAGAGTGCACACCTTGGAACACATCATTTTGCTCGTCCAGAAACACTCCATCGTCGGCTCACATCGTACTCGGCCAGCAATGTCGAGACGGTTGCTGCCAAAGTCTCCATCCCCAGCAAGTGGACTTCACCGGAGTGCGAGCTTCGACTGGTGACATCCAAACCAGGCAACGCGCAAGTCGTCTATGTCACATATTCCTGGTCTCCAGGTTCAATTTGAGCGAGCTTCGTCATGGTCGACAATTCATGGGACAGCCATGGCCGCAAGCTCGGCCTCGATTCCGCCCAGAGTCTCCGCCACCTCCCGATGCAGCGCATGTGCTGTGCCCATCGATCGCTCGGTTGCCTGTGCAGCATCCCGCATCTTTTGAACAGCCCAAGTCAGTTGTGCGCGGCATTCGGGCCTGTGTGCGGCATCCTGGGGAGTGGCTGCCGAAGCCAGCTTGGCGAGAACGAACGTCTGGATGGCGATAGTCGGATGCCGAGGGTCCAGGATTTGCTTGTAGTTGTCGAGCAGCTCGCTGCATGTTGGCAGTGCATCCTCCCAGACCCCGCTCGAGATTTGGACATCGAGCAACTGCTTGAGCGCCCGAACCAATAGTGTGTTGCCCGCCTTGAGGACAGACCTGGCTTGTTCGACCTGTCGTCGCAACTCGCCCGAATGCTGGCTTTTGGCGGCTATGAATGCGGCGGCACGAATGAGCTCGGCATGCCGAACCGCCGTCCTTGCGACCACAGCACTGAGGCAAGCCCACCCGGCGTGGGAGTCAAGCTCAAACCGGGTATCGAGGCGATCCTGCAACAGCCGGACTTACTTTTGATGTGAGACGCTGCCAGATCTTTTCTCCGTCTCTCAAATGCCTCCAGCTTGCTGATTTCAAGTGGGCCGCACTCAGAACACGCTGCTGTTTGGAGCTCCTCAAACGGGTCTGGATTGCAAAGGCATGCGCGAATGGATGGAATGGAATGGATCAGAGGGACGGGATATTTGACGACCGAGCTGATGGTAGGTCAGGCAGGATCAAGTTGGCTCGCAACGACCTTGCATCTCGGGCATGTAGCGGCCCAGAGCACCTGGTTACCTGTCACGCATACAAATCCAGTACAGGCGGAATCGAGGCAGCTCCAGCGGTGTCTGGGGTCATCGGCCTGCATTCAGCGACAGAGGGTAGAATGTGAGAAACGATTTCTGCTGCTACCTGCGATTTACGGCGCCAAGACCTGCTGAGCCTGCTGAGCCTGCTGAGCCTGCTGAGCCTGCTCCCAGGCCAGCGATTCACCTCGTTCTCGCAGAGTGTGCATTTGCAGTCGAAAAAGTAGCGACTCCCGAGTTCCTTCTTCCGGAGTCCCGCCGGATCGGTGACATCGATGTAGCTTAAAAACAGCTGCTGGCCTTGATGGATGGGTCGCAGTACTCGGAGGGAAGCCTTGCAGCCCGAGAAGACCAGGAAGCAGTTGGGATCGCAGGAATGGTTCAAGAGCGACAGCTCTGGATAGAGTCCGACACCTGACGCATCGGCAGTGCGATCAGCATTGAGTGGTCATGATCATTGCCAGATCATGTCCTTTCCAGACTCTCGCCATCCTCTCGATTGAGGTTGATTCGACTTCCACTTCCAGAGAGTGCAAAAGTACGTTTCTGTGCCAGCAACGGTCACTCACCAATACCGGACAGTTCGCGATCGCAGATGGTCATGCTGTTGCATCCCATCTAGCATAATGTTAAGCCACATGCGCAACTCCAACGACACATTGCCCGCATCCAATCGAAGATGCAATATGCTCTTGTCCATAGTTGTCAACATACCCTGCAAAAGTGGTCGAGCATCGTGCTGGCCTCGAGCTGCTCGTGCTTCCGGATCAATTTGACAAGCACCGACATCTGTGTGAATGCCTCGAGATGTGATGTCGAGTAGTCGCCTCGATCTGCCCCGTGGATGATTTCGCATGTTTTAGAGGCGACGTCGAGGCTTTTGATGCTGCGCTGAGTCAATGTCAAGCCAGGGGTTGCGTGCAGCTGGACAAAAGTACATACGGGTGACGAGCGACTGCATCAAGATGCTCTGCACAGCAAAAAGGGAGTCAATCGTATGTGATATCGGATCGAGTCTCGGCGACATTTGTCATGAATCAGGCAGCCGCTGAGGATACTTACGGAGGGAGACGGTGTTTGTTGGAGTGTGAGCAGCCGCCCGACCTGTCTCACAGCGGTTGTGGGTTTGCGAGGCGCTACGTTCTGGAACCCCTTGCATTCAGTCTTGTGAAAGGGCCAATCACTCTTCAAGCAAATCTGGAGGGATTGCAGTCGGTATCAGCTGCAAGTAGTTGTCTTTGGTCGTCTTCGATGCACAGCGGCGCTGGAAGTGGCCGCAGCTTACCTCGGAGCAGTAGTGGACAATGGTGCAGCGAGAGCAGCGGAATCGGCCGTTTGGTTGGAAGCAGCCACTGCAGAAGCGAGACAGGTGGGCATCGTCGACAACACAGGCAGCAGGGACGCACTCGTAGACTGTTGCGCCTGGATAATGTCGCTGACCGTTAGTTATGAATTCCGATGCCATCGTCAAGGTCCCGACACTGCCGCGCCGCTCTCGGCCATGAGGCTGTCTCGACATCATACGCTTGCCCGTGCGATCCGGATAAGGACACTCTTGGCGCTCTCTTCGAAACACTGCTCGTCTCACCAGCTGGTATGTCCTCCATCGCGTAGATGCTTCGACCAAACTGGGGCGAGCTGCGACAGGCAATGCGATATTTGGCTCGTGAGAGCGCAGATTCTAGATGCTTCGAGAAATCCGGTAGGGTGGCATCCGATGTTTCTGCTGTGTCCCGTTCGGTAACGACTCGTTCAGCTCGGCCTGAGCAGCAGATGCGCCGATATACAATGAGCGACCGCACCATAGAATGAAGTCGTCGCTTGGCTGCCCGGCGCAGGTGTCTGGATCAGAGCATGGCCAGATCAGAGCATGGCCAGATCAGAGCATGGCCAGATCAGAGCATGGCCAGATCCATATGCGCCTGACCTGAATCGGCATCGTCAGACTCAAGAAGATGCTGCAACAGAACGGCGCGGCTGTCGGGCCGGATTGCGGATTGCTCGTCCTCAACAGGGTCCGGTCGGAAAGTGGCCTCTTCCTCTTCGTCGGCTTGGTTGCTGGATGGCCGCGGACGATACCTTCTGCCAGACTGGCCGGGCTTTCTGATCATGGCTCGATGGTTGCGTTTCGACAGATCCGATATGTTGGTGTGGGCTCGAAGATGTCCTGGGTGTTGCAGGCCAGGGTCTTGGAACGGCGGGTGCAGGGAAGGCAGGGTGCGGGCCGAACAACAGATCGCGATCGACAACGGCTGTCAAGACACCATGTTCAGGCGCCGGTCGGTCCCATCGTTTCCCAGAATGCCCACATCCAACCCAGCGCCCGCCAGTCATTCGTCCAGCCCGATCAATGTCGTTCAATCCACGTGGTGAAGTGTCTGCTTCAATACGAGTCCGCCGCAATTTCACATATTAATTTCATATTCGTTTTGCAGCCCTTCTTCCGCCTGCTGCCTGCCAGGAGCGCCTGGATTCGTCCCTGGGTTCCTCCTTGGCCAGCAGATCCGTCCTCCGCCGAGACTCCCAAGCTGCCAAGATCGCCTTGCAGCCCGCGGCCATCGATACTGCATCAAAATGAGCAAGCGCAGCTCCGAGAACCAGCTCACACCGCACAACTACGAAGATGACACCGGCCCAGATGCCCCATCTGGCGAGGTAAATCCGATCCCTTGGGTCGCCTAGCGATCTCGGCGCCCACAGGCATCCGCCGGCGTCCACCGGATCGCTTGTTCGCCCGTCAGGATACCACAGCGGCCCTCCATGTTCTCGATCTGACGATTTGCTGATTATTTCCGCCAACTTTGGCGTCAACTATGCTGTGCACGACTCTGCCAGTTCAAGCAAGCTGATCAAAAGACGATCGAAGCACGCATGTACGTCTCTCATCGGGCCGCACCAGAATCCTCGATCGTCTCCAACCATCCATGCATGAGTCCGGTGGCCTGGACCGTTGCAATTGGAGGAGGCGAGAGGTTGGACTAACATCATACTACCACTCCTCCTGGCGGATCTGGCAATCCACCTTGATGCCCCCCGGGTGCATTATTGCGCTCTGCAACTGCACATTGTCATGCATATGCCTTGTTGCGGTGCATGATCAGCATGGCACAGCCCAAATCTAAGCTGAAGCGCCAAGGCTCGGGTGTAAGTTTCGATTGCATAGATCGGTCGATCGATTGGAGAGAATAGCCGAGATCCACCAAACTGCTCGGCTAGCGCATGCCCTCTGCCACGACCGACCAGACATACATGCCAACACTGACGGGTTCTCATGGCTTCCTCCAGTCAGCCGCTCCCAAAGCCTCTCTCTTCGGCTCTGTGTCGCTGAATGCCCCATCCACTACAGCATTCTCCCTGGCCTCTGGCGACAAGCCGGCGGCCGCGCCACCATCATCCAACCCGTCGACCGCCTCCTTCTCCTTTGGCTCCGCCCCAGCATTTACATTCGGCACAACCGAGCCCATCAAAAGCGAATCTCCAACTGTTCCCACCGGGTTTTCGTTTGGGATGACGACCGAGTCCAAGCCTGCCGCCGCGATGTTCCAGTTCGGTTCGACAACTGAGACCCAGCCCACTGCTCCGACGCTTTCATTCGGCGCGACAGCCGAGCCCAAGAAAGACAGCCTGTCGTCCACCGATACCACTGCCGCTGCTGCACCTTCGTCGTTCTCTTTCGGGGCTTCTTTGGATCCCAAGCCAGTGGCCCCCGTGTTCTCGTTCGGATCTAGCAACGCAACATCGGCTGCCAAGGAATCCGAACCCGAGGGCGATAAACCTAAACCTTTTTCGTTTGCGTTCGAGACTTCAAAGACCTTCACAGCTACAGTGCCGACATTCGGCTTCCAGACCGCATCCAAGTCTGACAGCGCACCATCCCCGGTGCAAACGACCTCGGCCCCCTCGTTCGACTTCGTCCCCGCCTCTGTGCCTCCCAGTTCGACAGCGAGTACTAGGCCGTTTTCGTTTGCTCCCAAGCCCGCCGAGGTGCCTGCGAGCAATGACAGTATTGGCGGAATCGGCGCCGCCACGCAAATTAATGGAACATCCGTCAATGGCTCCAGCAGCAGCGCCGACTCGACGGCGGTGACAGAATTGGCCAAGCAGCTGCGCGGTCTCAATGTGTCCTTTGTCGACTTCATCAAGGCCGAGGTGGAGAAGGATTGTTTTGTCGATCTGTCGGATGCCCTCGATAGTTACAAGCAGCACATGCAGACAATTACCAAGGCACATGCCAGCACCATCTCGGCTCTCAAGGACGATCCTGCTGGCTCCAAGCTTGTTCCCAAAGCGGCAGCTTCCGGCGGATCGGAGCAAAAGACCGGCTCCTTCAACTTTGGCTCTACGACCAGCACTGCTGCTGCCCCGTCCGCCACGACCTCGTTTTCATTCGCAACGACCACCGCTTCGACCCTGTTCTCCACGATCGCTGCTCCAGCCTCGTCAGAGCCACCAAAGCTCTCGACGACGTCCGCGGCAGTTCCCCCCACGACCTTTTTCTCCGGTTTTGGTTCCGGGCCAGCCTCGACCATCTCGTTTGGCGGCCCTGCTCCCACAGCCTTTGTGGCTGGTGGTGATGCTTCCAAGACTACGGCGGGTGACCAAGCTGGCGATGACGACGAGCCTGCACCAGACGCTCAGATCGACACCAGCACCCTGATGCAAGGCGAGGGCGAGGAACAGGACGAAGTCTTCCATGAGGTTCGGAGCAAGCTCTTCCGCTTCAGCAAAGATAAATCATGGGAGAACATCGGCATCGGCCCGCTCAAGATCAACAAGAACAAATCCTCGGGCAAAGCGAGACTGCTGCTCCGTGCGGATGGCAACGGACGCGTGCTGTTGAATGCCAGTATCTTTGCAGGCATGCAAGCCAAGGCCGAAGGCAAGGCCGTAACGTTCACTGTGGCTGCGGTGGGTGAGGACAAGAAGCCCGAGCTTGTGAAGTATAGTGCCCGGGTGAAGACTGAGGACATGGCCAAGGCACTTGTCGACGCGATCGCCTCCAGCCAATAATAGGGAGCAGCCTTGGAGCCTCCGCAGATAGCCAATAAACACCAAATTCGGCACCGACATGGCAGTGCGAGCGTGGGTTCGAATCAAAAGAATCGGAGTCTATTGTATTTCACTGTCAGGTCAGCAAAGTCGTGGATGGAAATGGGTGCAGTCCTCGATGGCGATTGGAAGCGTGAGTGCTGGGCTGGGCTGGGCTGGCTAGCTGGACGGCTGGCTGCAAACCAGTGCGTCGGTCGGGCTGCCGGTGTATTGGCTCATGAGTACGGTGTATAGACAACGCAACGAGCGGTAAACGAGCTCAGTCGTCGTCACCAAACACAATTTTGGTGCCTTTGGCGTTCATATCGACGTCCTTGACGAATGCACCGTAGTTGGGATCGGCCTTCTTCTTGACTGTGGTGTTATAGGCGCGCAGAGACCGGATAAAGCCGCGGCCAAGTTAGTGTCGGAGTGTGAGCAGATAGGGTGCGGTCACTGATACCAGCGCGCGGCCATTCGTGCCAGTATGCGGCCCTTCTCTATCGCTGCCGCTGTACCTGTGGTTCCAAACTTCATGAGCTCAGCCGGGACCTTCTGGTTGGCTTGTTTCAGCACGTTGATCAGAGCACCGCTGTGGGCCTTGTCCTGGACTGTAAAGAAGGTATGTGCAATGCCCTTCTTGCCGGCTCGTCCAGTGCGACCGATACGATGGCAGTACTCCTCGGTGGTCAGCGGGTAGGTATAGTTGATGACATACTCGACATCGTTAACGTCGATACCGCGGGCCTAGCATCAGGACACAGGCCCGAGAGCACAAAGAGGATTACAATGTCAGCCCAGGCCACAAAGCCGCCGGCGGCAGCGCACGCATGACTGCGGATCTGCTGCGGTACATACAGCGACGTCTGTGGCAACGAGAAGGGGCATGGAGCCATCCTTGAATTTGGTGATGGCGTCGGTGCGTTGCTGCTGGCTCAGATCGCCGTGGATGCTGGCGACCTTCCAGCCCTGGCGCTGCAGATACTGCTCCAGACGAGCGGCTTCTTTCTTGTACAGAGCAAAGACAAGCACACGGTTCTTTCTCGACTTGTGGTAGTCACGCAGCAGGTCCACGAGGCGGCGATCCTTGCCCTGTGGATCCAGAACCTCCACTCGCTGCTCAATGTTGACGTTCGCAGCGAGGTCGGTGGAGCCAACGGTGACGCGGATGGGCTCGTTGAGGTACTGCGAGGCGATCTTTTGGATGGCCGACGGCCAGGTAGCGCTGGATAGCAATCGGTAGATTGGGGCAGAAAGTGAGTACTGGGCCTCGTGAACCTTGTGCACAATCAGCGCAACTGTCGGGTCGCACTTGGCCACTCAGGCTGATGCAACGTAGGCCGAGCGACCCAAATATCCTCTGATCGGATCGACACACGACAGCGCTTGGTCTTCCCGTACAAGCCCTCCACAGGCACCCTGCCGTGGCACTTGCCCAGCTTCATAGAGCACCAGCACCGCACTCATGAGCATCAGCTCCGAGTTGCCCCGACACCCTCCACACGAGCTGTACCTGAACATCACCGTCTGACGCTCGGACTTGGGCTTGATTCTGGCCACAATTTTCTTGATGGCCTCTTCAAAGCCCAGATCCAACATTCGGTCGGCCTCGTCCAGGACAAGGAAACTGACGTCCGAAAGGTCGCAGCTGCCATCTTCGTCTTCAATCAGGTCGATGAGCCGTCCGGGGGTGGCAACGATGACACCCACGCCGTTGTTAAGGACCTTCTTTTGCTCCCACTTGTTGACACCTCCATAGACACAGGTGCTGCGGATGCCGATCGACCCGCCAAACTTTTCGTATGTTTCCTGAATCTGGATAGCCAGCTCACGGGTGGGCGAGAGAACAAGGACCTGGGGGAACTTGGTGCCGTGGAAGACCGATCCAGAGGAGACCTGGCGGTTGCGGATGTGAATCATGGAAGGCAGGGCAAAGGCGATGGTCTTTCCGGATCCCGTCGCCGCAATGCCCACAAGATCGCGGCCAGAGAGCACGCCGGGCCAGGCGATCGACTGGATGCACGTGGGCTTGGGGAAGGCCTCCAGCTCTGACGAAAGCTCTTTGGGGAAGCCGGCGTGAGCGAACTTGATGATCGGGCGGTAGATGCCCTCGCCCGTACCCATGAGAGTGACGCTGTTGTCGTCCAGGAACGATTGGATGCTGGCCTCGGACATGGCCTTGAGCTCCTCGTGCTCGACGTACTGCCAGGTGCCAGTCTTTTTCTGGGACTTTCCGCCCTTGGCAAAGTCAGCGTCCTTGGCACCGCTCGAGGCCTTCTCTGTCTTGGACTTTTTGGCCTTCTTCTCCTTTCCGTCTTTCTTGCTGGACTTCTCGACCGCCGGCGCATCAGGTTTCTTGCCCTTTGCGCCGTCCTCGTCATCATTCTCGCCCTCGTCCTCCTCTGGGTCGACTGACTTTCGCTTCTTGTCCTTCTTGGCCTTTTTTTCCTTGGGCGGTTCCTCGGACTCGCTGGCCTTGGCCTTCTTCTTGGTGGCCTTCTCGATGGCTCCGTCATCGGCGGGGACATTGTCCTCCGGGACCTTGGCCTTCTTGGGCTTGTCCTTCTTGCTGTTTTTGGACTTGACGAGCTCCGGCATCTGTGTGACTACTCTCTTGCTGGATCGGCGGCGATGGCGATGGTGGTGGTGGCTGTCTGGATGATGGGATCGTCGGGCAGCGTCGGGTTCTGCGCTGGCGATGGTGATGGCGACGACAACGGCGAGGCGGTGCAACAACGACCCCAAAAAGAAAAAACGCGCGCAGCAGCTGTGGCACCAGTCGGAGCTTGAATCAGGCTCTGCACAGAATGCGCAGCAGCGCGTCGCCTGGTCTGGCTCCTGTGCTTCGGCTGCCGAGGGATGCGGTTTGGGTCGGCCAGATTGGCCTCGGTGCGGGCGGCGACAGCGACAGCGATGAGTGCAGTAGCAAGGAGACGCTTAGGCTCTTGTAGATTCGAGCTCGTATCGCCGATGCATCCACTATCGGCTGCAGTGACATCTGTGATGCAGCTGATGCTGTGGCTCCACCCCAGGAGCTGCATCGATTGCAAATAGACAGCAGCCTCATCGAGCTGCACGGTCGCATCGCACCGCACCGCACCGCATCGCACCGCATCAGCCCAGCGAGGTGCAGTGTGCAGACAGTGGACGAGCGAGGCTGCACACGAGTGGGCCTCAGCTGTCGGTCCTGCTTTCGCCAATGCACGAGACGCCCGAAATAGCTCACTTTGTCGGCTGAAAATAGACTTGCGCCTGTCTGCGCCGTCGTCAGCACCCAGGCTCGCTATATATGCGCTTTCCGCCCCTCAGCTGTCCGGAGAATCGTCTCCACCAAGCCATCGGAGCATCCAGTGCATCCAGTGCATCATGTCGCTCCAGCGAAACGCCAGGCGCTGCGACTCCAAGCTCTCGCTCTCGGAATCAATTCTCGCTCCTCACGGCTATGCCTGTTTCAGCGACTCTGTAGATCGGGAGACACACCCGCTTTCCTCCCTCGGCACGCCAGTCTTTGTCCGGCAGTCTCATCTCCAGGAGCTATACTACTCGTACACCCTCGCCCAGCATACGGCCAAGGGCCCCACGAGGCTGGAGATCTTTCTGACGGCCTACCAAAGTGAGGTCAATCGCATCGCCCGATGCATGCTGTCACAGCACGAGTTCATCGCCGAGCACATCAGCTCTATTGTGAAATCCATTCCGGAGATGGTAAAGCTGCTTGCATCGTCCACTCCCCTCCCCATCGCCGAGAGCGTGGGTGCTGCTTGCATCATCCATTGGTTCTGGTCGCATTCTTATGCTCGGCTTTTGGCTGCTTATCCAGGTCCAGCTTCCACGAACCTCCAACGTGCTCGCTCGTGGCCAGGTCTATCGGATGAGAGCCTTCTTGAGCGAGTATAGGAGCCAACGGGCAATGTCTGCAATCTCTCGTCGGCCGCCTTCCGAAGATGTCTTTGTCGTCTACCTCCAGTCGCTGGACGCCGTGCTGAAGCCGCTGAGCCGATTCCCGCGGCTGGTCACGGCAGGAACCGAGATTATGGCGGTGCGTTACGCTCGCTCTATCCCGCGCTTGTACATTCTGGTTGTCTGCGCTCATGGGCTAACTCGATTGGCCTGGTTGATTCGATTGACTCGACTGACTCGACTGACTCGACTGACTTGCATCTCTTCCGACACAGCTCGATGCCCAGATATTCTACTTTCGTCGCAATTTCGAGGCTGCGCTTACCGAGCTCGGATCAATCCACGCAGGCAATATGGTGCATGAACTACAGCCGATACTCCACGCCATCGAGGCCGAGCAGGCTCAGCTGCAGACGTATCACAAATCATTGGCAGAGGCATTTGAAAGCATCTTCACCGCCAACATGGAAGCGGAGAACTACTCGTGCCCGATCTGCCTGAGCATTCTGTACCGGCCCACAGAGACACCGTGCGGGCACCACTTTTGCGAGGCGTGTCTCTCCAAGCACCAGCTCGCCGCCATCGCCGTGGCATGGGAATACGACCATCAGTATCTCGATCCGGGCTACCCCTGCCCTGTGTGTCGCTCCAAGTTCGACGACTGCTCCAGGGTGGACCCTGACTTTGACGCCTTTGTCCGAGCCAACTTCCCGTCCGAATACCGGGAGAAGAAATGGGAGACCTGGCGGAGCGAGCAAACCCTTCGAATCCGCGAGACCTTCGGGGTGTATCGGCGCAAGCTCGTCTGGCGCTACATGTTGTGGCGAAACAAGCGGCTGTAGATAGAGGATTCATAAATGGACCGGAGAAACCTCCTGGGTCTGAGTCCGCCGCTGGATGTTATAGAATATACTAAACGGATCACAACACTGTACTCGTTGTTTTCGCTTGCCATTGTTCGAACCAACCAGAGGATATGAATTGAGCCCAAGGAAACGTGCACTTGGAAAGTGCTTTCGGCAGGCCCGTTGCCAGGCAATTGCCACCATCGCCGTCCGTCCCATCAAAAAAGCAGAGAGCCTCTGTATTTTGGAAACAGACGCGAGGCGGTCTCTGATGTACATATCCAAGCAGCGTCCGCCCGACACCTCGGTATCGCCCTTCAGAGTCGACATTCATCCGGCAGCAAATGATTGAGGGAATAGAGCGGTGCTTTTGGCAGCCAAGCCTCTACAAGTTGCTGTGGAACGGGTGAGTCGAACTGAAAGAATCGCTGCTCGACTCGTTCTTGGTTCCGGCGAAGCAGGGGAATACTCGCGGCACTTCAAGCTGCGGGTGCATTATCCCGGCTCGCGGCAGCGCCCGCATAGGTGCATATCGCTCGCTCACTCGTTTAGCAGCTGCTGCAGATACCGCCCTTGATCGTAGCAGACAGACACCACGTCCGAGCACTCGTCGGGGCCCTTCGATATGGACGCCTCGTATGGAACTGGGCAATCTTCCAAGAACCCCGCGGCATATTCCATCGTTGGCGACTTGAAGCGGATCGAGATTTCAGGCAACACCGGGCACAGCTCTGCCAGCTTCTGCAGAAACTCAAACGTCACGAGGCTGGCCTTGGTGAAGGTGGCGAATCCGCGGAGGATGTGTCGGCGCTTCTCGAAAAAAGCCAGGAGCGGAGCATCCGATGGGAACTGTCGTGGCCGATACCGGATTGCATTCAGAAGCAGGGTATGGCATCGAGGCAGGAACTCATCGACGGCTTCCAGAACGAGCTTGGGCGTGACTGTGGCCGACTCGACGGCAACAACCTCAAGCTGTGGGCAGGATTCAAACAGCGCACGCACGCAGGCGTCGGTGAAGACCGAGCTGTCGCCAAGCGACAGACACCGCAGCGACGGACAGAGGGCCGGAATGAGCCGCAGAGTCAGGTCTGTGTGGCCGAGTCCGAGCTTGAGCTCGTGCAGATCGGGCGAGCGCCTGAGGATCGCAGAAAGGACGCCGTCGGGGACTCGTCTCCAGCTCAGATCCAGGTCCTTGAGCGAGTTGACGGTCTGCGCTATGGACATGAAGAACTGGCAGTTCTCCTCGAACGATAAGTGGAGCTGCAGCGTCTTGAGTCTCGACAGGCCTCGCGTGACATACGAGCCAACCCGGGTGATTTGCACATTGTGCAGGACCAGGGCCTCGAGCTTTGGGCAAGAGGCAAAGAAGCACTCGAGGATCTCGCCAATGTCCAGGTAGAGCGACCCGTCGAATCCAAACTCGAACCCAAAGAGCACCAGGCTCCGCAAGTTGCGACAGGCCGGGGCCAGCAGACAGAGCAGCGCAGGGTCGGCTGGGCAGAAACGCTCGTGGCAGACGAGTTTGATGCGGAGATGCTGGATGAACTTGGCGTATGGGTTGGAGCGGGCGGCCAGGCGAGCAAACTGCATCAGCGAGCTCGTTTTCGATATCCGGGGGTGGGCCCACAGCACCGACATGGCGCCGATGCTCCAGCTTTTGCAGACCAGACACGCCGACACCAGGGTTTCTTGATGCCCAAGATGCCTCAGGATGATGGTCACGACTTCGGGCGGCAGCGACCTCATGGATCCGGGGAAGATCGACGGACGGCTGGGCCGAGATGCCAACGATACATCGCCGCCGGCAAGCGTAGGTATCGAGTCCGACAGGGTTTTGGATGGATCGTCCATTTCACCAGGGGTATTCTCCGGATCGGATCGGATGAGGACGAGAGACGGGTGGCCCAGCATCAGGACCTGGATGAATGCACCCGCTTGGACGAGCCGCAGCAAAAACTCCCACGGGTGGTTTGCGCACAGCGAGGCACCAGGCCAAGGGCAAGGATTGCTGCCCGCCGCTGTTGGCTGGAGAAGGGCGGCCTGGAATGCAGGCTCGGATGGCATCGCCGACGAAGAGCACTTTCGCACGGCCTCGGTCCCGGCAGACATCCCCAGCCCGCCATCGAGGCCGAGCTTGACCAGGCAGTCCTCTCGGGGCGGCGGCCGTGTGATCGAAACTAGGTCTGCCTGCCGCTCATAGTCCCAGCCGTCGCTGTCCTCTATCCCACCATCCCATCATTCCACCATCCCATCATTCCACCATGTCGTCGATCAAGCTCACTATCTTTGTCGTCGGTCCGCCGCGATCAGGCAAGACGGCCCTCTGCAACTACTTGGCCGAGCTCTCCGAGTCGCTGAACAGCTCGCAGTATCACCCAACCGAGGGCGTCAGGTACGACTGTTGGTCCCAGCCGTGGAGCAAGCATCGGCTTCGTATACGAGAGACACGGGCCAGCTGAATGCCGTTGCGTCGATCCGCAGGATTCTAGAGTTTGAGCGCAAGATCGTGCTCGATTCCAAAAAGACCAACAGCAAGAGCAAGGAAACAATTGTGTCGGGTGAGCAACGGGTTTCTGGGCTGAGATATGTCTGTGTGCAGCAATTTGAGGCCATGCTGCGTTGAGAGTCGGCCATGGCGAGCCGGCGGAACTGACCAGGACGCTTACTCGCCTCTTGCACCCCCCCCCTCAAATCTCATGCGACCCGGCCCATCCCTCCAGTTGAGCTCTGGGACTGCAGCGGCGATCCAAAGTAAGATCAGTGCACCGTCTTCGTACGCACTCGCTCTCTTGTCTCGGCCAGCTCTCCAGAAACATGGTCCCACGCGTTCACAGCGCTGCTTTCCAGCGCACAATGCAACCAAGATCCAAGCTTGGTGTCGAAGTCGCTTGGGAGCAGTCGCTGGGCGTGATATGAATCGGAGTCAAACCAAAGCGTTCCATCGAGGCGAGCTGAAATACCGCCTTATCGATATCTGCTCAGATTCTATCCGTGCTGGCCAGCGGTGGCCAACACAGCCCACGGCGCCGTGATTCTGTTCTCGCCGGACTCGAAGCAAGAAAAGGAGGTTGAAACATGGTCAGTAGTATGGCTGTCGATCCCAACGTCTTGCATACGCAGGCAGAGCAATGTGGGTTTGGTTTGTCGAGACGACAACGTCTACAGCGCCGCTCATGGATATACCAGAGGAATGACCGCTCGCTGTCCGGCCCTGGGGAGACAGGTACAATTTCTTTTCGTTCATGAAGGACTCCCAGATTGCCGTATTTGCCCACAAGATGATGAGTCCGTCCCAGAAAGGTGCCAAGATGAAGCTAGGTGAGCGCCTCGTCGCATTCTCAGATCCTTGTTCTGCCGCTAGCGACGGGTGTCTGACCACCGGCGAATGCTATTGACACCTACTTGCTGTCCGCAGCCGGCAAGCTTTCCAAGCTGAATGTCACCTCGACCACTCTCGACGAGCAGACCAAAGCCGAATTTGACACCGTCATTTGTAATGCCTATCAAGCCTATACCGAGAATCGCGAGCGCGAAGAGCAGAGTATCGCAGCATTCACAAAATGAGACGAGGCACCTGAGCTTGAGACCAATGTTTACCTCTCTTGAGTCCTGAATATACACGACATCAGCGGTCGCCCATGATACACGCCAGAGAATGGACGACAGCAACACCACGCGCCTCGAGTGAACATTGGAGGACTCCATGAGACTGGCATCCAAGAAAACGATCCAACCAACTCGGTCGCTCTCGATCGAGTGTACGATATGGTCCAGCTACAGTGGGACTTTGTTCAGAAGAGATGATGTGTTTCATTGGGTTGCAGCACACTGTAAGTTTGCGCCGAACGAAACATGACTCTCCGAACAAGCTGTATGCACAAACGACCTGACTCTTGTAGTATTTTCCTGCGGGATCACAGCGCGCATTCCACTCGTATTGCACGCATTCCACTCGTATAGCACGCATTGCGCTCGCCTCCGCCAGTATTCGTTTATTGTCATGGCTTTTTATCAGCATAATTCGTCACTATAAGCTGCTGCCCCCATCCGAGTGTATGGTGCAGGTCTGGTACCTTCCCTCAGAGCTTGGACTTGACGATAGGCTTGGCGGCGGCAGGTGTGTTCTTGGATTCGTCGATGTACCAGACCATCTCGTATTCCTGTCGGAGCATGGTTGAATCCGTTGGATCAGAGTACGTTCACAAGCTCCTTCATCCAGGACTGAGCTGCGACCGTGCGTAGACAAACCTAACCTTGTGAACAAAACCGCACTTCTCGTAGAAGGGTATGTTCTTGTCACTGCAGTCCACTATCAACCAGATTCAGCAAATGCAGGTGAGAAGCACGCTTGCACGATCCTCATTCGCGTGCTTTCGGTGATCATTCTTGATCGGTCTACTTACAGATGACTGTAAAGAGACTGAACGTGAGTGTGCTGATAATGCCCAACGCTCATCCCCAAGCAGCAGCAGCAGCAGCAGCAGAAGATCAATAGCGCCAAGCACCACCATCCGGACGAATGCCGAGACATGCTTTGCTTTCCCCGGTCCATCGGCTGCATCGGGTTTACCTTTATAGCACCCACGGCCCTTGCCAATGTCCTTGAGCGTCTCGATGATACTGGAGCGCAGACTCGCTTAGCTTCGCTTGTTTGGGCGGGACGTCTGGGGATCCTCCACAACAGCCTTATGTTGCGCGACTTACCGCTTTCCCAAGTTCAGTCCTCGGTATGTCTGGAGGGTGACAATGTCTGGAAGGCGTGGGGCTGTTTGAGCAAGAGATACTGGCCGGGCCGTCCAGCCCGTTGTTGTCCTGACATCCGGCCCGAGCGCGTGCTTGCCAACCGACCCCATTCCCATGCGCCAATTACCTTCAATATGGCCGACCTGAGCAACGCCGGATGGGGAGTTTGTGGTTTCGGGATGAGCCAAGGCGGTTCCGGCAGATTGGCGGTGCCGGCGGACGCCCTCACATGTGCATCGCCTCCACCCTCTCCGCACCGGCTGCGGCCGGGATGAGCATTCTCTCTCGCCCTCGTCGTCGACTCACCAGACCGGTATTGTGGACAAACTTGCGCTCGACAAACACGGTGCCGGCGGCAATGATCAGACTCTTCTTGACGTCTTCGATGACTATGGTGAAATATCTGCGAGGAAGTGGATACGGGTTCTTTAGTATATCGAGGATGAGCCGCCAATGGGTGTAGCAGCGTGGCATTGGCAGCATGGGCGAAACACAGCACGGACTCGACTCGTCGCCGGTCATATCAATGCTGGCACATCTTTGAGTGCATCCAGAACTACGAATGACGACGGGCTGGGCCGATTTTCCATACTCGTGGTTGTGGGCCTTGAGATACGAGAATCGATCTGGGTGTGTGGTCCAAGGCGATTTGGATGGGTCAATCGGCAGCGACGACTCGCCAGGCGCATCCGAAACGAGCTGCGTCAAAGGCCAACGGGAATGCATAGGGGCATATGCATGCCACGGACATCAACCCACCGACAAACTGTTCCTTGGTGAGATCGCCGACAGTGGTTAGCTGCGAGAGAGCCTGGAGGAAACCTGCGAGGAGCAAGAGTACTTGCTCAGATGAGAGACGGTGTGCATGGGGTTGCCCGGTGCACCTCTGTGTCAAGCAGCGAGTGGCTGCCACCAGAGATCCGATGCAATAAGGTGCTAGAGAGCACCGACTGCTGCACACATCATCTTATCGACTCCGAGCGGCATCATTCGACCTGGCAGAGCGGTGGATCTCGCACCTTTGTCGTAGTCCTTGATGGAGAGCGGGCGAACCGCGAATCCATCGGGCAGTGCCTGCTGCTGGCTTGCCGGGATCAGGCGCGGGCAGAAGAGCAGGTCTGAGTTGACGGGGTGGTTGGCAGAGGTGGCCATATTTCCAGCAGCGCAGAAGGGAACGTGTTCGGGAGAGAACAGAGAAGGGCATTCGGTGGGCTCGGGAAGGGGGATTTTGAGCCGAGGACGTCGTCACCCAGGCTCCGACTCCGACGCCGATCGGCCGTGGCCAATCGGGCCGCACACCACACACTTCCCGCGCACTTCCCACAGCCACCATCCAGGGCGATCCGGAGCCATCCAACTCGAACCGCTCCAAGTGTATCCATGCGCTCGGAGGCTCATGCGCTTCGCTGCGAATGTTCGCTGCCGGCCGGCTGTCCTGCTGGAGCATGCAAGCACACACTGCCAATCCAACGGGGGCGGGCGAGTGGCTGACAAGGCGTTCGTTTATTGATCGGGGTGAGCCGCAGATCTGCTCATCGCTTGCATCGGAGCTGCCATCTCATATCGCGACCCGGTCGTATTGTACACCATCCACAGACTGTCCGTTCATGGCTCGGCGGACGTTATTTTCGAAAACAGTACGGTTGGCGCGCAGGACCTCGGCAGCCTCTGTCATTGTCGCCGATAGGATGCGTTCGAGGGCATTAGTCATACTGACCAAGGACGAGGACCTGTTGCTTACGGCCCCGCCCAGCGGCAGGCTGCTGCTGCTTCGTCAGAGGTACAGCAGGATCGTGCATGGCATAATCGCCGCTTACCCTTGTTCAACGGATCGTCGGCATTCGGCTCCAGGAACAGATACTGGAGCCCTACCAGCACTGCGTTGATGTTGAGCACGGGCTTCCAGTCCTCACGGAGAATGTTTAGGCAGACGTTTCCGTCGAGATCGATGTTGGGGTGGTAGATCTGAGTCGAGGTGGGGCGGCAAAGATGAGCACTCCCGATGTCGGTGACAAATGTGGCAGTCGGCGCTGGTCGACGAAACCAGCCAGCCCCGTGCAGCCGAGGTGCACGGCAGAGCGCTACCATCAGAACGGACAACGCACCTTGGACAAGCAGAGAACTTTTGGCGGTTCATGGGGATAGTTTGTGTTGATCTTGAACGAGAACCTGAAGATGCCCCCCCGGTAGAATCCTGGGCAGCGATCAGGCAGGGTGTTATCAGGAGGAGGCAGGTGGCATTCGTCGTTCGGCCTAACGGTCCAGGTCCTGCGGCCGCCACCGTTGTAGCGGGCTGCTGTCGATCGGGATCACAGGAGCTTGTCCAGCAGCAGCTCTGCCTCCGTGGCATTTCCGCCTTACCTTCGTCAGGAGCGATTGTCAACTCGCTATTGAAGAGGTCGTTCGGATCCGGGAATACCAGTTTCATGGTTCTCGGGATCTGCTCGATATCACCCAAATCTACCGGGGAGAGAATATGTGCAAGGGAATGACTTAGCACCCTGAACCCCACCACCGTCGCCGTTGTCGTCGCTGCCGCCTTGGCACGAACTGGCCCATAACCGATCGCTGTGTTCCTCCGAACTGGCCAAACATATGCCGCCCTCAAGCCTTAGAGAACGACAGATCGGTACCAACCTTTCTGGATTCGGAGCTGGGCAGCCGGAATCTTGGACTTTGTCGCGGCTGGAGAAGCACCCTCCTTGGCCTGAGGTCGAGGGGGTGGCCAAACGAGTGAGCGTCGCTGGGTTGGAAAATACGACGCCACTCCGAGCAGGAGCAGCGATCGACGGGAGGAGATGCGCATGGCAGCAGCAGATGTGCACGGGCGCTACCTTTCTGAGACTCAAAATACCCTTCATGGCTGGTATGTCGGTTGTGGGATGCGGGGAGCCTGCGATGAAGTCTGGACGGTGCTGGGCCGCTCTCGGCACGCTTGGATGGCGGAAGGCACGGCCGTCTGGGGCTTCGGACACGTGGACAGCCTCGCTCACGGGACCGCCGTGCCTTTTTTTGGAACCGCGTGCGACACGAGTGTGCGACAAGGGTGTCAAAAGCGAGACCGGTGCCGTTGCGCTGTCGTGCTGTTGGCATCAGCAGAAGCTGCAGCGACCACACTCGACCAGGGCGGTCTTCGCCAACGCTCAGCAGAGGCAGCGGACGAGCTGTATTCAGGACCAAAGCTACGGGCAGGCGAGTGTGAATGTCCCCCGGCGTGGGTCGCGCCATCCCACGGCGCAACAGATCAACGGCCTTTGGGCAGCGGGCCGTGTGCCTCGAGCCACTGCAGCGCCTGATCCGGGTTGTCCTTGCCCTCCATCAGGCCCTTGACGCACCAGGCTGCAGTGTATCCAAGAGGCTCCAGCTGGGTGGCGAGCATGCGTCGTTGATGGACGGCAGCGTCGCTCACGCAGAGATAGTAGACTGGATTCTGTGCACTGAAGAGAAACGACTTTTTGGCCAGTTCGATTGCAAGGAGAGCCGCTTCGTTGGCGTCGGTAACGGCCGCGCTCTCTGGACTTGGGTTGGTTTTGCAGTACTGCGCATGCAGAGAAGCCGGCCGGAGCGAATATCAGCGATTGGGCAGTACGGCTCGCCACCAAAAGCGCATCTATCATAACCGCTCGTCAAGCGCTCACCTCCAATGCAATGCGATACGATGCAATGCGATGTGGTTTACCTTGTTTTGGCAGAAGGCGTTGCCGCATCCGCTCGTAAGCTGCCCGTGGTATGTCTGCACAATCTTTTGAGTGAGCTTTTGGTTTCCCGGATCGTTTCGTGGGCTCCAGAAGGGCTTGAAGCAGGCCGTGCACAGCTTCATCTGGTTCGGAAACTGGTCGTTCAGGGGATTGGCGCAGTTCTGGTTGCTGCACAGCTGAAAGATTTTCTGGTAGTTGCGCTCGTTCTGGTGCATGGCGTGGTGGGTCTGGATGTCTTTGAGCTGGACATTGCGCTGGCATTTTGTGCACTGAATCGTGCGCGAGCCGCATTCGCCCTCGTGCGAGGTAAGGTTCATAAGAATGTCCTTGGCGAGCGTCGGCTTCGGCCCTGCCTTGACATGCAAATGGCAGTACCGACACGAGATGATACGCTCAGGACAGTCGCTTCGGCGATGTCCGGCCACTTGGTCAAGGGCGAGCTCCCGTCCGCATTCACAGACGAGCGGCGAATGTGCCAGGTCGAGGTGTTTTGCTCTGTCTGCTACAGACCCAGCCTACGCAGAGGGACGGATGCGTTGTTAGAGGAATGACGAGGTCCTTGTGTGAGATCACTGAAGCATTGGTATCTCCGGGAGTCTGATACTGCCGACAGCACAAACCCATTCGCACCAACAGAGCACAATTCCACTACATTCTAGAAGCGCAGATGTGGCCTCACCATCTCACAAAGCTCACAGTGCCAGTGACTGGCAATCTGTGACTTCTGGAAGACCTTGTTGCACCTCGGACACAGCACATTGTTTCGCTCGCAAAAGATTTGATGCATCGGGTAGCTCCGGGTGGGCACCCTGGTCTTGCAGTTGCTGCATTCTGTCAGCGGCTCTGTCGAAGCAGCAGCTTCTGTCGCTTGCCTGTCCAAGCTGGAGGTGCCCTGTTCAGGATCGCCGATTGAGGTCTGGGCTCGTACGGTGAGTCGGTATCGACTGGTGGCGCCCTCGTAGCCGTAGACTCCTATATGGATAAACGGTGAGCCTTCGACCGAATCCATTGGCACGTTCAATACCGATGTTCCTCTGTCGACATTGTAGGCAGAATGATCGAGGCTCGTGGGATGCTCCTGAATGAGCGATACATAGAGATCACAGTCGCAGTTGTCTGCAGTGTCGACAGATATCCGGTACATGCGGTGGGACGGTGATGTTTTGACCTGCACGAACGATAACAGGCGGCGTGGCGGGCCAGCATTGTCGACAGCGTCAGAATAGTTCAAGACGGCAAGACCGAATCTGGGACAGACCGTGCAGTCCGCCCAAGATTGCTCGAGTTGGCGATAGAAAGCATCGCCAGCATTCCTTTCCATGACATCTTACCGAGTAGTGCATATAGCGGCCTTTCTGAACAGCCCCCTCAACGACAGCCTTGAGCTCGGTGGGATGTTGGGCATCTGTGTCTGGGTACAGCACCTGATTCCTGCCAGAGTTGTCGGAGCGGACCGGGCCGATATTGGTGGTGAACTTGAGGCGCACTGCTTCTTCGGCAATGGAGGCATCCAACGGGGCAATGTCGACCTCCATGTCGGTATTAAGACAGAGACAGGCGTCAGCCGGCTTGAGATCCGCCACAATGAACCCATGTTCCTTGAGCTGCTTGGTCTTGGGGTTGATGTGGGGCACCCGCAGAATCTCGCCCTTTGTGACGGTGGTCTGGAACTTGCGGAAGTAGGTCTCCAGGGTGGCTCTGCAGATAGAACGGTTCCACGATGCGATTAGCATGTGGCCCCATGCTCGAATTGCGGATTTCTTCTCTCGAGCCTCACCTACCTCATATTTGCAATCTCGAGGTAATCCGGCTCCATTGGTGCGATGCGAGCCCATATGCACTTGGGCAGCTCAACGAGCTTGACACGGACGCTCGCTGCAGGGTGATCGGTTTGCATCGGGTCGTCCGAGCGGGAGACATTGTCGGCAGGGCCAGGCTCCAGCTCCGATCGAGCTGGGGTCGATGTTGGAGCGCTGCTTTGCGAAGGCACAAAGGCCTCCCATATCGACAGCGGTACCTGGATCTGGTCCTCGTCGGCCGTGTATTCTTCGACGGTGGCATAGACCTTGATTCGGCGGTGATCGGTCGACTGGAGTTCAAAGGTGGTCGGCGACGGCAGAACCACAGGCGGAACCGCAGTCTCGGATGTCAGCTGCAGCAGCTCGTGGAGGGCGCTGGAGCATAGACGGATGCGGTCGCCCTTGAGTGAGGCAGAGGCAGAGAGCGTATACTCCTGCGACCAGAACGGAATCACCGGGGCGAGGGCAGGCGCTGGCGGTTCGGTGATTTGGTAGGGTGAACCGTCGTCGTCGTCGTCGGATGAAGACGGAGATGGGGATCTTGCATGCGAGCGACTCATGGCGAGAGGAGGAGTACGGCGATGGCGATAGCGATGGCGATGGCGATGGCGACGGTGAGATGCAGATGCGATGCAGAGTCGATGCAGTGCCGGCAGCGGCGGCGAGACGCAGATGTGAGTGCAGATGCGGGACGACGACGACGCAGCGCAGAGGGGCCCAATCGAGGATTTCGAATGCCGTTTGCACCAGGGGGCGGCCCTGGCTCGACCGAGACGACGAATACCCCGCGAGTCCAAAGCCGATACCCCGGCAGGGCGATGGCCGTTCTCAGCGCCGGGCCGGATCAGCATCGGCTCGGCATGCGTCCGGTATCCGCTTGATACCCGCTCGGCATTCCTCGGATATCATCCCGGCGCCCATCTGCTTGATACCCGTTCGGCATTCTTCTGCTGCTGGCGGCCCACAACAGGAAACTCAAAACCCTCGGCCGTCCGTCGGCTTCCCTTGCGCCCAGATCGCCCCCCACAGACCAAGTCCGTCTGCGGCCTGCTCAACCTCCCAGCCTTGCGTCCTCGCTGAATCGCTTTTCCCTCGACGTCAGCCTGCCACCATGGCCTCCCCGACCTCAGTCACTCGTATCTGCGGCTCCGACACAAGCAGCTGTGGTTACTGCCACAGCGGCACTCGTTCGAGCGCCTCCTGCGGCATGTGGGCATTCTCGCTCGCACCGCATGCCTACCAAGCTCTCATCGATCGAGGCTGGCGTCGCAGCGGTCAGTACCTCTATATCCCCGATCCACTGATGACCTGTTGTCCCTGCTATACCATCCGAGTGGATGTGGCCGAGTTCAGCCCCTCCAAGAGCCAGAAGAAAACCCTCCGGAAAATGAGACGATACCTCAACACCAAGCCCGGAGACAAGCCGTCTGCGGAAGAGGCCGGCGAAGATGACCCCGCATCGCATTTGACCCATCCGGACCAGCCCGATCAGTCGAGTCCTGCGGCCGGCACCAAGCCCGAAGTGCTGGTCGCCCCAGCCCAAGACGAACCCATCGAGCTCTACAGCGCCGAGCTCCCCGGCCCGAACAAGAAGCTGCTGAAGCAACTCAAGGCCACCAAGATGCAAAGCCAGCACGAACATCCCGATGCTGCCCCAAGGTAGGCAAAGCGCTGCATCGAGCCTGTGTGTCGGTGGCATCTTTCAGCGACGAGACGACAATCCAATCATCGCGATCAATCTTGTTTGCGGATCCGACAACGCTCTCGCCTCACACCGGCTCCGGACAACTGCCGTCTCTTGCAGAGCCGAAAATGCCGTCAATACAAAGAAGCTGAACGACCTATTCAAGGAGATCGAAGCTGGGTCAACACACCAGCTGAGGGTGCGTCTGAACCGCCGACAACCGCGGAGCAGCCCGCCCAATCTGCAACGACCACCAACTGTAGCTGTCGTCTTGCCAGCCGTTTGGGACTCACCCGTCCTGCCCACTGTTCCATATTTGCGTTTCATTCTATAAGGTCGAGCTGGTGCCGGCCAAGTTCGAGCAGGAGACGTTCGAGCTCTTTGCAAAGTATCAGACCCGGGTCCACAAAGATCCGCCCTCCAAGTTCGACGATCCGTCATCGTACATCAGCTTCCTGGTCGACAACCCGTTTCCAAAGGTAAGCGAGTGCACTTGCGCGATCGATTTGTCTGTGGATAAGTCTCCTGGCTCTGTTGCCGCCGCATCGCCGAGTTGCTTGGACCAAGCGCCGTCTCCATGTGAGACGACCCAAAGTCCGTCGATTAGCCTTGGCTGTGCGTGAGCCGATGCGTTCTCGAGCACTCTGTCTGTCCAGGGCAGCGGTGCGATTCTCATGCCTTCGCTTTTGCTTGAAATGCGTTCCAGGCTCAAGGACGCTCGTTAAGCTACGGTGGCTTCCATCAAAAGTACTATTTGGATGACAAGCTGATCGCCGTTGGCGTCATCGACATTCTGCCAAAATGCGTCTCGAGTGTGTACTTTATGTATGATCCGGACATGTCGTTCCTCTCCCTCGGGGTCTACGGAGCCATCCGTGAGGTCATGTTTGCCCAGTCCCTCTCACAGGTCCTGCCCGATCTCAAGTACTACTACATGGGTAAACGTCTTGGGCTGGGTGGTGCGGTATGCGCAGGACAAACAGGAGCCGCCAATGTATACGACTGACACTCGGTTCGTTCATCAAGGATACTACATCCACAGCTGCCCTCAGATGCGCTACAAGGCCCAGTACAGACCCTCGTATCTGTTGTGCCATGTAAGCCTGCCGCATGCTGCGTGGCGACGATGGCAAGCGCAACATTGTATTTGCCCCTCGAATCGATGCTTCCGAGACAACTCGGGGGGGGGGGCGATTGACGTTGCTACGGGATGTGTTTTGCAACGGAGCCACATGGCACTCTTCGAATACTGTCCGGTGATGCAGTCCCATGGCACTGTTCGGGCATGACCCTTGCGACGACTGTGCCGATTCTCCTGGGTTGGAAAGCGGAGCGTCGTGATCTGCGTTGACGACTTGCATCCAACACAGAGAGGGAATGTGGTGTTGCTTGCGCCAATGACGAACAAATGCGCTCTCGTCTCGATATATCCACTCGACAGGACGATTACAAGTGGTACCCCTACGAAAAGTGCGCCAAGCTCCTCGACCAAAACAAACGGGTTTCGTTTTCCGAGTCGCTGAAAGCCGACCCCGAAGGCCAAACCGTGCGACCGCTTTCGGAGAAGCAAGCCAGCGCCGTCAAAGACAGCGATATTATGGATCTGTGGGTTCACACCGGCCGAGAGATTGTCCAGCTAAGGGTATTTATCACATCGACTGCGGCTCTGCTGGCCTCGCACTTCGCTCTCTGTTTGCGTCGCCTCTCGCAATCGCAGTTGCAGCCATTCTTGGTACCGAAGGCAGTTCTATATCGCTGTCGAAACTGCTCGGTTGCGCTCGCATGTGTCTGGTCCAACGCTGTGATCGTGCCAACTTTCGTTGGTGCTGCCCGTTTAACAGCTCGGCCATTCTCCCTCACTTGGCAGCGCGTGTATCGATTCTACAATGATGATATCGCTAAAATCAAGGAGCTTTATGTCTTGGTCGGAGAAGACACTCTTCAGAGCATTGCGCTCAACATCTAGTAGCCAAACGATTCTCTTGTATTTGTCAATGATCATCCCTTTGGCCTCATCCTTGTCTGATCATTGGCTTGTCGGCACTCCCAAAAACGGATACACAACTATCGATCTGAGGGAGAGTACCAAGCCACCCCTGCATCTGAGCCGTTGGCTTCCTCGTCCATGCGAATCGTATTCGTTTGTCCCCTGTACCATCGAGCGGGTCACCACGACTTTGTTTGGGAAACCAAGGGATCTAATAGCCTGCCGCCAGCCCTCCTTTGCGTGGATCGGCCGCCGCTGGAATGGGCAAGGGCAACGCATGAAGAAGTCGGGTCAGCGGCCACTCGGTTGTAGAGACCCTGTGCTCAGTACGCGGCTCTCCGGAGGCGAGGAGAACGTCAGCGGCCCGCGATGCTTAAATCCGGTTTACCTTGGATAGTTCCGTCCTTTAGTTTCTTCACCACGGACACCCCGGTGAACGCCGATGGAGCCAAGCGAGTAACCTGAATTCAGTGCATTTCCAAACAGATGGGGCGGAGATTGTGGGCTCTGCTGAGTCAGCCATTGTAGCGCGACAACTGCCTCGGAATTGTGTTAGATTTGGATATGCTATCTTACGTTGTGACCGCGGCTGATGAGTGATCTTTCGATTGCTGGGTCAACGCTGTACTCCAGCGACGCCTGGTTCGATGAAGAGCGGGGGGAAACGACATATCAATTGAGTGGGATCGCTCTTTCCGGCTCGGCATCGAGAGAGAGAGAGAGAGAGGCGGGACACTGGATGTGTATGTTCCAGAGACTCACCAGGTTTGGAAACAGCTGGTGATGGATGCGAGGCAGTCGCAGGGCCTCCAGCGGGTCCATGCCAAACTCAAGCGTGCAAAGTGTAGTCCACATGCTGGCCGTCGGAATCATACTGCCACCTGAGGCGCCGACGACGAGCTCGACCTCGCCGTCACGCTCAATGATGGCTGGGACCGAAGACGAAGTCATTCTCTTTCCGGGCTTGATGAAGTTGTACGGCGACGGAGCGAGGCCGAACGCATTCGAGACACCGGGAATGGAAAAATCATCCTGGCCCCATGAGGTGCGGGAAGAGTGTCCAGGTATCGTCAGGACTACCAGAGGCCCGATCCAGAAGGCAGTTTGTGTGTTGAGCAATTGTCTTGCCCCCATCGGCCTGGTTTTGGTCGGGATCGACAGCAGGCCACTCACCATCTCGTCGTTCAGAATGATACCGGTTTCGGGGTCCATCAACCGAGCGCCAAAGATAAGATTGACCTGTGACAAGCAAAGAGCAATCAGTCTTGCACATAACCACCGGGGCTCGCGGGCCGGCACAGACAGCAAGATCCATGAGCACACTTACTGTTGATGTCAGGCTGACAGCCGAACCATCGGCCGTCAAGACCGAAACGTGCATCTAATGCATGTAAGAAGCGAGAGGCATCAGTCGAGGGGCGGTCATCGACTGGAACTGAACAGCAACAGCAACAGCAACAGCAACAGCAACAGCAACAGCAACAGCAACAGCAACAGCAACAGCAACAGCAACAGCAACAGCAACAGCAACAGCAACAGCAACAGCAACAGCAACAGCAACAGCAACAGCAACAGCAACAGCAACAGCAACAGCAACAGCAACAGCAGCAGTGCGGGGGTCCCATACAGTTCCGTGGTTATCCTTGATGTAATATTCAGGCTGGTAGTGCTGGATGTCGTTGAAGGTGTGGTCGTCCGAGGTATTGTGTCGGTAGGCTGCCGCCAGGTCCTTGTCGATGAACTTGTGCATGATACTCGTGATATTGGAGAACACGGCCTGGGAGATCCCCCCCCCCACAGATGAGCCCTGTCAGAATCGGAGGTCTCAAGGCGCTATGGCTCCACTGCCATGCTTTGTGGAGAGCCTGCTAATGCTGCTGATGCCGCTCTTGAAATCGAATACAGCCTCCAGCCACGAAAAAAACATCGCTACTAACATCGGCAGGATCACCGTAAAAACCTCGTTGAGCATACGCATATTTGAACGCCTCGATGATCCTGGGTGCCAAAGAATGCTCGTCAGTCGCTGCAGACGCTCGCACGGTTTGGCACGACGACGCGCAATGCCGATAATGGCACCAACAGCCGACAACCGCGATGGCGATGGCGATTCTGCTGCACAGCGCCGAGCCGGGTACCAGAGACAGAATGCTCACCTATGGTAGTTAAGTAGGGTAAGGCCTTCTCCGCGCAGATCGTATCCCTCCAGGATGTTCATGATGGTGATAAAGACAGCACCGCTGTGTGTGGCCGAGGATCAGAGCCAGCGTCAGAGCCAGTATCGAAATCGCAACGAGCATCAGACTCAGGATCAATCGAGGCTTTCGTTGTCCCTGTAAAGGCGTGTTCAGATCTTGGACGTCAGCACAGACACGAACCTCGATGGAGGCGGGCCAGTGATGACCTTGCGACCATGGTAGTATCCGACCACAGTCTCGTTGACATGCACACGGTAGTTTGCCAGATCCTCAAGCGTCAGTATTCCACCGGCGCCCTGGACGGTCTTGACGAGGCTGTGGGCAATCGAGCCACGATAGAATGAGTCGACACCTTCGTCGGCTATGATCTGTAGCGTCTTGCCGAGGGTCACCCGCTTGATGTGCTGCCCTTCCTTGAGACCAGTGCCGTTGGGAGCAAAGACTGCAGAGAATGCCGGATCCTTCAGCAGCCACGGCTCAGCAGTCTGTTGGTTAAATGAGTGATATCACAGACGGATACAGTTTAGATTGCTGGTGCGGTTCGACAGCGTGAGCAATACGACGCTGGGGATGCACAACCCGGCATGTCCTTACCGCAATCCTCTGGGCAAGCAGCGGGGAGACGGTCCAGCCCTCGATGCACAGGTCAGCAGCAGGCTGAACCAGACGCTTCCAAGGCAGCTTGCCATATCTGGGAGGCATATGAGATATAAGCCACGCAAAACAGCCAGGATGCGCAGAGCATGCGAGACAACCGAGCCGCACGAGGCACGGACAGCCCAACGATTCCCCATTGGCTCAGCCATGCATGAGGACTGCCGACCTACCGTCTGTGGGCCTCATGGTAGCCCATGGGCTCTCCTGGAACACCCACGGCTAGGCCTCCAACCTGGGCGAGTTTTGGATCTTGGGTGAACATATCCTCGGTCGCGGCACCAGGAGCTTGCTCACGAAAGTCCAAGAACGACGAGTTGCCGTTGGGCTGGCGAACGACCATGAATCCACCGCTGTCGATTATTGGGGTTCAAAGCATAATCAGACCACCAGTTGGCGGAAGTCCACTCGAGCATGACAAACACAGCCAACACACACCCACTCGCTCGGCGGCCAGGGTCTCACCATCGAGAGCATCCACTTACCCTCCAATGCCAGAGGAGTATGAATTGGTCACTCCGATACAAAATCCAGTAGCAACGGCCGCATCAACGGCCGATCCGCCGTCTTTGAGGACCTCGACGCCGATCTCGCTGCAGATTCCATTTTCGCTTGAAACAGCACCGTTGCGGGCCACAACCAAGCCTGGGGTGGAGACTATATTCGGGATTAGCGCCGTATCAGAGGAGAACGGGCTGAGTGCCCAGGCAGATCCGTTTTGGCTGACCAACCTCGGGGCTGGGGGTTGGATCGCTTAGAGATATCGAACGAGGTAAAGAGGGTCGTGCCAACTGTCGTTGATGCGAATCGCAGAGAGTATTGGTGGCAGCGCGATAGGAAAGGGAGCATTAGCGGATTGTTTGGAAAGGGTCAGTAAAGGCGGCATCGCTTGTCGGGATGCCGCAGCGCCTGCTGGTGTGGACGGGGTTGGCCCTGGGCACGAATCCGATCTAGTCCGGTGCCGACAGCGGGTCATACCGACGACGACAAGGACGACGAGGACGATCGATCGGAGTCGCAGGCGCATGAATCTCCTGTCGCCCAGGCAGAGCAGGCGTCGGATCGGAAGCGCCATGACAGAGTCGTTCAGCAGCGGGGTTGACTGGTGCGATGGGGAGCGAGCGGGTGAGCACGGCAGGCTGAAGAGGCCAGGAGCAGAGGCAGCAACTGGTGACGACACAAAGGGCAAGCCGCTGGTGCAGAGACCGAGAAGCACGGCTCTCACCTCGGAGGGGCGTTTCGCCTGCGACATGTCTGGGAAACCAGGGCGGCGGGCTTGCTTTCGAGGCCGGCGAGGCCAGATTTATACACCGGATCCACGGCCGGGCGGGATGGGCATCCGGCTCGTTCGACAGCAGAATGCGGTGGCAAACAAGAGCCACTCCGTCGAAAGCGGGCAGATCGATCAGCAGCCGGATCACACGCATCCGGACTGCACACGCATCCAGACAATACGCAGCGGTGCTGCCATGGATCTGTTCGGCCGTCGCTCTGATGATGCCATACATCCCGTGGATGCATCTAATGCATTTCGCATCAGATCCATTGCGCACCTGATGCATTTCACATCATATATACACCCCATGCATATAATATACGGTATATCCCATGCATATACCATACCCATCCTACACATCCTACACATCCTTCGCATCCTACACATCCTACACATCCTACACATCCTACACATCCTTCGCATCCTACACATCCTTCGCATCCTACACATCCACTGCCCCACGCCCAAACCAACGCCATCCCATGTGTCCGGTCACATGACGGCCCCGTTCGCCATCCGTCGCAGCCGCCGCAGACGCATTTCTGTTCCTTGCTCCGCCCATCGCCTCTGCCTGTTCCAGAGCCCGACGGCCTCCTCCGGGATGTCCTCAACCGACCCCAAGGGTAGGTCCAGAGCAAGCCCCAGCCGGACCGCAGGCCCGTCCAGCTCCGGCCTCCTAACCCCAGCGTCCGCCCTCCCTGCCCTTGCCAGCGATCCCGTGCAAGTTCTATTTGCTCGGATCGTGTCGAGCTGGATCAAAATGCAAGTTCTCCCACAAGCGGGACGTATCCGCCGACTCTCTTGTCTGTCAGTGTAGGTCACCGTCGCTTGCACCGGTTCGGCCGGCCGTCCCGTCTTTGGTCGGAGCAGGTCAGGCTGCACCCTGGGCAAGCCTGACCCAGGTCGGCTGTCAGCTTCGATCAGTCTCCCACAACCCGCTAATCGCTGTATCTCTGCGTATGATCCAACCCGTGATGGCATCAAAGACTATCTGATGGGTAACTGCCGATATGGTGCAAATTGTAAGTTGCTGCCCTATCGCTTCCCTTCTCCAGCATAAGCCGCGGATCGAGGCGGCCAAGATAGGTGCTTCTGCCAGTGTCCCCAGTATGCCCTCCGATGGGCTTGGCCGACGTCTCGGCGGCAATCGGGACCGGGGCCTGTCCGGCTGACCCTGTGTCGCTCCTGTCCAGGCGCACTCCCCCATGTCAAGCCGAAACCTCAGCAGGCGGCAAGCCCGTCCAGCTCGCGGCCACCCAAGACCCGAACACCTTCGACTCCACCTCCCAGCTCGGGCCGGGGGGCACTGTCGCCGGTATCCATGGCTGCAAGCCCGCCGTTCGCTCCCCAGTCAAGTCTCGAGATGGCTTCGATGCTTCCGAGCGATGCAGTCCCTCTGTTCCATGCTCTGGACACACTGCGGACTCAGTTCCAGGAGGACGAGTACGTCGAACATGCCATCTTGCCGTCATCGCTGAACGACCTGATGACACCTATGGAGCAGCTGTGTTTTTCGGCGTCGTCCAAGGGTTCGAGCTGGAGCGAAGAACCCGATCCCTCCGACAAGCTCTCATACTCACAAATCGCAAAGATGGCTGCCATCGAGAGCACGTATGTCAAGAGCCCTACCAAGCCACGACTTCAGAATGCGCCTGTTTCTCTCCCTGGAAATGCCGTGCCAAGCGGCACCGTGGCCTTCGAGGCCATGGTTCTCTGCCCGTTTGCGATGCAAGGAGCCTGTCGGTACGGAGACAAGTGCAGATACATCCACGGCCTCGAGTGTCCCAGCTGCGGAAAGTGTGTGCTGGATCCGTTTCATTCGCCTGAGCAACACGAAGGTGAGTCGCTCTTTAGGCGCAGACTCGGGCCCTGGACAAATCCCCGCACACCTGGATTTGCCTCCTGGATTTGGCTCCTGGATTTGGCTCCTGGATTTGCGGGTGAGCGTTCACTCACAAGCACTGTGCCTCGATATCAGAGGAGCACATCCAGAAATGCCGTGAATCAAAGGTGCTGGAGTCCAAGACGGAAGCATCCCTCCGAAACAGCGAGGACATGGAATGTGTCGTTTGTATGGAGCCGGTCTTGTCCAAGCGTGACCCGCGGTTTGGGCTTCTGAGTAAGTTTGGTATTTTGTTCTTGTTTCTATTGGAATTGGCTCGGATCCCGGCTTATTCGTGCTTTGAATGACGCATTGGTCCGCTGCTGACATGAGCTGGATTTGGTATTGAATGACCAGACTGTGAGCACTGCGTGTGTCTGGGATGCATCCGCCAGTGGCGCCAGAACGAGCGCATGGACACAGCAAAGGTAAGCCCGAGGAGAAAGCGCTGCCAAGATGCGGCCGGCACCTTTTATAGCCCTCGACTGCCACAGATCTATCCCTCACCAATCGACTCACCTTTTCCCACACGTTTCTTGATGCAGACATGTCCCATATGCCGGACCGTGACGCATTTCGTGGTGCCGTCGGCAGTATGGATCACGGATGCGGAAGAGAAGCAGCAGGTAATCGAAGACTACAAAACCAAGTTGAGGTATGTATCTTTGGAGCAGTCTCGGCAACCCCAGCCATCTGCCAGCAACGCAGCGAGTGGCATGGGCGGTGGCGTGGCAAATATAATGACCTGAGGCGTACGCTTATGCATATCTGCATGCTGACGACGGCTGGGCTCTTTCTACTGCTTCGAAACCTCCATGTCTCCATGTCTCTATGTGATATACATCGCCCGATAGGTCCATCGACTGCAAGCACTACAATTTTGGAGACGGGACCTGTCCCTTTGGAACCTCATGCTTCTTCCGCCATGTCAACCACGACGGCGTGCCCGAGCAGATCAAGCTTCGAACCGTCCTTGGAACCGACGACGAGGTCCGGGTTGTCAGCACAGTCAAGCTCTCGGACTTTCTGGATCGCCATTGAGCCTGTTGACTCTGGAAGGGAGGAGGTAGACCGCCGGAGCCTTGCGTCGCTCGGGTTCGTGTCAGGGACATGGATCCACACGAGACACATCAACTGCTCGCATTCGACCCTGCTGACCCGTCCACGACCAGCGTGCGAAAAACAACCGTAATATATACATCCATAGAGAGACCTTGACTGCAATGTTGTGCCCAGGCGCTCGGGGACGGTGTCGCTGGACACTGGTGTGGGGACTGCTTGGTGAGGAGGACAATGACGGCCTCACTGACCGACTTGTGCATCTTCAGACACATCGAGGGAGGTTGCGGACTTTCGCCACTGCAACCAGCACATACAGCGTTTCCAAAATGAAATGGGACACCCCGTTGAGCCATGACAGGGCTTTTTTCTGTGATCTGAATACACCCACCCACTCATCGCAATCATGGCCAAGCACAGCACCCTCGATTTCCGCATCGCTGCACTGCGACCGGTGGTCTTCACTCGGAGGGTGGTCTTCACTCGGAGGCTGCCAAAGTGATCTGCTCTATTTCTTATGGCATAGTTAGACGCATGCCATCGCATACTGCGCTGACAAATGGGTTGTGGGCAGGTGTCCCATTTCCCCCTGAATACAGTGTATACCCACACGCCGCAAGCGACATGCACTCGCGCCATTGTGGACGCAACAAATGCACGAGCAAGCACATTGTTTTGCAATATTCGCGGTGACATTCGCAATGGCAGGCTGCGCCATTAGTCTCAAGGAATTACCGGATGCCATCCAAGCCACCGCGACACACATCGCTGCAGTGTCATTCAAATCTTGTAGGCTCGCTGGAGGCGATCGACATCTGATGCTTCAAACGCACTACCCGGCGAGTGGTGGCGCAGGTGCTCCAGCACCGCAGTCAGGCCTGTCGCAGAATCAGTCAAGGGGCGGAACAGGGGGCATCAGTGATCAAGATCGAGTGAATCTCAGCATGTATCCCGCAAACACTCCCCACAATGCGAAATCCTGCATACCAGTCTTGTCTTTCTTGGACATGAACATGAGGGTCATCTCAAAGCGCGGCAGCCTGGACAGGCTATCCAGAACCAAGTAAATTGAATCTGTCGGCTCAGAGCTATGCAACGTGTACGAGAGCGGTATTGTGAATGGTTATTAACAGCGCCGTGGGCTTGCGGGAAGCGGCCGCTGCAATCCATCGGACGGCCAGGTGATAGGTGGGATGATATCCTGCATAGAGGCGTTTGAGCCCGTGCAATAAGACACCATACCCGATGTAGCATTTTTGCAGGATCTCGACGATCCGAGCCAAATAGTCGCTGTCGAGTGCATTCTTGAAGATCTTGGAGTAGTCGGTGGTCGGAATGACCTGAAGCCGGATAAGTCGGGCAGTCAGTCGCTGTGGGACGATGCCAGACCAGACAGAGGAGCAAATACACTGCGGAGCGCTGAACCCACCTTGAAGTACTTGTAGGCCTGCTCGTCGTCCCGCTTGACGCTCTTCCAGTCTCGCTCGAACTCAAACATGGTCTTGGGCACAGAGAACTTGGAGACAGGGCCTGCGTTGGCATACGGCTGCGTCGTGGATGGGGCCGTTCCGCCTGGCCGGATCTCGGGTGCCGTGGTGGCAGCGGTGGCGGCGGTGGTGTCCATAAGCTCCTGGATGAGCGGACCCTTTCTTGGCTCGCTAATGCTCTTCGAGAGAGTGTGTGGTTCGGGCTGCGCTTGCAACGCATTAGTGAAATGATCTGCAAATGAAATGGAGAAGTAGGGTGTCCTGAGCTTGCCGCAAACGATAGACTAACTTACGTCCAGAGTGTCATCGGGCTTGGTCGCGGTTGGTGCAGCTGACAGCATCGAAATGGCTGATGCAGCCGGTGGTGTCGCTGAGGACATGGGGTCCAAGGCTGCCTCGACAGCACTGTCGCTCGGAGTGGCCTCAAATGGGCGGTGCGGTGGCGCTGGGTTGATGCGGGGTGGTTCCTCGTCGTTGCGCTGCAGTGGTTTCGTCACAGGGATCGGCTCGCCAATTTCCTTGATGACAAGTCTGCGGCGGACAGGCTTGCCGGGAATTTTCTTTGGTTCTGTAGAACTCGCCGACTGAACCCGAGCGGCGCTGGCCGGCGATGATTTGGCGATTGCCAAAGGCTTTGGCTCGGCCGCAGAGGCAGGCTGCGTTGGAGACGGTGATTTCTGAGGCCGCATCTTTTCATAAAGCTTGGCAAGATCGTCCTTGATCATCTTGTTGGTGGGCTCAAGGACTGCGGCAGCCTCCAGATCTAGAAAACGGATGGAAAGACTGTTATGTGGCAGTTCATACGATGCAAGTGCTCGATCTGCACTAGCACTGGCCGTGGAGCCGCCTGAGGTCGCCGAGGTGCTCTCGATAGAGAACTGACCCTTCTTCGAGTCCTCGAGCTGGCCCAGCTCTCTCCGGGCCAGGCCGCGTCTCCAGAGCGCCTTGATGTTCTTCGAGTCCAGCTGCAGACATCGCGTACAGTCCCGCTCGGCCTCTGCATACTGTTGCGTCTTAATCAGGGCCATGGCTCGGTTGAGGGGCAGGACGGCGTTGGTTGGATCAAACTTCATGCCCTTTCCATAGTGAGTGATGGCACGCTGATAGTCTCCCTTCTTGAAGAACTCGTTGCCCTGGTGCCAGTTTGAAATTGGATCAGCCGCGTGTCGGCGGTTTTACCCAGAGTATCGCCGCAGCAGCCTCACCATTTCCTTCTCGATCAAAGACTTTTCGATCCGGGACTGCTCTTCAAGGACCTGCTTGGACTCGGCGGGAGTCGGGGGAGGCTGTGTGCGATTCTCTTCCTGCTCGTCCATGTCCTGGAGGGCCTTGTCCTGTCGATCAACAGATGGTCGGGGGCAGACGGTTGATACTCTGTGATCTCAGTCCAACCATAGCTCTCTCGCTGTTTTGCTGAGTGGATGGCTGAGTTGGATTGCGCACTTACCACGTCAAACTTATCCCAGGCACGGTAGTCCGAGCTCTTGATCTTCTTGGGCTTTGCAGGCCCATCCCCGATGTCAGCTGCGTCCGCCGACGGAGATGGGATGTGCACTTCTGCATCTCCGAGAACAATGTCGCCACGGCTCCGGACAGGAGGGATATGCTGCAGCACAGGGCCAGAGGCGAGTTGGTGTGAGCGGGATGGAAGGGGATTGGAAACCACTGCGATAAAACAGCCAGATCGATCCGATACCTCTCCCCAGACGGGTGCTTTGCGGGCAGCTCGATCTTTGGCCTTGATGTCTTTCTCCCAGGTGAGGATATCTTGCACGTACTCCTGCGGTCGGCGTCGTCGGCATATATTCGCAGCGAGCCAGCGCCATGCGGTGTCCAGATATCGATGGTATTCATTTGGCGGAATCGAAGCATTCGTCCAGAAACACCGATCCCGGATTCGAGATCGGGCCAGGTTGTGGAGCAAAGTTAACGAATGCTGCGGAATCGAAGTCCATATCCGGCCAGCGACATCCCCCGCGAGGATTATCTTGGAGCCGATCGGGAGCCCAGATCGGGGCTGCTCGTTGGCCATGAAGCCGGCTGTCTGTGGAGGACACGTACCCGATACTCTTCGGCGTTGCGGCGCACTTGCAGAGCGATTTCGGCCATGGCAGACGGCGGATGCAGGAGGATGTGCGGGATTCGGGGCAGCAACAGCAGCAGCAGCAGCAGCCGTTGTCGATCAGCGAAACGAAAGGAAGAGAGCGAGCCGCGAGCCAAACACGCAGCGGCGCCAGATTTCAAGCGAGCGAGCCAAATGGTGCAAGACGGCGCAGAACAATACAGCCTCTGCCGACGAAAACGAAGCCCTCGATAGACGAGGTTTGGCCTGCCCCAGGACGAAATGGAGCATTGTGTGGCTCGTCGAATGCGATGTATATCCAGCCCGAACATAACTCTGTGCCATGAGAACGGCTACCACACTGATTTGAAAGCTACCCCTCCAGCGCCCGAACGAGGAGAGGAGCCCCAGGCGACGGGACTGGGCGCAGGGCAAAGGCCATGCCTCCATGGGCAGATGGTAACTGTGCATGGCTTATCGTGTGTATTCACACCAAAACAATGACGACGACATTCAGGACATTTCGTTCATATGTGAGGACAAGCGGGGCTATCGCAGGGCAGCGAGCTCGCTTTCGAGCTGCTGCTTGGCTTCCTGAAGCTGCTGGAGGCGCTGCTCTCCCTCGACGTTCCGCGGGATGCCGCCGGTATTGGCCTCTTCGCCTCGGAACATGCCTCCGGGCCGGACAGCCCAAGACGAGGCATACTTGGCGTTGATTTGGAGCTGGTGGATGATTTTGGTATCCATGTCCCGGATCTGCTGCTGGAGCTGCTGGATCCTGAGCTCGGGGTCGACTGGGCGAACGGACTCGACCATGGGTGCGGATGCGAATGCGGATGCGAGACTGGAAAGCAGGAGGACGACGGACAGGGTGGTGAGGAGTTTCATTGGTGTTGATGGGGCGAGGGTGCATTCAGCGCCGAGAGCCGCCAAGAGCGCCGAGGGCCATGGACCCGCGTCACGTGGGTGCCTGATCGAAACTTCTCGTCCCGCATCCCGCACCAGCAACACCCGTGCCCTTGCCCGCGATGGCATCAGCATCAGCATCAGCATCAGCATCAGCATCAGCATCAGCATCGGCATCAGCATCAGCATCAGCATCAGCATCGGCATCAGCATCGGCATCAGCATCGGCATCAGCATCAGCACCTGCATCGCCGGAGCAGGCCCCGCTGTCGCTGCCCTTCTACTGCTGCTATCTGCTGAGGCCTGCTCGTCCCTCGAGCACCAGCCGCGCATACACATATGTCGGATCCACACCAGGTGCAGTTCAGCATCCCGATTGACGTGAACACCAGCACCAGCACCAGCACCAGCAGCCCGCTTTCGGACCACGATACTGACGCACACCGGAACCCGATGGCCGACGGCACTGCCCGTAGATCCTATTCGTCGTCTGCGCCAACACAATGGAGAGATCAAGGGCGGGGCAGTAAGGACGTCGCGGTACCGGCCAGGTAAGGCAGCACCGATACAGCTTCATCCGCACTGGATCTCTTGCGACCTCGCAGTCATCGCCGACAGTGCTATGGTTGCAGCGATCACTTGTCGAGCGGTCTGGCTCGCCGCGCCCGGCCCTTTAACTCACCATGTCATCTTCAACCATCCCCTCGGTCTTGGTGTCGTCACCACACCAGTCGAGATGGTTCTGCTGGTCTATGGATTCCCCAATCGCAACTCTGCCCTTCAGTTCGAGTGGGCCTGGCAATATCCCAACCGGACCCGTCATATTGAGTCCAGATCATCTTCCAAGACCCTGGCTTCGAGGCTGCAGGCCCTCGAATCGTTGTCGACCTCGAAGCGCTGGTGTCGGTGGCCCCTCAAAGTCCTGATTCTTGACCCCAATCTCAAGCTGCCTCGGTCGTCTGCTCCAAGTCGATCCGCCGACACCTTCCTGCCATATCCGATATCGTATGGTCACATCAAAGAGCTTCCGTACGATATCGGCGACGCCGTGGCTGCCGGTGAGTGCTGCGACCAGCACCATGCACTTTATTTATCGGATGCACGCTGGCCCCTTCTGATGGATCGCTGATTGCCCGGGCTGCACACTGTCGTAACCGCCGATAGAGTTCCATCGTCAAGACCACCTCAAACTCGTCAGCGGCGCCGACCCACTGCCGACCCACCGTTGCTGCAAAATATGCACCTGCAATGTATCGCTTGCCCGACTCGCTTCCTGGGTCGGCTGCATCGACTGCAAGGCGATCTTCCATCTGGGATGTCTTGCCAAGAGGTTCCTGGCACAGGAAGCGGGTGCACTCCCGTGTCCGTCGGAATCCTCCGGTCGCGAGCTGATGCCAGTGTCCGGCGCCTGTCCTGGATGCAGTCGGCGGCTCGAATGGGGAAGTCTCATCGAGGGTCTCAGAATCCGGATCCGTGACAAGTGCGAGAGGTCGCCTCAAGGCGGCGTTGCTGACGAGGACTCGGGCTCGGAGTCGGAGTGCCAAATTTCGTCCAGCGAAGAAGAGAATACCAACGACAGGAGCGAGCTTGCGTCGATCTGCAACGACTCTGACCCAGTGGGCAGCCTTTCAAGCCAGCCCAGCCAGCCAAGCGCATCGGCAATGCACGAATCGTCAACACGGAGAAAGCCTGGTGCCATCATAGGCTTGGACAGCAGTAACGAATTAGACCACCCCAGGGATCTCACTGCCGTGGCTCCGCTTGGATCAGCATCCGGATCTTCGCCTCGACCACGCAGATGCATCTCCAAGAACAAAATGGCGTCGGCACAAGCCCTGAATGGCAAACCGACGGCAGCCGCAAGAGCACATGCACAACCAGCGACTCGGGGTTCTCGCGCTGCAAATCAAAGTGCTCTTGGTTGGAAGCAGGCCAAGTCCGTTTTGGTGTCGATATCCTCGTCCGATATGTCCGCAAACCTCACATGCTCTCGTAAGTCGCCCGGACGCCGGCTGCCAGAGAAGGCATCGGCTCCACCACTTGGACTCTGCGACACAAGCGACGAGGAGACGATCGGTTCCCAACGAACGACACAGTCCCAGGGCCAACTGTCCCGTTCGAGGGCACAGGCAGACGATCCCCGAAATGCCGCCATTCTTGTCCCAAGCGACGATTCGGATTGAATGGCACTTCATATGAGTTCGTGTTCGCGCAAGCTGCAGCACAATGAATAATAGTATTTCCTGTATCGACCAGAGGTGATCTGACGCAAAGTATGCTCGACAGCACTGTCCCATGCGCGCAGTTGCAGTGGTTTCTACAGCCGCAATACCCAAGCTGGACTAGACGGACGGAGTGTACGGATGGCCATCCACAGCGGCAGTGATTCTCTGTGCCCACTGTTCCACCGAGGCCTGGTCTCGCCCAACAACCGAGACAACCACCCGAACATTCCTGCCAGCCTGACCCTCCGCCGCCCACAGCGGGTACGATCCAATTTTGACATCTTGTCGGCTGGCATCGGCCTGGATGTCCGTCAGGGCCTTGGCTATCGTGGACTCGAGCTGCGCGGTCCCGATGAGCAGTCGGTGGAAGCGCTGTGAGGATGCAAGGAAATCTCTGAAGTAGTCATCGACGAGGTCACGAAAGAGCTTTGGGATGCCTGGTGGATACGGACGCACATAGTCAACCATGGGTCCGTTTATGCCGATCGGCAATCGTAAGCAACCGGCTTTCTTTAACGAGTGAATACCGTCGCGTGGATTGCCAGTCGCCGCATCCATCATGCCGCCCTCTGCGTCCCGCCTTTTACTGAACGTACCTGGGAGTATGTGCACATTGTCCACAATAGAGATCGGAACCCACAAATGGGGGCATGGGTACTCTACACGGGCATTGGGTCCGGTTGGCAGCAGCGCCATGCGCTCGCGGGCCTTGACAACGTCCGCCGGGTCGTCGGTAAAGATCCATCGCTTGCCTGTTTGGGCCGACTTGATGTTTTCCATGCGGCGGATCGTTGGCTCATGCAGGACGAGCGGCAGATCGAATGCTTTGGCAATCGACTCGTATGTGATGTCATCGTGGGTTGGTCTGCAGTTTATCCGCAATGACCCACAAGCACAGCGCAGTGGCAGTTAGATGCCAGATGTGCAAATCCGCAGCTGCGTGCTTGGCCTGCGGACCGGCATTACCAAGAGCCAAGCAGCGAAACCCCGTCTCTGCGACACGAACCCGATGCCGCCGCTGGTGAAGACGTATTGGTATTTGCTCGACATCTCCAAGACCGAGTCGGCGATTTCTTCCTGCGCATCCGGCACGACAGCAATCCGCTTCAGCTCCAGGCCGTGCTGGAAGCATGCTTTGGCAAGATAGTTCGAATTGGTGTCGAGGGTCTTGCCGTTCAGAATCTCGTCGCCGATGATGAGGCATCCGACAGAGCCGGGAGCGCGGGTGCTTGAGTATCTCTTGATCGAGTCGGTGAGCACCAGGCCAGTGTACCGGACGAGTGCCGGGGTGCCGGGCTATGTGGTGGTGAGCGCACGGTCGGGTCCGCAAAATGGCGTGCAATGAGTCCGCACCCTGGGCAAGTCCCGCGGAGATGCGGAAGGCTATAGCCTGCATCATGGACACGCAGGCATCGAGCATGGAGACAGCAAGATACCTTGAGGAACCGCGACGCAAGCACGAACGACATGGCTGCACTGAAGTTCAAAGACTCCGACGAGAGACGGCCGACCGACGATGGCTGTGTGCTCTCGGCCGCGGGTTCGAGAACGATGCAGATCGAAGATGCGAGCTCGGTCTGGTTGGACGCGGATGTGACACTATGAAAAAATTTCTTGTTAAAAAAATGAGCGAGAACGAAAAAACGCGCTCTCGGAGCCACCTCGGTCGGCGAGAAGAGCAGTCTCTGGCGAGAGACCCCCGAGGGAAGGCGAGAAGCCTCTCGCCGTCACACACACACACACACACACACACACACACACACACACACACACACACACACACTTTGCACAAGGGAGTCAACCACCTCCCATCGACCATCCCAAGAGGGATGGCAACCCCGAAGTGGACTGCCCAGAATATGGGCGACCCGGCATCCACTGTCGAAATACTCAAGAAACAGTGCAAGATACTTACAGTCTATCCAGAAAGAAACGGGACAGTCACTTCCTGGCTTCAGATGTCTGAACCCGCCGACTGACTTGTAGGCCCAGCGGGCAGGCCATGTGATTGTTTCCCGTCTTGGTTGGCAATCGAGTGGTTTTGGTTTCGGGAGCACAGTCTTGAATACACCCGGCCGATCTCCTGTGGCGATGATCGACTGGCATACCGAGATCATATTCCTGGCTGCATTGATGTCTCGATCCCACAGCGTATGGCAGCTTGCACAGCTCCGTACATAATGTGGCTTCTCGATATCAAGATACTCGGGTGACTCGAGTCGCTTGGCTTCCCGACAATGTGAGAACACCTGGGATGTGTTGAACTCGTTCACCGAGCACACATGGATCTTGGAGACGGATCGGTCTGGTGGTCGTCTCTGGTGGTGGTGGAATTGCTCAAAGTACTTGACAAACCTGAGTCTCCTGGGACTGGATGCATATCCCTTCCCTTGCTTCCAGGAGGCATTCCCAAAGGCAATCACCACTTCGGTCTCCTTTGGTGCCTGGTCGATGACTTGCTTGCACATCTCGTGGACGGTGCGCTGTCGCTTGCTGTGGAGATCGAGTCGCTTGAACCGCCGTCGCCGGGTCAGGCTGAAGTACAGCTGTTTCTCCAGCATGTCTCCATCGAACACATGGCGAATGTATTGCAGGAAGGGAGCCAACCCAGGGATCTTGGGACTTGGTGTGGTGCTCATCCACTGCTGCAGACCAAGGATCTTGTGGGTGCTCTGGATCCACTTGGTCGCTTGGGTGGTGCCACATCGATGCTGGTACTCCTTGTTGGAGAACGACACGATCTTCTCGTTGGCACGCTGTGCCTTGGTCACCTTGACACCGTCTTGCTCCTGGATGGATGGTTGACCGGGTGCCCGAATCACAGCGGTGAAGATCGATCCCACACCAGGGTCGATCCCGATCCAGGTTGTCCGAGAGTCGTCAATGGGACCGACCCTGGTCTGGATCTTCTTCTCGGGAGTGAGTGCGCTCGCCTTGTCGTCCTTGTCCACGGGTTCTGGTTTGGCATCAGGATCCTTCTTCAGGATCTTGTACCTGAGTGTGGTGATCGAGCACCCGACTCCATCGGTGGTGATCTCGCAACCAAAGAGCTGCTTGCCCTCCTTCCTGGCACCAAAGAGTCTCGGATCCAGCTTGAAGTTGGTCTGCCAGAAGGACTCTTGCTTTGTGGTGTCGTTGACCTTGGTCTTCAGGTCGTCCCACTTGAGACCAGTGCCAGTCTGGTATCCAAGGATCTCCCACAGTGCTTTGGTGTCGAGCTTGATGTACTTGGCTCGGGCATCGCAGAGAGGGACCAAGGTGCACTGTGCTCGAGGGGTGTTGAGGCGCTTCTTGGTCTAGGCAAGTCGATCGGCCAGTCGCTTGATCCGCTTCGTGTTCACAGCGATCTGCTTGCACACCTCCTCGTGCTGGGTCTGGAGTGCGTTGTATTGATCCGATTGCCTACGTTCGATAGCGCGACACATCTCCTCGTTCAGTCGTCCACGCTCTCCTTTCAGAACATCGGTATCCCTCACGAGCCTGGGAATGATCATCTTCTGAAAGACCACCATGAAGAGGGCCTCCTTCAGGTGGGTCAGTCGAGAGACCTCACTGGCCAGAATTGGTACGACTTTGTACAGGTCCTGGTGGCTTTCGTACCGAAACTCATACAACTGGTCGGCATGGTGGGCGAAGGACTTCCTCAGATCACCGAGGAGTGTCTTGGAGAGGGGATTCTCCATCAACTTGACACAGTTGTCGACGTGTGTGTGACGTTTGACATCCTTCGGAGCAACCAGGACCAGATTGCAGTATCGGCGTAGAAGGGACCAATACCGATCGAGAATATGGGTCTCACAGTTGACGGCATAGGCCTTGTCAGCCAAACCAAGGACCTGTGACCCAGTACCCTTTGGAAGGGACACTGGAGGCAGGATACACGATCCACTCCATGCACTTCGATACATCTCATAGGTTTTGATGATGTGCCTGTCATCTTCTGGGGTGTTCGTCCTGGCACCCACTGTTCCTGTCTGCACCATATTGAAGCACTTTCGAACGAACGCGGGTTCACTCGACGACACAGTGGGGAGGGTGATGCCCTCGTCCAAGCACCGCCTGAGATGCAGCTCCAGGAGACGAGATGCTTCGTACTGCACTTGAGTCATGGCTCGGACAGTCTCCTCGATCTTGTCGTGCAAGGTGTCGTTCTTGATGATGGCATCGAGAGTGCACTTGATGATCGAGTAGTCGGCCTTGACTTGCTCGTTTGGGCCACAGCCAGGCAGGGTAGAGCTCCAGAGTGGGTTATAGAAACGGCACTTTGGGGTGTTGCTTCTGGCATGACCCACTTGCTTGCACGTGGCACATACAGGGACCTTGGGTGCTTGGCTGACCATTTCAGCGACCGAGGCAGGGCTGCTGTCGATTCTGGCTGTGCACTTCTTGGTGAAGGGCCTAACATGGTTGGTCAGGCCACAGGATGGGCATGCTTTGATATTGGGCTTCTTGGCCACAGGAGAGTCATTGGGTGATCCCGGGTCGGGATCGGGGGGTGTCTTTCGTTTGTGGGGAGCCATCTGGCGAGAAAATAGCAGCGATGGCTGGTTCTTGTCAGGAACGGAGCTGGACTTTGGCACCAGACAGCTGATGGTAGTCGAACGGACGGTCGTAGGACGAAGGGGAGTGTATTCAATAGGCTAAGGGCAGGATACAAGAGGCAAGGTGAGGTGCTGGTTCTGAGGCCACAGCACCTCGTTTATATCTCTAAACGCCGTCCTTGTTCGCCGCAGATTTTTCTTCCACTACAAGGGAGATTGGTTATCTGCGACGGGGGGAGATTAGATCCGAACGTTTCCCTCGCCCGCCGGGAGGTTTCATGTCAGTGCCTTACCCAACATTGCACATCAAGAAAACAGGACACGGGTTGGGGCGCCCATGAAACCATCCACCGGGCGTGGGAACGCGGTTCATGACAGTTCTGCCCTTGGGGAAGAGAGAATCTCCTCAAAACCAGCGCATTTTGGGCTGGCAGAGATACTGCGCAGTGGCGTCCTTGATTCAGATCCAGAAACACATCGCTCGCTCAATCAGTCGTGGGAAGACATCTTGTCAAGGTGAGTCTTGCCTGATAGCCAAACGATCATGTCATCTCGCTGACACAGTCACGCTTGACTAGGTTTCCAACCAGAGAGATTCAGATGGTGGTGGTTCTTGTCCGCAATCGGAGTGGAGCTTCCAACAATGATACAATTGGTCATTCCTCCACACCAATTGCTCACCACCACCGTCAATCGGCTCAAGGTGATACCAAATGCCGTCAACCGACCATGGCCGGATTCCAACTTTGCTGCGCCACATACAACGTGACTTTCAGGTGACCGAGATGAGCAGCCGCGAGGGGCCGGAAAAAATTGATAGTGTGAGTCGACGGGCAATGCCGGGAGGGCTGGCGCCTCGACATTATCACGTGATGGGGCAGCCAAAGCCGAGCCGAACGCCCAGCGCCCTGTTCGGCATTCATCTCGCAGCCATGTCGTCCCAGACATCATCGTCGTCGTCGTCGTCGCCGGCCCCGGCAGCAGCATCAAGCTCGCTGCCGGAGGCAATCGCCAAGGCAGCGCTTAGCTTCCCCCAGATTGGCAAAGCAGGTAAGCATGTCCCCGGTGCCCCTGGCCGGTTCCATGATGCTCGTCTGTGGTGTTGCTGCCATCATGTCCCTGGTGGGTTTGGCCGGGGTTACCAGTTTGCTGACGACTCTTGCCGGTGGCATCCATGCCCTCAATGCGCCTTGGGTCTTCAGTCCTGCGCATCCACTCTGGATACCAGAGCTTCACCTCAAACCTCTCGCCCCAGTCCAAGGAGAGCTTTGCCAAGCTGTTCATTCTCCTCTACAAGTCCGTGGTCCAGCTGGCCGGGTAAGAGCAGCGTCGCCAGTCTGTCGTCCCATGCAAGCATCCCAAGTCGCTCGAACCGGGCACCATACCATCAGCTGATAACCTACTGGGGGGGGGGAACTCCATGTGCTAGATACATCTCCGTCGCCTATGCCTTCCTTATGGATGTCAAGGTGGCGCCGAGCCCGACCGAGTGGCAGCAGCCCGGCAACATTCTGCTGCAGGTGCTTGCCAACCTGATTCTGCTCTTTGCCCCAACTGTTGAAGAGTGGGCCGACAAGTTCCCCGAGGATGGCCGGGCTCTGCTTGTGGCCAACCAGAATCTCTACGGTAAGACATCCGTCAGAGCAAACATGAGGCGCACTCGGCTGCGTGGACTAACATGATTCCGTCGCATCTACCGCCACCGACACAAGGCCTGGATCTGCTCCCTCTGCTTGCCGTTGTCTATCTGAAGACGGGAAAACTCGTCCGGACCATCTGGGAGCCGTTCCGTGAGTACCTCCATCGCAGCAACACATGAACGAGGCTCGAACCAAACCACCGGCACAGAAGTGGTCTCAATCCCCTCGGACAACGCCGCTCGCTATTGACTGAGTCGCAGTGAATCTCTGTGCATGTCAATGCATCTCGAGAGGGAGGCCTGAGCCAGTGCTGATCCGTTCTCTGATTGTTGGTAGATTTCAAGACTCCCATTTACAAGCATCTCATAGAGTGTGAGTATCGCCGCCGCAGCCGCTGGAACGATAACGCCAGTGTCGACTGTAGTGGTTCGCCAGTACTGACGACCACATGTGCATTCTTGACTCTGCTTCTGCCGCGACCGGCGATGCACTAGACTTTGGTGGTGTCTGCAACGAGCCGCACACACTGGAAGAGCTCATGGAGGCGAGCTACCCCGTCGTGATATTCCCCGGAGGCATGAAGGAGGCACTCAAGTCCAAGGAAGATGCAAAGTACGGGCTGATGTGGCCGATGGGCAAGGTCAACTTTGCCCGAAGCGCTATCCGAAATGGTAAGCATGTCATCACCAGCGCATCTATCTGAGCGTTTAGTCGATCCCAGGCGCTATTTGCCGCCGTCGCCGCAGCAGCGGCAGCAACAGCACCGGACTAACATATCCATGCTTGGTTGTGCCCGCAGGATATACCATCATTCCAGTTGCCAGCGTTGGTGTCGAGGACATGCTTCAAATCGTTCACGAGATCAGCCCTCAAGACTTTGACTTTTCTGCCATCCTTGGAACGGAGTTTTCCAACCTGACGATTCCCTTAGCCGTCCCCGGGAGCTACGAGCGTCTCTATATCCATTTTGGCGACAATATCACGACCAAGACCAAGGACCCTGAAAAGGCCTCCAACGATGTCAAGGCCATCAAGATGGTTCGCGATCGGACTCGCGACGCCATTTTGGCAGGCCTGGAGAGACTCCTCGAGCTTCAAGAGTCCGACCCAAAGCGATTCATCCTCGACCCGCTCTGGAAAGCCCTCGAGGACGGCAAGCATTTTGCCAACGAGGCGCTGGAAGATCCCCACGTCAAGAACGGGCTTACGGAGGGCCGCAAGACTCTCGCGAAGGGCCTGCTCTTCCTGGCCCGCATTATCGACCCCTACGTCGACAGCGAGATGGATCCTGCTCAAGTTGAGCTGGACAAGCTCGAGGAGTGAGCGCCTCGGGCATATGCGTCGCTGACACATGGAGCGGACTCGGAGGTTACTTGATCTGACGATATTGTCGTACCCACGTACCCCCACATGCGTACACGCTAACGATGCACCAACTCGATCCTTGCCCTTGAGTGTCTCGTGTGAACAAAGTGGGTACACATGAGTCCATAGCAGTCGTTCTGTAGCTCAGGAGCTGGCCATCCACGATACTTTATTATTATGCCACTACTTGGTGTTGAGCGAAAAGTTCCGATAGGGTCCAGCGCGGCTGAGATGCTAGAGTATGGCGGGAGGATTGGCAGCGTAAGCATCATGCACAACCAGCACCATATCGGCACCAAGAGCACATCGTACCTCGGTGAAGCGCGAGGACTGGCCGTGGAACTTGAGGGGCATCTCGTGGATAGACGGGTAGTAACTACCGTATTGATTCGAAGTCGTTGTGAACAGTGGATGCTGCTTGTTGATCTTGTAGTTCCAAGTGCCTGAAGAGAGCGCACGGATCAGCACAAGCAAGCCTGTCCAGAACCTCTGCCATCCAGCTATCGACAGCACATCTATCCCTTGCCCTGGCGATTACGAGGCCGCCGATTCAATTGGCTCTCGCCGACTTACCGGGACTGTCGAAGCGCTCGGGCAGCTTGGGATCGGTCAGATACCAGTGGCTGGTTCGGACGGCCTTTGCAGGTTCCTGGTGCTGCTTCTTGGGCGGTGGTTGTGGATGGCCGCGGCTCGCGAGATGCCGCTCCATAAGCTCGTTTGCAGCCTCCATCTCCTTCTGATCAAACTCCTCATCGCTCTCGCGAGCGTCACTAAGGGGGTGCCCCTCCGACATACCCGCAGCCTCGGACGGAATGGCTGCCATGTTTAATGAATATCACAGCACGAGCTGGCGCGGGGAGAAGAATCGGGCCGGACGCGACAGGGTCGGATTGATTCGCGTATGGAGTAGTGTAGCGCTTTGAAAAAGCCAGCAAGCTGCGAGCCAACGAGTGCTCCGGATTAAAAGTGCAATCGTGAGCGTTGTCGAGGTCCCGGGTGGTTGGTCCTGCAGCGTATGCTGGCTGGATGAGACTCGAGAGAGCTGCAGGCAGATGAGCTGCGAGAGCCTTGGGTAGTTCGGCAAGCACCGAGGCAGGGACATCCGGGGGGGGGGCCGACTGGAGGAGTGATCGATTGGAGGACAGCATAGCGCAGATGACGAATCAGTCAGATGGCTTTGAATCAGGCACTGAGCCAGACACGGCACGCATCATTTCGGAGGATGCTGTCAGGTACTCTTGGGTACCTGAGAGCGAGACTTCAGGGTACTCGCCTTTACTCGCTGTTGTCATTGAACTGGTCGGCAGTATGAAAGCAAGCGCAATCCTCTTTCTGATGGCTCTGCTTCGCGTCGCATCCTCATTCCCACATCGAGACGGTGCGTATATTTGAACTGTGGTTTAGATCGTCCTCGTATTGCCCTTGTCGTGCGGGAAAAGGAGCGAGAAACAGAGCCTGATTTTCTCCTGGGTGTCCGGAACATTCCTGCAAATGATCACAGACTATATTCCCTGCATCTCCAAGTGTCAGGAGAACTGGCTCATATGCCGAGAATATGACAGCCATCCCCCGGCCTGCACCAATGCCAAAACGCGGTGTGTGGCAGAATGCGCCATGGCATCGTGAGCGACCTCGATTCACAAGTTCTGGAAAGCTCCAGCGACAAAGAAGCGCTGCGAGTGAGAGCTGTTGCTGAACGAGTACAGCCACAGCAAACCAGTCAACGCCAAACCCATAGACGCCCTGCTTGGGGGACGAACTGCAATTGAATACACGCATCCGCCCATCGCCAACCACAAAGCTTTGTGCCGGTATCGCTCACCAGGGATGCTCCGCTTTGCCGCCACTTTCAACGGCGACTTGTAGATTGCGGCTGGTGCACATGCTCTCACAACCACCTGAAGGCATCGTCATGGCGATCGGGAATGCGCTTGCAGTGCCACTCTTGGATGTATTTGTGTATTTGTGATCCAGAGGAGGAGCCACTAGCCTCACGAGCCGGGCCTCGTTCTCAGCGTCGAATGTTCATGACGGTACTCAGCTGTGGGGATGGGCGGCCCCCTGTCCCGATCCATCGGGCCGAAATTTTCTGATCGAGGCACAGTGACTGCCGAGCCAGCGCGCTCTAGACAAAGAGTCGCTTGGCAATCTTTCTGATACCGTCTTCGGATATCGCAAAGCTGTCGTCGGCCTTTCTCTTGTGGGTGGGCTTGGATTCATCAGCGGCGTGTGAAGAATCTCTCATTCTGGGGAGGCGCTCTGGCGCCGTGGGCCGCGGCAGGTTGGTAAAGTATCGATGTGCGAGGGCCTGCAGCGAAGAACGCGAGACAAAACATGCCCAAGTGAGTCGGATGCGATTATGGTGCAGATACCAGGATGCAATGATGGCGTGGATGCCGGGATACGCTAGACATGGCATGGGCCGCATTGAGCACCGCGAAACGCAGTCTGATCTCGCAAAAGTAGGGACCTACATCATTGGCAGTAATGCGTTTCAGCGGGTCATATATCAGCATGCTCTCCAGCAGATCGAGAACATCCTCGCCTGCAGCCGAGAATAGAGACAGCAGCGGCGGCTTGGGAATCGGGGCCTTGGGTTCGGCGAGTGCCCATCCCGGCAGCTCTTTGACGCCCTGTCGGTATTGCGGAGGATTGACGGTCGTTGGTAAGTTGCTGACGGGTGAAACGACCAGCACATCGACATTGACATACTGGCCAGCAGAACATCGGCATTGACATACTGGCCAGCAGCACATCTACCCCGCCCGTGCAAATAAACACTCACCGGCCAGTCCGTTTCGGTAGGAGTTCCGCGTGCCTCAAAGATTTTCGTCAGCTGGCCAATGTCGGTCTCGGCTGCAACATACGGGTTCCGGATCATGAGCTCGGCAAATATACAGCCGACCGACCACATGTCGACTGCTCCGCAGTAATACGGGGCGCCAAGCAACAGCTCGGGGGACCGATACCATCTGTGGAGGGATTGGCGAAGTGTATGATCAGCAGGTTGGCGCTGCAGATTCGTGTCAAAGGTGAATGCGAGGACGTGCGGGCGGGCTATGGCGAGGGAGGCCAGAGACGACGCTGACCTCGTAACGACCTGTGGGGACATGGCTCGGTCGGGATCTGCATATTCTCTGGCCAGGCCAAAATCGGCAAGCTTGAGCACGCCGTCGCTCGCCAACAGCAAGTTATTGGGCTTCAGATCCTGGATAGGGGCGTAGCAGCAGCACGGCTTGATGATATCAGATCCAGCTGGGCGACACAAGCGAAAAGACTTGATAAACGACTCTGAGAATGCAGTGGCCGCACGGGCTGCAACCCACCCGATGCAATATGTTGCTCTTGTGACAGTGGGCGACTCCTCGAATCGTCATGAGCATCCAGCTCTTGACATCGGCTGCGCTGAAGACGACGCTCTTGTTTTTGATTAGCGTCTCAAGGTCGGCATCGAGATACTCCAGCACCAGATTGATGTTGGTCTTGTGCGAGAACACATCGATCAGCTGGTGGTGAAAGCGGCGGCAGTGATGATCATTAGTTGTCGATCGTATCCACAGCAGATCCCGTTGTCAGAGGAAACAAAGATGTCCAGGCGGGCTTGGACTGAGCTGCTACCTCGATGACATTTGGATGTTTGAGTTCTTGCAAACACCGGAGCTCACGAATGGCCGAGAGATCCATGCCGTTGTGTGATCCTGTGGCCACCTTGATTTTCTTGATGGCGACCTTGCGTTTCGAAGACTTTTCGAAGCCTGCTCGCCAGCACAGCAGAATGACGGCGGGAGGAAATCGTTAGAAACCAAATCCATCTTTGCTTCAAACAAACGGCCCTATGGGCGTGTGTGGGGTATGCTTCTCCCTCCTCCTTCACCTCCGCCGTCTGTCCTGGATGATCATACCGAGATAGACGACAGCGAAGGTGCCTTCGCCGACCTTCTTGTCCTTGATGTATCGGTCGATCGACGAAGCGGCAGCCGAGCCGATGATGTCGGAAAAGTCGTGGGTATCTGGCATCCTTGTCTATCCGTCAGCAGGCTGGATATTCGTCGGCTGGATCGATGGTGTCCCAGACCAGGACCGCCGCCGACACCCGACAAGCGGCCCGACCCTTGCCCATCTGCACACACACACACACGGCGACTGCGCTTTTTTTCTTTTTTGGCCCTCGCAAGCCCGCCCGGTTCTGCATCCGTCTGGGCTCGCAATATCGCCAGCAGAGCAAGCATCCACCACCACACCAGCTGGACAGCACACCATCCGCCAGCTTCCACACCGAGCCAGCCATGTCCGACAAACTCACGAAAAAATCCCTTGTAAGCGCAAGGGGTGACCGTCCCTGCATTTGTCGGCTGAGCATCGCTCCTCCTCCGCGGTGGTGTTGCAATGGGGCTGCCGTTCGACTAAGACCTGTTCTTCTGCCTCGTCTCCTTGCGCTGGGATCCGCCAGAGCTTAATGCTCAAGTCTAGTCCGAGGCCGAGCCCTTCCTCGCAGGGAGAGCGTTCGAGTCGGTCGAGCTCTGATGCGGCGACTGGCAGTGTCCCGGCTGCCCGAACCAAATCCGTTGGCACGGTGCTGAACAGACAAAACTTCAAAAAGACCAAGCGAAAGCAGCTGCGATCCAAGGTCGATCAGGTCCTGGCCGACCAGAAGCTTGAGGTGCTGCGGTCGTCGACGCTGGACGACCTCCAGACCAATTGGAAGACATCGAGGGACCAGCGGCTGGCCGAGAATGTGCGGTATTTTACTACCAAGGTCGTCACCGAGAAGGAGGGCGAGCTGATGGACAAGGTATGCCGCAGATCCGGTCAATTCCAATATCAGGGAGCCTGGGGCTTGGAGATGAAGCCTGCGGCGCTGGGGGGATGCTACCAGGAGGCGCCCTGGAACGAACAGGGGGCCAACCCGGCGACACACCCGCTAATATGACATGTCTGGCGTGTCCGCAACGTCATTCCGGCTACTGCAGATCAAGATCCTCAAAAACCCAGACATGAAAAAGAAAATCAAGGCCGCACGCCGGGCAGCGAAACGCGCGGCTGAGAGGGCGGCCGAGCAGGGATACGACTCGGACTAGCTCGATCAGCCGACTCAGACAAGCTCGATCGGCCGACAGCAGCGGAGGGGATATCAATATATTGCCTCTGTTTTCCAAATGCCACGGGCCAGTAGAGCCGACGGGAGCGAGCGGTCTAACTTCTTGACCGCGGCGCATCGAAAGGTTGGTTGAGCACCAGGGCCCGAGAGGCGTGTGTCAGGGCAAGGGACCCAGTCCGGGCGAATACTCGCAGTCAGGGATGCGACGATGGCTGGACAGGTGGCAAACCCTCTGTCGAGGCCTCTAGAGGTTCAGCACGGCCTTGACGGCGCTCAGAACTTGGGTGTGGATCTCGCCGGACGGCTCGCCGTCAAAGGCACAGGTGGCAATGATACCCTTGTTCATCTTGAGGGTACGGCCCTGTGAAAAATCGAGTGGGTTTCCAAGGACATCGGAGATGTGTCCGCCGGCCTCCTCGATCAGGAGAGCGCCCGAGGCGTGGTCCTATTATCGAGCATTTGGTCAGAGACAGGCCATATACGCCACAGGAACAGCAACCAAGACCAGGTGGGCTGCGGGGCAGTCCGTTGGGGTTGGAGCATACGAATGTGCTTACCCAAATCTTCTCCTCGTAGGTAGCGCTGGTCGGCAGTCTCAGGTAGATGCCGGCCTCGCCACGGGCAACGACAGCGTACTTGCACTGGCTGTCCATGCGAATCGACTTTTCTGAGATCTGCAGAATCTCGGCAATACGGGCGTTATCGTCGTGCTTGGTGTGGCCCGACTCGACCGACTCGCAGAACTGAATCTTCGATGCCGACGACGTCTTGGTGACCTCGATCTTCTTCTCGGAGTCGTCATCAAAGGTGCGCTTGGTTTCCAGATGTCAGGTCAGATCGACGGCGATTCACTCGGTTAGAACGGCGACCGGACCCGGCCCAGAGCTCTAACGGACGGGGAGCCGCAGTGCAAGAATATAGAAACCGCACCTCCCAAAGCCCCTCTCGGCGCCCCAGCTCACCTGGAAGGCACCCTGGCCCTCGACAGCAATCATCAGCGTTCCTCTGGGGCCATCGCTCTCCTGGAGGCGGCGAGGAAGATTGGGACAGCCCATGACGCCAACCCGGACCTTGCCGTCGACAATCAAGGCGAGACACACAGCAAACTGCTCGCCACGGAGGAATCCCTTGGTTCCATCTGGTGAGCAAAAATCAAGGACAGATCAGCGATGAGCCAAAACCCCGGGGGACGACTGTGTATACGATGCTGGTAGTCAGGTCCGCAGCTGCCCTCCCTCCATATGGCAGCGATCAGCCCTCTGCCCAGATGCGTGCCCAGTCGGCATCGAGACCTACCGATTGGATCCAGAGTCCAGAAGCGGCTGCCGGGGCCACCGGCAAAGTTTCCACGGTCGATGCTCTCGCAGAGCTTATCGTGCAGCAGAGAGAAGGGCGGATTGTGAGCAGGTCGCAAGCAGGGCATAGGCCTGTCGTGAGCATGACAGGACTGGCAGGACTGGCAGGACTGGCAGTACCTCGGACTGAGACTGGAACTTGATCTCCATCACAGAGTTGGCCAGCTCAAGGACCTTCTGGCAGGTGTCGGGGTTGGCCTTGAGGTCCTTGGAATCCTCCTCGCCAACGATGCGGTCGTTCGGGAAGTGGGCTTGCAGAATCGAGTTGACCACGGCCTGGGCGCCAAAATCGGCGACTGAAATCGGAGGAGGAGAAGCAAATCAAAACGACAGTTGTACTCCGAGGTCAGTCAGGGTCTTCTTTGGGCCATCACAGCCCGCTTGGGTCCTGCCGATGTCGAGTTGCTGCTCGGTGCTGCTCGGTGCTGCTCGGTGCTCGACCTCCACGAACTGGCTTCGAGATGCCGCACTGATGCAAAGCGATCTCGCTGTGTTTCGCAAGATGGCAGCCGATTTGGCTGAGTGTCTGGTCCTGCCGCCTCCAGCGTGGCCCATGAGTCTTGTTCTCGAGACCTGCACTTACTGGTCACCGGGGACTTGTCCTTCTTGACGATGGTGTCGGCATTGACGAGCTCTCGGAAGACACTCTCGCACAGCTGGCTGGCCTTGATGACGGCCTCGATGGCGACGCTTCGTTCCTTGGTGTAGTCTACGGTGGGACCACAGCCAGTCCGGCTCGGCGAGTTAGTCGCCGCACAGGCAGCAGCAACAGGTCGCAAACGCACATCGGAAGTAGGTCAAACCAGGCCGATGGCAGCAGAAGGCGGCACTGTTTGCATCGCACGGCGTGAGATGCCAGGCCCTTTGCCGGCCGGACCGGGCGAAAGCTAACCTTGCTCAGCAGCCATGGTAGTGGATTGGTGTTTTTTGCGATGGTTTGGTTTGGTTTCGACAGCCGAGGCGGGAGCTCCTGGAAAGACAGATGGGCGACAGAGATGGATCGGCACCAGGCGCAGACGAACCGCAATCTCTTTGCCAGATTTGTCACCCCGCGTTTTGTGGGGGCGTCATGCCGCCAAAAAGAAAACAGAGGCCAGAGCGAGAGAGCACGGGCGGGACTCTCGCTCCCCTCTCAGACAGCGAGAGTCGAGCGACCATCCACCAGGCCATGCTGCGATTCAGGGCAGCCATTGCATGCATGCGCTTCGGCTGCTGAGGATTCTTTGCGACGACAGTGGCCTTGGAGAGCAAGTCGTTGGCTCTCGCTTTCTGATCGCAAGCACAGGCCAGACCGAGAGCGGCTTTCCTCGGCCTCGGTGGCTGCTGGGCTCACCGCCCCCCAAAACATCTGTGTGCTGGGGACATGACCCAGTCAGTCCACACCGATCAGAGCGATTTGCGATTTGCGATTTGCGGTTCGCGGTTCGCATTGAGATATATTGGACTTGGACACCACGAATGGATTGAACAGAGAAATGATGGGAAGAAAAAGCAGCGCCTGCAAAAGCGGCTGCCGCAGTCGGGTGGTGTCTGTTGCCGGATGCAACACAGCAACCTGGATCAACTGCGGCGACCGCCACTCCTGCATTCTATTGAAAGCCAAGGAATTGAACTATCTACTGAAGGACCGCGCGTCGTGCAAAGGCAGTCCGCTTGCACAGCGCCACGATGAAGCGGGCCCAAAAGTCTTGCCAAGGATGAGTTGAATGAATAGAAAGAATGGAGGCTGGGCGATAGGCCACTATGCTTAGCGGGTGCGGGTGCGGGTGGCGGACTGGTGGTTTGGGGAGATGGCAACGAAACGTCAGCAATCTCGACTGAATGCTTCCAGACAGGAAAAGCGAGCATCGAGGCCTGATTGCACATTGCACATTGCACATTGCACATTGCACATTGCACATTGCACATTGCACGGTCAACAAGTAGAATCGGCGGCGACGACTCACCATGCGAGTAGGGAACATCATGAGACCCTGGATCTGCTCGGTGTACTTGATGGGCTTCACTGATGATCGGATAAGCGACAGCAACCAAGTCAGAGGGCGGCCCACGACGCGAGCAGGCATCGATCAGCCAAGACCGACACGACAATGTGCCACAGCAACGCCAGCAACTTACACTTCTGGAGGATGAATCGTCTCAGAGCAGAGTACAAGAACAGGTAGAAACCAAATCCGATGGGGACCAGCAGCCACTTGGGGTTCAGCAGATAGGAGCTGTTCATGAAGACTGTGGCCGCGCAGACGCATTAGTATGGTGACTGTTGGCACGCAGAGGATCATGAAGCTACTCCACGAGAGCGGGAATCACCGGGCCGCGGACACTTACTGTTGAGGGGAGGAACGTAAACGACAATGACACCGACACACAGAGCACCGAGGACACACCACCAAGTGTACGAGTTCCTGGGGAGGGGCAGGAATGCGCGTTAGTCGATCAAACGAGCACAAGGCGGCGGGCCACACCAGCGACGAGGGTTCGCATTCCGAGACTTACTTGACCATGTGCTTGCCAAAGGGCAGCTTGAGCTTGGACTTGCAGGCGAACAAGTTGAAGACTTGCATGATCAGCACAGAGGCGTAGTAAATCGACTGAGCGCGGCGGATGAGCTCGTATTGCTGGCTGCCAGACTGTTGAAAAAATAGGGTGCTGATTTAGTGAACCGTATTTGCCACCGTCGGTGGGCCGAGCCGCCGTACGGCGCACAGTGACTGTTGATATGGCAGAGCAGCTCAGTCGTGAGACAGCGTGGTAGGGGCAGGATTATGGGCATACCAGAGTAGCGCCGTTGAGCAAGGTGTACGAAGGCGAGTTGTCATTGTTGAAGTAGTTTCCACCGGCGCTGGTGGCATCGCGCAGATCCTTGGGAGTGACTCCGGCTTCGTTCAGGACCAAGAAGAAGGCAACGAGACCACCAATCGTTTCGATAAAGCCGGCTTCGAGGTAGGCCCACGACAGAGCCTCGCCGTCAACCAAGACTTCGCCTTCACTTTCGCGCATACCCTTCAGCCATTTGCCGTTAAAGACACGCTTAATCTTGTTCAGGATCATACCACCCTTGGAGATGACGCGCTGCTCAGCCATGGGGTTTCCGGGATCGACGGGCTCGACCAGCTTGAGGTCCTGGAGCTCCTTGATGTCACGGCGGAGACGCTCGACGGATTCGGGGGTCACAGGCTTGCGAGGGGGCAGCATCATCAAGCTGTCATCGGCACCCTCCGGAGGCTCCCAGGCGTAGGACAGAGCAGCAAAGAGCTCAAAGCCAAGATCGATGAAGAGAATCTGGATGGAGCTGAGGGCGGCAGGCAGAGGAACGACGACGGAAAGGAGGAAGGGAATGACCTCGGGGATACTGTGGGTCACGGTGTACTGGATACTCTTCTTGAGGTTGGCGAAAATCAGACGGCCCTCGGCGATGCCGGCAACAGTAGAGGCAAAGTTGTCGTCCAGGAGAATCATGGCAGCAGCCTCCTTCGAGACATCCGAGCCGGAGAGGTTCATGGCAATACCCAGATCGGCCTTCTTGAGAGCAGGAGAGTCGTTGACACCATCGCCGGTGACACCGACAATGTGGCCGAGGGCCTGGGCGCGCTTGACAATCTCAAGCTTGTTCTTGGGAGAGGTGCGGGCAAAGATAATCTCGTCCTTTTCAAAGATGTTGTCCCACTCGGCATCGGTCAGGGTGGCGATACGCTCGCCGTGGATAACGATGGCGTTGTACTCGTCCTCCTTGATGGACTCGACGGGACGGCCGGTGCGCTTGGCAACGCGCTCCCTGGTCTCGCCAAGCATCAGGTTGATCTTGCGGCCGATGGCTTCGGCGGTAAGGGGGTGGTCACCAGTAACCATCATGACTCGGACACCGGCCATACGGCACTTGCCAATGGCTTCACGGACACCGTGCTTGGGAGGATCCTCGAGACTGACAAGGCCGACAAAGCTGAGGCCCTCGGTCGGGAAGTTCTTCTTCTCCTTGTCAAAGACGAAGCCGGAGGGGAAGTCGCTACCCTTGAGCTGGAGCTGGGCAAAGGCAAGGACACGGTGGCCCTTTCCGGCCATGTGCTCGTAGGAAGTCTCGAACTGGTTGCGATGGTCGTCAGTCAGCTCGACGTTCTGGCCATCGATAAGGATGGTGGAGCAGACGCGGAGAACACGCTCGGGGGCACCCTTCATCAAAATGGTGTAGACACCGTCGGCGTGGGGCTTCTGGTTGATGGACAGATGCCACTTGGTGTCAGAGTTGAAGGGCAGCTCGCAGACCTTGGGATATTCGTCGAGGATTGTGTCGATGTTGGGCAGGCGGGCAGAGGCAAAGCGCAACAGACCGGACTCGGTGGCGTCACCGCTGATATCGCGCTTGGCCAAGGGAAGGTCCGTGCGGTTGAAGCGGGCGCGGGTGCACATGGCCGAGATGTGAACAATCTCGGTGACACCGCTGGCCTTGTCGTCGAGAGAGACCTCGCCGTCCTCGAGGCCATCGGCCGAGGCAGTGACGTTGAAGAGAGTGGCATTGGTCCACATGTTGGTGACGGTCATCTGGTTACGGGTCAAGGTGCCGGTCTTGTCGGTGGCCAGAAGGGTGATGGCACCGAGGGTCTCGACACCCTGGAGATCCTTGACGAGAGCGTTCTTGTTGGCCATGCGCTTGGCAGCGATGGTCAGAAGCATCGAGATGGTGGCATAGAGACCTTCCGGAACCCAGGCGACGAGCGTGCCGATACCAGCGTTGAGGCCAAAGTTGACGCCGCCCTCAACCCAACCGACGATGAAGAAGATGATGGCGGTGGTGATGGCAAAGGCAGTGATGATCTTGACGAATTGGTCAATCTCCTCGGAGAGAGGAGACCGACGCTTCTTCTCGCTCGAGGTCAAGTTGGCGATCTGGCCAAGGACGGTGTTGTCGCCGGTTCGGATGACAATACCGTATCCCTCACCGGCGACGGCGAGCGAGCCGTTGAAGATCAGGTTGGTGGCCTCAAGCGGGTTCTTGTGGGTGTTGGCGATCTTGCGCTCTTGGGGATCGGATTCACCAGTGAGCGAGGAGTTGTCGACCTTCAGATCGGCCACGGAGAACATGCGGATATCGGCAGGAACCTTGTCGCCCATGCGAATGAAGACGATATCACCGGGAACGAGATCAGCGGCGGCGATGCTGGCGATCTGGCCATCACGGATGGCGTTACACTTGGACGGGATCATGGTCTGGGGAGGGGATCGCAGAAGGAGAGCCATAAGTCAACAGTTCCAAGCAACGAAGGCGCAGTGCCCAGCCCAGACAACACTGGCACGAGGCAAAAAAGATCATCGCTGCTGCTTCTCTGTGCAAGCGCCGTAGCAAACATACCAGGAACGACTCGAGAATCGAGGCACTCTTCTGGTGTTGGTAGAACTCAATGGCAGCGTTCAAGAAAGCCACAGCGATCAGAATGGCGCCGAGATAGACCTGATAAAATGAATGGGCCGCGATGGTCAGTCTCCGCTTGGTGAGTCGAACGCGCGAAACGGCGGTGCGGCCAGTGAAGATTGATGCTGGAGCAAACTTTAGCTGATGCGGGGTTTACTCACGTTGGGGGCGTTGTCGATGGGATCAATGCCATACAGAACGTAGGTCGCAATACCGGCAACGATCAACATGAGGTTGAAGAGACCGGCCAGCATCTCCAGGTAGCGGACGAGGGGATGCTTCTTCTTGGGAGGAGAGAGGACGTTTGGGCCGTACTCAACCAACTTGGCGGCGGCTGACTCTTTGGTCAGACCGGTCGAGTTGGTGGGCTTGGTGGCATCGATGACGGTGCCATAACGTTCACAAACTTGCTCCAGGGTCAAGTTGTGCTCGTCCTGAAGGCGCAGATAAAGGAGATCAAGATGCAATGCAAGGTGAGTAACAGCCCGGTCGGTCGATCACCCGCAGCCAGCCAGCGTCGAGGCTGGCAAACCTTCCCCAGGCATCAAACAACAAACGCATTGCCGATGACACCGCCGAGCCGTCGAGCCGCCGATCCAGCGCCCGAAACAGGACGGCACTTACAATGTCCGATTTTTTCTCGGGAGCGTTGGCAGGAGGCGGTCCAGTCATGGCTGTGAAGGGGGGGGAGGAGAAAAGAAAGGTGCAGGGTGATCAGTCCAACGGGGAAGGACAGTGAGCAGCGAAAGGGGTGGGACGAAACAGCGGGATGGGCAAGGCAAGACTGACCGCGACGGCGACCACTTACCGACAGGAGGCTAGTGTTGAGGAGCGGGTCGAAAGACAAGCGAGCCTCTGCAGGGTTGGATACCAAGCAAGATAGACACGAAGATGAGATGAAGCGAGGGAAGTAGCGAACGGTCCCGGAAGGGCGATCAGGAACTCGCGCGGAATATATAGGCGAGAGGCCGGGACGCAAGCCAACAGCGATAACGGTGTCCGGGCGAAATAATGGGATACCGCGTCGACCTTTGTTTTGAGCAGCTTTTTTTTCTCCGGCTCACCTGTCGGGCGGGCGGGTTGTGGCCTGTGATCGATTTCGAGGCAAATGCGGCGGGGCAAGAGGAGGCAAGGCCTTTCCTGTTTGGGAAGGGTTTCAGAGATGGGAATGCGGGGCTGACGCGGCTTGGAGGGGAGTTGAGCAGAGCGGCCAAGTCGCAAGAAGGCCAAGACCGGGCGCGGCTGGAGGGAAGATGGCGTTCGAGCCGCGGGGTGGACCGATTGTAAACCTTGATATGCCCCGGGCGATAGAGATGGGCAGCTGGTGGGTAGCGGCTGCAGTAACTGCGGCCAGGTGGATCGTGGCCGATCGGGAGGAGATCGATGTGCGCAAAGAAGCTTCTGTTGCTGCCGATCCACGCGCGTCCGTCGAAAGGCCTCTGCAGCGTTTGTCCTCCCACAGCAAGCAAGCGACGGCGTTCCCCGACAGCGCCTGCAAGCCGGTCTTGGTCGCACGCGATTCGAACCAGCCCGGGCCGCCGCCACCGCCGTCCCGATTGGAGCGGTCAGGTGTCCGAGTCAGTCCAGCGCCATCGAGGAGCTTTGCGGCGAGCCGCGCCGGTGGGGAGGGCCGGCCTGGCATTCGGACTGGGTGGCAGACAGACAAGCAGGCAGACAGGCCGCGGGGGTCATCGCCATCGCCGTCGCCATCGCCGGTATCAACATTGTCGGTATCAATGCCGGCGTCGAAGCAAGCCGCAGAAGAAGCCACGCGTTCTCTGCCGCCGCTGTGTCAGTGCAGGTTGGCCCGGCTGGTGCCAATAAGGAGCGTCGATGGCGATAAAAATCAGGGCTGCCTTGCAACTCGACTCGACTCGACCCGACTCAACTCGACTCGGTTGGTCTTGGCCAGATGCAATTCCCTCTTGCTGGAGCAGCGCTCTTGTCGATCCGTCAATTGCGCTTGGTCGGCGTCGTTGTTCGTCGGCGTTGTTCTTCGTCTGTGCACCACGCGTGTCTTGGCGCCAGCAGACCCGCCGCTGATTCGCCGAAATTACTGCCAATCCATTGGGCAAGCGGCTGCGGCCGCCCAAGCCCGCCATGTGCCTGCTTGGGCGGCTGCGCAGCTGGCGACTCGGGGCCCAGCACGCCAATCCTGGCTTCCATGGCAGCCCACGTGCGCGGCGCAGACACCCCTGTGGCCGAGCCCCCTGGCAGCCATGTACAGTTGCCGGAGCGATCAAGCCCCAGAGCCCCGCAGCCCTGGAGCCACAGGCGCCACCAGCAACGTTGCTGCCAACTGACCTGCCGTCTGCAACCTTGATGCCGCCTCGATGGCGCCAGGGAGCTGCCGCAGCCAGCCAGCCAGCCAGCCCGCGCCTGATCCGGACCGTTGGCTGCAGCAATCCCTGATCGAGGCAGAGGGCGTGCTCCTCGGGGCTCGCTTCTTTGCACTTGCGTTCGCACCTGCTTTCGTTCGACCTGCCAATCAAGCCACTGTCTGGCAAGATGAAGGAACGTTGGGTGGCTGTTGCTGTGGTCGATCTCCCCGAGCTGTTCGCAGAACAATCAATGAGTCATCTACCATCTCAATAGCCCGCACTGCCATCGGCTGGGACACTTACCTTGCCATTTGCTCCTGCGTTGCTCGACCGATGCGGCCGGTCTCCATGCCACCACATCCACTGCGCCCTCTGAAGAACACATCCAGAGCGCTTTCTCAAAATAGGCGGGATTCGTGTCCAGCTCAAGTGGCTTGGGCATCGTGTTTGGGTAGCTTGTTTGCGTCCACAGATGTGTCGGTGCTTTCCAGAATACCGGTATTGCCTCTGAGCCCCGTCCTGAAGCTGTATGAGCCTATCCCAGGATGCATCCATTTGCTTGCCCTGGCATTTCGAGAATCTTGAGCATAACCTTGTTATGAATCCAAGAATTTGACTCAACCAAGCAAAGCGATCGGCCACCGCTCCAGGCCGTCCGCGCTGGTCAAGCATTCTACACTTTGTTTGTCCGTGGCAATAGAATCATGAAACTCCTGTTGGATACGAAGAGGGCGCTGCGCTGTGCTCCATCTCGGTCGATCCTCCATCAGCTTTGCAGTGAGGGCGTCTTCGCCATCAATCTTGGACTCTGTACATCAACTGCGTCGGTTGCATTTGCCACGTCAGTCGCATCAGCTGCTTTGATGGTATTGACTAAATCCACTATATCGACTACCTCTCTTGTGGTTCTGCAAAGCCCGGAGTGGCGCCACTCCGTCTTTATTCTCTTCGAATTTGGAAACGATGGATTGACGAGGACAGTGACAGGGGCGGCTGTGATAAAAGCGGCAGCTGTGCAAGTACATGAACGGCTTCAAGGAAGGCACAAAAGAAGCAGCCATATCATGGACACGCGGCGAGTGTGACAGCCAAAAGACACCAGCAATGTACGGAAGAGTAGATACTTGACTAGATGCCGTAATACGCGGAGGGACAGTAGGTGCTTGGGATACAGCTATCCCAGCAATCTTTCCTTCCTATACGCGGGACCCTAGCTTACCAGGAGATTCTGGCAATGAGCGACTTGGGACCGTAGGTGCGCACGGCGAGCTTGCGGAGCTCGTCCATGATGATGATGATCAGGCCAAAGCCCAGGGGCATGAACCAGTACTTGAGAGGGATGGGGCCGCACATGAACAGGTTGTTGAAGACAGGGGTGTAGACGAAGAGGGCGGCAAAGGCCAGCGAGCAGACCGTGGCCACGAGCAGGTACAGGTTGCGGGTCGGGCCCCAGAAGGGGTTCTGCTGCAGGATCGAGTTGAAGCGGGTGCGCGAGGCGTACATGTTGCCAAACACCTGCATGATCACCAGCGAGACAAAGTACACCGAGTTGCCCGAATTGAGGGCCGTCTGGAAGTTGGCCTGCGAGATGGTCACGCCGTTGGGGAACACAATCGGATCGTTGACGAGGTTGCCGTACTGCAGAAGGTAGTCCTTGAAGCCGACGCCAACGGACTCGGTCATGTAGGTCGAGAACATGATGTGGGCAAAGGTGGCCTGCATCAAGCCGATAAACAGGTAGACGTGGCCGAACATCTGGACGTTGACGAGCTTCTCGGTCTTGGGGTTGCGGGGCGGGCGGGTCATGACGTGGCGCTCCGGAGACTCATAGATCAAGGCCACAGAGGGGAAGACGTCGGTGATGCAGCAGATGACAAGATCGAGGGCAGCGTTGAGGGGAAGGGGGATGCCGAGGAAGATGGCAAAGAGCACGGGCCACAGCTCGGACCAGGTACCGCACGGAATCAGGTACATGATGACCTTCTTGACGTTGTCGAAGCACAGACGGCCACTCTCGATGCCCGAGATGAGCGAAGAGAAGTTGTTGTCGATCAGGACCAGCGAGGCAGACTCCATGGCGACTTCGGAGCCGCCGCCCATGGCAACACCGACATTGGCGGCCTTGAGAGCAGGCGAGTCGTTGACACCGTCGCCGGTGACAGCAACAATCTCCTCGCGCTTCTTGAACTCCTCGACGATCTGCAGCTTCTGTTCGGGAGAGGTACGGGCAAAGACAAGCTCCTGGTAGCTGCAGATCTTGTCCCAGTCGCTGTCGGTCAGGCCGCCGAGTTCAGAGCCAGAGATGACGATGGCACGGCCGTCTTCTTCGATTTCTTCGATGTTGGGGCGCAGATAGGCGATCTTCTTCTCGGCCTTGGTCTTTTCTTCGCCGACGGGAGTGGCAGTAGGCTTGGAGCGCGAGAAGATACTGAAGATGGACTTCTTCTGGGGCTTTTCGACCTTCTTGACTCGGTTGACGGCGTTGGGGAGGCTGGCCACGGTGTCGACCTTGAGGGCAGTGATGATGCCAACATCGCGGGCAATGGCAACAGCAGTGGACGAAAAGTCGCCAGTCACCATGGCCACACGGATGTGTGCCTTGCGGCAGGTCTCGACAGTACCGCGAGTCTCGGGTCTGGGAGGGTCGACGATGCCGAGCAGTCCAACGAGGGTGAGGTCGTTGATCGAGTCATAGGCAAAGGGCTCGAGGCCGTCCTGGACCTGGGCGGCAGCCTGCAGCTTCTGGGCATCGATGTTCTTGTAGGCGACGGCAATGACACGCTTGCCCTGGCTGGCCCAGTCGAGCTGAGCAGACTGGATGAGCTGGCGGACGTCGGCAAAGGGAACGACTTTGCCGTCGGGGGTCAGGGCCTTGGTGACGTTGGCAAAGAGGATGTCGGGGGCGCCCTTGATGAACAGGGTGGTGCCGGCGAGCTCGGGGACGGGCGACTCTTCAAAGTCCTGGATGGTCAGCATCCACTTGTTGCGGCTGTTGAAGGGAATGGCAAAGATCTTCTTGAAGGCACCGCGGATGTTGGCAACAGAGCCGAGGCCCTCGGCATACTTGAGAACAGCAACATCGGTGGCATCGCCCGAGGCCAGGCGCTTGCTCAGCTCAACGGTGTCGGGATCCTGGAACTTGGCATCGCAGCACTGGGCAATAACGTGGTGCAGGAGGCTGGTGATGTTGTTGGAGGGCTTGGTGGTCGAGTCGCCGCAGATGCTGACGGTGGTGACGGTCATCTTGTTCTGGGTCAGGGTGCCGGTCTTGTCGGTGCAGATGACGGAGACGGCGCCGAGGGTCTCGATGGTGGTCAGGTGCTTGACGAGGACGTTCTGTGGTGGCCGATTGGGGACAGCGTTAGTTGTGCAATCAGCCAGCGTCTGCATGGAAACACGGCAGCGTGCATGTATACAGAGATGGCATGGCAGAGAGATCGGGCCGAGCCAAGTGCATGGCGAGCACCACTTGTGGGAATGCTGGGGAGCGCGTCGCGAAGCCAGAGACATACCTGCTTGGCCATTCTGCGGGCAATGACGCCGAGGGTGACGGACATGCAGATGGGAAGACCCTCAGGGACGAAGGCGACAATGATACCGCAGAGGTTGCCGAGCATGCCGATCAAATCAAACTGGGGCTGGGGCTGCTTATCCAGCACAAAGGCCCAGACAAGCATGCAGATGGCACCGCAACTAAAGGCAACCGTGGCGACAAAGGCGACAAAGTACATGACTTCCTTCTGAAGGAGGGTTTTCTCGACCTTCTTCTTGGCAGTAAGGGTGGCAATCTGGCCCATCATGGTGTTGTCGCCGGTGAAGACAACGACGGCCTTGCCGCTGCCATTGACAACGGAGGTGCCCATGAAAGCAACGTTGCGGGTTTCGGTGAAGGAAGGGTCAGTGCACGAAGTGTTGCCTCTGACGGCAATGGCCTCGCCGGTGAGGATGGAGCGATCAAAGGACAGATCGCCCGAGCACTCGATGATACGACAGTCGGCGGGAACCTTGGCGCCGAGCTTGAGCTCGATGATATCGCCGGGAACGACTTGGCCGGAGGGGATGACAACGGACTTGCCATCACGAATGACAGTGGCGTCCTGGGCGAGGAGGTTGTGGATCTTCTTCATGACCGAGTTGGACGACCAGTCTTGCCAGGCGTAGAAGACACCTTGGAAAAGGATGACGACCAAGAGAAGGATGACCAGGGCGAGGTTGTAGATGTTCGGAGCCTGGCCATCTATCTGGGGAAGCGGCCAGTAGGAAAGGAAGATGATAAAGGCGGCACACCACATGAGGAAGCAAAAGCCACCAAAGAAGAAGCTGAGGAGCTTGAGGACCTGGTTCTCACGGACGGGAGTAATGGTGTTGGGGCCCTCGAACTTGAGCTTCTGGGCAGCGACGGCGCTCAGGAGGCCGCCGTCCTGGGGAGGACGGGCACCGAGACGGACATACAAGTCCGGGAGAGGGATCGAGTGGCTGTCCTCCTTCTTCCAGTCCTTGCTGCCCTTGGCGGCCTGGGCCTTCTTTTTGGCAGGGTTCTTGATCTCGACGGAGATGGTGCGGAAGACAGGGATGATTTCCATGGTGGGCTCGCGAGGGGTGGATGTGATCCCAAACCCAACCGAGCCGCCGCGTGCGCGGGCGGCCTGGCCAAGGTCGGATGGACCGGCAACTGAACCTTCGGCCTGCATGGTAGGAGTAGCCAAGGAAGGGAGATTTCTCACGTTGAAGGAGTGGCGGGTACACCACTTGCTGGGAATCGGGTGGCAGCGTGTCCGAGATGCTGATGGCAACGGAGCAACCGATACCGATACGGGAGCAAGCCCGCTGCCACCGCCAGACGTACGCAGAATATAAACCGCATTTTTCGGGCGAGAACAGGTTTAGGTTGGGACGTCGGGGGAAAGCCTCTCATATACCTTGGAATTCCTGCCAAAACCCGCACTCTCTGCAAGCAGAGTCACGTGTCTGCTCGGTTTACGGCGACGCATTCGATTGGACGGAAATCAGTGGCCCGGACTGGCCCAGACGGATATGGGAGACAGCAGAGATCACTTTGGACTGTTGGTGGGTAACAATCCGCAAAGTGCGCGAATAAGGCCCAATGGTTTTTTTTTCTGGCGGGATCGGGCAGCGAAATATGGCCAATGGGATACTGCCGGATTCCGGAAGGAAGGAAGGCGGCAGGCCGAGCGAGCCGAAATCGTCGAGCAGGCGGGGGGCGTGCTGGTCACCAGTACCGCTGGAGCAGCAACGGAAGTAAGATGTTTGTTGATGCAAGATGCACGGACGAGAACGCCGAGCAAGCTTGGAAGCTTGGAAGCGTGGCAGGCGAACGTGCACGCCGCAGGACTCGAGAAAACCTCGGGGACAGCCGCAGCTGCCAGGACCGAAGGACGCCCACGACGACGGATGGGCCAGGAGAACAGCAGTCGTGGCCATTCGGACGAACCGCCGATTCCCTGTTCCAGCGACGAAAGCGCACGTCGGTCGAGCCGAGAGGGTAACGAGCGAGCGATCATGCAAGTGTCTGGCGGCGACCACTCCACAAAGAACAACAGCAGCCAGTCGCGGCTCGATGAATTGAAGCCAAGTATCTATCTCCGCTCGCGAACTGAGCCATCGTGGCGAAGGTGTTCGTTGGGTGCTTTTATTCGGGCCTGTGAGCGATCCGACCGCATATGAGGATTGCCAGTGCGATGTAAACCATCAAGCACCGCTACTCATCCCCGCTCAAGGTCGCAGGCACGGCCTTGGTCTCGGCGCTGGCACACGAGTGGTGGCAGTCGCCGAGGACAATGTCCTCGATGTCGTCGCTGTAGCCCTTGAACCACGGGTTCTTCTTCATGGCCTTTCTCCACCAGTTGCGGTACGTCTTGATCATCAAGTCAGCCGCAACGGGCGAGTTCATGGCGTTGGCCCCCATGGCAAGGCGCTCCTGCAGGCCAGTCAGCATCGCATAGTCTTCCATGAGAACCTTCTTGTTGAATCGCGGAAAGTACCAGCTCACAACGCTACCCAGGACAGGAATCTTGAAGGCGCTCTCGAAGAAGGTGAAGCGCTGTGCGTAAATGAATCGACAGTGGCCCTTGCGCGTCGGGATGCAGTAGAAGCTCTAGTCCGCAATGAAACGTTTGATGTAGTGTCAGTGGCAACATGGCACAGTTCTGTTTCGCTTGAGGGAGCAGCTCAGGGCGAGGCGTGCCTGTGTTGCGATCAAGGACTTACCTGGTCGTTCCTGGATTCGGTTTTGGAAACGAATTTGAGTGAAATGGTGCATGGTGGATGGAACTCAAACTCGGATGTGATCATATCGGGAAGATCCGGGTTGACCTGAAGACCTCGGATGAACTTGCCATGGAACTGACAGTCGATCGTCATGGCACTGGCAAGCTTGCGGTTGCCAATCGTCGTGTCGTGGGTGAACGGGATCTGTATCGGGGTCAATTGATCAGCGTCGAGCATCGTGAACCAATGAGCAGCAGCCCAAACCATCAGACCATCAGACTGACACCATTTCGCCGGACCCAAAGTGACCAGTGCGTTGTCGGCAGAGACGGCAGGACCAGGGTCCACGGCCGGAACCATGCAACAGCACAGACAGAGCCATCAAGCCATGTGCTGGAAGCACCACCGCCGCGGCTCAAGCACCCACATGCGAAGGGTCCAAGAAGTTTTCCAGAAGCAGGCTATGATCGATATCGAGATCGACATATCCCGAGATCGCCTTGAGATCGCCGCCCCATGGATGATAGAGCTTTGGCTTGGGTACGTCTTGCATATCCTCGAGCGTGCCTGGCCAGACCTGGAAGCAACCCCGGTCCGAACACGATGATGAATGACGAGATGGTGAGATGATGAGATGATGAATGATGCGATAATGAGATGGTGAGATGATGAGATGATGAATGATGAGCAAACTCGGGGCGGTGTCTGCATCAGAAGATCAGGAGCCATCTCATGGCGGCGTGGATGCGATGGACGACACCACACCACACCATCGCATCACCACACCATCACCACATCACCACATCACCACATCGCCATCACTCGTTGCAGACTCACCCAAACCCATCCGTCGGCCTCGTGTGCCGGATACGTCTGCACCTTGGCGTTGGCTGGGATCGAGCGGTCCTTGAGCAGGCTCGGGATATGCGAGACCTTGCCGTCAGTGTCGTATTGCCAGCCGTGATATCGGCACTCGAGCTTGCCGTCCATGATCCGGCCGACACTCAGCGGGGCGCTGCGGTGGGCACACTTGTCGGCAAAGACAACCGGCTGGTTGGTCTGTGGGTCGCGATAGAGAACAAGTGGCTCCTCCAGCAGGCGCAGGGCCGTTGGCTGCGTGGTGAGCAGCTCGTTGGAGGGGACGAGGGGATACCAGGTCTTCCGGAACTCGGTGGTCTGTTCATAGAAGAACGCACGGTTGGTGGCAATCTCGTCTTGGGTCCAGTTGGGGACGGGGCTGGCCATGGCGGTGGTGACGGTGGCGACGGTGGGATCGGTGCAGAAGGCAGAGGGGATCTGGGTCGGCGGCAGAGGCAAGCCAGATGGCGATGGATGTGGGTGGAGGAAAGGTGCTCGCGTTGGCTGCTGGTGCTCGGATGGCCGGAAGTGCTTCGAGGAAGAGCGATGCCGGCCAGATGCAGGCGAGAGAAGGCGATTTTATATCGGCGCCGATGGCCTCGAGCAGCGGGCGGGTCTGGGAGCGGGTCTGGGAGGGCCGCCGTGCTGTATCGACATGCTGCATTGGTGCTGATGTGTTGGAGCAGTGACTGTTGTGTTGGAGCTGGCTGTTGTGTTGGAGTGTCATGCTGTTGACCACCACACTCTACAACACTCCACAACACTTAACACTCGGCAGCCAGGCCGCCATGGCAATCAGCGGTGTTGTCATGGCTTGCTGTCGCTGGTCACCAAATCGGCGTGCAGGAATGGCGGGTGAATGCCGGGTGCGGAGGAATCGAGGCGGGGAAACGACAGGGACCAAACAGCCGAAGCGAGCTCGGCGGTCTGGGAAGTCCTTGGCCGGTCTGCTTGGCCGGTCTGCTTGGCCGGTCTGCTTGGCCGGTCTGCTTGGCCGGTCTGCTTGGCCGGTCTCTGGGAAGCGAGCGGCAATTGCCATGGGCAAGAGTTGTGTGCAATTGCCATGGCCATGGCTCGCACGTTCGGTGCCGCTGTCGCAAGGCAACTCTCCCTCCCTCCGCATGCCAGGTGGCAGCAGCATTGGTCATCCAGGCCGTCGTCTGGTCCAGGTGGGATCTCCGAGCCGCAGATTTCCGAGCCGCAGATCACCAGGGTGCAATGTGCGCCAGTTTGCAATGCGCCTCCCCGAGCGTGCAACCAAGAGCCGGAGATGTGATTGATCTGCGACATGACCAGCTCGGTACACTGTATTCAGGGGGGAAATGGGACACCTGCCCACAACCCATTTGTCAGCGCAGTATGCGATGGCATGCGTCTAACTATGCCATAAGAAATAGAACAGATCACTTTGGCAGCCTCCGAGTGAAGACCACCGGTCGCAGTGCAGCGATGCGGAAATCGAGGGTGCTGTGCTTGGCCATGATTGCGATGGGTGGGTGGGTGTATTCAGGTCACAGAAAAAACCACTGTCATGGCTCAACGGGGTGTCCCATTTCATTTTGGAAACGCTGAATCCCAGCCGCTCAGGTGGGCCCCAGGGTGCGCCCGGCATGTTGATATTGCGATGCTGACGTCTTCGGAGAGGCACGGCTGTTGTTGATTCGAAGAATCTCGGCGGCTCCCAGCGTCCAACACCCAATGGCCACCACTCCAATGACCACCAACTGCATTCCTAATCCGCCTTGCTTTGCTCGAGCATCTGTCCGCTCCTGAATCGCTGGCACACACTGTTGAGCTGCATCGGATCGTCGAGCGTGAGTCATATTTAAGGTCTCTCAGCAGTGCGTCCCCGTTCATTGTCGGCATCTTCAATCGTCATCGCCGATCGTCAATTTCGCCCTATCAAACCCCTGGCTGCAGTCTTGCTTCCTCGGACACCAGCCCCTTCCGCATTGCCCGCCATCGGCGCTTGCCCGAGACTCTCCGTCGCCGCTCAATCGCGCACTTCAGCCAAAGAGCCCAGCGGCCCCTGCCATCGTCTCCTTCTTCTTACCCGATATCGATTGAATCTCGTCTCTCTCAACCCTGGCAGTTGCCGCAGCATCCGTTCCCCACTTCCAGCCCCCAGAGCTATGTTTGATCCTCTCTAACTGCACGCCCTGATCCTGCCACAAGGGGTGCATTTGGAATCCTTTCTTCCAGCCACAATTTCGATTGCTGGCCAGGGTCGCTTCTCGCGCCTCGAGACCAGGATCAATTCGACCGCAGCTCCTCTCACTATTCTATTGCCGTCACATCCCTCCCCATCCCGCACTTGCATCCGCTCTCGGGATTCACACACTCCTAGCTCTCAGTTCGGTTCGGTTCGGTCTGCTCCGCCTTGCTTGCCGTCTGCTGCATCCCCCGCTGCTTCTGGCCCAACTGCCACATTCCATCGCCCTTTCTTGTCTGCAACGACGTTGTCCTCTCTTGGTCAAGAAGACTATGGCTACCTTCCAAACAGGTAACATCGCTTTGGAATCAGCCAGATCACGGCATCGACAGAGTCGGGTCGTTCGTCCCTGTGCTTGCTGATGTGCCCTTCCCCGGGACTGGATGCGCATCTTCAACCTGGCCCTCCCGCACCCATCCCTCCATCTGCCACCAATGTGTTTGCTCAATGCTCGGCGACGATTGCTCGTCTCACGGTCTTGTTGTGTGATGTTTGCGCATATCTGCAGTGGCCATCGCATCCCAGCCCCGTATTGCTCCTGCCTCTACTGTCAGGCATCACGATCGACTTTGGATCATTACATTGCCAGCATGTGCGCTCCCCCCCCCATGTCGGGCCTTGGCTGCATCCGATATCCGCCTCGTCGATCGCCCCCGTTGTAGCTGCTCTCATGTCTACAGCCTAGACACCAAGCTGACCGTTTGGATGCATCGCCTGTGGCAGAATTTTGGGTCAAGGGACTGGAGATTCCCAAAACATCGATCAGCCCCAAAGACATTGCCGCTCGAGACGCTCTCGTATCGCTCGAGGCCCTCGAACGCTCGAGCGATCCCCAGCGCCTGTTTGTCTGTTCCTGTGCAGACTCCTCCGAGCACCAGGACGATAATACCAGCTCCGACACACTCAGCCATCGAAATTGCTCTCCAAAGACCCTCAGCCGAAAGCGGCTGATCCACCGGCTGTTCATGCAGCTGAGCCAGCACGAGCCGACATCGCCTCCACCCAAGGATCGAGCAACAGGCTTGGGCCTGTCGATTGCCAACGTTCTGCGCTCCTCCAAACGTGGCCATCGGTCCAAGCCGGTGTTCAGCCGCGACGATTCGGACTCCCCGTCAACGGCAACGACGACGGCGACGACCACGGCTTCATCCTCGTCCCTGTCGTCGCTATCGCCCTCCCCGGTATCGTCGGCTCCAGTGTCGCTCTCCTCATCACCAACATCTCCAACAGGCCGTGTCCGCATGACGCTCGGCGGCCCGTCCGTCCACGCTCCCAGGCCGATGGTGGACTCTCGGAATGCCTCGCCAGAGAGAGCGCTGGCTCGCCCAGACAGCCCAACACATCATCACCGGGCCTGCCAGAATCAGTCTCACCAGCAGCGCCCAGAGAGTCCGCCTCAGCGCGACGGGCATGGGTTCCAGGACAGTCATGAGTTGGACCATCCCGGGCGGGCAGACTCGCCGCATCATCCCGAACAGCGACACCCGCCTCACACGGACGGCGTTAACAAAGCCATCGCAAAGCTCCTGCTGGTGCCCCAGACGCTCCATCCCAAGACGAAAAAGCCGTCTGTCGACGAACCTGCCTGTACCTTGCACGAAAAGTATGGCGACTGCATGGTCACAGGCGTTCTTGGCCGAGGTGCAACAGCCTGCGTGCGTCTCGTCGTCGTCAAGGAGCAGACGGGGGACGCTGTCGTCGAGAAACTGCTTGCCATCAAGGTACGCACAGACATGCTATAGTCGACATGATATTCAGGTGCTTTGGAAGATTGCGATGAAGGGCTTGGGCCAGTCGACGGGTTCTGATGATAAAAGCACGGCCTGTCGCCGGCTGAGCTCCAGTGAATCAATCCAGGCAGTCATGATGCAGGGTGGGGAATAGATGGCAGGATTCTGATAATCCTGGCCAGGTGGACACATGGGACTGACGCTGCCGCTTCTGTCATCAAAGAAATTTCGCAAGAAGAGAAGGGATGAGTCTCTCAAGGAATACATCAAGAAGCGAACAAGCGAGTTCTGCATCTCCTCAAGGTACGCCCTACTGCTCCAGAGAGGCACCCAAGTCGGTGTGGTTGATGCATTGGTCACCATGTGTCGATGCATCGACCATCATATGTTGATGATGTCCGCGCCTGCAAACGGATGCATTCTCGGTCAAACCAAAGTTGATTTGTTGTATCTACAGCCTGCACCACATCAACATTGTCGAAACCCTGGATTTGGTCATCGACGAGGACCACGACTGGTGTGAAGGTAGGCAGCGCAGGAGCATTCCGAGAGTACCAAGGCTGTGCGAGCGGCCTATCTCCTCCACCCCCCCCATGCTGGATAGTGGCCCAGAACAAGTCAATTCGACGCGGCTCTCAATCATCCGCTTGCCCCCGCGGAACTCTGCGCATTCATCCCCAACAACACAGTCATGGAGTATTGCTCAGGTAAGTCGCTATCGAGCGAGCGACATGCATGCCAAAACCACAGCCACAGCTGCACTTTACTCAATGAAGACAGTCCCCAATGCTCCACAGGATTGGGGGGGGGCAAACAGTTGCTGACTGTACATATCAATCCATGCCGCCGCTTCTCACGGACACAGGTGGCACATTGTTCGATGTCCTCCAAGAATACAAATTCAAGAGCCAGGATATATCATGCTGCTTCAAGCAACTGATGGAAGGAGTCCGGTACTTGCACTCCATGGGCGTGGCCCATCGCGATTTGAAGCCCGGTAAGGCCGCGGGCGCAAAGCGATGGCATTAAGTGGGTTGCTGCGAGCATCGTTTTCTCCATCGTGGCCCTGTGACAGCATCACACCGCCAGGCGGCGTTTCTGTGCCCAGCATCTCATCTGGCCACTGGGCGGATCACCTGTCCGGGGCAGAAAACCTCTACTTTGATGGGCAAGGCAACCTGAAGATTGGTGATTTCGGGGTCTCGGAAGTCTTCCAGACGGTTTTCGAGCAATCGCCTCATCTGTCCAAAGGGCTGTGCGGCTCCGGTAAGCGCTGCGCAAGTGCACGTTGGGTCAGGAGCGGATGTCTGTAAGGCCGCAAGATATGCGCTCAGCATCACCGGGAACCAGATAGCTGTTCGTCGTCGCCAAACTCTGGCTGCTGTGTTGCTCCGGCCATGTTTGTTGGTCTCCTGACTAACACGTCGCCCAACCGCTGCATGAATTGGCCGGGATAACGTGACGGCATGCGTCAAGCTCCTTACATCGCTCCTGAAGAGTTCATGGGACTGGAATACGATCCCAGAGAAGTGGATGTCTGGGCATGTGGTGTAAGTATATCGATGGCATCTATTATTTGAGTGATGCTATGCGATTGCACCGGCGAGGCCCCACGAGCATTCGACAAGTTTTGGCTGCCAAAGTCGCAAGAGAGGATGCTGCGAAACATTGATTGCAGGATAACTGATGCAAAGCAGATGTGCGTCATTGTTTTTTTGCGGCAACCTGATTGCCTATGCTCTACGACCATCAGATCATTTACTATACCATGATATACATGAACTTCCCGTGGTGAGTACCCGATACGCCCATCGCGACCGAGCTTTGGACGGGGTCTCTCTGGCTCGCCGTCGGCTTACACCACGAATCATCATTTGCTCGACCAGGGCGCATGCCACGGACGATGATTCGCGATACCAAAAGTTCCTGAGGTCGCGCAACGGCCAGTATGCACCCATCGACGGCTTACCAGACGAATGCAGCTCGGTGCTGAACCAGATTCTGGAGCCCGACCCGCGCCTCCGCATAACGGTCTCGGGCATCCTGGCGACGTCGTGGTATCAGGGCATGCAAGGTAACGATCAGGGCTGGCGGAGAGCGGATCATGTCTGCTGAAATCGAGGCGCTTGTTGCGGCCATGCAGATGATCAGAAACTCGGCTGTGCGATTTGCTTGGCCCACTAGTTTGATGTCGGCTGCTACCATCGACACTTCGGCATGCTGAATACGCAACCATTTGTGTTGGTCCGTCCATACCACCCTGCCCTACCCGCCTGCGATTGACAGTCTGCTCCATGCATCACCATGTGTGCAAGAAAAAGCTACTGAAGCGACATGCGAGGCGCGAGCTGCCCAAGTGAGCCCCGTCTGTCGCTGTCGCAAGAGCCGCGGCCCCCGGAGCCTACCCGCACACCCATCTCCCCGACGCAGCAACATCATCAGCATTCTCTCGTCTGTTCCATCTCCACGTACCATCCAGCCAAGCAGCTTCCCTGCTTCTACCTCTCCCGGCACACATCTTGCGTGCACTTGCAACCGGCACTCTTGGGATGTAGAAATACAGAGACAGGCTGTATACAACTCGAGGCGCACAAACATGGGTGTGGAATGGATCCATCCAGGGTCCAGGGTGGATCTCGGGCACGATGGCAGTCCAGAATAGCGGCGCTCCAGTGCCGGTCGGTCGCGTGCAGCATGAGTTGCTTATCTATCCAGACTGGTAGTAATGAAAGGAGAGGGAGGAGGCGGGAGACAAAACGGAGCAGAAGGCCAAAGCATATAGCGCAAACACAAACAAGCCGAGTGCAAAATCAGGAAGCGAGCGGCGTAGGCTCTACCGCTGGGACGTTGAGTGGGGCTTGCGCATCCTCAGGTCACTCTTGACGGTCGGCGCATCTTCATCTTCGTCGTACCCAGCGTAGCCGTCGTCCTCGCTGGCGGTGTACACAATCGATTCGGACAACGGGGCCCGAGAGGGCTTCTCGCTCTTGGCAGCCGATCCATCCAGGGCAGTTTGATCCTCGGCCTGCGGAGTGGGGAACTTGGGATACGATCCGACTCGCTGCAGGAGCGTCTGACGGCTGGCGCGGACGCGGTTGGCCAGCGAGCCATCGGTCTCGGTGCCAGAGCCAGCGGGACTGGTGAAGGGGCTCTTGCCAAAGTCCGAGACGCTGTCGCTTTCGAAGCCACCCTCGAGTCGGAGGCGCTCCCGTCTCTCGCGCATCTCCTTCTCGATCAAAGGACCAGTCTTTTCGCAGAACTCTTGGATCTTCTGGGCAAGCTCGGCTCGCTCCTTTCGCAGCCACTCAAAGTCCTTCTTCTGGGTGATGGCGCCGATCAAAGGGCGCAGGCTCTTGATGATGTCCAAGGCTACTTCGCTGGTCAGGACGGCCGCATAGCTTAGCGAAGCCAGCGAGAACCAGAAGCAGAGCGTGTACGTGAGACGTGTCGAGAACGTCAAGCCAAGGAAGCCGAGGTAGAGGTAGAACAGGATGGTGTACAGGACAAAGAATAGGGGAATCAGCGCCATCGCAATCAGGAGCTTCCAGGTCGACACGACATCTCGTCCGGTGATCTTGACATTGGACTCGGCCAGGGCCTCTGCAAGAGTGAACGTGTAGGACACGGTGTTAGAGAGGCAGGCTTGGCCGTCGAGCATCCCCTGTGCACAGGCTGGTCCCATACTGCAGCCAGGTCTGGTGCATACTATCCACCAGATGATCCGGGACACGCCCGAGCCGAGCCAAGGAAGCCACAGCTTTGCGCATCTGCCGTGGTAGCTTGCAGCACAGCCACTTACGTTTGGCCTTGAGATTGCTTATATATCCAGTGATCAGCATCATGGGGAGGTTCATGATGACACTGCGTAAAGTGCGGTACTGCGTCAGTACCAAGGGTGTGGAGACTCACTGCCGCGCCATTGATCTGCTGTGGCGAGTTGCAGCATGGCTAGTCGCCTCCAAGGTACATACCCAGGCAGAGCCATGGTGCTCAGGATGATCAGTCGAACAATACGGCTCCACAGGAGCAGAACCAGAGGATATCCGCCGATCTCACTTCGCTGGACCTGGTGGTCATGGATGCCGAAGGTGAGGAGCTTCTTGTTGTAGTTTGAAACCCGGTCCTGGAGCGCCACGACCTGAGGATCGTCTTTGAAGCGAATGTAGCCCTGTTGAAGGAGCGTAGCCAAAGGCGTTGAGCAGCGATTGGGTCAAAATCAGTGGTCTGCTCGAGAGGGAGGTGGCTCTTGTATCTGTGTCGTCAAACTCCAAAGCGCCGTGGTTGTGTGGACGACCATCAGTGAGAGCTCCGGTCAGCGGTAGGAAATGTATACCTGAACGAATCGGCGAGTCAGCGAAACCGTCTGAGTGGTGCTCAGCTTGCGGTTCAAGGGCTTGTACAGTCGTCTGGTGGCCTGAATAAGCTGGATGGGCCAAACAGTAAGGATGAGCGTTGGTACTGTGGACGACGGCCACCCAACCGCCATTTCGCGGGCAGGGATAGCGACATACCATCAAGGTCTCGTAGTCGGGGGCGGTGATGGTCATTTCTTTGAGATTCATGGTGATGAGGTTCAGCAGTTCTTGGGTGGCGTCGCGCTTTGGCTGGCCACCTTCTTTATATCGATCCACCCAGTCTTGGGATACGGCGATGGGCTCGCCATATTCGACAACAGCGCGGGAGCGGAATCTAGACGCCGTACCGGGATCAAGGGTCGGTTCAGCAGACTCACCCAGACACTTGGACAGAAAGCAGGCGCGGCTGCACGACCAGAGCCAAGACACTTCCAGAAGGAATTTCCACGCATGTTGAAGAGCTGCCGCCAGAGATAACGATGTGGCAGCGCCGCCGAGCGGGCACATGGCTTCGCTGCCATTTGTAAATTCTGTGTAAAGCAGCAGCGAGCAGACTTACCGATGAGGATGGAAGTAGTTCAAGCTGACAGGTACAATCTTGACACTCAGGTTTTCGTACTTTGCCATGGCACTCAGCGCCATGATGGCGACACCAGCCTTGATGGGCAAGAGCGAGGAGCGATCATGACTACCGCCCTCGGGGAAGATGCCCACACAGCGGCCCTCAGAGAGGCGTTGCGAGACGCTGTTGAAGAGCTCGGCCTGCTCGACATGGGGTGTGATCGAGAAGGGGTATTCTTTGGCAGCCAGCAGCTGGATGGCGTCCGGGTCGGTGACGGGCGACTTGAGGCGGACAAGGGTTTCGGACACAATCTCGGCGACCTCCATGGCGATGCGCTTGGAATGAGGGGCAGGGAGCTTGACCGAAATCACGGCACGGACATGCAGTTTCTCGGTTGTGCCGTTGGAAATGAGAATCTCAGAGTGGTTGTCGGGGGTGGCGAACTTGACAGTGCCGACACCAGGGAACGCGAGGTCCTGGGGGCGGACCACCGGGATAGACTCAAGAGCACGGCCCATGGATCCAACAAACTTTCGTTGCATGGACTTTGCGGCGGCGAGGAAGCCGATTCGGCGAGGTGTGTTGGTGGCGATGATCAGGGGGTCGATGAACTGTGGCGGCGGACCGGAACGCTGCGTCAGTGGCTGAGGGCTGTCGTGGGAATCACAGAGATCAATGCATGGGCTTGAATGAAGCTTGCGAGCCGTCTGGGTGGCTGTGGCTTACCTGGTTGTGGTCTGGGTTGGGATTGGCGGGCCAGGCAAGACAGAAAAAACGGTGGATGCAAACGTCGATGCGGAAGCAGAAGGGTCGGCCCAACAAATACACAGTCCGTCGGTGGTGAGTATCAGAGCGGGAGGGATACCCGGCCGGCTGTGGTTGCCATTGGTACATTCAAGCGTGTGGCTCAAGCAGCATACAGTCTGGGGAGAAGTGCGCCGCAGCGTTGGCCAAGGCAGCAGAGTTTGAGGGCCGTCACTTACGAGGAGCGATGACAAAGATGACGGGGCCGGACTTGGGGATGTTCTGGACGCCCCTCAGCTTGACCTCCCGGAAGAAGATGTTGAGGAACACAGTGAACATGAAGACGACCAAATCATAGGGCCGGAGCGAGACCAGCGACGAGCTGGATGGGCCGGTCATGGTGACGTGGTCAAAGGGGTTGCTCTGGAAGGGCAGGGTTGGAAGAGGACACGGCGTCGTGCAGGGCGGCTGGGACGTGCGGCTGGATGCACAGGGTAACAGGATGAGGTTCAGAAGAGATATCGGATGCGGGGGTGTCCGGGACGCAGGACAACTCGAGGTCGGTGGGGCGAGTGCGATGGGAGGAAGGAGCCGAACGGAGGAGGAGGAGGAGGAGGAGGACGCAACGCAAGCCAAGGGTCGGCCCCGAAAAAAACGGACACAAGTGCCACAGGTGACATTTGGGGCGTGTGTGTGTGCATTGCACCACCGCGACGCGATTGGCTGGGCGCGTCGTGCCGAGAGCGGAACGGGACGGATCAGAGTGCATCGTTTGCACCATCAGCACTGGGCATGTTGCACATATCCATTCGCACCGCCAGCATCTGCGCCGCGCGCATCCATATCGCTCGCACCGCCGGCACCATCGACACCGGCATCGGCATCAGCATCGGTGGAACGGCCTGCCTCGAGCCACACGGCCTTGGAAGCCACACGCGAGACAACCTCGTCCGCCTCCTTCCCCACAGGTCGCGTTCGCGTGGCCCAATCGCGTTGGGTCTGGGAGGATCGATCCAGCAGCCCAGTCGAGCCGGCGCATTCGAGCCTGTCAGGGTCCTTTCCGGGACGGCTGGGTGCGGTGTGCCCCTGCTGGGATCGCTGGCAGCGGCGGCACAGGCGCCTTGACTTGCACTGCGGGTTCAGGGAACGCTGCAGCGCTGCCGCCGAGGATCTTGTTGACCACGTAGTTGTTGATCAGCAGGCGCACCCGCGGCCCAGTTCCCGGGAGCTTGATCTCCTGTGCAGAGTCGGTGGGTCAGCCGCCAAGCAGACAAACAGCCCTGGAGATTGAGTTCCCACGGCTCACAAGGCGACCTACGGAGCCTCGCTGCACAGCCATACCGGAAGCGGCTCTGCCTTTGCAACTGGGCACACCAACGCCGACGGCGCAGTAGTTAAAGGCTTTTCGACAGGCGACATCCGGCTCTGGAGTGATCGACAGTCAAGTTAGCCTTGCTGCACTTGGGACTGCGGAGTCGCATGCTGCAGCCAACGACCATGCCCCCAACAGGTCTATGCATTCAGAGCACAACTGCTGCAGCCCTTGGAGGACTAAAAGCCCATACCTCGGTATCCCACTCGTATACCACTCGTCGACCAATATCCGACGACAGCGGGTGGGTGTCCTGTTGGCGGTGCATCTTTCTATTCTGGCGTTGGAAGACCTTGAGCCTCTCCATTGGATCTGTGATAGGTGGCGCGGCCAGGCGGTTTAATATCGCCACCCGATAGGGCACAGCTCTGACTCGCTATATCGAGGTCTACGGATGTGTACCATGGAGCTGGATATCACCACCCGTCTTAGCACTGTCGACCATGGCAAGGCGCGCAGTGCCCCGGCATCACTCGGGCAATCGCCTCCAGGAGCTCGCGAGGCCCATCACACACTTCCAATACCGTTCTACGCAATAAATCGTGCTGTTGCCGTGCATTGGTTCCTCCCAGTGGACGCCTCGTCTCTGGGTCTCCATGTATCTGTCGCTAGCTACCAACCTTTCAGAGCCTCTCGTCTTGTCGCCTTCGCCTCCATTTCGCTATATCGCTTCTGGTTCTTGTCATGCAGGATTTGGCTCAACGAACTTTCCAGTTGCCTTGTGAGTGATACAGAAGGTGAGATACCGTGAAGCAGCTGTCGCCAAGATGCTCGGGATGCTGTGTCTTGTCTTACCAGTCATCCTCCAGCCCTCCTTCGCTCAGCTCTGATTCATCAGAGTACTCGTCCTCTGTGGACTCAGTGGGCTGGGACATTCGGCTCTCGCTGGCTCGTGTTCGGCGTCGTCGCCGTGGGAGGGCGTTTGACTCTCGAGCCTCATGCCGATCCGTCTGGCTATCACGCGCTGAGACCAGAGGCTCAAATGGCCCCAAAGGCGGTAGCTGATCATGTCTGGCGGACGAAGGGGTAACCTGCCATACCCGCCAAGGTTATCACACCGGTCTGTCCACGCCTTCCTCACGACTCCCAAAGTCACAGAGAGAGCGATGGTGACTTGCCTTCTGCGATATCCAGTTGGGTGTGCCGGCCCTCGATGCTCCTGCCGATGATGTTGTCTTGGCTGTCGATCGCTGCGACCTTCCTTTCCGCTTGGCCCATTCGCCGGTGCTGATGATCTTTCCGGAACGGGTGCGGATCTCTTGCGGGTAGTGTAGCAGTCCGTCGGTACCAAGGTACTTTTCCATTTGCTCGTCAAACTCGTTTTCGTTTGCGTTGGCCAGCCAGTCGTCCATCTCGTTTTCTGTCAAAGGTACCGTGAGTTCCGAACGCAGCGTCAGGAAACGAGTCAGGGGCGCTGCAACAAAACAAGGCCGAACTTGCACACTCAAGTACAGCAGGCAGGGTGAATCTAGCAAGCGCGCTCAGAGCGCAACATGAGAATCGCCGCGGGTCTTGCGGTGGATATTGCTGGTGTCTGAGCACAAATCAAAGGATGACCCGAGTAGACTATGCTCGGCTGCCGGGGTTTGGCTTTGCCAGACTCCTGAGGCATAGCATGGTACACACCATCAAGATATTCCATTTCGTTCTCGGTGGCCTCGGCCTTGGCGGCAAGCTCCTTCTCTCGTTGGGCACGCAGCTCGCGGCGGACGCAGTGCCCTGCATCCAGTATTGGGCAATATACCAGTTAATTCGCATCTTCGGAGGACGATTGCAAATACATGGATCAACAATCTACCTCGCCACGTCTTTTGGATGATGAGCGTGCTCTTTTGTCGCCTCTGCTTGGCCTCCTGATGCCTCCTCAGTCTCAGCCGGTAGAGTGAGTGACGGAAGAACCGCTGAATCACTGTTATGGCTAATTCGATCAGGACATGGATTAGTTTGGGACAATCTCGTATCGCTCAAGGACATCTCTGACAATTTGAGTGCTTGGAGATGCTTGAGGTGAGTTTGGGTCCCGCTTGGGTACAGCGCGCGCTGCACCTACCAGCCAACTGCCGCAACATCAGTCTCCGTGCCTTCTTTCGACGCCAGCATCCCTGGACGTACGAGATCGAGTAGTTTTTGATCTGATTCTCCATCGCATCGACGCCGTACACCAGGCACATGTCCCTGGAACAGATTGAGTCGTTATTGGCATGTCGTGGAGTAGTCCTCAATGGATACCGGCTTTGAGGAGCTGGTAGTGCGCAGCCGGACTGTATCTCTTGGCTTTGTTGCCCGCGTGGCTCGTTTTTATACAGGTGCCCAGCCCAGGCATCGCTGTCGCTTCGATGCTCAGCGTCTGGACTTACGACGGAATGCCGCTGTGGTTGAGCACTGCCTCGACTTCGATCAGGTTTTGCTGTAGTATTCCCGTAATCCAAGCAAAGCGGCGTTCCTGTACTGCCTGCGCTGAGAGTCGGTCGAGCACGTCGCTGTTCTCAGGGGCATAAAGATAGCCCAAGTATGGTCGGTAGTACGGCCCCATGAAGGATTCGAAATTCTGAGAAGCGTTTTGTGTTTCCAAGCGGGAGACACATTTAGACCCGTTAATCAACGAGCATCCAGTGAAGCAAGGGACGCCGATAAGCGAGATCGGCCAGGAACGCTTCAGGGCACGGGAGAGATATCACACAGCCAGATCGTACTGCCAGATCGTACTGCTAGATCACATTGCCAGGTCGCGCTGCCATATTGCGGATGAACTTACTCGCTCTTGTGCCTGATTAAGTCGTCGATAATCTTCATAGTGCTGGGTATTCTCCGAAAGCGCTTCTCTGGGAATGCAGTGAGGGCTTTTTCGTTAGCTCGCATCCCGGGCTTTCTCTCACGCCAGTGCCAAACAGAGGCAATGGAGCTATCGAGTGCCTTGGTTTGATGTGTCGGCACAGCACGTACGTATAAGAGTCAACCAGGAAACTCTGCAGATGTGCACTGCACAACTGCAAGGATTTAATCGCGACCAGACACTTTGGCTTGCGGAAGAGCCTCTGTCCATTCGGTGCTTTCATCTCATCCACTAAAGCTCCGTTCAAGTACTGTTTGAAGCGTCGTCAGAGGCTGTTGGCGTCAGCGATCAATGTCGATCCCTCACCAAATCTCGCGGTCCTTGGGGACGGACATGCTCTCTGCCATAAGATGCGATTGGACTGACCTTGACTTTGGGAAACAGCGTTGCAATCATTGGAAGAAACTTGCGATCCGACACAATCGGATTTTTGCTTAGATCGATAAGACTCAGGTGCTGGCACAGACTGAGGCAGTATATACTCTTCATATCTGCGCAGATATTAGTCAGATGCCACGAGTCCAAGACCAATGCAGTGGTGGCCTGGAGATCCAACGAGCCGCATCACACACATCCAAAATGTCGCGCGTCCGGCACATCGTTCAGCAGAAGGGTCATATCTACGGGCAACTTACTCGAAAGAATGTTGTTTTGAAGGTATATCTCTTCCAGGAACGGACACATGGAGAGCGGCAGAATCTCCTTGATCTGGTTGTCTTCGAGATGCAGCACCCGAAGATACGGATAAAAGTCGCGAAGATTCAAAGTGCTGTGGCAGCAAGCGTTAGCGAGCATGGTAACACCCTCGTGGTTGGCATGGATGCATGTTAGGAGCGCTACCGATCCGCCGTCCTGCAATCCGCGATCACGCCGGCATTTTGAATCCTTGTACTCTCACCTCAACTTGTTCGACTCCATATTCAGCTCGAACAGCAGAATGTTGGTCAGCTGCGGAATATCAAGGTAATAATTGAATCCAAGCGATAGATACTGGAGGATCTTGCAGTCCACAAGATAGTCCAGCTCATCCCCGCATATTTTGTTGCACGAGATATCCAGGTAGAGTAGATTGTGCATTATGCCGACATTGGAAAAGTCGATCACCTGTCCCACGGGCGAGAATGAGGGAGCAGAGCAAGGTCGATATCAAAGCTGAAGGGCTCGGATGAGTCAACCGCGAGACTCTACAGCGCTGTGTTGGTGCACCTGTCGAGAGCCAGGTCACCAACTTACCTGGGTGTTGTTGAGAATCAGAACTTGGATGTTGGATGCCGGGATCAAAAAATCGAGATTTGCGAGCGGGTTGTTGCTCAGGTCGAGGATCTGCAAGTCTTCACACTTTTCCAAGCCCTGTCGAGCACAACGCAGGGGCTGTGTGAGACGTGGTGCGATATCTGACCAAGCAGACTCGGAGCGTGTTGAAGTTGATGACTGGGGCAATTATCTGCTCGCACCAGGATGGCGGATCTATCTGCGAGCCGCTTAAACAGTCGCACTCGCTCAAACAGTCACATCTGCGAAGTGGATAGTAGCTACAACTCACCATCACATCGTTGAGACGATTGGATGCAGCATTGAGGTGCTTCAGATGAGGAAGCTCGGTCAGATCGAGCGTCTCAAACCTATTGTTCTGGCAGAGTTAAGTTGAGAGATATTGGGAGGGCATGATTGTGATCATGGTCAAAGGGGGTAATACTGCGGCCGATATAGCTCGCGGACTAAACTAGTGTTCATCATACTGCACTTGCTTGCCATCAGAAACCGGGCTCCAGCGATCAAATACAGAGCTACCAACATTGAGGCTGAGAAACTGTATATCGGTCATGTTATCCAGGCCTTTGAGTGTCCGGAGGGAGTTGTGGTCAAAGTTTACGGCTCGTAGCTGAGATACAGGCTTGAGGTTGGGTATCTGTCATGCGCCGATGCGGCAAGAGAACGATGGTTACGCCGCCGCCAGCACCATCACTTCCGTGTGCGTCGCCTCCAGTGCACTCCAGTGCACCACTTTTCTATCGACACGAGCTTCAATGTGCACGATACATCGCAACCCATGCCATTCACTATCGCGAGTGATCCGCAGGAGCACGATGAGTGTACCAAACCGTCACAGGCAAGCATGCTGTGAGCCATATCTGAGGCAGCGATTCCTCTCGAGAGCTGGACATACCCTCGTTAGTCCCTTCCTTTGTACATCTAGGATTCGCAGCTCGTCGAGCTCGACCGGATTTCCGTTTCCCTGTTTCGTGGCAGCCTCTACGAGCAGTTGCAAGTCATACTGCCGCTCCTCTTCCTCTGCCTTGAGCCGCCGGATAATGATTTCTTCGCGCTTGCCCTTCTTGGTGCCGATGGTTTTGGTATCGTTAACAATCTTGAGTTTGCTCTGGCGCAGCGCTTCCTCCAGTCGGGCGACTTCTTGCTGGGCTCGGTCGACCTCGGTCAGCAGCAACTGGTGAACCGGCGTCTCGATCTCGATCTTGGCCTTGGCCACAGCGATCCTGGCGTGCAGGCCATTTTGGCGGCTCGTGTACGCCTCCATCAGTTTAGCAACCTTGGCCAGGAGCATGTTGGACCGGTCCTTTTCGCGTCCAAAGGCCGTCTTGTCGGTGCCGGTGATGGACTGCAGCAAGTGCCGGTATTGCTCGGCCAGCTCGCGCGCCTTTGCTCTCGTTGTGCGCACGAGCCGCTGCTGAATGCTCACTTTGGCTCGGATGGAATCGAGTTTGTAGGTCAGATTGGATTGGATCTCGGCCTCTTTCTTTTGCTGCAGGACTATGTCGTCTAGTTCGTTCTGCTGGGACCGCTCCTCGAGCTGGAGCCGCCTAAGGAAATCAGATTCCTGTGGCGTCAGCTCTCCAAACTCATCAGACGGAGTCATCAGCCGTCCGCCTCTTGACTGAGGGGACATGACAGGAAACGGTGCTACGGGAGGGGGCCACATTGCGGGAGTGCTTTCGGCGTTGTCCGCGCTCTCGGCTTCGTCTTCGTCTTCGTTGATGCCCTCGGCACCCTGTGCTTCCGTTTGTGCTGCGCTGGCGGGTCGGGCAATCTCTTCGTTTGACAAGGTGCGTCCATTCGTTTGAGTCTTGTTCCGAATGGGCGAAATCGGCTTGCCTTCGAGCGCCGGCAGATCCTCAGAACTATGTGAGCTGACATTGACGGGTCCTCTGAACGTGCTGGTGCGTCGCAGTGCGCTGGGATGACGGGTCAGCTGAGTTGTCGGACGGCTCAGGCTCTTGTAGACATAGCTGACTCTCCGCATCGACTTGCGGCGCTCCTTTTCGAGGTTCTTGAGCTCATTCTCCTCCTTCGCAACTGTGCTGTCGATCTGTCTAGAGAGGATTGAGTGAGCAGTGTCGCCCGGCTGACCAGCATCAGGCCGCGGCGCGGCCATTCAGAGCCTGGCGTATCGACCTGCTGCCATCCAGAGGACCAAAACATCCACCTACTTGATCTTTTCATCAAGGGCCTGCTGTTCCTTAAGGAGGAGGGCGTCGATTTCCTCGTTTTCCTTGGCTTTCTGTATCCGGTTCAAAACGAAGCATCAGTGAGGGCGGATACACTTGAGCAACCAGCTGCCGCAATCGCGGCTGTATTCCGAGAGTCGTTCCAAGAAGCTTACCAGTCCCAAGTCAAATTCGACCTTCTTGATTGCACTGAGCGTTAAAAAAAGAATGCAACGGATCAAAATTCGAACAGGCACTGCGTTGTCAACATGCAGAGGACAATAGCAGCGTCGGGCTCAGGATAGGGAGCTATCGATCAAGTTGGAAGCCCGCTCGGTCGAGATGAAGTAGTGGATGGTGCAAACGGCGCCGACGGGCTGTCTTATCCAAGGTGTCGGTGCCGGGCCGTATCTGAATATGCCTGACCAGACGCCTGAGTCTCGCAGCTCCTGATATTGTTCGCAGAGTGAATGGCGCTCGTGCTCATCGACACATGCAGCTGTGTGCTTGGACCTGCTTCCCACGTGGTATGACCCGATCGACATTCAGATATGAAGCCGCTCACCTCTCAAGTGCCTCCGAGTCTGCTTCCTTGATAGCAATCTGTGACCCAGGCCCGTCAAGTCCAGGCTCGAGTGATCCTCCCATCAGGTCCGATAGACTCGACTGGGCAATGCTCTCGTTGACTTCGCGCACAATGGTGCTCGCCGTGATCAGGCTGCTGGAGCCTTGGGGGTTCAACTCGCTGCCCAAATTACGAATATGCGGCCGCAGAGGTGAGCCGGCTCTCGGAGCTGGGGCCGGTAGCTGCATATCGGGGGAGCTCGTGTAGTGTGCGGTACCGATGGTGACCGCCAGGGACACCGATGCATGTATGCTCTGTGACTTGGCTTCGTGAGCGATGACGCGCGGAAGCTTTGCTGTTGAGGAGATCGACACCCTTGGAGACATTGCAGAAGATGGTCTTGGCGAAGCCGCAGAGGACGGTCTTGGTGAAGCTGCAGATGACGGCCTGGGTGAAGCAGAGGCTGGAATATGCCCCACACCAGCCGAAGATGGTCGCGGAGAATGCGCTGGTGAGATACACAGCCGAGGGTCTGACTTGGCCGCTGCAGCGACGCCGCTATGAACAGCCTTCGGCATTCGATGCTCTTTCTCTGCCCCGGAGGTCACGGAGCCGCTCCGGTCGAGGTCGGTTGCCGTCGACATTCGCGATTCGGACTCGCGGCTGGGAGGCATGGGTGCCGATGCTCCCATCACAGTCTTGCTGTCCCAGAGCCCGTCCGGGCGAGATTGATTTAAACTCGAGGCGAGAGTCTCACTGGAAGCCATCGCGGACGATCCTGGATGGGATTCGTTTGCAAGGTCGTCGAGTATGAGAGCGGAAGTCGCTATGGAGTGCGTCTGGGATGCGGTGCTCTCTGCTCGGGGCGGCGTCGGGTCGGTTGCTCGTTGCGTTGTCGAGTCGGAAGTATCTTTTCTCTCCGCATTGTACCCGCTGAAGGATCTTGTGTCGCCTGTGGCTATTTGAACTTCTCTGGACGCCGTGTCGGTGGGAAGCAAGTCGGGCTGGTCGGCAGGATCACTTCGAAGTACCTCTTGAACCAAGATACCACGCTCGCTCATGCGGGTTTGGATTGACCGCACCAGTTCCGACAGCTCCAGTTCAGTCTGCCGCGCAATTTGCTTCGAGTCAGCAGCAAGAACTTGTTTCCAGCCAAGGCAATTCAGAGTCTGCTCCGAGTCATGAGCGCTCGATATTCCCCCCAGATGCATGGCCCACTGCTGCCCGAGATCGACGGACGTCCCTCGGCTGTAAAGTCCGCGTAAACAGCTCACCTCGTCCTTCGAACTCTGACTTGGCTCGGTCCACGATGCGGGAGGCTCGAGCGATGGAGCATCGGGTGGCATAGAGACGATTCGCTCTGTCTCGAGGTTCGCGTCGCCATCGGCATTGGCACCATCGGCGACTGCAGCATCGCTTGGGTGTGTGCTGTCGTCAAGGTTCCCAAGCGACTGGCGGATTGTCTTCTCTAGCTCCTCAAATCCGTCGTTCAGATGCGTCTCGACAGCGGACTACAGAACAAAATCAAAGATTAGATTTCCGCGAAAGTTGCATACGTCCTGTGCAGCAGCATCGGGGATGCATGCAAACTCTGCATCACGGCCGACCGTGCGTCATGCAACCGCAATCGCTGGTCGGAGCAGCAGCACGACACACGCCCCCAACCTCGTCGTCGCCGTCACCATCGTTGTCGTCTGCGGCGGCAAGCTCGTTCTCGACTATGGCCTCGCTTTCGGAATCGAGAGCCTCCATGCTGTTGCGGAGCAGGCGTGGATGAGGACGAGGCGGGGGTCGCCCGTGAGCTGGCGATTCTGGGGGAGAAGAACAGCGGGATGCGGCCGCGGATGGCGAGCAAAGAGCATACGATGCAATAGAAGTGAGCTCAGCAAGTCATCGGGTGGTTGATTGGTCGATGAGAGCGTTCTTGGTCATGCCCGAGCAACTCGGCCCACTTTCTGCATCGGCATCGGGGCGATATTTGCCCTGCGTTGGCGCTGTCAGAACAGCGAGCCGCTCGCCACGGCCCTGAGCAGCGGGTTGGAGCGACGATCCCGATGCTCCGATGCCCAGGAGCCTCGTCTGCAGTAACTCGGCACACCGCCATGGCAGCAGATGCCCAGACCGTGCGAAAGTTTGGGCAGGGTTGCCAAGCACACGCTTCAATCGCCAGCCTTCGGTCGCCAGACTCGCCTGATCTGTCTCTGGGCTCAATCTCCCTCTCCCTCCCACGCATCTGCCTGTCGTCCTTCTCCACCGATCGACTCTTCTGCGAGCGATCGTCTTGGCTGCGATGAGCACCCTCGCACTCTGCACCCCGCTCCGAGCACCCCGCGGGCTCGTCTTCTGCTCGGATGCTCGCTTTCTCTCGACCACGCCAACAGTGTTGGTTTCAATCTCGACCGCCTCATCCCCCAGAGCCACTGCCTACAGCAACAGCCCAGCAACCTCATCTGTGTCGCCAGACCGCACTAGACCCCAGCACCGGTGGCCCGTCTCTCGGCTGGCACCTCGGTCGCATCGGCTGAAGAGCACAGGCGGCGAGCCTTTGACGCAGCAACACAACGACGACCACAGCCATTTGCATCGGTTGCCTCCTGCCCAGCACCAAGCGGATCATGCCGGCAGCCACACCCACAGTGGCGGCCATCACCACCATCACCACCACCATGGTCTTCACGATTCGACACAGGAAGGTGAGCGGGCCGAGGCCGTGGATGCGGACAGCTGGGCCGGCGGCCACGAGGGATTCCTGCTGGTTGGCTCTGCTCATTGTGACTCATGCGTCTCGATGCCGCCCAACCGGACGTCTCGATACTGCAGGACACTGGATCACCATCGTCGGGTAGGTCATGCTTGTCCTGTTGGATAACTCGGTCGCTCGGCTGCGTTGGTGGAATGCATAGTCGATGGCCTCTTGGAGTACACTGCCGGTCGGGTCGCCGCTGGATGAGTTGGCCCTCCGCAGTCACAGGCGGTATTCGCTGGCCGAGGCGACTTGATACAGCCTGCAGTATCGACCTTGGGATGCCAGAGCTACAGGCCGCAGTTGAATACAGCGCTCGATAGCCGCGCAAGTCACTCACGATGCTTTGCTGCTTTCAGATTGATCTCGAATGTCGGGCTCACCGGAATCAAGGGCGCGGCCGGTGTCATGTGGAACTCGGCATCACTGCTTGCTGACGGTGAGGATATCTTGCGCCGTGATGTCTCGGCAGTGGTAGTCTCTGCAGTGGTAGTGGTAATAGCATCCAGCAACGAGGCTGTTCCTGATCAGCATCGCGGTGCTATGGCCAGCTCTCCACAGCGCATCCGACCTAGTTGCCGATTTCGTGACGCTCTACTCGTTCCGTCGAGCACGGACCAAGCCCGACAGCAACTTTCCGTACGGATATGGCAAGCTCGAGTCGGTCGGGTCGCTCGTCGTAGCCGGCATCCTGATTGCAGCGGGCGTTGGGGTCGGATGGCATTCGTATGACTTGCTCTCGACGAGCTTGACCCAGCGACAGGACACATCCGAGGCAAATGGCAGGACCCAGGGCCACAATGACGACGCCAGCAACCAAAACAAAGCCGGTGACGATGAGTCCGATGCCGAGTCACTCATCCGCTCCAGACTGATTGAAATGTCGCCGCTGGCGCTCCTGATCGTTGGCCTCGGCATCTTTGGAAAAGAAGCACTCTACCACTTGACCGTCCGCGCCGCCCGCAAAGCCAAGAGCGACGTTCTCATGGCCAACGCCTGGCACCACCGAAGCGACGCTGGATCTTCGGTTGTTGCCCTGGTCGGCGTTGGTGGCGCTGCCCTTGGGTTTCCGCTGCTCGACCCTATCGGCGGTATTTTGCTCTCAGGTATGGCCACTGCCGCTCCGAGCCGAGGAATCATGCGACGTGGTCGCAACATGGAAGTTCAGTCATTGGCTTGGTTCGCTGACTTGGTTCGCTGACTTGGTTCGCTGACTTGGTTCGCTGACTTGGTTCTCTGACACTGCGTCTGGATGATGCGGCGTTGTTCTAGGCATGATCTTGAAGGCCGGCATCGATTCCGGTGTTCCAGCGTTCTGGGAACTGATTGATGCGTCTGTTCCGCCAACGACGCTCCACCAAGTCCGAGCATCACTCCACGATACTATGGTAAGTCAAGCACGCAGACATTGCTGGACCCAGGCCTCTCAGATGGAGTCTGGGCAGGGCAGGAGCACGAAACGGACCCTCTCGGCTCTGCAGTCTGCAACGGGTGTATCTGGACACAGAGCGGGCATTTGGCCATGCCCTATGCGTTCCGATGTGAAGAGTTGTATGATGCATGGAATATCATCCGATCCGATATGAACTCTCGGTATCGGCTGCTTGAAAGGCCGCGATTTCCTCCAGCACAGTGACCCTGCTTACCACGCCTATATTCGTTTGCAGGTCAGGGACTCAAACATTGTCTCGTACGGCTCGCTCAGGGGCCGCAAGATGGGGCCATACAACCTCGTGGACCTGCAGTTGCAAGTTAATCCTCACATTAGCGTCTCGACTGCTCATCAGGTGGGTTGTTGCGCATCGAGCAATACCGTCGACTGCGGCTAGCGTTTGCACGAATTACGACGGTCCTGAGCAGCCACCTGGTCATGGCCGCAAGGACGCTATCTCGAGTACTGCCAAGAAGCCTCATGCTCAGCGCGGTGCGACGAAGCACACTCTGCTGCAATGTGGTGTGCGCACTGCTGGACTCGCTGATGTATTTACTAAGGCGCTCGTCGACTTGTTACTCTAGATTGCCGAGAACGTGAGACACCAAATCACGAAGGACGTCGAGGATATCAGCGAGGTGCGTTGCCGATGCATCCGTGTGGCTATCGAGCCGTGTGTCCAGGGTAGCTGTGGGCTTGGACATTTCGCCAAGTCCTAGTAGTCTCATCTGTCGCTTTTTCCAACCAAACACACACTCAGGTGCTCATCCATGTCGACTGCTCCAAGCACAGCCACGTCCACCCCGCCGTCGCCACGACCGAGTCGACTTCGGACATCGAGAGGCGCATCCATGAAATCGCACTGCGGGGCGTCGCCGACCAGGTCTCGAAGATTACGCATCTGACGCTCCACTATCTCGGCGAGGGCATCCAGGTCCACGCCGACCTCGAGCTGATCGATAACGCGACGACGGTGGCAGAGGCCTCCGAGATTGCCAAGAAGGTGCGCGAGAACATCATGTCGGTCGAGGGCGTGTGCTGCGCTGACATCCACCTGGAGATCTGAGTGGTCGGGATATCCGCGCAATACAGGTGTTCGTCATCACCACCGACGGCGATGCAAGATTAGTTATGGCCGACCCACGCGCAGCCATGGTCTGTTCGGCGCGGCCCGTTCCCACGGTTGATGGGAAGCCCAGCACGAGCGTCGCCACATACACTTGCACTCAGCCCGTCGGCAGAGGAAGGCACAGCTGGGCGGGTGCGAATGCCCAGCCGCAACCGACCTGCGGGGGCTCGGCCACGTATGCAGCAAGCTGTGTTGGGGGAGAGGGCAACCAGGCGGTGCCTGCCAAGAATGCGGAACGCAGGCCAATCGAGGCCAAGCGCCGTGGGCGCAACAAGGCCCTGGATGGAGGCAAGCACGTTGTCTGTGGCGGCTCGGCAGCCACACGCAAGCGCCAAACAGCCCGCTTGGAAGCTCGCTTTGTCGAACGGCTTGTTCTCAGGATCTGCCTGGCCGAGCAGCCGGCAGCAAGCAGAACCCTCTGTGTCGCTGCTATTGCCACATCGGCAGGTGGTGCCGCCCAGCAGACGGTGCTGGCCCGAAGCCAAGCAGAGGCGATATGCAATGTGGATGCAGTTCGGATGCAGCGAGGATGCAGCAAGGATGCAGTGTGGATGGATCGCCCAGGCTATCGCAGCAGATCCGCAGGCGACCAGGGATCGAACAAGCCCTTGACCAGCACCGCCCGAGCAGCATCGCCATGGGCACCGGCTGGCGCAACGCTCTTCGGAGACGTGGCCATGTCGCGCCAGTGGACCCCCCCCAATGGCGGGATCGCACGCAGCTGCGCACACAGCCGCGTGCTGCCCAGTCGCGGAGAATCCCAATCCCTTGAGGGCGGATGCCCTTGCTGGAGCAAGTCGCGAATTAGAAATCTGCCTGCACTGGACATTTTTTCGGGGCCGCTGCGGCACGCCGGCTTCGCGGGTATATAGCGTGGCCAGGGCCAGCAGCTTCCTTCGTCGCCAAGGCAATCTCGCATCTGCTCATCCTGCGACCCCCGGGCCTGTCCTCTCGGCTTGATCGCATCGTCCACAAACAAACCCGCCTCTGAGTGCACAACATCCGCCCAGGTATGTGGATGTTTCCACGGCGCGGCGGTCTCGACTGCCGCCTGGTGCATTCCCGCCGTTCAATCCTCCCGTCCACGCCCTCGGCCATCTTCGCCCATCTCATCTGCTTCTGCGTCCTCCTGCAGCTTCTCATCGCATCAAGTTAGCGCCGCAATGTCGCCTCCCTCGGATACCTCCAAGGCTGCCCCCATCACGGGCATCCGCTTTGCCCTGATTTTCGTCGGGTACGTGTGCACTTGTCGCCTGCATCCCACCCAACGAGAGAGACCTCAGGGCCGCTACTCAGCCCCCACCAAGCGAACCACTGTCTGTTGCAACCAGTGTGGCGCACTCGCATTCCGGCCACTGACCACCAGCCGCTGTCTCGCATAACCAGCCTGGCACTGTCCATCTTCTTGGCTGCCCTGGACCAGACCATTGTCGCCACTGCCATTCCCAAGATCGGACTGGAGTTTCAGGATTTTGAGCGTGTCCCGTGGATCGGCACAGCCTTCCTCCTCACCACCGCCGCCTTCTCGCCCATCTACGGCAAGCTTGCCGACATCTTTGGCCGCAAGATGACCTTCATGTTTGCCATCACCACCTTTGAAGTTGGAAGTGCCATCTGTGGCGCGGCAGTGGTATGTGTCTCGGGCTAATCGCATTCCTTAGGCTCTATCCCGGATGTGATTGGACTTGGACTGGATTGGACTGGATTGGACGGGCCAGCACATACTGACACTCACATGGCTCATTCATCTGGATCGGTCTGTTTCTTCCGCACAGTCAATGGACATGCTGATCATCGGACGTGCCGTTGCCGGTGTTGGCGGCGGTGGCATCTTCAGCTTGGTCCTGATTATCATTGCTGATCTCGTCGAGTTCAAGGACCGCGGCAAGTTCCAGGGCATCATCGGCGCCTGCTTCGGCTTGGCTTCAGTCGTTGGTCCGCTTGTTGGTGGTGCTTGTGAGTATCTGTTGTGCGCTGCTTGTTTGTTCGTCTGCTTATCGTAGCGGTTGGGTCGGGCATTCGTGAGTGGCTTGTCCAATCACCAGCGCTGTCATGGCAGCGAATCCCACCCCGTGGTACACTCTGCTGGCTACTGGCTGCTGGCTGTTGGGTCGATGGCAGCCCGCAGCTTTGTTGATATTTTGCGCCCTTTTCTGAACCCCGCCTGATTTCTGTTCTCCAGTCACCGACCATCTCTCGTGGCGATGGTGCTTCTACATCAACCTTCCCCTCGGCTTCGTCACCATCATTGTTGTTCTCCTCTTCCTCAACATGCCCGCATCGCTCGGCTCTGTTCGCGAGAAGATCAAGCGTATTGACTTCCTCGGCTCCGTCGTGCTCATCGGCGCCGTTGTCTGCATCCTGCTGCCCGTGCAGTCTGGCGGAACCGAGTGGGCCTGGAATGCCCCGCAAACCATCGCTCTCTTCATTGTTGGCGGTGTCCTGGCGATCGCGTTCGTTCTGATTGAGCTCAAGTTTGCCGCCGAGCCTATCATCCCGGCCAGTGTCTTCATGAACAGAAGCGTTCCCATCATCATCCTGATGTCGGCCCTGCTCGGCGCGGCCTTCATCTCGTTGAGTTTCTACATTCCGGTGTTCTTCCAAATCGTGTACGGCCAGACCGCCACCCAGGCCGGCATTGCTCAGATCCCGCTTGTGCTTTGTGTCGTCTTCTGCAGTATTGCTAGTGGTAAGCTTACCTGCACTTGACTCTGTTGGTGTGATCTGTGCAGTATACGCGGCTGGATCGATGCGACGTGATGCACCCCCGTCTAATCCTGGCTGTGTCTCTGCCTTTGATTTTAGGCCTCATTGTGTCCCGAACGGGCACATACACCGTCTTCTACTACGTCGGCTTCGTCCTCCTTGGCGTTGGCGCCTATCTGGTGTCTCTCTTTGACGAAAGCTCCGGCTCGGGCCCCCGCATCGGCTTCCTGGTCGTCTGTGGCTGCGGCATTGGTCTCGTCATCCAGATGCGCATCATCGGTGTTCAAGCCAGTGTGGATCGTGCCCACATTGCTGTTGCCACGGCTCTGACCAACTTTGGACAGACCTTGGGAGGGTGAGTTGAGCAGCCTGATCTCGCTGTGGGACTCGCCAGATGCACTTTGTTTTTGAATGCAGCCGTTCCAATCGGGGTCTTGCCCTCGCCTTGGGGCGGCAGCACGACCTTGCTTTGGAGCACTACTTGCACGCTGCAAGACCTCGCTGACTCTTGTCCTGTTGCTCTCCAGATGCCTCGGTCTCGCCATCATCGGCGCTATCTTCAACAACCAGATGAGATCAGGTCTGACTGCCGCGTCGCTGCCCCAGGCTCTCGTCGACACTGTGGTGCAGTCGCCCACGGCCATCTACCAGATCCCTGGTCTTCCTGCCAGCACCATCGCCACGATCGTCCATGTCTTTGTCGAGGCCGACTCGTATGCGATGAGGTGTGTCATTCCCTTTGCCGGCCTGGCTTTCCTTCTGTCTCTCGGCGTCAAGCAGTACCGCCAGGAATTCAAGGCCAAGCCCGATGCCGTCAAGGACGACACCGTCATCATTGCTGAGGCATAAACTAAACTGCCTCTGGCTTACTGCCATCATCGACTCGGCGGCGCCCGCCTACTCGATTTGTGCATCTGCTTCTATGGCCTGGCTGTGAACTGCATCTGAGCAGCGACAGTCTGCACCGCCATCCACTCCGCTCTGCTCCTTGCAGGGCAGTTTTCCTTTGCATCGACATGCTCATCATCATGCTCATCACCATCGCCTTCACCATCACCATCGCCATCACCATCACCGTCTGCACAACCGCCGCGTTCTAGCCGCAGACATCCCAGGCAACTGTGCCCCTCCGCCACCACACCTGTCCTTCATTTCGAGCCTACTCCGAGTTTTGTACATGTCTGCTGTCCACGCATATCTACCCCTGTGCGGGTCTCGCCATCTATCGTTGCCGACCGTCGCACCAATATACAACTTGCTCCAGTTGACTTGACAGCACGTCCATGGACCCAGTGGAGGTGCTCTGCGGTGCTCTGCGGTGCTCTGCGGTGCTCTGCGGTGCTCTGCGGTGCTGAGCACCACTGAACAATGCTCGTCTTTGCCGGCCAGAATTGGCATCTCCGATCGCCCATTGTTTGCACAATGAGCAAGCGCCCCCAAATCGGGCAAAGCCAAAAATACCTCCGCCAAGGCCACATGCGCAGTCAGCAGGTCTAGGGTTTCTGACTCGCCAGCCGCAGTCTCAGCCTCAGCCCCAGCCCTCACGGTCCGCTGTTGTCTGGTCTGGCCTGATGATGATTTGAGTCTTCCACACCCCAGCCAGCCCATCTCACCAGGCCGTTTTGTCTGCCGTCCAGCCATCGCCTCGTCCTCCTCCTGCATCCGTTCTTTGCCCCGCATCGATGAACTCGTCGGACCCATCGAACTCCGGCATCTCCGCCGAGGCTACCTCGAATCCCGCCTCAGCTCCATCGGCCCCAGGCTTCCGCCCCATCCAACAGCAACAACACCAGCACCAGCAGCAGCAGCAGCAGCACCAGCAGCAGCAGCAGCAGCAGCAGCAGCAGCAGCAGCAATCGGCGCCGCCGCCCACTCCCCATCCTGAGCACCCCGACCCCGTTGCCATGCGAACCTTTTTCCTAGAGTCGCTCCATACCCAGGCCAAGCGGACCGAGCACTGGGACGAGATCTGTTTTGTGTATTTTAAGCAGACGATCGAGGGTCGGGAACATCACATCGATCCCCGGACTCAGCTCGTCTGCTTTACGAAAAAGGCAATGGATTTGCCGTCCAAGACGGATTCGGTACGCTGATATGTCCACAGAGAGTCGAGGCGCACTCTTTTTTGGCGGCGTTTTCGGCTTTGATGGTGACTGGCCTGGGTTGGTCAGAGGAGACCCGTAATGGGTACTCGTCTCTAGCCGAGCCGAGTTGAGCTAACATCCGTCCCTCCTGTCCCCACGACAAACAGCAAGGTCATCTCATCATCAAATACTCAGATGACTTTTACGAGGTGGCCAAGCACATTCGAGGTGAGGAAGCTCCCCCCCCCAGCCTTGCGCATGGCCGGGCTGTCCAGGGTATTTCACATGGGTCTCACGCCCCTCCCATACATCTTCTCATACACCCACCCTGTTCCGCCCTGCCCGCCATGGCAGCGATGGAACCAACGAATGTCACAGACAGCAATTCATCAACGGCCTCGCCGGCCTCGCCGCCTGCCTCATCATCCGCGACCGAGCCGCCCTCGATTTCGTTCTCGACAAGATCCGGCCCGTTGCCGGACAACGGCACATCCGAGCTCCCATAGTAAGCCAGTGGCATGTTTCTTATCATCCTTGTTATCATGTTTCCTCCCCGCTATCATCATGCCTATCTCTCATCCGTTCACGCGCCGCCCCACTGCATGCTCAAATGTCGAGGAGCGACTTGCCTCGCGTCGGATAGAGCATGTGCGGTGCAGACAAATACTGACATTTGTGCTTGCTTTCCTGGTTTCAGCATGGAAGTCGATATCGTTTCGGAGTGTGTCCGATTGGGCGACGACTGTAAGCAACCCTCGCTCCGCTGGCGAGCACGGTTTCGTGTGGACTGGAGGAAGGCGGCTTGGGTGCCCACTCTGCTCAGTCGCTGTCGTCTCATTGTCCGTACGCTTCCTTTCCGTTTGCAGCACAAAAGTATATTGGCCGGATATTCCGTCCTCATGCCAATTTCGCCAAAAAGTATGCCGAGAGCTGGATGGACGGCAAACAGTTCGACCTCCTCTATCGGATAGGAAGCTCGACCTTCACAGGCGAACCCGTCAAGTTGGCTGGGCAGATCCTCAAGAAGTGGTGCATCTGGAGCGGCATCGGCAAGGGCGACCAGTGAACACCTCTGGGCCAAACAATATCCCTCCCGTCTGGGTGTTGAATTCCTCAGCAAGCCTATCGCCCGCCGAGACAGTCGCTGAATGGCAAGACTCGCGAGCGACTTCAGCCCCATCCCGCTGCACATGCGGGCATGCGAAACACCCGTTCTGGATTACTTGCTCTCCTCCCTCCTCAACGAGCAGCGACAACGACGATAGCAGCAGCGACGATGCAGGTGGCGCCCGCATGGCTTTGGTCCGCCGGTGCGTTTCCTTCCGCTCCCCCATCCCTCATGGCCCCGGCCAGTTACAAGTTTTGCAATTGTATACATAGCGTCCTTGGTCGATCCCACCTCACGTCTCAGTCGCCCCCCCCTCCTTCTCATTGTTGCTGCTTGTCGCTGCGAATCTGAGTAAAGCTTGGGTGTCACGGAATTGACTGTATACTGTATTCAGGGGGGAAATGGGACACCTGCCCACAACCTATTTGTCAGCGCAGTATGCGATGGCATGCGTCTAACTATGCCATAAGAAATAGAGCAGATCACTTTGGCAGCCTCCGAGTGAAGACCACCGGTCGCAGTGCAGCGATGCGGAAATCGAGGGTGCTGTGTTTGGCCATGATTGCGATGAGTGGGTGGTGTATTCAGGTCACAGAAAAAGCACTGTCATGGCTCAACGGGGTGTCCCATTTCATTGTGGAAACGCTGGAACTCAACATCCATCTGTAAACCGGGAGGAGCCTGCCCCCCGCGATGATTGGCTGGCTGGCTGGCTGGAGTCAAGCGCAGCACCGCTCTCGCCCGTCTCGCCATGCTCTCTCTGTGCTCTCGCCATGCTCCCGCGTCTCGCTCATTCTGGCTGGCTTTTGGATTTTTTTTGCCATCCGGTTTTGCCTGCCCATTTGCCTGCTCGACTCGCCCTGCTTCCTGACAGCACGATCGGAACCACGATCACGCCTCGCATCCCAGAGTAAGTCGCCCTGTCTGCATTGGGGCGTCTAAACTCCGTCCAGCAGAAGCGATGAGGAGACGGCTGCTGGACCAAGCTTCGACAAGGATGCCAAACCCGACGAAACGAGCTCGGATTTGCACCACCATGATCTGCCGATCGATCAAGACGGGCGGCCGAGGATGACATGCGCAGGCACCATCGTCGATCGTGACGGCCTATTGATGGATGAGCGAGCATGTGAGGGCGGGAGAACAGCCGGAATGCCGTCCAAAGCCGTGACGCAGTTGTGCGGATGTTTACTTTTGTTCGTTCCCTCGTCTGCCGTTTCCGTCTGGTCCACCAGAGCTCACTTGCACTATCGAGATCATGTCCCTCAGTCAAGGAAAGGTGAGAGTGGATTGTCTGTTTGCAATCCTGGCCTCACTTTCAGCTGCGTTCTGCTCCGCGTGCACAAGCGTCTCGAGGAACTCGCTGGACAATGAGCTTATTCATACCAACTCGGCTGAATCGACGCCTCTGCGGGTCATGGCTCTCTGCACGGCATCACTCGGAACAAACGGAATCAAGGCGGCGCTCACTCATGCCCGGGTATGGCACCTGGTGGATGCCAAGGGAAAGGGCCTCGGCCGAATCGCACAGAGAATCTCGATCGCGCTTCGCGGAAAGTACAAGCCCTTCTATGATCCTGCAGGTGCGTCCAGCACATCCGTCGATGGCATTTGAAAGCCGACGTTGCGGCATCGACGGCCCGAGCAACAGCAGCGTCCGTTGTCCACGGTATTGGCCAGACATGATCTCACACACTCCTCTGAGGCCATTGCGCTAATTGTCTCCTTCCCACTCCCACTGCATCGACCATGTATCGGTTGGCGCTGTAGTCGATAGCGGAGACTATGTAGTTGTGGTTAACGCCCGCCACATCGAGCTGGCCGGCAACAAGCGAGAAACCAAGACGTACTTTTGGCACAGCGGACACCCTGGAGGCGTGACGACCAAGAGCTACAAGGACTTTTCTGCCGACCACCCCAACGGCGTATGTAGCGCAGCGCCCTGTCCCACGAATGCCTTCGATGATATGGCCCCGCTGGCTTGACTTTGCTGGCGCGGCGACCTCGCTTGTGTGTTTCTTGCGGATGTCGTCCTGCCAGCACAGAAAAGCGGGTCATGCTAACGCTCTTCGTTTCGGTATCGATTCCTTGAACCTCCATCGGGGTGTCGCTGACACACCCCGATCTCTCCCTCTGAATCGCTCTTCCTCTCTTGCATCGCGATCGACATTGATAGCCACTGAAGAAAGCGATCTACGGCATGCTGCCCAAGAACAGACTGCGTCCGCATCAGTTCAAGCGGCTGTTTGTCTTTGCCGACGACGACCACCCTTACGACGCCAACATCTTCCGGGATTACGAAAAGGAGGCCTTCGAGAAGGCTCTGAGCGAGTTCCAGAATAGCACCCCGAAATCAGAGCAGTCGTCTTCATAGAGCGATAGGATCCTTCTTGTTTGGGCCAAGAAGTAGCCGAATGCCAACTCACTCCCCCTCCTCCCTACCTTTGACCGCCTCCGCCCACATGGACACCCCTCACCTTCCAGTTTTCTCACCACGATCGACCCCCGACTGAATGCGGCATTTGTGCACTGATATATGAAGCGGCAGCGTCGCACGGTCGAGTTTAGTATCGAAGGTGTGGCAGATCCACAGTCCTCCCCCCCCCTCCACTTATCTTCGCTCGCTGGTTTGTCGGTCTTGGTACCTGCAGTCAGCAACACGCATGTTTCGAATACAGCATTCTTGAGAACAAACATGGGCCGGATCGACTCGCACAGCCCCTTCCCTGCCCGAATCGCGCCGTCTGACATTTGCCTGTCGTGATCTCGCCACCCAATCGATATTGATGCAGCGATGGGATGTGATATGACGATGCGGTGCAATGCGAGATGATGGAAAGCGGTGTGATATGATATAATGAGATGATATAATGATATGGAATGGGATGAGATGGAATGAGATGTGCTTCCGCCTCGGGCTCGGCCTTTCAGAATCCAAGATACGAAAAAGTCGCATCCCCATCCTCCCCGTCCTCATCCGAATCTGCTTCCTCGATCTTTTCGAAGGTATGGGCCGCGGTGTGGTGGTCTGGAATGTGCAAGGATGTCACGGCGGCGGAGTTCAGGGGGGGTTTGCATCAGTGAGTGGTGCGCACCACAGGACACAATGCCAGCAACAAGTTCATCGTAGGAGGGCTTGACACCTCCCAAAGCGTCCGCATGGGGTCGACACAAGTGAGCCAGCTCTCGCATGACGCCTAGGCTCACCGTTTTCAAATGGCTGCCCAACACAATCGTTGCACAGGTCCACCTGCTCCTCAGTCGGACAGTCGTTGCACTTCCACCGAACCTGGTAGAATGGAGAGACCACCAGTAAGACAAGCGTTCAGCCCGCCACTTCGACACGGCGTGGATAGGCTCTCCAATTCCTTGAGGGTCGAGGAGGCGGTGGTGACGATCAACCAGCCCGTCATTTGACCAGCCATGTGGTCGTCTGGATCCATGGGACGGCTGTCCGATTTTCAATCTGCTGTTGATTCGAGATGCATGCCACGACGCTTACCCCAACGATGGGCTCGGCTTCGCACGAGTCGCACTTTGGAGCCAAAGTACAATGCGTCGATATCGAGCTGCTGTGAGAATGCCATTCAGGGGATATCACGACAGGGATCCGTGCTCAGCCCGCCAACTCACCTTGTATCCATGGTGCACGGGGTCGCTGCGATGTGCCTTGGGCAGCATCCGTTTGCGCTTCAGCATCCGCTTCAGCTTTTGCATCTCCTAAAGTGAGGAAATTCAACAGTTTATGAATCACGGCAGTCTAGGCTGCGTGTGGGCAGTCTCAAGGCAAGCGAGATCCGGGGCTCGACGAATTCCGACGGGCTCACGGTGCTGGCCCCGTCCCGATGCTACTCGGACTTGTTCTGCAGCTGCAAACGATATCTGCATCACGGCACGGAGATGCAGACAAGCCTCACCTTGTACTCCTTGGTGTTCCTGAGACCAGGGTCGATGCTGATCTCGTCTTGGTCGGGGTCCGAGTCTCGGCCCCGGTCTTTGGCAGAAGCCCATTGACCCTTTGTCGATGTCCTGTGCGAGCCGGAAGCGCCTGCCAGCCGACCAGCTTTCGCACGGAGGACTTGCTTTTGATAGCGGCTCCACACCTGTGCGATGATGCCGTCAGCCCCGGGATGATCGTCCAGCCGATCCGACACAGTACAGTATGGGTGATCAGAACGACGACTTGCCTGTCCGGCAGTGCGTGTGCCCATAGCGTTGGCGATTTTCTCCCAACGATGATTGGCAACGGGTTCTTCGGGATAGATCAGTAGCAGGTGGTCGAGTTGCTGTTGTTCATCCTCTGTCCAGGCCTGCGATGGGTGGCGAGGTCAGTGATCGTGGGCCTGCATAGAGTACGTTCCATGGAGACCGAGTCATGGAGACCAAGTCATGGAGGCCAAATCACGGAGATCGAGCCATTGGGTCCAGGACAGGCAGCCCACCCGGATATCGGCTTCGACAGTTTCTTCTCGTTCTGGACGGCGTGCGGCCTGGGGTGTGGAGATCGGCTGTGGGTGACCGGCGGATTGAGGATGCTGCAACGACTGGGGCTGGAGACTGCGAGCGAGTCCATCGTCAAAGACTCCGTACGGCACTCGTCTGAACACGGAGCCGGGCCGCACAGGATTGTGGTAGCGCGGCTCTGGGGATGCATGTAGGCAGATCGGCAAGTCAGATCATGCGACGATCATGTCGGCTTCCGCTCGCGATGTGAGAGAGTGAGGGCTCGCTGATGGCGACGGTGTGAGAGTGAGGGCTCGCTGATGGCGAGAGTCACTGCACCTTGCGTTTGTGAAGAGGGCCCCGATCGCTGCTCATAGCGAGCGAGGTCGATCTCGGGAGCAGCCACGATGCGCTGCAGCGACGGAAACGACATGGGTTTCTGGAGGGCGAGGATGATAAGGTGCGGAAGATGCATTCAGATTCTGGGCACCGATATTCGATCGAGGGGCCTCGGTTGTTTGAAGGCTGGGCTAAGGCTGCAGCCGGTGGTGCTCGATGGGATGAGCAAGTATGGATCCAACAACATGGATTGGATCAAGACGACCGAGCCCGTGGCGATCCAATGAGCACACTGACCCTGTGGAGGAGCTGATCGACAAACTCGAACGGGCTGTCGAGGGCCTTGCGCTTCTCATCCTGCAGCGTCTCGATGTCCTTTTGGCAGCGATCCAGCTGGGACTTCAGGACGCTCAGGACGCTGTAGAGCAGCTGGCAACTGTGCAGGCAGGCAATTCAGTCGGCTGGAGACGAGCAGCGGGCCGCCGAGACAAGAGCGAGGGATGCAGACGGTGGCTCACTCTGGATTGCCCTCGATCGAGTCTGCTCTCTCGGGGCTGGACATGGCACCTGGGCAAGACAGGCGATGCCGATGACCAGATCAGGTCAGAGCTCAGTCGGCTGTGGCAGCGCGCATGACTCTTCTCGACATGGTCGTTGGTGGCTGCAGGCAGCTGGCCAGCACAGCCGGCAGGCAGCAGACATGCACAGCCGGATTGCCTCTGGTGGCTGGAGATGGCTGGCCGACATGGGGCCCTGGCGAGGATCAGTGCAGGCACGGTCCTGAGAACGCCCCAGCGGATGCAGCTGGATGGACGGGGTGGATGCTGGAGCTGGATGGAGAAACGCAGAGGCAGTTCCACACCCGCCATGCGCATTTCCCCACCCCGGCATGTTCCCTTCGCGATTGAGCAATCCTGGGAGGCAATGTCGTTGATGCCGGGCCTTGAGGTGGCGGGGCGTGGAGGCCGATGCAAGGGCGTGCGGGATGGGATGTCGCTGAGGAGCAAGGAGGCGCCTGGTGTGAATCGCGAAGCCCATACACCCCGAGCCGGCCTGGCTGCATGCACTCCATGCACGATGGGGCTCTCGATGCAGGCCATGCAGACAAAAGGAAAGGGCGCTTGGAGCAAAGTCTCCCACACGGATGCCTCGCCAGCATGCACTCTTACGGCGGACATGCATGGAGACGACGGAACATGCGCCAAGACGAAGGGACATGCGCCGCGGTAAGCAGACGGCGCTTGCCCCTGTCTGGGCCAGCAAACCCCCCCCCACCACCACTTGCGAACCAGGCACAAGCCCAGGAACCAAAAGATATTGAGCCCAACCACAGACCAAGCCCGATGAGCACAGGCACAAACGCCCGGACCACTGGCGACCAGTGGCTCGGCAGATCTTTCGATCGGCCCAAAAATGGGGCCTGCGCGGGACTGGCGCCGTGTGATCTCGGGCGCGCGCCGGATTGGTCCGCTCGGTGCGCCCTGCCCCCTTGAGCCGGCGCCTGCCCCGTGACGCGCGGAGGCGTCGAGACGACAGCAAGGCCGTGGCCGAGCCGGCTGGCCCAGCACCCGCACCAATCAGCGCGGTGGGGGATGTGCGCGTGTGTGTGCGCGGAGCGTGCGACCGTGCCGACCGCGCCTGCGGGTGGACGCGTGGCTGCCGCGGTACAGCCGCGCAGCGATGACGACAGGGTGACTGCTTGGCTGTTGAGTGCTGGAGTGCTTGACTGTTGAGTGCTGGAGTGCTTGGCTGTACAACGCCTGCGCAGCAGCCAGCGGGACACATGTCAACAATCCAATTCAACCTGACAACCCAAAACCCAAAAACCAAAGCTCTCAACTCGGCAATCAGCAATGTATATTCAGCGGTATATTCAACGATATATTCAACGATATATCCAATGCTATATTCAGTGCTATATTCAACCTCACAATCACAGTCACATCGCACCCGCGTCGCGCACAAGCGCATGGCCTTCCCCCCACCCTCGGGCTGTGCTGCTTGGGCTGCCCCCCCCCCGCTGTCCTGCCCTCGCCATGGGCTGCCCAAGGTCAGTCGTGACCAGCGCAATCGGCCCTCGAGTGGACCACCACCCCGTCGGACCGGCGCTTGTGCCCCGTGGCCGACCCACAGGCGCCCTGTGCTCGCCCGGTGCGTCCGGGCTGGCCCTCTGTGTGGTCCCGCGGGGCATCGGTCTGGGCCGTGCTGTGCGCGCATGCCTTTTCGTCCTTGGCCGGCCCTGCGCCGTGGGCCGGTGCTGCCCCAGCCCTTGTCGCTGCGATATAAAGTCACCCTGAAAATCGGGCCGCCCTCGTCCAGCGTTTCTCGCCAGAGCACCGATCCCCGCGACGCCCTTACTATGCGCTGAAAAAACCTCACCCTGTCCAAATAATCACTGTTTCGGATCCGCCCGAGCTCGCCAAGCCTCTCTCGAATCCGCCTAATATATCTTGGAAGCAATCCCTCATCTCGATCGAGCTTTTCATCCTCGCCTCCCCCTGGTCGTCGCTTCTCTCGTGCTTCGCGCCTCCTCAACATCCCGTGCCTCTCTCTCTCTCTTTCTCTCTTTTTCGCTCCCTCGCCTTCTATTATCCGTCTATCGCTATGGACTCGACACCCGTCTCGCTCTACTCGCCCACCCCTTCGCCGTCGATGGGCTCGCCCTCGCCCATCCTGGCCTATTCCGCCACCTCCAAGCGAGCCAGCCTGCCACGAAAGCCCATCCAAACCTCCAAGCGCTTCGCAACCTTCATCAATGTGCTGCTGCACCATGTCTTGGGCCGCCTGCCCCAGACGTCGGTCTCGCCCTTCGAAGCCACAGCCGCGCTGCCGTCGTTCGAGCACTCCACCAACTTGATCCACAGCGTCTTGGTCTCGACCTCGTCGTTCATCCCCGTCTCTGTCGTCATCGTCGCCATCACCCTGATTCAGTCCATCGTCCTGAATCGCACCCGCTACATCTCCGAGGGCTCTGAACCGCATCTGTTTGTCATTGCCCTGATGGTGGCGCACAAGCTGCACGACGATCACTCTGTCGTCAACGTTGCCTGGTCCAAGGTCACCGGCCTGCCCAAGCAGACCGTCGCCCTGATGGAGCGCGAGTTCTGCCTCGCGCTGGACTACCGCCTCTTTGTCCACCAACACACCTACGACCAGTGGGTCGACTACTTTGTCCTCCACGAAAAGCTCTGGGCTGAATCTGCCGATGAGGTGCATTCGCTATCGTCAAGCGCATGAACAGTCCGTCTCCCTCTGTCCTCGCGTGCGCTCCGCGAGCCATCCGTATTCCCCTCTCCCCTAACCGATGGATGGTTCCCTGACTCTGCAAAAGCACCCCATACCCCGCTAAAAGCTGCCTTTTTGCTTCCCTTCGTTTCGCTTCCTCGTATGCTTTTCTCTTGCGACTCTCTCGGATGGGTCCGTTTCCTCAAGTTCTGCCTAATTCTATAGATCTTTTTTTTTTTCTCTCTCTCGCTCTCTCGTCGGTTGCCTCTCTCCTCCCGATTCCACTAATTATTCCGTGTCGTCATGTCCTCGGACAGTTGCCTTCCCGCCCTTTTTTCCTTTTCCTTTCCCTTTCCCTTGCCTGTCATGTTGGACAACGGGCCAGTTCCGTTACGCCGTGTCTCCCTCCGTCTTCGTTTCCTGGAGCGGTGTCTCTGTCGCCCACCGTCTGAGACTGCCTTTGTCCTGTCCTCACACCATTCCCATCCGGCCCCCTCTCCTCTGTCTCGCTGTCAAGCACTCTAATGGTCTCCAGTAATTTATTCACAAACTCTTTGGCCGAATTCGACTCTGTCCCCTCCTCGTCTTCCTCCAATCCCGCCAACATCATACCTCCCCTTTTCCTCTCAAGCTCCTCGCTATTTATTTCTTTCTCTCCTTTTCTCTCTTTTTCTTCTTTATTCCTTCGTCAAGCGTGTGTCCGCTTTCCCCGCTCCTCAACCGATAGAGATCTCCCTAACGAATCGAATACAATATCAAAAGTCCCTCAACCACGCAGCACAATGTGGCCGTTCGAGCGAGACGGCTTTGGCTTTGGCTTTGGCTTTGGTTTTCGGTGGCGGAGGCTTCGTCCCTGGTCTCTCGGCCTTGGTTGGTCAGGACGAGCGAGTCGCGTCTGTCCCTCCCGCCCTTCCCCGTCGCTGTTTCCTATCTGCGGGATTGCCCGCAGTCGTGGAACCCGGTGGGTGGTGGAGGCTGGGGATCGACTGTGCGCCAATATCAATCCCTCCATTCATCCATTCGTCCCTCCACCCATTCATCCATTCATCCATCCGTCCATCCAACACACTGGGTGGCTGCCATCGCCCCTCGCAGCTTCCAGCACATCCGATGGTGGCTACCGACAATGGCCACAGTGCCTTGTATCGTATATTTCGTGTGGCCTAATAGACGAATCGCAGATCGGGGTTGAGCAGATCCAGCTCGGACTCGTCCGTGTGGAAGGGCTCGTATGTGAACCGCTCTGGGTTGCGGGTCAGCGACTCCATCGGCCCGACCTCCCTCCACTTGGCCAGAAACACCTGGCGCAGCTGTTGGCAGATGCGTCAGTGGCAGAACTCGAGGCCTCGTCCATAGCGAATCTTGGCTCACACACCAGGCCAGGCCGGATCAATGCCCCAAATGGCGGCGGCAGCGGCAGCAGCACTTACATGGGTGCGGTCGTCGTCGCCAGAGACATACTCGGGGACTTCGTGGATGCAGCTGAGTGGCCATAGCGCAAGGACGCATTCCGTGAACTTGGCCTTGAGAATCCGGAAGGATTTCTAGGAAACAGACGCAGTGCCGTCGTTGCGCGGATGAGCGGCTGGGACCACTTGCGGCGGAACAATCGCAGTATAACACTTGTTGTGGAAGTCACCAAGAACTCCAGAAGCAACTCAGCTCGTATCTACCCGCCCGCAATGGCACCTTCCTCGCTCGTACCTTCTCGTCTCTGGTCAACGATTGCAGCTTCTTCTCCCACAGATGAACCAGCATCAGCAGGACATCATGTTGCTCAACGAGCTTGGGCAGCAGTGCCAACGCCGCTTCGGCACTAGGTCCCAGCACCGACGCCCTCTGTGCTGTTTCCTTCTGGACGTAGATATGGTTGGCCAGGAGCTCGCGGTAGGCGGCCAAGACAGGAACAGCCGCCAGGCTGCCGATCATGACATCGGGCAGCTCGCTAAACAGTGGGTTGGCAACAGTCCAAGGGAGAGAGAGAGAGCAGTTACCTTCCCCGCCCTCGTCCCGACAATCGTCCATACGTCGGCTGGCGGGTGGAAGAGGTGACAGCGCCAATGCGGCCCTGCTCGTCACCTCCTCCACATCGACAGGATTCCATGTGCACCACCTGTTTCCAGCCATCTCTCCTGTCCCTTACTTGAGTTTCGTCATCACCGACTTGCCCAGCTTCCACACACGAATCACCAGCCTCGGCATTCGGTTCGGACTCAGGAGCCGCGAGAAGAATCCTGTTGGGTGCATCACCAGGGGGGCACTTCAGTTTCCCAGGATCAGACAGCAGTTCCACACACATCCACGCCTCTATGCCATTCATCGCTTGCCAAACGAACCTTTGGGCTCGGCCGAGTCGAGGCTGTTCACGTCTTCGTCAAAGGGCGTGCCTCCATAGAGCTTGATGTCATAAGTGCGGTTGTCGATCGGCCCGCCGTCGGATGTGTAGAGCGGGAGGAGGCCCCATCCGCAGCTGATTTCATGTATATCTGACAAGCAATGGACAAGTGCATGTCATCGGAGCCATCAGAACACATGCTTACTCTGTCAGGAGTCGGCAAACTGGCAAGCTGGCTTGACGCCTCCATGAATCCACCTCACAAGACAGCATGCCCGACAATCAACGCACCATCGCGCGGGGCATACGGGTTCTTGGTCGCCCCTGGCTTGACAACCACCAAACAGAGCTCAAACAAAATGCACAGCCGAATGTCGACGTCGTTGACCCTCAGAAAGCATGTGTTCTCGTCGTCCTTGGGGAACAGGAGGGAGGGCTGTCGGCGAGATGGATACGGTGCCGGATGGCCGGCGTCAGCAAGGGCAGATTGATTCGCACGGGTTCTCAATTCCATGGGGGAGGGGGCCAGCCCGCTCGCTCCCAATCGAAATCATCGACCAAACGCTATGCTACACTTTGCAGGCCAAGGATATCAATGTCGATTGATGAAGCCACATGAGCAAGACGTGCAGGCGCCGATACCTTGGTGGTGAACTTCCAGGCGTCTCCAAACTCGGGATTGAAGCTGGCCGGCACGCAATGAATGTTGCTGAGCACATCGGTCTTGTCAAAGAGAGACAGCCGGACATGCCGCCCAAGGATGGTAACGCCGGGGCCAGGCAAAGGCACGTTGCGGGCCTCCATGAGACTGAATGCGATGGTGCACTTCACCAAACGCCGGCGGATCTGTGCCCATCAAACACATGAATGCATCTGTGCGTCAGCAGCGCACGAACCATCAACATGCAGTCTAGCTGGAGAGGACTGGCGGACCACCCAACCCCGATAGATATGCCCAACGTCAGAGGGCTCTGGGCCGTCTACGCCTTTCAATCCCAATCCCAATCCCAATCCAGTGGCCTCCAGAAGCCCGATGCAGCTTTGTCTTACTCGGCTCTTCTTGAAGTCATAGAAGATGTCGCAGAATCCCAGTCCCGATTCCTCATAGTCCGGATAGAGGTAGTCTGAAGAATGCCCGATGCCTGGTTGACAAACGGCTCCAGCGTATCAGCCCCGCATTCTGCCTCGTGAGGGTCGACACCAGGCATTGTGCAGCTTCGACACTCCACAGCCGTGGGAATGTGATATGTTGTCGACGGTTCACACGGCCCCCGCCTCACAGACACCTACCCTCGCCGTAGAGGCGAAACAGGGTCGAGTGACGAAAGCCCTGAGGTAGCGGTCCGTACATCCTCAAGTCGTCATGCTGCTTGGTCGCTGTCGGCCTGTTCGGTCGTTTCCGAACCTTTGGCCGCTGTGGCTCGGCACGATCGTTTGTAGATGTCGGTTGGTTACTACGACCGCTTGATCGAGGCATTCTGCCCTTTGCCTTGAGTTTGATGGGTGCGTCTCGACTCAAACGAGCACGATGCCGCCGATCTGTCACGACCAAAGATCAGTGCGTTCCGAGATTCGGTCAAGCCGAGTGGGTATAGGTTGAGCGACGACAAGCGCATGATTATCAAGTAGTCAGATACTTGTCTGCTAACCTGCATGCGACAGTCAGCCAGCAAACCAGTCCACGATCCCAACCCCAGACTTACTGTCTCTGCCGTCACCGCGACTATCGGAATCACTGACGTCACCACCATCGTCATCGTCGTCTCCACCGCCATCAGTGCCATAATTGTTATCGCTACCGTCCCCTTCACCGCCGCCGCCGTCGTCGTCAGTGCAGCTTCTGGATTCATCCGAGTCTGCTCTTGGGCGTCCCTTCCGATGTGACAGCGTTGGTCTTCTCTCGTTTTCGTCTGTCTGGCTGCCGTAGTACTCTTTGATTTCGACATAGTTTGAGGGAATATAGCCCTCGCGCGGCGGTTCGCCGATGAACTGTACAAACCTGGATCATCGTAGGGATCGAGTTGGTCGGTTCACGCGATACGCTAATCCAACCAGTTGCCCAGCTCAACGGCTCAACGGCTCAACGGCTCAACATCCACGCAATAGACATATCGGGAGGTCCGAGAGGCGGCAGCGGATCATGCGGAAACACCCACCACCAGTCTGGATTGTCATCGTTGATGACCCGAAAGACATCGTTGGTGTAAAAGTTGAGCTCCTCGTCCGTGTCGCCAGTATAGTCATAGAGCGCCACGACGAATTTCTGTCAATGTCGGCGACGAAGCCCATGTTCCATACAGAAGATTTCAGTCCGGGCCAAAGTCACGTATTGGCAGCAAATCGTGGTTGATGAATCGGTGAGGTAACCGCGGTCGTGAGAAAACAGCCGCCCCATCGATATGACGACAGTCGGTTGCGCTGGCTGGACGCATAGGCTGGCGAATGGAAGCGAGATTGTGTTTTCTCATAGCCGCAATGGAGGGTGATGCGTGCAATCGCATATTCTTCCAAGGCAGCGTGCCCTCAACAGACCTCAGATCGCCTGGTCGACACCTTGGATGAGATGCTCACGCTTCGCTTGACGGGCTTTTTCTGGGCCTCGGCCTGTGGAGCCAGGCGGCCTGCTTCGGCACGGCTGGCTATTGGCCAACACGAATATGGCATGGTTAGATAATGCCATGTGCGCGAACGATGAAACAAATCAGTGTGTGGGAGTGTTATCGGGAGAAGTGTGTTTGCTGAAATGGGTAATGTGCATGAAATCTCCATTCATGCATTCTTCCGACATCACTGACCAGGCGTCGACTTGATATCAGACCGCTCCACCGAGGATAGCGAGTCGGCCCGCCCGCCGCGAGACGACCGCTGCGAATAAACCGATCCTTCTCTCTGAATCCCTGGCGATAACAGGCTTGGCGATCGCTGCACAGGCGCCGGAGCTGGCTGTTGAGGGTTGCGGGCCTGCATTCCGGCTGCACTGTCCTCTCGGACGACACTCGTTCGTCGGCTGGAGTGGCTCGCACGAGCGATCGAACCCTCTGGCGGCCGCATCCGTGCCTCGGCCACCGCCGTCGTTGTGGCTGCTGCCATGCTGCCCGTTGTCGAAAGCCGCGCGCTGCTTGGATCTCGCTCGATCTGACTCTTGCGGCCGCGGTCGATACTTGGACGCCGCGAAGGCAGGGCGCTGTGCGGCCGTGAAGCCGAGAGGTCCTCCGGCGGCTGGGCCTTGGTTGCCTCTGGGCCCTGGCCGAGATGCTTTGGCTCTTCGTGCGCCCGAGAGGGTCTGCCGGATACCGATGTACGGCTAGGGCGTGCTGATGACATCAAGACGAGACCAACGTGGTGTGGATATGGAGCAAAGAGCAAGCATTTGCTCACGATCCATCCAACGCTTCCCGTTCGCATCGGTGTTTCTGGCGCCAAGAAGCGCGGGCCCTGTGGGAAACTGGCGGGTCGGGGATATGACGAGCCTGCCTGACAAGCGGCTGGTGGTGCTGGGACAGTTTCCCGTCGATACTCCGTTGCTCACGGCCAGGATCCAACCGCTGGAGCAAAGCTGTGGCCTCACAAATGCTCGGTTACAAACTATATTTCAGGACCGACGTGGTCGCTCTTTCGGACACGCAGAAAACCTGGCCATCGGTGTATACATCTCGGTCGCAGCTCGGTCGCGGCTCGGTCGCGGCTCGGTCGCGGCTCGGTCTACATATCCATCAGGGCCTCGGTCATGTCGATGTCGTCCACTTTGTCGCCTCGGCAGGTCGAGTTCTGCAGTTCTCTACGGATCTCGGGAGTGATGCCTTCGTGCGACTTGTATTTGAGCAGGTCCAAGAGCGCCTCCTTCTGCTCCTGAGTGATATCCTCCTTGTAGCGCTGCGAAAAGATCAGTAGCGACTGATGCCACAGAACGGGCATCTGACGCTGGTCATTTCGGAACCGCAGGAAGTGGAAAACAAGAGCGTCGACGACCTTGAAAGGGAGCGCATATTTCTTGTCCAGCAGGACGCGGATAAACAGGCTGTTTGGACCTGGTGGATCGGTGGCCGGACAAAGAGGAACAACAGTGACGCCGAATGTCAGCTCAGGAGAGACCATGGACACATGAATATGCCAATGAGTGGCAGGATGCGAGCCGACACGTTTGTGCGGATAGATGAAGAGATGCTGCCGCGCATGGGACTGGGGTCCGTCCACAGCGATCGCATACCGGTGTAGTCCATTTCCGCCAGTTTGAGCAGGGCCGCAGCAGAGTGAAGCATCGGCACACTGACTTTGGTCAGAACACTGCCGATGATGGCTGCTTCGCGGAGAGTGCAGTTGCCAGACTGCCCGGCGATCCCAAAGCGATCGAGAAGCCGGGGACAAGATGGCGACACAGATCCCATAGCCATACGTGAGTGCGCAACACCAGAGTCGGGAAACGGAAGGGTCAGCACATGATTCTCAGGCGCAACGCATAAACGGCTCGTGAACTGCGCTCAACCGGAGTTCCTGCAGCCCACCTCACACAAGGGCAGCATCAGGCCCTTGAAAAACGCCGCGGGCTTGTAGAGGGCCTTCTTGAGCGACAAATACAGGTGATAGTTGAGCTTCTTGGTCTCGGCAATGTCTTCGCGGACACGGTCCAGCAAAACCAGCGAGAAGAATCTGCACCATTGGACCCCATAGTGCGACCAATCGATTAGACAGGGACGCATCGTAGCATCGACAACGTGACGGCTGCCGACCGACCGGGACTAAATGACATCGGCGGCGCCTGGTCTCCTCACGCCTGTATACCGACGTACCTTTGGGCCATCTTGGCCTTCAGGTTCGACGTGAAGATGCGAGTGGCTTGGTAGACGGCATGAGGTGTCCAGCTCTCGGGCGATGTCAGGTACAGGATCTCCTCCCAGTTCGCGAGAGAGGGGATGATTTTGAAGGTCTTGGGAACCTTGCCGGACTTGTATCGGCTCATCAGTAAGCCAACTCTGAAAAAAGTCGCGGCCGCGGTCAACATCCTTTCCTGCATACGGTAGAGGTGGCAGCAGAGGGTGGCGAGCGGCAGCCGTATACCCACTTGGTATAGACTTCAATGACCTTGGGATTCAAGCCGGGAGGAACTGGTGCTTGGTCCTCGTCGTCTGGGGCCGCGCCTGTGCACCGGTATGCAATTCTGGATGAGCATGACTATTCCGCCGGTGGCTCCTCCGCGTCCATGCAAACCAACAACCGTCCACGCACCCTGGTTGGCAGCCTCGATCTTGCTCATAATCAGATCGGACAGGTTCATCTGCTTTCTCGGGTTCCTGTTCATAAACTTTTCCATCAGAGTCTGTTCCTCCTCGTTGATTTCCTGCCGGAATACACAATGTCTGCGGGTTACTATGCCATCCGCAAGTCAAATCTGGCACTGGGCGACTCGATAGCGCAAAGCCATATCCCGGTTCGATGTTCGATCGTGCATGCGTGGCTGCTGCAAGACATATCGGCGCCACTCCCACCCCGTTCTGCTTCAATGGCAGCAACTTACGATTTCCTCGAGTCCATCCAGCTCTGGGAAGTCCTCATCGAGATCCTCGTCTTCCTCTTCCTCGTCCGATTCGTGGCTGGCAAGGACGGGCTTGGAGACTTGGCTGGGAGTCGAGAAGACATGCGATACGGTCGGTCAGGACATTGGAGCCGCGGCAGACAACATTTCCATCCCCAGCACCAGCAGTATGAGTCGTTGCATCGGCATCGCTGCATGGGTCCACTGCCTATATGAGCCGAACACGGCAGCACAGGATATGGCTGCAACACAGCCGCACCGGGCATCCGCATGGGCCTGTGCCAGGGGACGCTTGACGAGCCATATTTGAAGTCGGGTAGCTGTCTGCTGCAAGCATCAGGAGCGATGCCTACCCTTTCGGCGGACCGGGTCGGCGGCTGGTTGTCCGCTCCTCCATCTCCATTTCATCCTGCTGCTTCTTGATGACGTCCAAGATGCGCTTCGAGGTCTTCTGGTCGACCATCATCGGCTGATCCTCATCCATGTCATCGGCGGCGCTGCTCTTGGTGCCCTGGGCCGGCTTCTTGCTCCGCCAGGGCTTGTGCAGCTCCACGGTGGTATCCTTCTCGATCTGCACATGCAGCGGGTCGTGGCGCACGCCCGATCTCTTTTTTGAGTCCTTGCCCATTCTCGCCGGTGCTGGTGTGGTGCTGGTTCTGGTGCTGGTGCTGGTGCAGTCTGGATGTCGCTTGGCGAGCCGGTGCTGGTGCGAGAGCGTCGCTGGTGTCTTTGTCGCGCGCAGCTCCCAAAAAAAAAGACACCCAACTCAGCCGCACGTGAGCGGCTGGATCCGGGCTGGAGCCGGGCTGGAGCCGGCCGCGCTGCTGACTCAGCGGCCGCCTGGCCCAACAGGAATCTCGGTGCGAATCTCGGTGCGAAACTCGCCTTGTCTCGGCATCTTGAAGCCTCGTCCGGGCTGGTCCATCGAAAGCAAGCCCACTCAGCTACCCACTCGGCCATCTGCTCTGCTGTCGGCCTGCATTCCCGTCGCCCACGTCCACGCCAGCGCCGCCATCTGATCGGACTGGGTCGCTGCATGCAGCCGACTATCCCCCCTGCGTCCTTTTAAACAAGCCTGACCGGCTCCTATACTCGATCCCAACCTCGAAAGGTACCGTCGTAATCGGCTGCCTTGGACAGCCGCGATGCATTGCTCCGCGCATTTGCGGCCCAGGGAGCGTGCGAGCCAGTAGATGGCTTCCGGGAACGACCTCCAAGCTGCACCAGATCCGTGTTTGCCTGCCGATTGCTGTTTTCTGGGGCCGATTGCACGATACTTACCCTGCCAACCCGCTCCTCTGTCGGCCGTATCATCGTGCTCGCTCGACCGTCGACCCTTGCTGCCATCCTGCATGCCGGACTGCACGCCCAAGATATTGCCTGCCTGATACCGGAATCATGTCGCAGCCCCCGCCGTCCTTTGCCAGTCGGCCACCCTCGCAGCCCCAGCAGCCCTTCCCTGGCCAGAACCCGCCGCCTGGCACCTTCAGCCCAAACCCGGCCCAGCGCCCCCCGTTCGTTCCCGGCCAAAATCCTGCTCGCCCGCCGTTCCACCCTCCCGGCGGCCCTCTCTCCAACCCAAATAGCCATCCTGGATCGAACTCCGCCAGTCCCAGCATCCGGCCGCCTCATCTCCAGCGACCTGGATCGGCCATAGGCTCGCCGGCATTCCCATCACCCAGTCTCCCAGGACAGCCCCCTCGGCCTCTTGCACCGTCGTCGTCGAATCCAAATCTGCCAGCTTCGACTCCGACCCTGTCCAGCTCCCGTCCTCCCGCACCATCTGTTCGCCCCTTCCCCGGCGGTCCTGGCAGCCCTTACCCCGGCCAACCTCCGAATCCCGCTGCCCATCCAGCAATGGGTCCTGCCCCCCAACATCCTGGAGCGCCTCATCCTGGAGCGCCTCATCCTGTCAATCAGCCCCATAGACCTGGATCGGTTCCACCCCAGTCGGGTCCGACACCCCCGCCTGGCCAGTTTGCTCCGCATGGTCATCCGGGACAGTCGTCGAGCCCCTTTTCTGGGCCTGTCGGTCGCCCTCCGGGTTTTCCTCAACTCGGCCGACCGCCCATCATCCAGCCTGGAGGTCCACACCCCCCTGGAGCTGGGCCGCTCAGTCACCACCCTGTCTCTTCTCCCGTTGAGCAACTTGCACCCCAGTTTGGCGCCATGAACCTCACCCCGCAGATCCCACCCCCAGCCTCAGGAAAGCCCAAGCACAAGCGCGTTTACGCAGAGAATGAAGGCCAGGCAGCTGCTCCTGGATTTACACCCGGACAACCCCCCGCTCCCAGCCCTGGCCATCCGGCGGGTGCTCCAGGGGGCGGCTATCCCCGACCACTCTCCATGAACGAACCCGGGCCCCAGCCCCAGGCTCATCCCTCTCATCCCCATGCCCAGTCTCACACCCAGAGCCAGCCTCCCCCGTTCTTCCAGGGCTCTGGGCCCTTCCCTGGAGCGTCCTACACCCCCAAACAGCCAATGCTTCCGACCCAGTCCGGCGCACAACCGCATGCCAACGGAGCCGCTCCTGCCTCCCGGTCTCGCATCGATCCAAACCAGATCCCGAGTCCTGTTGTCGTTCAAGAGGCTGACCAGGAGGCATATGCCGACAAGCCATATCTGACGCTCTCCAAGACCGTGCCCCCGCTGCCTAGTACCCAGTTTGGGGCGATCGACGAAGGTGTGCTTTGGGTGTCGAACATGGACAGAGGAGTCCGCGCGACACTGGAGTGACGGCTCGCTACATCTCCGTTAAGCTCTACACATGGTTCCGTGACTCGGTTTGCAGCCACATTCCTTACCCGGACGATCTTTTACTTTGGTACCCCGAGCCGAAGTATATCGCTGACTTGTGTCATCCACTAATCCTTTCCCCGTCTCACATGGGCTGGCTCACTCCCTCTATCCAGGCAACTGCAACCCGAGGGCCATCCGCCTCACAACCTACAATCTCCCCTGCAGCGACGAGCTTCAAAACATGTCGAGTCTGCCGCTGGGCCTGATCGTCCAGCCCATGGTCGATTTTTCGCCCGTCGAGATGCCCATTCCAGTGGTTGACTGTGGCGAGGCCGGACCTGTCCGCTGCAAGCGCTGCATGGCCTATATCAATCCCTTCTGCAAGTTCATCGAGGGCGGCCGAAAGTTCGTTTGCAATCTGTGTACCTTTGAAACCGAAGGTAAGCCTTGCCATTCTTGTTGACCGTTGATTTTGTTGGGCATGTGGCACGAATTTGCTCTTCTCCCCTCCCGATTCACGCGCTGCTGCCTGTATAATATGCGCCGCTGTTACTACTGTGCTTCACCAGTTAACGCCCGCCTGCTGTACCGCTTCTAGTGCCCGCCGAATACTTCAGCAACTTGGACATGATGGGACGCCGGGTTGATCTAGCTCAGCGCCCAGAGCTTCGATACGGCAGTGTCGAGTTCACGGCCTCCAAGGTGGGCATGGCCGATCTGACACCCTCACGCTTATTGTGCTCTGTTTGGGCATCCGGACGGCGATGGACAGTATTCTCTGGATTTTGCCGGTGGTACACTCTCATTCTGGCCGAATCCTGGTCGACTAACCGAAGAATCTGCGCTACCTCGCTGCTGTGATTTGCAGGACTACATTGCTCGCCCGCCGGTACCGCTTTCTTATGTCTTTGCGATCGACGTCAGCTGGAGCTCGCACTCCAGCGGTCTTTTGGCCCGGTGCGCCCAGTCCATCAAGGAGCTGCTATATGGAGAGCCACCGGTGGGGGTCGTCAGCGGTCGCCGCGGTCTCCCGCCAGGCACCAAAGTGGGATTCCTCACCTTCGACCGCTCTGTGCATTTTTACAATCTGAAGGTGTGTATAACACTTATCACTCGATACACCCGCATGTGTGCGGTAGTCACTATGCTACACTCTATCGAGAAGGCCGCCCTGCTGCATGCTGCTTCCGAGTGTGGATGCAACGCTTATGGATTGCCCGAAGCCCAACCTCTCACCCGTGCTTGTCTCCAGGCCAACCTTGATCACCCGCAAATGCTTGTTGTCCCCGATATCAACGAGATCTTTGTGCCTCTGAACGATGGCTTCTTGGTGGATCCCAACGAGTCGAGGTACTGCTCTGTCACTCTCACGTTTGGACGACAAGGAATGGCTGGCTTTGCGGTGAATATGCTGCTTACTTTGCGCCTCGATGATTGCTAGACGCCCCATCGAAGCCCTCCTGGACTCTCTGCCGTCGCTCTTCCAGCCATCTCGCTTGGCCGAGACCGCCACCGGAGCAGCCATCCAGGCTGCGTTCTTGGCTCTGGTATGACGCTTTCTCTTGGTCGGATTCTGGCCCGTATCTGGTATTTGTCACAGTTGGGGATGTAAGCCAGACCCGGCACGACGGATGCTGACACAAATACGGACCGACCTCAGAAAAAAACCGGCGGCAAGCTCTCGATCTTCCAAACCTGCCTTCCCACCTTCGGCCCAGGCGCCCTCAAGGTTCGCGAAGAAGCCCGTGTTCTTGGAACCGACAAAGAGCGCCAGCTGTACGAGCCACAGGAGTACTTCTGGAAGAAAATGGGGCAGGACTGCGCGACGGCCGGCATCAATGTCGATTTCTACCTCTTCCCGCACGCCTACATCGACGTGGCCACGCTCAGTACGTTATTATCAAGGCCGGAGAGCATGGCTTTTGGAATCTCTGCTGCCTCGCTGGCGCTTGCTAATCGGCTGCCATATCACCATGCGCTCTGCAGGCACTCTGTCGTCACTCACTGGTGGCGATACCTACAGCTACCACAACTTTGAGGCGGCCCGCGATGGTCTCAAGTTCGGCAATGATCTCAAGCGTAACCTGCTACGCTCGTTTGCCTACGATGCCCTGCTAAGGATCCGATGCTCGAATGGTGGGCAATGCGTGCAGTGTGCGGGCTGTTGCGACGCATGTGAAATGCTCCAGTGCATCGTGGGCGTCTACACAAGGCTTGCGTCCTGCGGTGCTAATGTCGATTGCGACTCGCCCGCCGGTGCGCAACCCACCAACAGGACTCAAGCTCGTCGACTACTTTGGCAACTTTTATATGAAGAACGCCACGGATGTCGAGCTGGCTGGCATCGACTCGGAAAAGTCGATTGGCGTGCTCATCAAGCATGACGGCAAGCTCGATGAGAAGGTTGAAAGCTCGTTCCAGTGCGCCCTGCTGTACACCAATGTCTTTGGCGAGCGGCGACTTCGCATCCACAACATCTCGGTCCCGAACACGACGATCCTCGGAAACGTGTTCCGGTTTGCGGAAATGGACACGACCCTCAACTATCTAGCCAAGGCCGGTAGGTGGATTTATTCCGTGCTACGCTCGCCTCCAAAGCTGTTGTTTCTGCACCTCTCGATCCTTGCAACAACGGGTCTCATTTCATACCCGTTTCCGACAATCTCCTTCAGCTGTTGCGCAGTGTATGCACACAACTCTCAAGGCTGTTCGTGACCAGCTGACTGAGAAGTGCGTCAAGATCCTGTCGGCATATCGCAAGCACTGTGCATCCTCGACGGCTGCCGGCCAGGTACAGATGCAGCGCGGGTGTTGAGCGCTTTATGCAGACTGGGCTGGCATTCGTGTTGGGCTAACCGTCTTATCGTCTCTGCCGTGGTGGTCGTTCTCCTGACTCGCAGCTTATCCTTCCCGAGTCCTTCAAGCTCTACCCGCTGTATGCGCTCACGCTGCTCAAGACACAGGCTTTCCGCGGTGGTGAGTCAATGTGCGGTCAGCTTTCCTGTGCCTTTTTTCACAGACGTACCAGTGTGTTGACTTTGACTCTTGCTTCATCAGGACCTGATATGTCGACCGACTTGCGTGTGCATCATATGAAGGCTTTGCGATCAATGGGCCTCGCGGAAACGGCACCTTTCTTCTACCCGCGCATGTTTGCGATCCACCAGGGACTGCATGAGGTAAGCAGCTTCACCGAGCGATACGCTTGCGAAGGATGCTGGCGCACATGAACCCGATAGCAGCACGCAGACTGACTTTGTCGACCATTCGTTGCAGAACGTCTTCCAGCCTGGCCGACGCTTTGTTCTCCCTCCTGGCATCCGTGTCTCCCTCGAGCGCCTCGAGAGCACTGGGGCATATCTCGTTGGTGAGTTTCGTATGCTTGTGTCGGACGACCGGCCAGGCTAATTTGGGTTGCAAGAGTGCTGGGTAGATTGCCCCGGAACCTGGTCTTTCTGACCCTCCCTTCCCATCGGCGCTGTAGAAAACGGCCAGCAGATGATGATCTGGCTCGGCAGCAACATCTCTCCCGCGTTCCTGAAGGACGTCTTTGGAATCGACTCGCTGGCAAACATCGACATCAGACTGGTATGCTTCAGCGCTTGGCTGTGGCTGCGCTTCATGGTCGCACCTCCCAATGTACTCCTCTGTCGGCGAAGATGGTTGCTAACGAGAACAATCCGTGCTGCTCGGTTTACCCTCCTGACAGAGGGAGCTGCCCCGTCTGGATAACGACACGTCCCGCAAACTGCACGAGGCGATTGTCTTTGTCCAGTCCAGCCGTGCGCGGTTCATGCAGCTCCAAATCGTCCGCCAGAACATGGACCCGTTCCTCGAGGCCGAGTTCGCTAACATGATGGTCGAGGACAAGAACCACGATGCGATGAACTATGTCGACTTTCTGTGCTATGTTCACAGGCAAGTGGTGGAGGATGATGTGCGAGCAGCTGGTTCCGCGATGAGGCCGGCATCGGGGTGGACTGGCGAGACAGCAATGACAAACCTTGCACTTACTCTGCCTGCGTCTCTGTGATCGCTCCGCCAACCCCATGGCTGCTGCGCGCTCTTATTATCTCCAGGAACATCCAAATGGAAATCTCCAACTCGTAAACTGCACCAGCGAGTGCATCCGCAGCCATTCCCTCCCCCCGCTCTCTGCGCAAAATAAATGCCTCGCATCGTTTGGACAGCCGTTTGTGTGTTTGGCAAGGGATACTCCCGACGGGTTTGTCGTGTCCGCTGGGCATTTGTCGTTCGACCGCAGAGCGTGTTGAAGAAACAATGAGACACATCGTTTCATTCGGACAAACACGGATCATATCCGGGTGTCCAGCGCGAGCAGGGATGTATGGAGTGAGTCCGTCCCGTGCAGTCAATCCAAGACTCCAACACCTCGGCGACCGACCTTCCATCGGTCCAGTTCATAGGGGTCGCACAGCACGCCCACAGCCCTAGGGCTTGGCCGGCCAGAGGGTGGCTGGCGTGTGCTCCCAAGAAGGAAATACCATTGGGCGTGCTCCTCGCTGCGGCTGTGGCGGCTGCTCGCCTTGCATCTCCCCTCCTGTCCTGCTGCCTTCTGGCTCTGCCCTCTGGCTCTGTCCTGCTCCCCTCTGCTGCCCCGCTGCCGCTGCCCTGTTCCCTTTGGCCTCTGCTGTGTCCAGGCTTGCTCGCGCTCCCCTCCCAGCCCCACCTCCCGGCGGTATGAACGAGCTCTTCAGTCGCTGGAAGACCTCCGTGGTCAACAACATTGCCTCCCGCACAAACGCCTACAGCCTCGGCAAACTCAAGAAATGCTACGAATCCATCACCGAAGACTTTGAGGCCTCGTTGTCGTGGCCCCGAGACATCCAAAACACCGACATACCCGTGTCCCTGCAGCAAATCGGCGATCTCCTGGTCAATGAACAGGCGGCCGACCCCAACCAGGAAAGCGACCTCGACGCCGGCTGCTGCACCGAGTACTGCATCAACAACGACATCTTTGGCAGCCTCGTGCGCATGTCTGAGGCCGATGTGCCCAAGGGCTACCGCTCAGAGGTCATTCGGTTCATGTCGACGCTGGTCAGCTTGATTGATTCCAAGTACCTGATCCAGAAGGCGTTCCACGGACCCGTCCTCTTGCTGATGAGGTGGTATTCGCTCCAGAAAGGCATCGAGTTTGACGAAGACATGCTGGACCTCGAGTTCAACATCGCGTCCAAGATCCGCGAGTCCCCGCACCTGCTCAACATCTTCTTTACCAAGGACTTTGCCCCAAAGAACGTCACGATCGAGTCCATCGAAAAGGGCAAGCAGGAGGAGGACCCCATGGTCGTCGTGGCTGCTCCTGCCCAGCTCTCGAGCGATTACCGATTCCTCCTCTTCGAGCAACTTTTGCGCTTCATTCACATGGACGACAAGCGAGCCGACGTCGCTCGAACAGCTTGTCTGTTTATCCTGGAGCTGGCCACGGGCGAGCTGCAGCATTACATTGCGCAGAGCGACCTGTCGACCATCGTCGTTGCCGGTCTCGGCGGTCTCTTCAGCCAGCTGCCCCAGCAGATCCCCCCAAAGGCCTCGAGCACCTCCAGCTACGAGTTCGAGTCCTTCAAGAACGATCTGAACGCCTTCCTAGATCTGCTTGAGTTTGTCCAGGAGATCCTGATCAAGTGCCCCAGTCGGGTCATCACTGTTGCCATCCTCGACTACCTCAAGCTCTCCTTCCTTGACAACATCGTCCATGCCTCTGTCCTCAACGCCTCTGACTTTGACGGAAGCGCGCATTCATGCCTGTTTTATCTGCATGAGATGATGAAGGTCATCAGAGAGGATCAGCTCTCGAACCTGTTCTGTCGCTTCCTGCTGCGGGGCGACGATGACGACGACGACCACGACGACCTCCAACAGCCCTCGCCTGCGGCAGCCGCCGGCAGTGACCTCAAGCTGCACATGCGCGACATTGTTGTCTCCAAGATCGGCTCGCTCTCCGAGGATGTCTCGGTGGCGGCCCTGCGCTTGATCCACACCATGCTCGCCTATCACAGTCGCCACTGCCTGTACCGCATCATCGAGAAGTTGCCCTACAAGAAGCTAACCCAGGGCTTCATTGAGATCAAACAACCCGACCATCTCAATCTCTCAATGGACATCCACCAGCATCTGAACATTGTCAGCCGGTATTTCGCCCTTATCCCGCAGGAGGAGTACCCCGATCAAACAGACATCCGCACCACTCTGCAGGCCTATCTAGAGGATGCCCAGCAGGCCCTCGCCACCCACAACCAGAAGCTGCTGACCGCTCGGGCGGCCGCGTTTCTGCCACACCAGCCCAGAACATCCTCGCTACCCACGGCGCGCCACCGAGACAGCCGCCCGGTGTCGGCCTTTGGTCCCATTTCCAAAACGTCGGTGCTGGATGCCAAGGCTCGCGAGCAAATGATCGAGCTCAGCCGCGATCCGACGCTCCGCAAATTCATGGACAAGCTCACCAACTTCTTTTCACACTCGTACGAGATCAACCTGGCCGTCACTGGCGTCTTTTCGCAGCTGGTGACCATGCCCCAGCCGCTGCTCTACATGTACCTGTACAGCGCCGACATTTTGGTCGATTCGCAGCAAACCTCACTCTACACGATCTTTGTGAAGCTACTGAAGGAGGCCGAGGATAAGGCCACGGTCCTGTCGGATTTTGAGTTTTCTCTGGAAAAGACCAAGACGGATATGCTGAACGGCCGGCTCCAGAAGAAGAGCCGACGGCGAACACTGGGCGGCTCGACACACGTTCCAGACCTGGAGGAAGAGTTTGTCAAGAACTGTCTGGTCCTGCACGAGTTCATCAAGGAGGCCCTGGCGGCCCTGGTCCTCCATGGATCGCGGGACTATGACCACATCTCCTACATCTAGCGCCACTTGGTGGGTTGAGAGGATGCGGGGTGCTTGGGGTTGTCCCATGCCCTCGGTTTTGGCACTCTGCTTGGCTCTGCTTGACTTTGGTGGGGGGGGGCCAAGAAGTATTTGTGCCCTGCGACTACTTTGCCACTCGTCTGGCGCCTGTCTCTGGTAGTCGCCTCATAGTGCACTTTATCCATAGCAAACGGGATGCTGTCCCATTTCAATCGAACATGTGGTTTTTTGAAAGCCTGCGTCCAACAAAGCCATATGGAGAAAACACGGAATGCTTTGGCAACCGCTGAGTGAAGACCGCGGGTCGCTCTCTCGTCTCCAGCCCGTACATTTGCCCTGCACATAGTGATCATGGTGCTCTTGAACACACTGGAGATGGTGCAGCTTTTCTCAGGGTGTGGATGAGTGCGCGCACCGCAGTGCATCGCAGTGCAGTGCAGCGATGCAAAAGTCAAGTGTGGAGCGAGTGGTCATGGCCACCACCCGAGACAGCAAATCATTTGGTTGTTGATCACAATTGGTTGGGCGAGTGTTGGTGTGAAAGCCAGAGCCAGAGCCAGAGCCAGAGCCATAGCCAGAGCCATAGCCATTGGCGCCGCCCTCTGTCGCCCTCTGTCGCCCCGCGCCAGGCCCAAATCTCCAGCCCCGCCGGGCTATTGTCGAACCTCTCTGGTCATCCAGCAACCATCCCCGCCCGATCTCATCCAGCCCTCCCTCTCAGAGCCCTTGCATAGACAGCACCTGGAGAGCCAGCTCGCCAAGCCGTTGGTTCGTCTCCAGCTCACAATTCCTCTCTTGGTTCCTGCACTCTTCCACTCTTCTGCTGCCACCAGCAACCCCTCTTCCTGTCTGGCGAAACGACACTCACTCGTCTGAGCCATGTTTGACGGAGGCGACCTTTTCTCGTCCGATGAGACGCCCTCCCGTCTTGTCTCGGACTTTGAGCCGATGGGCGATCCGAGCCACACCTCCATCGATAACAGTCTGATGATGGAGGCCTCCTCCGGAAACCTGTTGTCTCTCGAGATCAAAGACACAGAGATGGGCGAATACAGCTTTGACGACGACAAGCTCCTGCACCTGCAGCCCAGCGACAAAGCCGCCGAGGAAATGGCTGCGACCATTTCGGTCAACATAAATCATATACCGGACGAGGGCGACGACAATGAAGACGAGGATTATGTCGATGCAGAGGACGATGACGACGAGTATGATGAAGACGAAGACGATGATGAGGAACAGGACGACGACGACGACGATGACGAAGCCGAGGCCGAGGCCGAGCCCGACGGCGGCGATGTTGACGGCGAAGGCGAGCCTGACGGGGAAACAGAAGGCGAGATCGAGCTTGAAGCCAGCCACAGGGCTGAGCATGAGGAAGATCTCAACGACGAGTCCGAGCAGGCAACGGGCGGCGACGATGGCGACGAAGATGCTTCGGCAATGGAACTTGACTCCGCATCGCTCATGGAGGTTGACCACATTCTGCCCGAGCCCGCAAAAGTACCGCTGAAACCCAAGTCGCAGGAAGATGAAGATGTCGACGAGAAAGCCCATGAGGAAACAGACGGAGCGGAAGCGCATGCGCAAGTTCCCCAAGGTGGGTGGTGCGGATCGACCCAATCTTTCGGGATCGTCGTGGAGACAGCAGATCTGCAGTCCGATCGGCCAGGCTGTCGTCGTAACCAAGAGGGCCCCTCTATGGGTCCTCGTGAGCGATGCTGATGCAAAGCTCACGCTCTCCACTCAATGGCGCTGCAGCCGCCGAAGGAGCCGATGCCGATGCCGAGTCGGTAAGTTGCCGCGGACCCTCATGTCCCTCAGACGATGCGATCCCATAGCGCCGCAGAAGCCAAGGAGAAGTAGAGCATTGGCGCACCAATTCCAAAACCCATCTGCCCTGTGTCTTGAATGCAGTAATTCTACAGTCCATCGGAACCAAAGCTCACTACTCTTTGGCTGCAGGAGGCGTCGAAGAAGACTAAGCCGGCCTTCATCGAGGAGCAAGACGGTCAAGTCGAGTTTCGGATCGTCGGCAACGACGGCTCGGACGAGTCGATGATCCTCCTGACAGGACTGAAAAACATTTTCCAGAAGCAGCTCCCCAAGATGCCCAAGGAGTACATCGCGCGGCTCGTTTACGATCGGTGGGTATTTCTGCCCTCGGGAGCGCATCGTTTCCTGCCGAGCACTGGCATTTATATGATGAGGAGCACAAATCGATAGTATTGGAATCGCTGTCTCCTATCATAATACCTCGGACCGGACCATCCTCAGTGCCATAACCAACAGCCAGAGTGCCAGCTGACCCACCTGCAACGTTACTTGTAGGCACCATTCGAGCATGGCTGTCGTCCGAAAGCCGATGAAGGTACTCGGAGGAATCACTTTCCGACCGTTCAACTCGCGCCGATTTGCTGAAATTGTGTTTTGTGCCATTTCTTCGACTGAGCAAGTCAAGGTTAGTGGGATGGAATCCGCCCGATCGCCCGCAAGGCTCTGCAAAGCCATTGCACAGTGCTCTCTCAGAAAGTCGACCCACAGAATCGACCCGTGGGCACTCATGATTGCTCTGCCTCGGTCATAGTCGGCGCCGCGCTAACCTATATGTTTGAACTGGGATCCTTCAAGGGATACGGGTCTCGTCTCATGAGCCACGTCAAGGATGCTGTGCGCAAATCATACGACATTGAGCACTTCCTGACATATGCTGACAACTATGCCATAGGCTACTTCAAGAAGCAGGTTTGTGATCCAGGCCTGAATTGAGTTGAACGAATGTCCAGGAACACATACACCCGGCTAACGTGAGACCCATCCGCTTGCTGCTTCACATAGGGCTTTACTACCGATATTACACTGGACAAACATCAATGGGTCGGCTACATCAAAGTGGGTTGTCGCCTTGCCGGCATCCGCTGTATGGTACGCAGTGGCTGCAGGGTAGTGCACTGATAGATAACCCCATGTTCCACGGTGGTCCAGGATTACGAAGGAGGAACCATCATGCAGGTACAGAAACAAACCGCACTCGTGACGTGTCTACAAAATTGCATGGCAGCATCTTCCGCGTCAACGGACTGATACTCTGCCCCATGTAGTGCACCATGCTGCCAAAAGTGGTATATTTGGAAGCATCTTCAATAATCCGGCAGCAACGAAGTGTGAGTATCTGTTCTCATCGAAGAGTGTCGGCTGGCTTGTGCAAGGACCCCTGCTACATTCAGTGCTGCATCTCATCTGCATTGCCATTAGGATGTGATGAAAAAGATCAAAGAAGCTTCCTCGTCACATATCGTGCATCCGGGCCTGGATGTTTTCAAGAACGACGCAGCGGCAATCGACATTGCCTCTATTCCTGGAATAAGCATGTATCGCCTGCTGCGAAGCATTCATGGCTGTCGGACTTGCATGGCAGTCGTATACTAACATTAACACGTATCGCCCACGCGCGATCGACGACACATCTGCAGAGGAGGCAGGCTGGACACCGGATATCGGGACTCGGTAATGATTCCGTCGCTGGCGCACTTGAGCGATATTGCGACATTGCGACATTGCGACATTGCGACATTGCGACATTGCGACATCAACCGTCAACTGCGCGACATACTCCAAGAAGCGTTGGAGGCTTTGGGGCTGTGACTGAGATATCTACTGACTCGCGTTCGATTCACCGTCACAGCGTTCAAAAGCAAGCACCGCCTCGGTCGCCGCTGTACACGGTTCTCAAGAAGTTGGTGATGGAGCTGGAGGTCAGTGACTGATCGCCCATGCATGTCCTCCAACTCGAATGATGCAGCAAGCGTGCACCATATCGGCGACTGGCACATTATAGAGCAGACTTTGACGGCGCTGTGTGACTGGCTGGGGTCTTCGAGCTGTCCGAGCTCTCTTCTAAAACTGTTGGCCTGTCGGCACACAGGGACACGCGCAAGCCTGGCCATTTCTCGAGCCCGTCCAAGGCGTTCCGGACTACTACGAGGTCATCAAGGAGCCCATGGGTATGGTTACGATGTTGACGCTGGTCCGCTTGGTCGCCGTCTCAAGCCGGCGTTACAACTGTGAATTGCTGCTCTGACAGGCTACTGATACTGTTGTATCGCCAGACTTGCGCACACTCAGCGAACAAGTTGAAGGCGATCACTATTCATCCCTTGAGGTTTTTATCAACGACGTGAACAAAATATTCGACAACTGCAAAATGTACAACAACGAAGGAACCACATATTACAAATGTGCTGTCCGGCTGGAAAAATGGTTCCGCGACAAGATCAAGCAAATCGAACGCGAAATGACTGGATAGTGCGTCCGGAAGGTATATGTGAATATATACGCGATGTACTCGTGCTCCAGATCTGCGAGCGGCCTGTGCTGCGATTCGTTGGTCTGATCGCTGTGCACGAGAAGCGGAATGCCCATGAAAGATGTCGGAACACGAACGAGGAGCAGTTCGGATGCATATTCAGTCAAAAGCGACGGAGTGCCAGAATGACAATAGATTGTGCCGTGTCATTCGACGATAAGCTTCCGTTTCCATTGAATATATTCGTGCTGGAACTTGGGTATCTGACACAACTCATCACATCTCCCGTTTACTGATACAACATATGAGGATTGCCAGTGCGATGTAAACCATCAAGCACCGCTACTCATCCCCGCTCAAGGTCGCAGGCACGGCCTTGGTCTCGGCGCTGGCACACGAGTGGTGGCAGTCGCCGAGGACAATGTCCTCGATGTCGTCGCTGTAGCCCTTGAACCACGGGTTCTTCTTCATGGCCTTTCTCCACCAGTTGCGGTACGTCTTGATCATCAAGTCAGCCGCAACGGGCGAGTTCATGGCGTTGGCCCCCATGGCAAGGCGCTCCTGCTGGCCAGTCAGCATCGCATAGTCTTCCATCAAGATTTTTTTGATGAATCCCGGAAAGTACCAACCAACAAGGCTACCGACCACGGGAATTCGAAATACCGTGTCGAAAAAGCTCAGACGCTGTTCGTAAATGAATCGACAGTGGCCCTTCCGTGTCGGGATGCAGTAGAGGCTCTGTTCGATTGAAAACAAAGAGTGAGTGATACTACCAAGAATGAGGTGCTTGAGATGGTCGCAAGGAGCACATGGTGTATCATCGTTGGCACCAATGGGCACTTGCCTGATCGCTTTTGGAGTCGTTTGTTGATATCAGCTTGAGAGTCACCAAAATGGGCGGATGGAATTCAAACTCCGCAGTTATATTCTCAGGGCAGTCCGGGTTGACCTGAAGACCCCGGATGAACTTGCCATGGAACTGACAGTCGATCGTCATGGCGCTGGCAAGCTTGCGGTTGCCAATCGTCGTGTCGTGGGTGAACGGAAGCTGTGTCGGGGTCAATTGATCAGCGTCGAGCATGGTGAACCAATGAGCAGCAGCCCAAACCATCAGACCATCAGACTGACACCATTTCGCCGGACCCAAAGTGACCAGTGCGTTGTCGGCAGAGACGGCAGGACCAGGGTCCACGGCCGGAACCATGCAACAGCACAGACAGAGCCATCAAGCCATGTGCTGGAAGCACCACCGCCGCGGCTCAAGCACCCACATGCGAAGGGTCCAAGAAGTTTTCCAGAAGCAGGCTATGATCGATATCGAGATCGACATATCCCGAGATCGCCTTGAGATCGCCGCCCCATGGATGATAGAGCTTTGGCTTGGGTACGTCTTGCATATCCTCGAGCGTGCCTGGCCAGACCTGGAAGCAACCCCGGTCCGAACACGATGATGAATGACGAGATGATGAGATGATGAGATAATGAGATAGTGAGATGATGAGATGGTGAGATGATGAGATGGTGAGATGATGAGATGGTGAGATGATGAGATGATGAATGATGCGATAATGAGATGGTGAGATGATGAGATGATGAATGATGAGCAAACTCGGGGCGGTGTCTGCATCAGAAGATCAGGAGCCATCTCATGGCGGCGTGGATGCGATGGACGACACCACACCACACCATCACCACACCATCACATCACCACATCACCACATCACCACATCGCCATCACTCGTTGCAGACTCACCCAAACCCATCCGTCGGCCTCGTGTGCCGGATACGTCTGCACCTTGGCGTTGGCTGGGATCGAGCGGTCCTTGAGCAGGCTCGGGATATGCGAGACCTTGCCGTCAGTGTCGTATTGCCAGCCGTGATATCGGCACTCGAGCTTGCCGTCCATGATCCGGCCGACACTCAGCGGGGCGCTGCGGTGGGCACACTTGTCGGCAAAGACAACCGGCTGGTTGGTCTGTGGGTCGCGATAGAGAACAAGTGGCTCCTCCAGCAGGCGCAGGGCCGTTGGCTGCGTGGTGAGCAGCTCGTTGGAGGGGACGAGGGGATACCAGGTCTTCCGGAACTCGGTGGTCTGTTCATAGAAGAACGCACGGTTGGTGGCAATCTCGTCTTGGGTCCAGTTGGGGACGGGGCTGGCCATGGCGGTGGTGACGGTGGCGACGGTGGGATCGGTGCAGAAGGCAGAGGGGATCTGGGTCGGCGGCAGAGGCAAGCCAGATGGCGATGGATGTGGGTGGAGGAAAGGTGCTCGCGTTGGCTGCTGGTGCTCGGATGGCCGGAAGTGCTTCGAGGAAGAGCGATGCCGGCCAGATGCAGGCGAGAGAAGGCGATTTTATATCGGCGCCGATGGCCTCGAGCAGCGGGCGGGTCTGGGAGCGGGTCTGGGAGGGCCGCCGTGCTGTATCGACATGCTGCATTGGTGCTGATGTGTTGGAGCAGTGACTGTTGTGTTGGAGCTGGCTGTTGTGTTGGAGTGTCATGCTGTTGACCACCACACTCTACAACACTCCACAACACTTAACACTCGGCAGCCAGGCCGCCATGGCAATCAGCGGTGTTGTCATGGCTTGCTGTCGCTGGTCACCAAATCGGCGTGCAGGAATGGCGGGTGAATGCCGGGTGCGGAGGAATCGAGGCGGGGAAACGACAGGGACCAAACAGCCGAAGCGAGCTCGGCGGTCTGGGAAGTCCTTGGCCGGTCTGCTTGGCCGGTCTGCTTGGCCGGTCTGCTTGGCCGGTCTGCTTGGCCGGTCTGCTTGGCCGGTCTCTGGGAAGCGAGCGGCAATTGCCATGGGCAAGAGTTGTGTGCAATTGCCATGGCCATGGCTCGCACGTTCGGTGCCGCTGTCGCAAGGCAACTCTCCCCCTCCGCATGTCAGGTGGCAGCAGCATTGGTCATCCGGGCTGTCGTCGGGTCCAGGTGGGATCTCCGAGCCGCAGATTTCCGAGCCGCAGATCACCAGGGTGCAATGTGCCAGTTTGCAGTGCGCCGCATTGTTTTCCCACGCTCAATGTCCTTCGCATGGTGATCATGTCGCTCTTGATCAGCGCGCCATGCTTCGCACAACATCAATTGGTCGTTGCTCATAAGTTTGCTATTTTGCACCATAGTCGATCCATCAAGAACGGGACACCTCGGATTTCGACCATCGACCACTTTTTTGTCACCCGAGCCAAATCCGCGCTGGCTATGACCATTTGACATCGCACTGCCGCATTGCGGTGCGACACTTTTTTAGAGTCTGCACAAGGTGGCTTCCATATTCAGTGACCAAGAGTGCCATTCACCGCTGGCACTCCGAGGCCAGTGTGCTGGTCGATTGTGGAGACCAGAGAGCGACCAGAGGCTTTCACTCTCAGGCTGCCAAAGTGCTCGTTTCGTAGCATGTAAGACATAAGCTACCTGCATACTGCGCTGGCATATGTGATCGTGAGGACGTCTCGTTTACTCATGTGCTAAGTGTATGATGAATCTCATTGTCCCTTATCGTCTGATTCAATCACTAGCGTGCCCAATCAGGCATTGCTGCCGCACATCCGGCTGTTCTTTGTTTCGCCATTCTGAGCAGACTACATCACCCGTGCGATTTTCGGATGTCCTTTGCTCGAGTCTTGCTTGGAAACTCTTGGCTGTCCAACCTCTCATTCAAGACGCATTCCGTCCACTGCATTTCCTCATGCGTCTCCTCTCCCTTGTTCTCTGTGCCGCAGCCAGCTGTGCTGCTCTCACATTCAGTCCAGACCAGTTCCCCATTTTGGGCGACAGCCTGGTCTCTCTGTCCAGCGCAGCTGACTATCCTTTTGACTGGGTTCCTACAGGCAATGTCCATGCCGAAACCACCTCGGTCTCCCATATCGAGCACCAGTGGATCATCGACAAGCATGGACGTCAGAGACTGTTTCGAGGCATTAACGTCGTCTATAAAGGTACCCATCAATCGCCCGCATCTAGCTGAACGGCGTACGGTCCAAGCCTCCAGTTGCGTACCCTCTCAGGTCGCTTACCAGTACATCCTTCTCAATCTTTGCCTGAATGGGGTCAACAGCGTTTCCTTTCCACCCTATTCTGGATAAATGGGACCCTCAGTTCTCCTTCACCCGCGAAGATGTCGATTTCATCGCCGACCTCAACCTCAACATCATTCGCCTTGGTTGGTTTTGCAATCGCTCCGGCTGATCCACCCAGGCTGTCTGGCCACTTGATCTCGCTTTGCAACGCATTCGCTGATGCTGTATCGATTGTAGGTGTCATGTGGGGTGGTGTCGAGCCTTGGCGCGGGAGCTACAACCAAACCTATATCGATGTTCTGAAGCAAATTGTTGCGAGGTGCCAAGAAAAAGTAGGTGCATCTGTTCATTGGCAAAGACAACTGCCACAGGAGAATAATGACGCTGCGGAACGATCGCCTTGGATCTTTGCAGGGCATTTATGTGCTCCTGGATATGCACCAAGATGTCCTGTCGGAGCGGTTCTGTGGTGAAGGCGTCCCCATGTGGGCATTCCACACAAACAAAATCGAGCAAGAGCATGGCTTTCCCTTCCCTTTGGAGAACCCATGGCCGCTCAATCAGTCGGACGACATTCCCACGAAGCTGCAATGCGATACGCACGAGTGGTTCAGCTACCAGTTGACTGCCGCCGCATCGCGGGGCTATCAGAATCTGTATGACGACGAAGATGGCCTGGCAACTTCGATGGCTCGGTTTTGGGCCAAAGTAGCGTCCGAGTTCAAGGACTACGACAATGTCGTAGGTTACGACCTGATCAACGGTGCGTTTGCTGTCGTGACCGACCCGCGAACATCTCGAGTGGCGGCTCAGCAGAGTATAGAGAGTGCAGCAGCGACTTTCCAATGACAGCACATGTATCTGAGCAGAGCCCCTGCCCTGACCAACCGTATCTGGCGCTGATGAGCTCTTGTGCTATCCAGAGCCGTGGGCTGGCGATGTGTTCAAAAATCCGTTGCTCTTGAGTCCGGGTGTTGCCGATAGAAAGAATCTTCAGCCATTCTATGAAATTATCCATGAACATATCCGACAAGTCGATACCGACCGACTGATTTTCTTCGAGTCAGTGACTTGGGACAACTTTGTGGTCGGATTTACCCAACCACCAGGTGAGTTTCCCTGGCCAGCACAGCAGCGACTCAGGGAGGATCTGAGTCTCCGGCAAAGCTGGCGCAGTATGGTGCGAGAGGTCTGATCGCTCAGAGTCGCAGCAGTGTACGGCGCAATGGCCACCCAGCTCCAGCTCACGACCCAACCTGATCGAATCGGCGCGGCTGGTGAATCAATGTGCAGGCGGTAAAGAGTATCGGAACCGCTCGGTGCTGAGCTACCATCACTACGATAAGAAGCCCAACATGCTTGGAATCGAGAGAACGTTCACAGAGCGGCTCCTGGATGCCAAACGGCTATCAACTGGGCTCATGATGACAGAATTCGACATTGCCTTTGGGGACGGGAAGCGCGCTGCCTGGCTCGAAAACGCCTTCCGACTGGCCGACAAACACTTCCAGAGCTGGATAGGGTTGGTAGCAAGCGTCAATGTCGATCCGTGCGGCGAGCACCCTCAGTCTCGACTATGAGCGGCTCATCGGCGGGCTCCAGATTGTGGCGCCAACGCGGATACTGATGCCGATTTGCCTCGCAGGTGGGAGTACAAACGCTTTGTTCCCATTACCGGGTTTGGCGACTTTATGTTTGATCCCCAAACGGGCGAGCTGGTCAAGGGCTTTGTGCCGCTGCTGAGTCGGCCGTTCGCCCAGGCGATTGCCGGCCGAGCTCTGTCCATGAGCTTTGATCCTGAGACAAAGCAGTTTGATTTGGAGTACGAGCTGATCCAGTCGAGCCGCACCAGCGTGACTGAGATCCGGTTCCTGAAGAGGTAAGCCGGCATGTGGGCATCTAGCTGTGCACTGGCTGACCGGGGCGCAACTGGGACGCCAGCCCGGCGCTGAACGATCGAGCTCCATCTTGCCGGTACAGGGTACAGTACCCCAACGGATTCCAGGTCAAAGTCAAGCCCTCCAAAGGCATCACCTGGGAAGTCAGTCCTCACAACGACGGCTTGGTGTTGGTCCGGGCCGACCCCCGGGCTCCACTTGGGGAGCGAGTCCATGTGTCGATCATTGAAAACTAAGCGTTGCTGCAAGGGGCCATCCTGCGTTTGGGGGAGGGTTGATGATCGCTCTATCCTCGATCGAGAATACATGCACACTCATCCAGGACGCCCAACAGTACCGCCGTCGCTGCCTGGCTGTGTTGATGTCTTGGTGCGCCGCGGCCTGCCCAATCGCTGCGCGTGCCTGCGAACATGTGGCTGGTCCGGTCCTGCGTCTTTGTCGCCATGGTCCTCGGTTCTGCCGCACCCTCTCGCCCAACCGTCCGGCCGCCGGCCCGCAGCGAATCTCTGCGTCTGGCCTCGCTCGCCTCTCCCCCAAGTTGCATCCATCCCCAAAGGCATCCTCCGTCCGTCTGCAGCTTTCATCGATGACTTCAAAGCTGCTGTTTGTGCGCCTCATAGCTTTCTGTTTGTCTGTCCTGCCGGCCCTCGTCATCGCGCTGCCTGCTCCGGGCCTGCTCCCACAGCAAATTCTCTCGGACATCCGGCAACCGCAGCATCCATTCGACTGGATTCCGACGGGAAATCATCCACCTGCGATCGTCCCAATCTCCCACATTAGCCAGCGCTCGTTCATCGACAGCTATGGACGGCAGCGTCTCTTTCGCGGCGTAAACGTTGTTGTTAAAGGTATGTCCGTGAGGCCAGCACGGATGTTGTCTGGAAGGCATTCATGAGCCCGTCGGTTCCTGATGTTGCTGGTCGATTTCGCCTGCAACTATGACCTCTAATGTACAAGGCCCAGGGCCCATCGGATGGCGAAGCGTGTCCGGACTTTGGCCCGTACTTATCCCTCCGCCACCATTGCAGGGCCGCCATGGCACCCAACGATCGACCGATGGGACCCACAACTGTCATTCAGCCAAGAAGATGTGGACTTTATTGCCGATCTGAACCTCAACATCGTCAGATTAGGTGCATCACCGTGGCCGCCCTGCTTTCCTAGGTCGCATTGTCATGCTGTCGAAATGGCATCTTGTCGAGCGCCACCTAATCAACGCAATCCACTCTATCTTGCCAGGCGTGATGTGGCCAGGCTTTGAGCCGAGCCGCGGGCACTATAACTCGACCTACATCGCAATTCTCAAGACAATCGTTGAGCGATGCAGAGCAAAGGTGAGAGTGATTGGCCCAGCGTGCGGGCAAGCACATCGATCGATAACTGTCCGGATACTTGGTAGTGAGCCTCGATTGTATTGCCGAGATGTCCGCAGCCTGGGATTGGGTCATGCGCCTGCATCTGCCCATCCTAACGCCGAAGCCCTCCAAATATCTACTACTCTTGCGTCGCTGGGTGCGCACGGATCGGTCTGGTTATGAAATGCTCGTCTTGCCGGAATCGGGGGCCCATCTGTCCGACACACAACCAGGGCATTTACGTGCTGCTCAATATGCACCAAGATGTATTGTCGGAGAAGCTCTGCGGCGAAGGCATCCCTCTGTGGGCCGCTGAGGAGCTGCTCGTCCCAGCCAAGCAGAGCCAGGCCTTTCCGTTTCCACTCGAAGACCCATGGGCCCTGAACAACACGCAGGGCATTCCCTCGCGTGAGCGCTGCGACACCCGCGATTGGTTCGAGTATCACTTTGCCGTAGCAACATCAAGGGCGTACCAGCGGCTCTATGACGACCGGAACGGCATCGGCCGGGCTATGGCGCTCTTCTGGGCAAGGGTTGCCCAGGAGTTTGGGCAGTATGATAATGTCCTGGGATACGAGCTCATCAACGGTACCTTTGGACTGATCTGCCGCTTTTGAAGGAGCACCTGCGTCGATTCTGATTTGCGAGCTTGATGCTGACTGCCGGGAACTAGAGGCGCATGAAATATTGTTGAATCTGAAGGCGAGGCTATCCAAGTTTGGAGAGTGTTCCTGGAGTCTGTGCTGACACCACCTCTGCGATGACACTTTCTGCCAAACAGAACCATGGGCAGGGGACGTCTTCAAGAACCCGCTGCTTCTTTCGCCAGGCGTTGCCGACCTCGTCAACTTGCAGCCCTTCTATGAGATGATTCATGCAGAGATCCGCAAAGTCGACAAGGAGCGCTTCGTGTTCTTCGAGTCCGTCACATGGGATAACGTCGCAGTCGGGTTCACACGGTCGCCAGGTGCGGTCTCTGTGCCATGGCTATCAGCAGCAGGTACCGCCAAAGTTCGCTGACCGTCTTGGTGCAATCTACTCCAGGCGGATCGCATTACCGCAACAGGTCAGTCCTGAGCTACCACCACTACGACAAGCGCCCGAATGTGCTCAAGATCGAAAAGACATTCAAGGAGCGAATCCTGGATGCTGCTCGCCTCAAGATTGGGCTGATGCTCACCGAGTTTGATATCGCTTATCGGGCGTCCGAGTCGGTTGGCTGGATCAAAGAGACCCTGGCCTCGGCAGACCAGCATCTGCAGAGCTGGATCGGGTAGGAGCACCGCTGCACGGCCGGGGCAGTTGATATGCTGACGCTGACTACGACTGCTGCTTGGCCATCGCCGCTGCATGTCCCATCTTGGCGACTGCTGACGTCTCCCGTGCATGTCCCTGCGATGACGCCCTTGAAGCTGGGAGTACAAGCGGTTTCTCCCGATCACCGGATTTGGAGACTCGTTCTTTGATCCAGACACTGGAGAGCTCTGGCAGAAGATGGTCCCGCTGTTTTCTCGCCCCTACGCACAGGCTGTTGCGGGCAAGATTACGTTCATGAACTTCAGCCAAGAGACCTCTCGGTATGAGCTGCGGTTTGTTGCCAATGAGGCCACCCAGCTTCAGACCACCGAAATCCGGTTTTTGAAGCGGTAAGCAGTCGGATGCATGGCGCTGAGAATCGCTTTAGTGAGACAGCAGCAAGAGTCGCCGAGTCACGCAGTCAGCACCAGCTAAATGTGAGGGGGCTTCATTGCGATCCAGGACCCACTATCCAAACGGCTTCCGAGTCCGAATCTGGCCCTCAGTACTCTCGTGGGAGCATCCGGCTGAGCGGGACGATGGGCTTTTGATTCTGAAACCCAGCAGCCGAGTTCGGAATGGCGAAGAGATCACTGTGGTCATCACGGGCGATGTGCCGCAGACATGAGCCACCCAACGGCAGAGTCCAGTGCGCGGCACAGCGAAGGACCGGCGAGGGGCAGGCTGAAATACTCTCATCATGTACATTTTTGTGAACACGCCCTCATCGGTTTTTGGCTGCGAGGCAGGATCTGCATGGCCCGAGAACGCCGTGCTGCACCAAGTTCATGGTGCCAGGGTGCCGCATCGAGCTCATGGCCAGGCGTTCCCACCCACACACACACCGTCGCTTACCTAAGCATCGTCCAGCGCCCTCCCCGTCCAAAACGAAAACCGCCCACCGACAAGCGAGATCTCGCCCCAACGCTGTTCCGTGCCTCCTGCTTCCTGCTGCCCCATCTGTCTCGGCCGCCGGGCTCGTCTGCGACCATACCAGACCTGCAGTGCTGCCGTGATACCTGCCACAGCGCACACCCGATCGCTCCCGACTGCCCTAGAGCCGCTGCCGCTACTGCCGCACCATGACCGCCGAGCTTCCGCCCCAGCTGCTGAAGCTCTTTGCCCCAAGACCGCCGCTGCCCCAGCTCCCACTCCCATATGCCCCGAAGCGAACTCTGACAAAGCGATCGATCCTGCAAGGCATCGGCAACTTCCTGCCGCTATGTGAAGGACATGACGCCGAATACGTGCCTGGAGAAACGCTCGAGGAGAAGAGGAAGCGCAAGGCAAGTCATGGATCGACGTGATCGCCCATGTCTATTGCAGTCTCGCAGTGGGTCAGGGAGCCGTGCCGCTGGCAGTTCGTGATCTGCCACCGCCGCACCGAACCGGTTGCTGATCCCTTTATTGCCGCCATCGCCATCGCCATCGCCATCGCCATCGCCATCGCCATCGCCATCGCCATCGCCATCGCCATCGCCTGTCGGGATATGCGTCGTTCCTGGCTCAACAATGGATATGCTCCGTAAACTCACGGCTCGACCCCTACGTCGTCCCATCGAAACCCATACCGCCCCTCCAAACTCGACATGCGGCCCAACTGCCTCCGTTTATTTACGCGTTGGATATCACACTCACCCATCTGGACACCGGCTAGGCCCAGGAGAAGTCTGCCAAAGTCCAGCAAGCCATTGAGGAGGGACTTGCGAACTGGGACCCAGCGGCAGAGGGCAGGTTTTCGTCCGACCCATACAAGACACTCTTTGTCGGCGGCCTGGTGCGTACGATGGTGCATGATGGACGCGGCTCGCTTGTGTCGCTGGAACCCTTGAACGAGTACCAATCATCCGACGAGACCTGGCGAACCCATCGGGCCGGAGCGATGCCACCCCAAAGCGTCCGCCACACTGACGGTTAAACTGCGCTCCTTTCCTCTGCACGTTGTGTAGTCGTATGAAACCACGGAGAAGATTCTGCGAAAGGCGTTTGATCAATTTGGTCCGATTCAGAGTGTAAGTCTTTCTTGGTCGATTGGATTGACAAGAGGAGAGGGCCGGAACCTGCAGTCGAGGGCTCTGTGGCTCGGAAGTAAGGACTACGCTGCTCCAGCAGGATGGTCTTCTCATGCGTGCGGCTTGCATGTGTAGATCGAGGTTGTCAAGACATCCGAGGGAAAATCGCGCGGCTATGCTTTTATCGAGTACGAGCGGGAGAAGGACATGAAGATCGCCTACAAAGAAGGCGACGGCATGAAGATTGATGGCCGACGTGTCGTGGTGGACGTCGAGCGTGGTCGTACTGTCAAGGGATGGAGACCGCGACGTCTGGGCGGCGGACTCGGCGGCACCCGCAACGGTCCTCCCGAGAAGAATCAAAAATATGCCGGCCGAGACGCTGGACCGGACTCGCGGGGCGACAGCCGATACGATAGTCGATACGATAGTCGATACGACAGCCGATACGACCGCAGATACGACCAGCACGACAACAACCGCGATCGTGACCGCGGCTACGACCGAGACAGGGATCGAGACCGAGGATACGATCGAGACCGCGACAGGGACAGGGATAGGGACCGAGACAGGGAGCGCGATCGTGACAGAGACCGGGATCGTGGACGATACGGCGACCGAAAGAGAAGCCGCAGCCGGGAGCGTCATAGATCAAGGAGCCCCCGAGACGGGCGGAGCAATCGCGATGACCATTACCGAGACCGGTAGGTGCCTTGGCCGCTGTCTGACCCGACACACTACATGCCGGCGAATGTATAGCTGTCCGCAGACGACCACTCCGGGCCGCATCCAACATGCCAACACTCACGCAACCTTCCATCACCCTTATCAGCCGATACTGAGCCTCTCAACGGCCTGGAGCTGACGGCATGTGCATTGTGGAGCTGGATGCTGCTTGGCAACCAATTTGTGCCCTTTACCTCTCTACCCCTCTATACGCATGGCCCGTCGGCTGCTTTCCTATCCTGTGCGTTGGCTTTCACTGTCCTGGGCGTGAATGACTCCTACGCTTTCTCCCGGCTGCCCAAGGCCCTTGCTGGCCCACTGGCCTGCTGGTTCCTCTGCATCGTCAATATAAAGGTGGTGAGTTGTCGACAAAGCCGATCGGACAACGCTCGATGGCAGGTAAAAGCGGCAGGTAACCACCCTGTTGTGATTGATCGCAGCGTTTCCAACATGAACTGGTCCGCCCGATTCCGAGACTGGGACACGATTCGGTTGTTTCGTCCGCAATACATGCCTGCGTGCATTCCCCTCGACGGCTCGTTCCAAGCGCACTTGACTCCTGCACCAGTGCCTTGTGATTGCGCGCACCTCGATCCAGTGCCCGGCGAGCTGTCATCGTCGAAATGTGCCCAGCATCATCACGGATCCATTCCCTACCACCACACCATTATCGCGCCAACACGATCTCGTCCAACAGCTCTATATTGGAGATCTACGGACCACTCCGGCTGGCCACATATCAGACATGGAATAGTAAACCGGCAAGCTTGACGTGCATCGATCAGGCGGCTGGCAAGCTGTTGGCTCGCTCGAACTCATCAGGCGTCTTGGCAGTAATCTGGAGAGCGTGCACGCCGGCCTTGAGCTCGTCATCCAGGATTTGGTAGACCAGCTATGGTCGGGTTGCATGATGCAGTCATCAGCCGCGGGTCAGTGTTGGGTTGCAAAAGCAGATCCGGAAGTCGTCCTTCAGCCAACACTCTCAAGCGGAGCGCCGGTGATCTGATAAACTGCTCGAGTCAATTGGGCTGGTGGATGTCCCTCACCTTATGTCGTTGAAGCAGAGTCTGCCGGTTTCAGGTGACCGGCCAGTACCGTCGTATAATCGATGCAGAAACAGATGCGGGGGCGGGAGAGCTGTGAGCACAGAAGCATCTACGCTCGTGCTGGAGCAATGTCACCAGCCTTGCCTCCTGATCGATGCAAGATTGTCTGTCCAGACACTCAGTTGCAGCCCACCTTGCCCTTGAACTCGTCCGATGCCACCAAGACTCTGCAAAGACAAAGCCAGAGACCCAAGGATGTTAGCGGCGAATGGATGCGAGGCATGCGCCGGAGAGACAGGATATCGCTGCTGGCTGCGGACGCACCGGAAGTGGGTCTCGTTCGGCTTGAGGCCCTTCATTGCCGCATGGCCGGCGTGCTTGGAGCTGTCGTCGACGATCTCCAGATGCGAAGGTCTGAGATGGTCGTTCAGCTGCATGGACGAGACGCTGTCGGTGAGGCTGTCGCTGGCGACGGATGCTGTGATCTGAAACGGCGCTGGCCAGTGCGCTGGGCGGTGTGATGGAGGCAGATCGGGCGATGGCCATCCCGGACCGGTCCCGCCTCGCCCGACTCACCTTTTGGTGGATCTGGGTGTAGACCGGGCCTCCTGTGGTGGTGTTCATGAAGTTGTGCAAGAAGAGCGACGACTTGGTGGTGTAGGATCGGCCTGGACTTGCGAGCCGGCGCAGGAGCGGAAGCATGACAGCGGTGAAGGCTCGCATCAAACGAAAGCCCAAGCGCAGCCGCATTTCTTTGGGCGTGCTGTGGTGCGATCGGCCAGCTCTCCTCTCGGATCTGACGGCCTCCAACAGCAGCTTCGATCGCCCTCCGTGCGAGCGTGCTGTCCTTTCGGCGACCCCAAGCGTCACTCTGGGTTTCCACCCCTGCCCGCAAAGACTTCAGCCGCCCAATGGCATTACCAATCGATTCGCAGAATGCAACCGACGAGCAGATGCGGCGTCTCGAGTCGCTGGCACGTATGAGGTGCGAACTCTCGTCGCCGGATGCCAAGTGCTGTTCCGCCCGAGCTGTCAGCAGACTCCGGCTCGCAGATAGCAGGTGCACCGATCCAAAGAAACGCTCGGTCACAGCACCTATTCACGATGCCTGCTCGCCCTTGGCTCATGCTACGCCGTGGAATCGAATTGCTGCCTCTGATGAACATTTGGCAGGAAGAGAATCTCCCGGCTGTCTGAAATCAAAAAATCAATCTTTGTGGCCTCGCAGAGGCTGGAAAAGGAGGACGCCCTCCTTAACGAAATCCGCGCCGAGAAGCGGCTGCTGGAGCAGGAGCGGCTGCAGTTGCTCGCAACAGTTGAGCAGCTCGACCAGGATATAGCAGAGGTAGAGTCTCGTACTCTGCGATAGCGGCATCGTCGGCATCGTCGGCATCGTCGGCATCGTCGGCATCGTCTGCATCGTCTGCATCGTCGGCACCCAGATGCTGGATGGCCTTTGGTCATGAAACCCACTCACTGCTCTTCTAAAAACCGGAACACCCCCTTGCAGCTGAGTGCATCTGAGGACTCGCTGCAGACAATGCGGACAGAGACCTCCAAACAACTGGACACCCTGCGCGACGACGAGTATGCTCCGTTAAAGGAGAGGATCGACCAGGCGCGACAGAAAGTTGGGCTGTCCCGGCTGCCGAATCTGCAGGAGGAAGTGGAGGTTGAGATGCTCAGGTAGGTATGCCGTGGCATGTAACCATCGCCCTAACGCACCTGGGTGGATCTGTTGAGCTCCCCGCCGCCCACGCAGCCGATGTTAACTGTCGTCGTCTCATGCTTCTCCATTTGCGCTGGACCGAAAGCTACCTCGAGGAGCGGCGGAATCGGTGGCGAGAGTCCGGCATACTACAACCCGATGCGGCTGCTCGCTCGCCCACTGGAACACCTCCTCCATTGAGCCAGCCATCGTCTCCATCGGTATCGGCGAGAGAGCGACAAGGCAGTCAGTCGAGGTCTATTCGCAAGCGGAAGAAGTGAGCGGCTCCCATGCCTGTCCCATCACAACCACGATCTCAGCGGCTCGAGGCCCTTTGCCTATCCCAGATTCGAGTCAGTGTGTCGTCTCTTCAGCCTTTGTTTCAGCGAAAGCGTTACAGCGACATGGATGGTGGCAAATCAGCTGAGATGCCCTCAGACATATTCGTGCATATCGAGTCGCCAAAGCTACGGGCTCTCCAGTGCCGATGCCGGCCGATACACGATAATCCAAGCCATACGCACCGCTGCGACGAGATACAGCTGCAACATCGACTCTCGTCCCCAACGCTGCGTTCCCCAATAAACTGGTTCATGGACCATGAACAGAATGTACTTTTGTCAGTTGTGAAGCCCTTTCCTCTAATGGGCTGAGAGGCATCCAGTATCGCGAGGTGGACCTTTTCAGTTGAAATATTCAGTTCTAACATCGGTGGGCCTGGAGCTTAGTCCTTAGAGATGCATTTGCTCGACCAGCCTGTTGCACAGTCGCTGTGAACGTGGGAATGCCAGTGGATCAGATCAGCCCGGGTGTGTTTGCACCAAAGAGCCACGGAATGGTGCCAGAGTATGAGCGCATGCAAATGGAGAGGCAATGGCTGCTGTAGAGCACCGGCGATGATGGGCAGTGCGCCGAGTAAAAGAACCTGGATCCGGTCGACTTAGATCCGGATATGCCACCGGCTGCTGCAAGACTCACCTTGTGAGACCATATGGTTCCGCGGAGGCGCTTCAGATGCAGTCCAAACAGATTGACCTTGGGCACCCGACAGATTTCGATCTCAAAGCGGTTGCCTCGCTCAACCGATGTGTCCTCGCACTGGTACACATGGGCCTCCTGATCGAGTCCGGAGAGTGAAAAGCTCATAAACACATGGACTGCAACTCGAACGGCGGGCCCAGTGGTGCGAGCGAGCGAGATGTTTGACTCGCATATAGCGCACTTACCGTTCGCTCATAATCTGCCGCGCGGTTTGTTGGGTTGATGTTGGCATGACGGTCGGCATGGTAAGACTCAAGCGCATCAATGGTGGCCGGCAACGTCCGACAGACACAAACGTCTCACTTACAGATGTGGTTGATTCTCAGAACATGCTCGATTTCATTGCAGATATCCTGGGCGCTCTTTGACGATGTGGTATAGACATTGAAGAACCTGTGGCGCCACAGACATGAATTAGACTTGGTGCGGAGACCCTCAGACGACAGGACAGACAGCAGAACAGCTGAGCGGCAGAGAGCATCTTGGTTGGACCGACACACTCCTAAAGCCATCAGATATTGCAGCGGTCGTTGGATCGGCATTACAGTTTAATCAACCTTACCCTTTGATGAAGCGCAACTCAGTCTTCTCTGGCGGCGCATTCGCACATGCCTGCTGCAGGCTGCTCTGTGGCTCCGCTATAGTTTCGTGACTGGTAGTTGTCTTGCCAGCAGGATCCTTGCCGGATAGGCTGCGGTCGCCGTATTCGACTTTGCTGCTGCGGTAATGACTGTAGAGTTGGTGAAAGTGGTCCATGAACGATCCGACGGTGCTACTACTGGGTCCCGAAATCACCCTAGGCCGTATCGTGGTTGATTTCGAAAGCACCTTTGGCGGCGGCTTGGTTTCGGAGGTGATCGTCGTTGAGCTGCCAAGATTCTTGGAGCCGTTGATGGATGACTGGCTGATCTCTCGTTTCGAGCGAATGCGCTCGCTGATGTTGCGATAGGGCATCCCCCATGAGGGACCCGGCTGAGCACCACCGACATCAGATGGATCCGAGCTGAACTTGAGCTTGGCGCTCGTCAGCATCTCGGGCTTGCGGATCATGGTAGTGTCGAGCTGCGGCCGCACCGTCGTTCCGGCCCGACGCATGTCACGAAACTCGTCTTCTGCCTCTTGGACGCATTCGAGCTCGGGCGGGGTTTGCGCTTGCTCGTAAATGTCTTCGACAGTCTCGCTCGGGTCGGAGTGAACCGCCAAACCCCGCCGCCGCCGCATCTCGTCAACCAAATGATAGAGACTGGTGATGGGATGGAGCCCTACGGGCTGACTGAGCAACCGGCGGATCTCAGACTCGCTGATTCCGTACGAGACCAGCTCGGTGATACTATCGGGGTTGGGATCTTCGACGATAGGCGGGCGCGGCTTCAGGAAGTTATCGGGGATATGATCGAACCCAACGTTTGTCCAGCTGCGAGGAAGAGTGCATTAGTACTCGGCGGCATCTCGGCATGCTCGAGCGCATGGGAGATCGACGCACCAGTGACTCATCACTTCGCCGAGGGTTGCTCGTTGCTTTGGGTCGACCGTCAGCATCGAGCGGATGAGCGATGCTGCATCTACGACGCCGTTTGGCAATGTTTCACCGGGTGTCGATAGAGTTGCGAGGACGAGAGATGGATTGTTGCTGCCGTCAGTCCGGAACTGGATATGTTCCCACGGCCGATCAAGTCATCAAGCTGCAGGCGATCATCTGCGACAGCGTGGGGGTACCACCTACCCGGAGAAAAATGCGCCGGCATGGTATATATTCCTTTGGATATGTTGTCATAGAGCTCGCTCATCGAGGCTGCATCGAACGGTAGCCGACCAGAGAGCAGGGCGAACAGAATCACGCCGAGACTCCACACGTCGACTTCGGGCCCGATGTATCGGACCCCACGAATCATTTCTGGCGCAGCGTAGAAGGGCGAGCTGGCGGAACAGATGCGGCAAAGGCCAGGAGCGGCGAAAGGGACGTTGCTCAGCACGCTTCTATCAATTCTGTGGATTTTCTTTGAGATATATGGATATCGCTTACCCGCAATAGGTGTCGAGCGTTCGCTCACGATGGAATGTGTTTCCAAAGCCAAAGTCGATGATCTTGATGTTTTTGTTGCAGTCGAGAAGCAGGTTCTGTCCGGCATGAGGAGCACATCAGCATGCGCGATCAACATGCATGATCAGCATGCGCGATCAGCCTGGCTGGCTATGAGAATGCAGTTATTTCGTTCAGAATATCACAACAGAAACAGAGATCCCTGCTCGCCTACCTCGGGCTTCAGATCTCTGTGAATGACAGAGTTCTTTGGTCGGGCGGTGTTGGAGGCGCGGCGACGAATCCGAGTGAGAAACACACCAGTGAGCCAGCGCCATTGTATTCGCCTGAAAGCATGTACATTGCACAGTCTGTCATGCATGACTGTTCGCGCAGGCCGCAGAAGGCCATACCTGGTGGCAGTAGTCGACTGCAGATATGACCTGGCGGAAGAACACCCGAGCCTCTTTCTCCTTGACCATGCCGCGCGAGACAATGTAGTCGAACAGTTCGCCGCCGTTGGCAAACTCCATGACAATGAAGATCTTCTCGTCCGTCTCCATCACGTCCATCACCTGGACAATGTGCGGGTGATGAAGCAGCTTCATGAGCCGGACTTCGCGCTGGACGCTGTTCTTTTGCCTCTGTGTCTTGACATTTGCTTTCTCTATGATCTTGATGGCAACCTAGTTGGTCCGCGAGCCAAGCAAGCAGTGTTTCATTCAGGCTTCCCCTCGCCTCACGAAGACAAACTCGCTCGAATCCGGTCATACCCCCACGCCAGACCGCATGCGATGCATCAAGCATAGGTGTGGATCTGCTGGGTACCTCTTCTTTGGTGATACAGTGCTCTGCCAGCTTAACTTTGCCGAACGTTCCCTGACCGATTGTCTTCTTGAGGATATACGGGCCCACAGTCTTGAGTTTTTCGGAAGCGCCGGGGTCATTCTTGGATGTAGCTGTCGACGATCTGCCTCCAGCTGCTTCGTTGACAAGCTCTCGGCTTTGACACACCGTCGTGGGAACCGTCGTGGGAACCGTCGTGGGAACCGTCGTGGGAACTGTCGTGGGAACTGTCGTGTTGACCGAGCCCACGGCCGAAAGCTTTCCCTCAAGGGGCAGATCTTCTTCGACCGCTCGAGCACTCTCGGTGAGTTGCCCATCCTGATCCTGTGGCAAGGCACTCATGGTCAGAGGCGGACGCGTTCTCTGCTTATCTTTCCTGCCTCCCGCCATTGCCAGCGGCCAGTTGGCAATGGAGGCTGGACACCATGGCGCTTCTTGAGAAGCTCTCCGAAATCGCCATCGACCAACCTGGACGAGTGGCTGTCTGCTCTTCTCGATGAAGCGATCGAGGAGACCGAGTACATGGGCGCAGCTCTTGGAGTCCTTGATGGAGATGCAGCTTTCCTTGAGGAAGCCCATGAATCTGCTCCGCTGCTCGTGGGAAAGTCTCCTGAGCTCCTCGTCGAGGACCTGAGAGATGTATTCCGCTGATTTCATCATGGGGGCGGACGGAGATTTTTCTTGACTGTCCTCACAGCGGTATTCTCACGCAATGGCTTCGTGGCGATCCTGCTCGGTGAGTCTGCTGTCCGGGCCGAGGGCGGCATCCAAGACAACGAGGGAAAGCGGGTCGTACTCGTCAGCACGGACGAAGCGGATGGAGCAAGATCTGGTTTTGACCGAACAACTCGACTTTGCTACGTGTAAGCAGCAATTAAGCGCCATGATGGTGCCCCGAACAAGCGGGAATAGATGGTTCGGCCGCATCCCATCGAAGCCGGCTGGGGGGGGGCGAGCATATCGACGCGGCGACAGTCTCTTACAGGATTTACAATCGATACAACAGCGGGGGAAGCAGCAGCAGCAGCCCCCTGGAAGGACGTGTTGCCTGTGGCGGCTGTCGATCGACGTAGGAAGGCTTGTTTCCCGACAGGGCTGGGAGGAGTGCTGACCTCTCTCGGACATTTCGCTCCAACATTCCTCTCATCCGTCGTAGCGCTCGCCAATCAGCCACGCCCAATCTCCTGCCAATCTCTGTCTGACTTGAATGTACCGTCGCGGATTGTGCTGGACCGTGCTGCCCTTGGCACAGCGCTGCACCTGTTCGCCCCAGACCAGCTCGGCACATATTTTGCACGTCATGCCAACAATGCCAACAATGCCCACAATGCCCCTATGCATCCTACACAACCCGAGTGTTTGTGCGTCTCGTGGATCGAGATTGCTGTCGGTAACTGGCGGCGGCGATTGCGACGATGCACCAATGATCTCTCATTCATGAGCCACTCTGCGTGTGCTGTATTCTGATACCAACACGGTGCTCCGCTTTCGCGGAGATCTAGTCGACAGAGACCAGCGGTGGTGCATGCACGCTGCCACTACTGCGACTGCTTGAGCACCACAAAGGTGTTTTTGGAAAAGTACTCCGCAATCACGCCAAAGCGGTTCTCAGGATGTTCTTCGAGCTGCATTAAGCAGGGCAGCATTGGTTGGGACCGTCAGTTCCAGCGCTGACCAAATGTACAAGTGCCAAAGGATGCGATCCAGCCCTCGATCCGGCCCCTCGATCCAGCCTCTCGATCTGCCGCCATCTCGCGCAAGGCTCACCTGCTTCTTGAACACATCATGGCGAGTGGCGTTCCGCTCGTGCCGGGCCATGACGTCCCGGATCATCTTGTGCTGAGGACTGCATCGGGGGCATTCGGTGTCGCCATCGCCCAGGCAGCGCTGGTGGTAGCTGTGTTTGCACATAAAGTGAACGGTCGGCAGCTCCAAGGGCTGGAGACACGTCGAGCATTTGGTGGCTTGGAAGACCACGGGGCTGCGTACCGAGCGATTTAGCAGTCCTCAGGCGTCAGAAAGCATTTGAAACAGAGTCCCGCGGCCAGTAGGCTCGTTATTCGACAGACAGCAGATCAATGCCTGCCGCAAACGATGGGTGCGCCCAGCGATATGATGCAGCGATATCGTGCAGCCATATCACGCAATATCTGTCCGCACTGGCGGTCTTACTTGGTTTTCAGGTCCGAAATCTGCTGCCGCATCTTCTCGGTCTCTTCCTGGTAGCTTTTTGTCATTTTTTGATTCTGTTGGGTTGGCCGGAGATACAGCGTATAGGGGAGCAAAGAAAGGAAAGGAAAGTGCATGCACACGCAAGGTCAATGGCCAAGCCGACGATGCTAAGCAACGGAATCGGCGAACCTCCGTTGATCAATCGAGCACACCCAGCGCAGTGTATGGCGGCCTACTCACCTCTTCAATGATTTTGCGCTCCCGCTCGACGCGCTTGATCAGGTAGTCTCTCACCATGCCGATGGTGATGGTCGAGTTTTTGGCCAGCACTTGGACGACCTGCAGCGGTGCCAACAAGTTCCGCCGATCAATGTTCTCCAGAACGTTCAACAGCTCCTGCCGGTTCTCGATTGGCCCGGTGCCTTTCTCGGAGTAGTAGGAGAGCGCCAGCGTCCACAAGGTGCTGTCGGCGTCGCTGGAGACACGGATAAGGTTCGGTGTAGCCATGGTCAGCGTCAGTGCCCACTGGATGAAGCAATCACAAAGCAAGGCTGTAGAGTAGATAGCAGTAATCTTGGTACACATACCCAAACTTTGAGCACGTTTCCATGAGCGAGGCAGAGTCGCCGATATCCATGTAGTACTGGAGAATGTCGCGATACCTTGGGCAGAAGAGAACTGCGTAAATTGATATGGCCGCCATGAGGTTTCCTCAGTGCTCCAGTGCACCAGTGCTCCAGTGCACCAGTGCTCCAGTGCTCTGCCGTAGTGCTCTCGAGTCCCAAGCCTGCTCCGACAACCTACATTCCAAGGCGCTCGTACAGATAGAGAATGCCGGCGCGGAATTTGTGCGTCTTGCACAGGACGAGTGCGTGGTCCAGGTCGATCTGGGATTTGGGATGTCGCAGAAGGTTCATGGCCTTCTGCTCAAATTGGGCCTTTTCGTTCCAGTCGACAGCAGCCCCGGCGTTCTCAAGGGTCTATAAGTCATGAGTGGAGTGCCACCAGTTCAGACACGCGATTCAGAACCCCCGCAGTCACATCATGCAGGCTTCGGTAGCTCACACCACAATGCGTCCAGCCAACCTGCAATCGCTCGAACTTGGCCGACGCTACTTACAACCGTTTCGGTCGAGCCTTCGATGATTTGCGTGCAGTTGCTGACATAGAGCTCCAGGAGCGTGTGGCAGGCGATCCGTAGACTCTGTTCTTCCCCGTTTTCCTCGAGCGGGACTGCCGTTGATGAATCGGCCGCACCCGAGGCGGTCTCGGCGCCACCGGGCCATCCGGACTGGCCTTTGCGGGTGTCGCGGGATGTGATCCCCCACCGCTTCTCCAGAATCCGCTCCAGGAACTGCAGACACCACTTGCTGCCCTTTTGAACGAACAAGTGGATGAACCGCTCGGGGGCACACCGCTGGACTCTGTCACCGTCGCCGCTAACGAGACCAGGGTGACAGAGCCTGACGATCAGGTCGGTCATCTCCTGCGGGTAGTACTCTAGCAAGGTGGTGCCGTATCTGCCGACCTCGAGCTCGGCGGCTTCTTTGTTGAGCACGCCCAGATACTCGACCGTCTCGGCGTATCGCTTCAGGTCTTCAACCATGATCTTCATGTACCAGTCGTGCGCCTTGAACCTTTTGGCCAGCCAGAGCGCATGCTCAAAGTGGCCGCCCTTGCGACAAACGCGGATGGCCGTCTGCACGTCGAAAGCAATGTGGTCCTGGTCGTTCTTGATGAACTCGTCGAGCTTGCGAATGTCCTTCATGGTGGCGTAGCAATTGAGCAGCAGCGTGGTGTGGTCCTCGCTGGCAGCACCTTCTTCGTGCAGCGCCTGCAGATACGACGCCAGGTTGTGCACCCGCTGTGCGTCCAGGAACTTGATGATGACATAGGATGCCTCCAGCTGCGGTATTGTGTGCAGATACTGCTGCATGGCAACGTCATATTCGCCGCGAGCATACAGGAAATCGCCGTAGCGCTTGTAGATCTCGACCAGAATCTCGTAATCAAACGGGTTCTCGGACTCCGCGACGCTCGCTCGGGCCGTGGGGGCGTGAGACTCTGTTGACGGCTTGGGGGTGGATGCGATGTTGATGGCAAGTGTGTACATGTCCTTTCGGAACAGGATCTCAAGCTTTGTGGGCATGGGCTTCTCGATGAGACGGTAGACCTGAGGGCAAATGCACAATGTCACCGGACAGGCTATCAGATGAAAAAGTCGCACGAAGGCACTAGTCCAGGAAAGCATGCGCGACAAACGGATAGCCTGGAGACTTGCGCGTGTCCACAGAGAACAGAGTCAAGGCTACCTTGCGCTCGGCTGTTACTACAAGCAGCTCGTCCCACTGGCTGACGATGTTGGTGATAGGCACGCCCGACCCGAGCTCATCTGCAGCGAGGCTGGCTGAGCCGAAGGAGCCTGTGAAGGCAATGAACTTGTTCTTTAGGTCATAGATCGTCAGTACTGTGCCTGGCTCGCCTTGGACAAAGTTCTCGACATCAGGAGCGTCGGGGGCCTGGACGAGGTCGGATTTGATCTTCTTGGCACGGGATACGACAGCCACATACTGCCGGCAAAGCGTCATCGATGTCTTGAAGTCTGCAAAGCGTGAGAAGGACACAAGACCGTGAGGACGGCGACTCACTCAGGCAAAGGAGGCCGTCCGGGTGCAGCACAGCTCTAGCGAGCAAAGGCAGACCTTCGATGATGTAGCAGGGACCACGTCCGTCGATTCCATACGAATATATAGCCTGAGAAGCACACGATCAGAATTGTAATCCGGCGGTCATTCGCAGCCCATGTGCCACCTCTCTGCCATGTGGCCGGACCACAGGCTCAGTGTACCATTGCTACTGTTGCTGCTGCTGCTGCCGGCGGTGCCGAGATAACCCAAAGTCGCGCCGACTCACCTCGTTTTTGCCTACAAGAAACTCTTGCATTGCGCTGTGCGAATATGCGATCGTGCAGCCAATGTCGGCGCCAAAGTCGTCCACAATTTCCTACATCCACAGATATGGCGTCAGGTGGGTATATCTGTTTGGCATATCGGCAAGCATTGGTGCGCACTGCCAGGCCGGAGCTGTGGCAGTCGTTAGGGCCCAGGCAGCAAAGATTTAACCAAGAGGGCCATACTTTTGTGTCCTTCCCGCCTGAGGTCACCATCTTGATGATGGAAGCCAGGGTCACGATAAAGAGCGTCACGACCTTGCCTTCTTCGTGATATTCCAGACCTGTCGATCGGGAGATCCACCACCCCCCGCAGGCACATCATCAGCTCGCGGTCGACGGCAGCAGCCGAGCATTGTGCCCCGGCATTATGTTCGACATCTTGCGCTGCACCATGCCTCCACCGACTGACGCCGCATTCGAGAGAAACCATGGGCAAGCGACCGTACCGGTAATGCACTCGCTGCCTTCGTGGACTACCCGATGCTTGGTGAAGCGATCGAGTGAGATGTCGCCACGCAGGATCATGACGACACCGTTTTCGAGACCGATAGCAATCTGGGCCAGGTTCTCGAGATAAGCCAGAGCCGTGACCTAATTGTCGATCGTAGTAGCGACAAATGGCGATGGTGATGGCGATGAGAAAGTAGCACACAATGCAGGTGGGCTTGCGCCGTCGCCGCTCTTGCTGTCGGATGGAGAGGGGACCGTTCGAGGTTCGTTCTTGGTTGGTAAACCAGCACCAGCAGGCTTCCCTTGCACTTACGGGGAAGATCTTGTTGCTGTACTGAATCTTTGCCGAGCGGCTCAGGACCGGTGCCTTGGACTGCTTGTCGGTCTTGGAGAGATTCCAGATCTTGAGGACCGGAATGTCGTTCTCGTCCTCCTATGTCGTCCGAAAGAGCATTACTCAACTACCGACTTGTCACTGCTGCAGACCTTGTTCTGGGCATCGCCGGCGCCGAGAGCTTCTGCAAGCACCCAAAGCCACCGGATGCCGTTGCTGCCGCTCGAGATGGGGTCGCTCGAGATGGGGTCGCTCGAGATAGGGCCGCCCGAAGGACACACACTGCTTGAGAGGCTAGGAGATGCCCCCCGTCGCTCAACCTACTCCGATCGAAAGCAATGCGTTCTTGCTGGAAATAAAGCGCATGTGGCTGACAGACCCTCGGTGGGCATCAAATGAAAAGATGGACGACAACGAGTGATTCACGATGAGGATTTGGCCTGAGGACAGTGTTGGACGGCAACAGGACCAGAGGCATGGCCGAGAACGAAGCGCCAGCAGAGCAAAAAGCCGAGTCAAGGATAACATCGCGCAGCATGAAAAGAATGAGAGTCGTCGTCAATTGCATATGCCTTGCATCAGACGCCCGCTGCACTCAGCAGCGGACTCGAGGGGAGCATGCAATCAGCCTGGACATCCGCGGCTCCGATTCAGAGCCAGCCCAAGATGCGCCGCTGGGCAGAAGCGATGCCGATCAGCTACAGGAATGGAGATGCACATGAGCTGTCGGGCCGCATGTGGATGCAGAAATGGAGGAACAGGAGAGGTGTACGGTGAAAGATAAATAAATATGAAAGGATATATCCATAGTAGATGTGGCTCCCGCCGGCAACCGAGGCCGAGACATCGCTATCGACCAGCCACGACGGCGAGGTCTCCTTGTTGTCCGCATCGAGAATCTGCTCCTTGGCGAAAAAGTCGAATCGACGCCACTGCGGGGTGGCCATGGTGGACAGCCGGCGTTGGGTGGGAGAGGAAGGGGGATTGATGGATGGGATGGGTTGGGTGGGTTGGATGGCCAGGGAGGGCTGGAATGCAGGCGGGCGCGCCACATCTCGCCGAGAAGGCGCTCGGCCGGCCCTGTGGTCGCCGTGGCAAACGAAAGCCGATGTGCACCTTCGTCCTGCACCTCCCGGGCGGCATGGCCGCTGCCATAGGCGAGAGACAGGGCCACCTGATGCCCGAATCGAGGCCCGCTGTCTCGCAGCAACGTCTCCTCCCCAATCACCCTGGTTGCTTGGGCTCGCCCGCTCCCGGTCATCTGGGCACAATCGCAGCAGCAGCAGCAGCAACCACAATCGCACCGACATTCACGGGGGGGGGGAGGAGGTACTCTCTGCGCTTTTGCTCCGTCGCATCGTTTTTTTTTGTTGCTGTTGCTCTATTCTCTTTGCCGCTCCCTCTCCACGACCTTTCTCGTCCGCTCATTCTGGCAAGGAATGTCCCTCGGATGGCAGAACTGGAAACCCTACGATGAGCTCCGGCACTGGAGGCCGTGGATTCAGTTCTACGACTCGTGGCTGGAGCAGTACCCGACCATCAAGGACTTGGCTGCCAAGACCAAGATATCCAAGGTAATGCACCTGTGGAGAGCAACATGGAGCAGGAAGCTGTTGTGACTGCTATTACGACAAGGCGGCTGCATGGTCCTGGGATGTCATGCATCGGCAGAACCAAAGTATCATGGAGACGCTGCACCAGCGAGCCGGCAGAGCCATGACACCTCATCCACAGGACAAGAAGTGTATATCGGCAGTCGCCAAGACAGGCTGTCTCCAGGACGAAAATGAGGCCAACAGCAAGCTCGACACTCGCATCGTTCGCATCACTCACATCGCCGTGAACCTGGCCTCGGGGTTTCCCACAGGTGTCGTTGTCCGTCTTTATGAAGCTCTTGCTGGTGCTGACGGCCCTGACGCCGCTCTCGGGATACACCACGACAGCGATCGGCCTTCTCTATCCATGCTTCCGAACCCTGGAGGCCATACGCTTGGGCGACGTCGAGGAGATGCGCCTGTGTTGCATGTACTTTGTGTTTTTCGAGGCACTGAGGCTTCTGGAATGTCTGGGAATCAACAGCATGTTCAAGCTCTGGAGGTGGTTCAAAGTGGTTGCTTTGATGTGGGCATTTCTTCCGCAAACAAAGGTAGGCAAGATGGCCTCTCCTTCCTCCACCCTCGCTGCGACCATCTGTCGTCTTGGGTGGCGCTGCGGATATGGCAAACAGTTGGGTTTGGGCTCCGCTGGTTTGGTCATGACGCACCTTCATCTCCACTCATAAGGGAGCGCGCACCTTGCTCAACTGGGTGATGCCATACTTTATATCCTGGACCGAAGTCAAATCACCGCCCAAGTGAATCACCTCATCAAGATAGACCGCCATCTCAATCGATGGAGCGTGGAAAGCGGGCTCAGTTCACTTTGACACCGGCCCGGTTCAGAATAGATTGCACGCATTCGAACAGGGATGGTCGTTCGGGAAGGAGGTACACTCTTAGATTCAGCACCACTGAGCTGTCGCTGCTGGTTGTGGAAAGCCCGTCGCGGAAATTGAGAGAATCTGGGGGATGGAGTGATTGGCCTGCACACAGCTATCGTGTCTATGGGCAGCATTCACGCCGCGTTGGGTCATGATGGTGGTGAATTGAACTGGGGCACCAGAGTGCAGTGATGTGGAGATCGAGAGTGTGGCGGATGGTCATTGCCGTTGATGGATGGGTGTGTGTATTAGGGATCCAGAGAAAACTGGCCATCGGCTAAAGGCAAAGCGCCCCCGGTTCATAGAGTACTAGCGTAGAGTAATAGGTGCGATCGAGAGGAAAACAACAGCAAAAATGAAAAACAAGAACAGAAAGAAGAGTGAAGCAAAAGGGAAAAAAGACTCAAAGCAAAATAGTCATGTTCAGCAGTGGCACAAAAAAAAAAATAGAACGGCGGACGGAAATCGTGAGATGCCCAGATCCGGTCCTTAGACACTCATAAGGGCGATCGGGACAACGTAGAGCGGGAATCCAGAGCAGCTATGAGAGTGAGTGTGGGTAGATTCGACGATCGGGCAAAGTACGACGGAGTCCATGGGAATGGTTTCCTGGGAATGCTTGTATAGAGCAGAGGCCGAGACAAAGTACAAGTACAAGTGGACGGTAGGAACAAGCTTGTACCGAGCGGGAAGGTCAGGTCCGTCGACTCCGACACAACCAGCGAAGCTGATGGTCATGGCCGAGAAGGCAATCACACAGACGAGTCGGCGACGCGGGGTTTCAACAGCGTCCACTTCTTTGAGAACGGCCGGCTCGAAGCAGCTGAGGGCGACTTTGAGGGCAGGCCAAAGACCCTGGACTGGGACGACAGCTGGGCCACCGGCTCCTCGGGGCTGGCGCTGCGAAGAAAGATGGCCTTGAGAGACCCGGTGGATGTCCGGCGCGGGTTTGGAAGCAGCGAGCGCTGTTGAGCCTGCGATGACGTGGGCTGGAACGACACCCGTGGTGGGTTCTTTGAATCGGACGGGGGCGGCACTGTTGGACTCAGAAGAGGCGCGGATTTGGGAGAGACCAGTGCCGACGACATTGGAGTCGGAGGCCAGGGCGATGGAGGCGGATACGGACTTGCATTGAGGGTGGGCGGCGACGGCTGGACTGTAGGAGCCGCAGGAATCGCAGACGAACTAGGAACGGGTACTCTCAGTGAGCCGGGGAAGGCTTTGCTTGGTGTAATGGCGGAGGCAGGTGTAAGAGAGCCGCGTGGAGTGGGGATAGAGGGCCCGTTGGCGGTGGGGTCAGCAGCGAACGCCTCGTCGCCGGCATCGGGAAGAGGGTCGGCTGCGAGTGTTCCCGAACGCATCTTCTTGAGCGAGTCCCATTTGGAAAAGGTTTCCTTGGTCTTGGTCTTGAAGTCATCGAACTTTTTGAGGATCTGGCCGCGCGTGAGACCGACAGAGAACAGACCCTTGGTATCGGGCACCAGGTCGGAGAGTCTGGGGGGGTAGATGTCGATCTTGATCTGGCTCTGGGAGGCGGCGGTGGGCTGGAGATGGATCAGGCCTCCTTCGGTCGAGGCGGGGGACTCTTGGTTTGGTGACAGCGGCGAGCGAGGAAGATCGGGAGCGTCGATATAGTAGGACACGGTGCTGTTCGGGTCCTGGCTTATGGGCAGAATCGGCGTGAACTCGGATGAGGCCTTGAGGGTGACAGACAAATGTCGCTTGCGATAGGGCGGCGGCGGCGGCGGCGGCGGCGGCGGCGACGGTGTCGACGAAGGCCGGTCGACGGGCTCAACCGCCGTCAGGTCTCGGTCGTCGCTGGCACCTCCGCTGCTTCGGCGGCTATGTGGGTCGGAGCGTGTGAGGGCAATGGGCTGGTGGATATCGGTATCACAGTCCGAGTCGTCGAAGGCGGCATCGAAATCGTCAAAGTCGTCGGATTCGCTGAGGCTCCCGGAAACAGAGTGGGGGCTCGAGTGCGGACCAGAGGTGCCGTTGCGGATGAGGTAATTGAGCAGATTCTGGCAGAGGACCACCTTGCTGAGCTGAGCACCCTTGGTGGCGACGACGCTCTTGGCCTCCTGTAGCTTGGAGGCCGAGAGGATGGCCAGGTGGATGCCGAGAGGCAGCTTTATCTGACGCTTGCGCAAAGTCGAATGGGCCTGCGAGACGGGCGAGTCGACTTCGGAGGAGCCGTCGTCGCTCGAGTCCAGATAGACCTGGTCCACGTCCAGGCACGGATAGTCGAGACTGGAGGCACGGGATGACAGCGCAGGAGCAGGCGAGTTCGAGTCCGAGTCGCCGGGGCCAAAGGAAGACGACAGCTTCGAGGGCTGATAGGACCACACACGGCGCTCGACGAGGAAGGGCTTTTTCGAATCAACGGCGGCGAGCGACTCGGGCAGGTTGGGCGAGCGCGAGATGGAGCTGGGCGGAATGGATGGCGGCGAGCTGACGGGGTTCTTTCGCAGGGCGGTCTCGACCGAGGTCTTGCGTTCTATTCTGCTGCGTCGAAGCTCTCGACCGGGTGGAATGCGAAAGGGCTCGGGACTGGGATGTGGCAAACGCAGTGGGGTCGCGAGGTTGGCCCATTGAGGATGCAGATTGTGTGAGGATGCAGATTGTGAGAGAATGCGAGGTAGAACATCGACAGCGGGCTGCGAGTCGCTGGTGTGTGATGCGCAGGATGCCATGCGACAGAGGCAAGCCCCAATCACGGCGTCGGTCGACATGGATGCGATTCCTGGGGAAAGCAGTGACCTGGAGCCGGTCGTGGTGCACCGTCTTGTTGGGTTTGCAGCTGCAGGTCCGAGCCAGTATCGTCAGCGCTCTTGCTCACCTCTCTGGATCCGCAAACGGTTTGGATGGAGCCGGATCGTCCACATATCTGGCCATGGACATGATCGACAGACCCGAGGGAGTGGAAGGCAAGGTCCACCTGGCGGCGGCAGGGGGGGGATGGGAGACGAAGAAGACGGCGCTCTGGAGAGACGGCGACAGAGGACGTCGGCGACGCAGGAGGCGAGTTCCTGGGAGGGAGTACAACCAAGAAGAAGAAGAAAAAAGAGAAGGCGGAGCAAGAAGAGGCCAAGACAGGGGTTTGAAATGCCGAGGACGCAGCGCTGCAGGACAAACACGGGCCGGGCAACAGGGTTCAGGCAATTTGGTGCGAGCATCGCTGGATGGGCGGCATGGGACGCGGGACACGGACATGCCGCCCCGGGTGCGGGACGGATGGCGCATCTGCGCAAGAGGAGCGCGAGAATCGCCGAAGCACCCGTCCAGACGGCGCAATGGATTCATGCAATTTAATCATTCGGATGGTGTGATAGCGCATCCGGCGTAATCATTCGGACGGCAGCGCAACACAGCGCAAGAGAATGCAAGAGAATGCAAGAGAGTGCAAGAGAGTGCAACACAGCGCACCGTGGGAATGGCGTAGCCAGGAGGGATGGCGACGCGCGTGCGTCTGTGTGACGGCGTGACCGCGCGTGCTGGCTGTGTACGTTGCCCAAGTCCTGCTGCGCGCTGTTTCTGTGACGCGGCGTGCTGCCTGTCGCCCCCGGTGCTGCGCTCCTTTGCCCACCCCTCTGGCGCAGCCCACGTCACCCGCCGTCACACCCCACACGCCCCCCGCCACAGCACGCCGTCGCACACTGACACTGTGCTGCAGCACGTGCCGGCCACGGGTCGCTTGTGCACGGGACCGCCAGGCACGGCCTTGTTCCCGCTGTTGCTTCCCATGTCCGTCTGTCGTGACGTTTGCTCTCTGTCCACGAGACGCATCCGCCATGTTGTGCATCTCGATCCACAGGCGCCTTGGTCGTCCTGCCGGCAGAGCCATGCCGGTCCAGTGGAATCGCCGATTCTCGCCGGCAGCCTCGGTCTGTTGCAGTCGCCCACTTGCTGTTCGACCACGAGACCATCGCCGCTCTCTTTGGGCAGGCTCGGTGTTTGGCCAATGTCGCCATGTCTCCTGGTCATGCTCCCGTCTCCCATGTCCTCGTGTCGGCTCCGGCACGCTCCCTCGCGAATGCGCAATGTCCAGACTCAGTCCCTTGGATATATTCTCGTCGTGAGTGGGCGGGTGGCCCTCGCCCCGATGTCGCGCATCATCCTTCCCGTGCCGACAATGCAATCGCGGTATGTCATGGCATCATGTCCGACATGCCGCCTTGGCTTGCAGCGGTATCGCCCCCGGTGTTGCGCCATGTCGGACATGGGAGCCACATGCGCTTGCATGCACCGCGCGGGTCATGCCGCTCCAGCGCGGCCGTGGGCATATGAAAACCATCGTCTCATGACCCTGGTCATGACCATGAGCGCGCCACCGGCTTCGCCTCTCTTTCTCTTCATCTTCCAGGCCGCTGGAGTCGATTACATGAAATATTGGGTGATGATCTGTGATTGGAACGGTCGCGAGGTGAGCAAAGCAGGCTCGATGGAATGCACACCCGCATCCCATCCGTGTGTCCGTGGCCCATTACGAAGGCATCGACCGCTTATCCGTCGTTCGAAGATCGACCCTGGTCCCAACACCAGGCCAAACACCTCTCGGCCCTCGACTCGACCGATAGGCCGGCTTTCTGCCTCCGTCATCTCATTCAGCTGCGATACTCCTGTCGCTGTCACTCACTGGATTCTGGGCAACAGAGGGATCGTCGTCATTCTTTGGTGCCGGCTTGATGAGACCGCGTTTCTTCTTGGGCTTGAGCGGCTGTGTCTGCTGAGGAAAGCCGTCGCCCGGCTCGTCGCTGCACGCCGAGTCATCGTCGTCTGTGATCGTCTCGCGAGCCTCGCGCTCCTGGTCAGGACACGGCCCAAAGACATTGAAGTACCGCTCCAGCCCGGGAGTGATTTCGAGGATCGAAGCCATGTTGCCGGATCGGTAGCAGTAGTTTGGCGCCGACCAAACGGTCGAAAGCATGTCGTCAAACAATATCTGATCGGTGTCCGAATGTTGACGAGCGTCCAGCGCGAAAGAGTGTCCAGCGTCAGGAGCAGCGGTGACAGCGACGGTGACAGCGACAGTGTGTTCAGCACAACCCTTTGCACCCTGCATCGTTGTTGCCATCGATGGCGTCTCATGATTGCCCTGATATAAGCTCGCTGCACCACCGCAGCGCCGAGCCCCACCTGGTAGCCCTCCATGCACAGTTGATGTGCACGGCAGATGTGCCCGAGTCCATTGATTTGCAGGAACCGCCGGGTGACTTCTTTGCCAAAGGTGTAGCCTGCTCCGCGCGGCGAGACTGCAAAATCCCCGCGCTCATCAAGGGTGTGGGGACCGGCCAGGATGGCGTTGGGCTGCGCCGGATCCGACCAAACGAGATCCGCCATAGGCCCTTCGTGTGGGATTTCTGTGAGTGAGTAAGTGAGTGAGTGAGCAATGGGCGAGGAATCATGGACCATGAGGAGCAGAGCGCCGCCGCCAAATCTGACCGAGATCCGAGGCTGAAGCAGATTTCGCTCGGAAACATTTGAGTGTTACCTCGGAATCGGTCAATCACTTTGATTTGATCAATCGAGTGCAGCGACGGACTCAGCCCTGCAAAAGACCCGTGATGAGATTCGTTGCTCGCTCAGCTGGCTCGGCCAGCACCGCCTGCGACTGCGATACCCGTCTGCCGACCCGCCCTTGCCTCAAAAAGCTCTTCGACCTACCTCCGTGAACGCAGAATATCGCATCATCGATGACCACGGAGAGGACCAGGTAATCAAAGAGATCGGTAAAGTAGGTCCACACGTTGGCGTTGCCGTACTTTTGATGGCACTCGGCATAGAATCCGTATTGCTGGGGGAGGGAGAATCGTTGGAGACATGGCGTCATTAAGCTGCCGGAGCCAGAGATGGGTTTCTGCGTGGCTGAGATGTCCATGTGAATCCATGGCGGCCGGTTGCGAGACTATGGCTTCGGGCTGGCGAAGGAGATGTCCGGTTGATCGCCTACCTGGGTAACGGTCCGGCTTTCGTGGTTGCCGCGGACGAGGGTGACTCGTTCGGGATATCGAAGCTTTAGACAAGTCAGGAGCGTGATGGTCTCGATCGAATGGTGGCCACGGTCAACATAGTCACCCAGGAACACATAGTTGGTATCGGGACAGTAGCCGCCGATCTTGAAGATCTCGAGGACATCATGGAATTGGCTGGATGAGGGTGGCGGCAGGGTGGTCTGTCAGCATCAAGCTGGTGAATGTAGGACATGTTCAGGCTGTCCCTTGGCCCCCGGTAGGTTTTTTGACCGACTGGCTTTTGGATTTGTCTGCCCTTTGGTCCGGGCCGTCGCTATCTTGGTTGCCGTTTGGGCCAGACCATCGCTTGGTCCAGGCTGTCGTCCTGGGCAAGTCTATACTGCCCACATCGTTCTTCCCGCCCAGCCTGTTGTGTTGACCATATCGGGTCGCTGCTTTCGCTCTGCCCAACCCGGCCAAGGCAGACTCACCCATGAACGTCGCCGACGAGAGTGACCGGTGTCGAGACGTATCGGACATTGCCCTCCTTGATAAGCACCTCCTTGGCCTTTTCGCAGACGAGCTTGACGGCGTGCTCCGACAGCAGCTTCTGGTTGTAGAGCTGGCTGATGAAGGCGTCCAAGTCCCAGCCGATGCCCTTGGTCATGCTGTTTGGGTGAGGTGTGCGTGCGGCCTGTTGGATTGGATGGGGTGCAGGAGGATCGGTGTCGGCCTCGGCCAGACGAAGGGGTGGTTGGCGGACCAAGTCCAGCCCGCACGCGATTGGCTGGCGAGCGCAGCGGGATCTGGCCTTTGAGCCGAGCTCTGCGTTGGCCAACAATCCCATGGATTTGCAGGATCCAGGACGGCTGCTGCTCATGGAAATCGGCCGGATGCATTCGGATCCGTGCTGCCCAAGCCATCTCAATCGACAGTCGACGGAGACGCATCGCTCTCGGCAACGATACCCAAGGGCATGGCACACTTTTCAGAGACAGTTGGGCTTGAGCTGCGTGTTCGTTTCAAACGGGCCATATGCGATAGAGACCAACCTTCGAGTGGAGAGTATGGCGATGGTCATGGCCAGCGTGCAATGCTCTGATGCAACGAATCCAATGTGTCCTGCGGGTCACTGCATTCGCCCAAGACATGCCGGGACATCCGCAGTCGTCGCCCGGCACATCGGTCCCCTCGCCCGCCATCTCGGCCCCGTCGCCGGTTGGCCGGCCGGTTGTGGGGTCGGGCTCTTGTTCCCCCCGCCCACCCTTTTCTTGATCATCATCAGCCCTCTCTTGATCATCAGCCGGCCTTTTTTCGCTTATCGGCTATCCCTTTTCAACGCCCCGTCCCCGGCCCTCTGCCTCAACTTGCACAGCCGCTCTCCCGTACCTGCCTCGACGACCGCCTTCGCGATGAGCGAGACCCATCCCCATCCGACTGCCGATGTCGACACCCAGCCCACACCCGCCTTTCGGACCAGTCGCTGGTGGCAGCGCGAATTTGCCCGGTTCCGTTTGCATTTTACTGCCTCCGAGATCAGTGGCAGCCTCGGTGAAGATCCAGTTCCAGAGGCCGTCTCAGCAGTCGTCTCGCAGACATGGCGCTCGGTCCTGCTTCCCACTCACTTCCCTTGACGCACTTGACGACGTTGCTGATGCACCTTGGACTCTCTCTCTCTCTGGCCCCAGGCGATCTCGGCACCCTGTTGCCTATTCTGCTTGCTCTGTCCAAGTCAAACCAGACCTCGCTTGCGGCGTCGCTGATCTGGGGTGGTCTCTACAATATCGTCTCGGGCTACATTTTCAGAATCCCTGTAAGTCCGTGGCCTCAGCGCCGCTTGACTCGCCGCTTGACTCGCCGTCACAGTCCAGTGCGCCTTCGAATCGGCTGCAGTCTCGCATTCGGACTTGAGACGAACGGTGCCCGCCACCAGCCCATCTCACAAGTGCCGATGACATGTCTGTTCACATGGATCCGCTCGATTCTCACTATTCCCCGTATCGCTGCGACTGCTTCCAGATGTGTGTCCAGCCCATGAAGTCGATCGCGAGTGTTGCCCTCGTCAGCAAAATGACTCCGACGCAAATCGAAAGTGCAGGACTCTCGGTCTCGGCCATCATCTTCCTGCTTTCGATCACCCACACCATCACCTGGGTCGCCCACCGCCTTCCCACCGAGCTCGTCCGCGGCATCCAGCTCGGCACCGGGCTCAACCTCGTCCTCAACGGCGTTACCGCCGTTCTGGCTTCTCACCAATGGGCCTTTGTCAATGGCCAGTGGATGGACAACTTTGTCGTTGCCATCTTGGTTGGTGCCGCCGCCCTGTCTGTCTACAATGCCAGGCGCAATCTCTCGGCCCTGGGACTGTTCCTGCTCGGCTTGGTGTTTGCCTTGGTCGCCATCTGGGCACCTCCGGCCGGCACTCCTCCTCCCGCCAAGCCGGCTTTCACTCTCTACTCGCCCCAGGTCCTCGTGCCATCCTGGGACGACTTTCGCATCGGATTCATGACCGCGGGGCTCGGACAGCTCGCTCTGACGCTGCTCAACTCGGTAAGCCAAGCGATTGGCGTCCATCGGTGCTGGTCGGGTGTCGGCCGTCCCTGGTCTCGACTGTGGGAATTCGACATGGCGACAGTGTCCCCGATAGCAACGCACTACACTACTACTCGATCTTCTTGGCCCACCAGACCTGCTTTCGCGACCATGTCTGATACTGACAAGCCTTCATGATCTGTCGCCCAGGTGGTTGCCGTGTCTCGTCTCGCTGACGACCTGTTCCCAAACTCGAGCGATACCCCCGTCGCCAGCGTCAAGTCCATCGGCGTGAGCGTCGGCCTGTTGAACTTGGTCGGCTGCTGGTTCGGCTCGGTCCCATACTGCCACGGCTCCGGCGGCCTCGCTGCCCAGTACCGGTTCGGCGCACGCTCCGAGGTCAGCATCGTCATGCTCGGCATCTTCAAGATCCTGCTGGGCCTGTTCCTTGGCCAGTCCCTGGTTGGAGTTCTGGATCAGTTCCCACAGTCGATCTTGGGCGTCATGCTGATCCTGGCCGGCCTTGAGCTATGCACCGTCATCAAGGACCAGAGCTTCGACCTGGCCGCATACGACCGCACCGTCATCAACGACCGCTTTGTCGTCATGTTTGTTACCGCCGGAGGTGTTGTCGGCTTCAAGAACGACGGCATAGGGTTCCTGATTGGCGCCATGGCCTGCGCGCTGCTCTATCTCCAGCAGCGCCAGCGCCAGCGCACCCTGGCCAAGGCCAATGCGGATCTGGGTGCATCAACCCTCACCGAAGGCGGAATCTAGTCGAACTCGAGCGCAATTTGGTGTATGCTACGCCGGCGGTGTTGGCCGGCCTCTGTCTTGACCTGCGAAGCGGGCCAATACAAACGCTGCCGAGGCACTTGCCATGCCGGATCCTTGGATGCTTGTATGTCTGCTTGTCTGTAGGTCTGCTTGTCTGTATGTCTGCACACCGGGATAACTGCATAAACGGATTACATTGATATTTGTGTCCTCGGGTGGCTCGTCTCAGGCCCAGCGAGACCCAGCCACCCCGTCTGGGTGGGCCCTGCTCTTGCATCCCGCTCGCCTCGACACAACGCTTCTCCACATCCTCCACACACACACACAGCTATACAAAACATGGACACCCGCCGGCGCAAGCAGCAACCGGCTTGACCCCGATTCGACCTTCTCCCAATGCACTCCATCGAGCACCTCAAGTAAGGACCGCCTCTGTTTCCGTCGCCGCCACCGCCCGGGAGAGATCGCCAGCGCCTGCTCCTCCCCTTATTTCATCGGGCTTGGCCGGCACCACAGCCATGCTGACGCTCGGGCTCTGCATCCTCTTCCCTCCCCCTCCCCCTGTCCTTCGCCAGACGAACCTGGGATGCCTTCTGGCGGCAGCCCAACCTGTCCGCGGGCCTCCTCAGGGAGCGAGCAAAGTCGGGTCAAATCACACCGCTGGCTCTGAGAAGCCTTTACTGGAAGGTAGCTTGCTGAGCCGTCCCCGGCCGTGAGCGGGTCCGGAGTTTGGTGCGGTGGTCAAGCTTGGGTTGGCCCAGGACAGCACCCTCTTGAACTCTGCACTCTGCACACCAGCACCTGGCCTAGATTCACCTTTGGATGTTCTCCCGCGAGGGCATCCTCGATGTCGACCGAGCGAGCGGACGGGCAGCTCGGCACCACGGATCTAATCAGTCCTTTCGTCGCCAAGATTTTCTTGGAATATCTCCCGAACCTGAACCCTTTGGCCTGGCCCGTCGTCCTCCAGAAGGAGCGCCGGAGCTACGAGGACTTGAAGAGCCAGTTCTACTTTGACCCGAACAAGGAATCGGGCGACATTGCCAACAACAACCCGCTCAGCGACCAAGACGACGTGAGTGCCGGCTGATTCTGTCGCAGTCTGGGCTAGCCCCGGACCAAACAGCGAATCTCCAGAGGGATGCCTCCCTGCTGCTCTAACTCGCCTCCTGACTCTCCCGGATCATCTCGATTTCCTGGATCCTGGATCATCTCGATCTCCTGGATCCCGAATCCTCATCGCTGCTATGGGCGGATCGGCCTTGGGCTGCCTGGCCATGCAACTCTCGGGCCAACTGGAATGTGGCTACAGTCGCCCTGGGCCCGTTATTTCCAGGACGCCGAGCTGCAGAAAGTCATCAAACAAGATGTCGAGCGAACGTTAGTATCTTTGGTCTTGCTGCTCGGGCATTTGCTGTCCTCAATGCCTGGGGCGCTCTTGCCTTGGTCGACACAGATCGAGCACGCAGAGCTCGCCTTGCTTGTTAGCATCTACGGGGCCGGCTACAGTCCTTCGACTCCCCCCCCCTCATCGTAACTCTTGCTCTGTCAAACTCTAGCTTCCCCGACCAGCCCTTCTTCAAAGAGCCTGAGGTTACCGCTATGATGTGCAACATCCTGTTCGTCTGGAGCAAAATGAATCCGGACGTCTCGTATCGACAGGGCATGCACGAAATCCTGGCCCCGGTGCTCCTCGTTGTGCACCACGACAAGGTCGAGCCCGAGGCCCTGAAATCCGGGTGAGTCTGCTTGGTTGGGTATCGTGACAGAGCCGGTACGAGAGCGTGCATGAGTATAATCTCGCAGGCTTGGCACTGCAGCGATGCTTTTAGGACTCTGTGGCTATACCCCCCCCCATTCAATCCGTGGCATGCTGCAGTTCGCTGGCCATGTCGATGCCTTTGGGGTGGCAGGAGGCAGCTCAAGACCAGAATCTTGGACGAAATCGCATCGCGCCACCAACCCGACTGACCCACCTGTTCTACCAACTGCCTCAGCCTGGAGCCCATCATACACACCGTGTTCGACTCCAAATATGTCGAACATGATGCTGCAGTCATTTTCTTCCGCATCATGAAGTCGGCGCGGTCATGGTACGAAGTTGGCACGGATGCTCAGCAGGTTGGGCCCAAGATGGGCAAGTACATCAACGAGGTACGCCCATTGCCACTGGCAGTCGCGTGGCAGCTGAAATAAGCTGGTGTTGGCCTTGCTCTTGCCGCCTCAGTGGTAGCTGTCGCATCTTGGTGCTAAATCGCCCTTGACTACGAAACCATGTCGACAACCCGCGCCGTCGTTGCAGCCCAAGGTTCTGCCTATTGTGGCATATGCAAAGAAAATCCAGAGCGATGATCTGCGCATTCTCGACTACGATCTGTTCTCGCACCTGGAAAAGCTCAAGATTGAGCCCCAGCTCTATGCAATGTAGGTGCAGCGGTCAGGGACTCTTCCAAGAGACATAGCATCGTCGTATCGATGTTGCATTTGAATGCGGTCGCTCATCACCCCAATCCATCTTTTGTCTGTCTTTCCAGGCGCTGGGTCCGCCTGCTCTTCGGCCGAGAAGTCACCTTTGCAGAGCTGCTCCTTCTTTGGGACAGCATCTTTGCCGAGGATCCGGGCCTTGGACTCGTTGAATGGATCTGCGTCTCTTTCCTGGTGACCTTCCGGAACGACCGTAAGCCGACTATGCGTTGCTTCCCCAAGCAGATGATGTGCACTTGTTTTTGATATCGATGGCGTGTTTCCTCATGACCTACTCTGCCACCATGCGCTTTGATTGCCTCAGTGATTGCCTCGGACTACTCGGCTGCCCTCTTCCGCCTGATGAGGCTTCCCTCGCTGGAATCACAAAACATCACCGTCCCCAGCCTGATCTCGACAGCTCTTACGCTCCGTGCGCGATACCTCCAAAAGGCAGCTGTCTTCTCATCTCCCGCAAACGTCCCGCCCTCACGATCTTCGGGACTGTTGCCCGGAAAGCCCATCGACCCACCCGCGCGCCCATCATCCCGCAACCGTGTCTCGCAGCGATGGGGCCCAAGCAACGGCTCCGCCTTTACGGACCCACTTCGCGCCTCGGATCCGCTCCTCGGCGAGAGCTCCACCCGGGGCTCGAGCCCAGCTCGGGCTGTCTCCGAGATTGCGGATCCACTTGCGGTGAATTCCACAGTGGCTGGCGTCCCCGGCTCGACTCTCAAGCGCGGCTCGTTTACCTCGACGTCGACTCCAAACATCACATCTGTTGCATCGAGCCCCGTGCGCTCTGCCCGCAATTCGTTCAGCAACGAGCCCCTCTCGGCCCGGGTTCGCATCAGCGAGTTGGAAACCAAGCTCCAGGACTATGAGCAGAAGCAGGACGATATCCTCAAAGCTCTGCTCAGGATCCAGGCACTTGTGGGCAGTGAGCAGATCGAGCCCTCGGCGCGACTGGAGCGGATCCAGGGCGAAGTGGCGACGCTCATGTCGCAGTTTTCGGTTGTGTCGGTCGCCAGTCTTGGCCTCGAAATTGCCAAGGCCGATAGCGATGCTGCCCCAGCGCAACCTGGCTCCAAGGTCCCCCTGGACGATGCCAAGACCCTCCAGTCGGCTGCCAAGATCGCCCAGCAGGATGTCGAAGCTGTACCGCCTCCAAGTCAAGACGCCAAGACTCCCCAAGGCCCTGTTGCGGCAGTGTCCCCGGCACAGCTTGACGAACCGACAGCGCTCGATTCCGCCAGCCAACCCGAAAGCAACGCCCTCCTGGCAGATGCAAATGCGGGTGTGCCTGCACCTCCACAGAGCGCCTCTGTCCCGGCGGACGGACAGGAAACAAATGATGCTGCCAAGGCAACCGTGCCCACTGTCGCAAGAATTGCTCAAGCAGGCGCACCACAGGCAGATCCTCTGGCTGTATCTCGAACGAATAGCCGGGGATCGCTGTCGCAGCTTCTCGATCCTTTGGTTGTGGAGCGCCCCGCGACTCCCCATTCCCTCGAGTCCGCCCAGACAATCCAGGCTGCTACCAAGACCCCAACTCCCGCCCCGACCGCAAGCCCCTCGCTCTGGGAGCCCAAGAAGCTCAAGGGCAAAGGCTTGTTCGACAAGCCGTTCACGGGCGATCCGCTGTCAGCGCTGCTCAACGGAAACGATCAATCACTCTTCACTACGAAGCGCAGCGAGTCCCTCCGAGGCCGATCCAGCCTGTTTGGCGAGTCGTCTGAGGACTTTGACTTTAACGCCTCCATCGAGAGTCTCAACCGACACAGAGCACCAAACACAGGCCCTGGTCTGGCCAACGAGCTTCGCTTGAGCATCGATCGCCTTGGTGGCGAAGAGCCTGCGCATCCCTCAAGCTCCGAGATTCCGCTGCCGGTGCAGGAGTCGCCCTTTGCGGACGCAGTCATGGTGGCGCCCTTGGCCGGCTTCGAGCCGACGCCGATCAAGCTGCCGGTGGCACCCGCTCGCAGCAATGCGATCGTTGTGAATGCGGCTCATACCAACGGCGATGGCGCTGCGGTCTTCCAGGTCGAAAGCGAAGACGACGAGAACCAAGACAAGGACGAAGGCGAGAGCGGGGACGCAGAGCAGTCGACTCTTCCCCAGGGCAGCTTTGAAGTTGCGGCCGAGGGCTTTGGGGCCGATGCGGTGGGCTCGGGCAAGCCCATCATAGGTTTCGAGGAGATTGACGATCCGTGGGCCAAGCCATGGTAGGAGGCTATTGCTCAGAAGAACCAGCGGCGACGGACGTGTACGGTGGGTCTCGGTGCAAGGCAACTCTCCTGCGCTTGCAGCGGACTGTGCGCTCTTTTGGATGGAATACACAATGGCCATCCGTCCTGCGGAAGCAGTCCAGTGATGTATATGCTCGATTGGGATGGGTCAGTATCTCGGTGTTTTCTGAATATAGTGCTCTCGGTCGAACTTGCAGCCCTCATCGACGGCCATCATGGCGCGATGCTCAGTCCCGGTTGTCTCGTGTGCGGTGCTGCGTCTGGCTGTGGTTCGCCTTTGGTTTCAGAGGGCCTTGTTGCTGCCGATGCAATTGCTGTCGGAGCTGCGGTCGTTCGGGCCGCTGATACCCACAGAGAGGGGCGATCATCGTGCGAGAGCCGTCGGCACATCGACAGCGGGCATCCGCACTGCATCGGCACATGGGTGCTGTCGTCCGCTGATACCGACACAGCCACACCCCGTGCCCGCACGGCCACACACGGCACCTCTTGGCGCCGGCCGTCTTCTCGCCCGTCTCGTCCATCCACCTCGCCACTTGTCCTCGCCCTCGCCGCCAGCGGTTTCCCTCCTGCCATTTTCCACCTCATCTATCCAACAGCAATCCGTCCTCGTCGGCCAGCCAGCCACCTCCCCGCCCGCCCCCTTGGCCTTCGCTCCTGCCGGCCCGCATCCATCCGCATTCATCCGCCACTCTCTCTCCTTTCCAGCCATCTGCTACTCCACCCGCCATGTGGGGACGAAGCAACAACACCCAGCAGCAGCAGCAGCCGCACTTCCAGTCGCCTGCCATGCCCCAGTACTACCAGCCCCAGCAGCCCAACACCCCCGCCGGCCAGGCCATCCAGACGGTGCCGGCACAGCAGTACCGGGAGCTCGAAAAGTCATACAAGCAGCTGCAGGATGAGAGCCGAATGCTCCTCTCCCAGAGCCAGGCCCTCGAGAACGAAAACTCGTCCTTCAAAACGCAACTGGACGCCGCCCAGCAGAACTTTATGCAGGCCCAGGACCAACTCGAGGCCAGCGTCATCAACATCTCGAGCTTGACTGAGCAGAACGAGCAGTACCAGCGACGGCTCATCAATGCCGACAATCAGACCACCCAACTGCGACAGCAGATGGAGGCCCTCCAGACCGAGAACCGGAACCTCAAGGGCCAGCGCCAGCAGATCGAGACCGCCTCCGTTGCCCTCCGGACCGAAAAGGAGCAGGCCATCCGTGAACGCAACGAGATCCTCCGGCAAAAGAGCCAGGTCGAAACCGAACTCATCAATCTGCGCCTTCAGACCGCCCAGCTCGAGAACGAAAAGACGCAGCTGCTGAACGAAAAGACCCGGGTCGAGAACGAAAAGACCCTCATCGAGAACGAGCGCCAGCGTTTGGATGGCGAGCGCAGCTTGCTGCAGTCCGACAAGGGTCGCCTCGAGAGTGAAAAGTCCCACCTGGAAGCCGCCTGCGCCCAGCAGAAGCAAGCCCTCGATGAGCTGCAGAACAGCAATGTAGGTGGCTGGTCGAACGCTTTCTTGCGCTGCCTGCACCCTTGGTCTTTCTTGTTCGACGGATGCCGGCGAGGATGCCGGCGAGGATGCCGGCGAGGGCGTGGTAGACTCGTGGTGAAATACAGGATGGTATTGGCGCTGGTGGCTGTGAGGCGCTCTATCGAGAGCCAACTACCAACGACCAACGGCGGCCGCTGCCGCGGAGTCAATGTCGGACCATCGCATGCACCCGACACTCGCTCACATCCATCTGCCCTCTCATCGCCTCGATCAATCATCCACCAGAACCTGTTGCGAGACCAAGTCCAGAAGGGCCAGGAGCTGCACTCCAAGCTCACCCGCATCATCGATGAGGATCGCGAAAAGGCGATGGTCATCGAGAAGGAGCTGCAGAGCGTCCGTGAATCCCTGAAGGGTGCCCAGGAAGAATCCCTCCGGCGCTCTGAGTCGCTGGCGAAGGAGCTGCATGCCTCTAAGGCGGAGCTCACCTCCGCCCAGGAGATTCTGAAGGCCGACAAACTCGGAATCGAATACGAGCGTGTCTCTGGCGAGTTGAGACAGGCCCAGTTCGAGCTCGACCGCCTCAACAACGAACTCCAGCAACAGCTGGCCAGTCGCGATCAGTACTATAGCGGCCGCTGCCGTGAGGTCTTTGGGCGACTTGCGACCATGGAGGCCAATGAACAGCTGCTCCTCAACGAGGTGAGCCGCGTGAACAGCGTCAAGGAGGAGATCTCGAATCGCCTCAGTTCCTACCTCAACAACCAGATCGTCCCCGAGAAGAAGTCCAACAACCCCATGAACTTCAACAAGGGTACAGACACTCGATACAAATCTGAGCTTGCCAGAGTCGAGCTTGAGGTAAGGCCGCGAGGACTGAGTCTGTGGTGTGCACCCCGGGTACGACTGCGGCCCTATGGCGAGCTATTTTGATCGTATATGATCGCCCCCCGCAACGTTGGTTTGTGACCGGCCGCATACCCTGTGCTACCTCTCACCGACATACCCGTCTTGCCTGCCGTATCCTCGCTGCGACATCTTCAATCGTCTTTGCTGCAGCTTCGCGAGCAACTCGAAAAGTGCAACAAGGACATCCAGAGCTACGTCAAGGATCTCCGGGACAAGAATATGCAGATCTCTGAACTGCAGACCCAGCAGAACGATCTGATTGCTCGAAACGCTGAGCTTCAGGACGCTCTTTCGCGCCGCTACTAAGGCTGCCCGTGCGCCCCTTACTTCAGGCAGTAGCGGCCACAGCGTCGCCGAGCACACGTCATGTCATGCCATATCTCCCCAATGCTCCCTCCTTCAGCGGCCCATCGCCCATGCAGCCCGGCTCTTCGATGCACCGCCCAGTACTCCAAGTGATGGTGGAGCCAGGCTTTGATGTCGTAGCACCCCTGCCTTCCTCCACCATGAGGATGCAGACTCGGGTGATGCTGCTCAAACAAGTTGGTTTGGATACAGGCTCTGTTCATGTATGCTTTTGTTTTTCAGAAATGATCCTCATACATTATCCTTGAGAAACCCCGTGGGCAAGCTGCGGCATGCCAACGTCCTGCGAACAGTGCACATGGCAAACATCGATGCCAAGAGGCGGCGGCTCACTGGTCCGGAGGCGGGAGACATCGTTTCGTCGCGGGGTGTTGCAGAGGCGTTACCATCAATGACGAGCATTCTGGACGAGAGCCTGAGCCACCTCGTCCTTGCTCAGGCCAACAAGATTCTCCTCGAGCGGAATGATTGTCGATTTGAGCATGACATCTGGGTCCAGCTCCGGCCACGTCTGCTTGATAAGGAGCAGCAGCGCACTTGCAAAAGCTTTGTTGCCCTCGGCGTTGAAGTGCAACCCGTCGAAAAAGTACTTGGCCAGCGTCTCGGAGTCGTAGCTCTCGGAGGGACCCAAAAGCAAGCTCCAGGTGTTGAGGGCCACGATGTCCTCCTCGCTGGCGATATCCAGACAGGCCTGGTGGAAGAGACGGGTGCGCTCGTGGGAGCGGTCCAGCGGCACTTGATAGTCCTTGCAGAACTGCTCGTACATTCCATCGTGCATGGGCGGCGGCGAGACCAGCACGATACGGGCATCAGGGTGAAGCTCGCGCACGCTGGCAATCATGGCCTTGATATTCGACCGGAAGCGATCCAGTGAGACGTATTGATGCGACGTTTCGAGGGTAACTGCGTCGTTGGTGCCAAGGAAGATAACGACGAGCCGGAGGCGGGCGTGGCTCTTTGGCAGGATCGACGCCAAGGTCGACGGGAAGATGCGGAGACACCAATCGGTGCTGAAGCCTGCGGCGGGTCAGAGAAGCAGGCGCTCATTGGAAAACGAATCCACATCTCCTCGCACATCGGAGGCGATGGTGTGCTCGAAGGGCATCCGGCGGAGAAACAGGTGCGCAACCAGCGACAGGCACTCGGCCAAGCATCCACGAAGCGAGAAGCGGCGCAGACGAGGACACCCGGACTTACCGCTGTATCCGCGGTTCACAACGTCGACGCAGCGAACAAAAGCATGCGAGAACCGAGCGACCCAGCCGAGATTGTCGGGATTGAAGTTCCACTGCGTCAGCGAGTCGCCAAAGAGCAGAATCTGGTCAAGCTCGAGTCCGAACACTGGCGAGTCCATGGTTGATTGGGAACGAGATGGACGATGGGGAAGATGGGAGGAACGACTTGACGAAGGCAGACAGAGGCGAAATCCAGCAACCGCAGCCCGCGATGTGGTCGGGCATCCTCACCGAGGTCCTTGCTTTTGGTTTGGGTCGGATCGGATCCATGGGCAGTCAAATTTTCGCGACGGACCCTGTTGCAACCTGAAGGGACAGAGGTCACCAGCCATGGTCTGGTGCTCTTGTGTTGGGAATGCGCCTGGACAAACAAGCGCCCGCCCAGGGCACATGTCACTTTCCCCACGGATGCGATGCCGCATTGATAGACACCGCTCACCGCCCAGATTGCTCTGTTGTTCAGTACTCGACCCGTTTGCTTTGGAGCGACTGCAATGACTGTGCGTATATTCAGAATGGACACAGGAGCCCCAACAGTACAACATGCGATGCTTCATGAACTGGACGGCCTCATGGCCTGTGCTGTGCCGTCTTGGGCGGCGTTCGGTGTGAATCGAGATGCGTCTGGCCTCCACGTCCTCATCGATAGGCGCTTGATCTGGTACTTTTTGTCTTGCACCAGCGGTCTGTTGGGAATTTGGGCGACGGGTATCATACTTGGCCGGCCATGCGCTTTGAGGAGTCCGAGTACCCCGGTTAGTGCCCTGCGGCTTTCTTTGGAAATGGAGATGCGGGCGCTCACAACACATACCGCACTGGAATGGGAACTGGGCACAGAGCCGGTATGAGATACTTTCATGTGTCTGCATATCATGGTCGCTGCAACACCATCATCTGATCGAGACGCTGCTGCTGGACCCACCTTGCACATCTTGAGCCGCTCGACCATCTCGACGCATCTGCTTGTTGAGAGGCGATCTCCAAACATGATTGCCGACCTGACCGTTCAAGGACAAACTCAGACGGCATGCGATACGACACATTTGCCCACACCGAGCCAATCGGATATACATACCGACATGCCTTCGAGTTGAGAACTTCCATCAACGACCTCGGGCACGTGTGTGTAGATGACGGCTCGGCGTCAAAGCCATGCACGATCTGGACAAGTAGAGCCTCGATGAGCCCAGAGGTCCCAAGACATCGATCTGAAATGACCCGGGGAATGTGCGACAGGACCACAGCGTAGTCCGGCCGGCTATCAAACTGTGAGCGGGCAGTGCGAACTTGATAGACAAAGCCCCAGCGACGAGCATGCTGCTGGTGTCTGCGAAAAACTGGTTCCAAGGCTTCGTCGATGATGAAGGTACAAGGAATTTCGGTGAGTGGAAGCGACGGAAGACCGGCCAACTTGTCAGTGGTGTCTGGAGGGGCGTGTGGTCCCAAAAGCCCCAAGTCAGGCCAGTCCAGCTCGGAGAGCAGTCGCTCAAGACGAATGCGCTCATCAGCCGCATGTTGATCGATGATGACAATCGTCGATCCGGTGTTGTTTCGCCTGTGGACAACGCATGCAATAAATTTGCTGTCCACCTGGGACAGGACCTTGAACATCGCTATGTCGTCCTTGCGAAGCGCTTGGTCGGTCGGAAAGTGATACTGTGAGTTCACAAAATACGCTCCGGGCTCGTTGCAGGAGGGGGCTGCACTCTGTGTGGATAATGCAAGGCTCCGATCCGCTTGAATACGAGGACTGGCTGACGCTGCATCGATTTCCTGATAAGGATAGTGCAAAGTACGACGTCAGTCGACGGACATGCCAGACAAAGGGATGTCGTCGCATACCTCGAGAGCGGTGTTGGGCCTCCCATCGCTTGTCAGCGATGCGATAAACTGAGGAACGAGTGAGCTGCGAGTGGCCAGAGAAAAATCGAGTCTGGCACTGAGAAAGCACAGGGATGAATGACGCTTCTATCGAAAACAGCACGTCCTTTCATATAGCACATTGACATCCGGCTACTTTCTTCCACGGCCACTGAGATCGCAATCCGCCCTACTCTCTTCCGGACTCTGGTAGAGACATACTCGGATTTGGAATCGAGAACACCCCGACGGATAGCGCTGAAGGACGGCACCGTCTGCTGATAGACTCTCGACCGAGTACCGGCAGCAACTGGATTGGATATATCGTGGCCAGTGCGTGGAGATAATTGATACGGAGTTGGGTTGGTAGGTAGGGCTCGGTATGGCTTTGATGCCGACCACGCCTTGGTGGCCGCTTGGATAGCAGTGCAGATGGTTTCTTGGACCGCAAAGACGTCCTGGGACACAACGGATGTGCTCAGCTGCCGGCGATTGCACTGGGAGCAAAGCGACGTCGCGAAGAGTACATTGCAAATGCTGAGTCGCTCCTTACTGTAAACTCGACTATCTCCTTTGCAGGATCGAGCAGAAGATCGCATGTGTCGGCCGGACAACTGAGATCGAGCAGCCAGATGGAATAGAGATTACGGCGCTTGGCTGAGCAGGTATGATACGTCAGTATCGTATCCAGCAAGCGCCACTCGGTCAGGAGCCATTCATCGTGCTCATTCGATGCGGCCGACGCTCAGATCCCGGTACCTCCGTACGAATGTGTGCTTTGCAGTTGCTCTTCCTGTGTTCACGACAGCGCACCATGCAAGACGAAGGTATTCAAATGTAAGCTTGCGGCGGGCGGCATTGGTATAAGCGCGAACGTGGATCTGGACGTTGAATAGCGCAACGGCCTCGAACCATACCAGCAGTGAGTTGATGAACTTGTGCATGTCATGATTTGTAATAATATGCCGGTTGACGTACAAGTATTGATGTTGCTGGAGAACATGGCAATGTCAACGACACGGCATCCTCGTGCGGATGCAGCTGGCTATCCCAAAGACCATATCATATTGCAAATACCTTGGTGGGATATCCTGAGTTTCCAACAAATCCCTCAGCGCGGTAGCCATCAACTGTTACCCTAAAGGGCCGCAGCTGACATGGCCGGATGAACATGGCGTGAGGATGGACGACAGAGCTCATCCTGCGGCAAACTTATCATTTGGACTGGAATCGGCAGGCGCCACCTCAACTTGGCAGAAATTACCTCGGCGGCGTTGATGCCCGCCAGATGCGAAAAGCAGGCCTGGATGCTCCGTTGCTGTATTCGTTATGGCATAGCGGTTAGTCGAGTGTGCTTCAGAGCGATCCGCCAACAGACATGACGGAGAGTACCTTCTTCAGGACGAGGGCTCTTTTACCAGACGACCGATCGATGATCTCAAAGTCGAGTCCACATGCGATAAACAAAGTTGGCTCGACGGCCCTCCGAATGCTGTCGACTGTTTCGGTTTTCTTGAGTAGGGCCTGGCGGATGGGATACTGATGGCATCGCCCATCCGACGGCCAGGATTCGGTGTTAATAGGCACCGCCGTCTCATCGCCACATCTCTTCTCAGATCGCAAACGGCGCAGCATTCGTGACTGCATTGGGCATTCACACCAGAGACCTTGTTCGGCGGCCGAGCGGCTGGCCAAGCACCATATCCTTACGTTGCCAAAGACATCGCGCAAGACCACGGTCGTCCCGCTGTTGCTTCTGGGCTCGGCTGCTGGCCCGCTGTATATGGTTTTACCGTACTTGATGATTTTGTGGTAGGTCTCGACCCGGTTAGGGCACCGGCTGGTGATTTCGACGACGGCAATGTCGGTAACGCTTGCAAGAGCTTCGCCACGAAAGCCAAAGCTGTGACTGCTGCTTTCGCCGCCCGCCTTGGATGTTGCTTCAGGGACAATGCCAGGCCAAATCAGCGTCGGTACCGCCGAGAGAGACGGAGCAATCTCCAGTCTCACACGATAGACAGCAGCAGCGCCAGCAGCATACATAGCCTGCATTGGCCTCACCATATCGCTCTGCGACCAGATCAAAGTCAGCCGGGGTGATCCCATGGCCGTTATCGGATAACCGACAGAATCCGCCATCCGGGATGTTGAGACAAAGCTCGACAGCGGTTGCCTTGGCATCCAGGGCATTCTGAAGGAGCTCCAGCACGATTCTTGAGAGCGTTGGGGCAGTCACAGCCGACCGAAGCCGGCGGACGACTGCCTCAGAGAGGCGCTCGATCTTGGTCATGGCTTCCCCGCGGTTGGGGTGCCAGCGAGATGCAGGGCAAGCCCAGGAAGCTGTTCTGAGCAGCGCCAGGCCGACTTTGTCCTCCAGCACCGGCTGGAATGTTCGCAGCGCTACACACCGCATCGACATTGTCATTCCGCACTGCGATAGTCAGGGCATTTGCTGCTGCCGATGCTGCTCCCTGGCTCGTTGGCCAGGGCAGAGGAGCTATACTTGGAGCACACAAAGTACAGCAGCAGTATCCAAGCATGTGGGATTGCACATTTCGGTTTGCATGATCTATATTGCATCGTCGATACTTTACGCTCCATACCCCATACCCCATACCCCATACCCCATACCCCATACCCCATACCCCATACCCCATACCCCATACCCCATACCCCATACCCCATACCCCATACCCCATACCCCATACCCCATACCCCATACTTCATACTTCATACCCGGTTGTGTCTGGGCTTTTGGTTGGCAGCATCTTCCTTGGGTTCGGGTTCATGGACTCGGTCGTCTTCGCAGACCGCTGGCTGCCGCATGACACTTCCCCTGGCCATGATTTTGTTTTGGAGACTGCATGCCTGCGCCAGGTCTTCAGCGGAGCTCCATATTCCCATGGATCGGTCGCTCAGGCTCCGCAGCAACTCGGCCATTTCTCCAACCCGCGGATAACCTCTTCGTCGAAGCTGGCAATCCGAGTCGACAAAGGCGGCGCAATGCAGCGAGGAGATGGCCGCTCGCGAAGCCAGGACCTTGGGTGTCGTTCGGAGGATCATTCGGCGTTCGTATTCGCGAAACGCCTGAGCAAGCTGCTCCGGCGAAGTCCTTGCAATCGCTTCGGCCAGATCCACGGCATCGATCAATGCCTGGTTGGCTCCTTGGCCTTTGAACGGAGACATGGGATGTGCCGCATCGCCCAGCAGCGTAACCAACGAGCTCCCATCCAAACCTGTAGCCATGGGCTCTCGATCATAGACCGGGTAGCCGGTGATGAGGGTTGCCTCTGTTCGAGCGAGCAGTTCCGGGATCGGCGGATGAAAGCTGCGGCACTGGCGCAAAGCTTCAAGTCTGAGATTTTCGGCTCCGGATCTGGCGAGACTGACTGCCGCCTCGAGCTCCATGGGGAAGGAGAGCTGCCACATCGACCGACCCGCATCGTACGGCATGATGAAGATTCGCGCGAGGCCATCGGACATTTGCACCATACGTTCGCGGAAGATGGGTGAGATGCCGTCCTCGAAGATGCCCAGGATCACAAAGGTGCCGAGGAACTTGAGCGGCTCGTTTCGCAGCCGATGGCGAATACCCGAGCGGATGCCGTCGCAGGCAACCAGCCCGTCCATCTCGTAGATAGACCGAGCATCGTCTGGGCCCGCAAAGACAACAACCCGACCACCTCGTTGCTCAAAGTGCGAGACCTCGAAGCCCCAAAGCACTTGGCACAGCGTCGGATCGAGCTCTTGAAGCAGTGCGTTTCGCAGCCGCTGGCGACTGATGTGGCAGTTTCGGTTGGGCTGCCAGACAGACGCATCGGCCGAGCTGGTAGTTCCCCAAAACAACACGATCTGGCCCTGGCTATTGAAGATGAAGTGGCTGCTTGATGTTTGCCCTTCCTTCGTCATGGTGCTCATCAGCCCAAGAGCGCTGATCGCGCGTCCGCCCTGTTGCATGGTGAGCCCATATCCCTGGCTGCGGGCATTGAAGCTTGTGTCCTTCTCAAAGACGATAGAACCGATGCCGTGTCGTTGCAGGGCGATGGCTAGGGCGAGTCCGCCAATGCCTCCTCCCACGATACCGATGATCATAGCTCCAAAGTTGGGCACGAGGAACTGAGTTGCGGGCTCGTGTCGATTGCTCTGCCGATTTCTCTGTTGATTACTCCGTTGACTACTCTATCGATTGCTCTATCGACGTGGGAGCACTGAGCTTCAGACGATCGAACTTGGGGATCGGCGGCAAGAGCGACTCGGAGTGGATCTTCGGACAGCAGATGGAGTTTGGACAGCGCATTGGGCGGGCTCTCCGCTTCTCCAACATGCTGCTGAGGCGGAATCGGGACAGCGCCGCGTTTATTGCAAGAATTTACTTTCATTTTGCAGCCCAAGTACAAACCAGCCAAGGCCGACATAAGCACTTGAATAGTAGTGAGATCGCAGACAGTTTACAATTCAAAGCTCGGTGATGATATGGAGGTGGTGAAGAAACGTGAATAGCCAATAGGCTATGAAAATGTGGGGTCGTAATCGTCGATTGGAATGGCGCCCGATCGGTTTCGAGATATGAGACCGCATGGGACTCACTGCTTCTGGAGCTTTCCCAACAAACGAGATATCTGGTTGGAGATGACGGGCTGGCCTTTCTTGGTCTTCTTCAGCATCATATTGCGGTCCTCGCGACGCTTGGCATAGTACTCGGCACGCTTGGCCCTCTGCTCCTCCTTTTGCTTTTGCTCCTCCTTCATCCAGAAACAGCTGGATTAGCGCACGAGATCTTCGTAGCTCACCCGGCTTGGATCCCAGCTTGGATCCCAGCGTGCGGCCCGCAGCAGCAGAGTAGACAGAGACGAGTATGCCGAGTCTCGCGCCGGCTTACCTCTCTTTGCCGCTGCTCTTCTGCCTTTTTCTTATCGAGTTCCATCTGTACCTTCTTGAAGGGAGTCGGTCTGTGGATAAAGGATTAGTCTGGAGCACTCTGCTGCTGTTCTCGAAATGTCGGGATACATACTTTGAGCTCCCCGAGTGCGGCTTTTGGGGAGCGCCCGAAGCACCCTGCGTCTCTGGTTGCAGATCGATCGCCTGTAATGAAACCTCCGATGTATATCCGGATCTGTCAGCTCGTGGCCGTCCGAGTGGCCTGGAATTGTCCATCGGCTCAGTCTCTAGATCCATACCGGCTGGGTGTTGTCTAGACCCTCTTCCTTGAGCAGCTTGTGATATTGCCGCTTGACCTGTGAGAATCGTGGTATCAGGATCACAAAGTCTTCATCAAATAATGGATGGCAAACCAAACGAGCAACCATTCGCATTTATCAGCCTCGCTTGGCCGTGTGTCAGCGCAGCTTTCGGGATATAGCTCTCGGCGGATGCTGGCTGCTGACCTTGGCTTTGTGTATGAGGGCCTCTTTCTTGGACACCTTGTTTCCAACTGCCGCCGGGACGAGCGGGAAGGTGGTTAGTGTGTTGCTGATGGATGCAGGTGGTCTTGGCTCTCTCGGCTGCGATGCGCTCATCTCGCTTGGTTCGCTGAGCATCATCTAATTGCGGTACGAGCTGAGGACGCCAGAGGATCGCCGTACCATATCGTGCCCCGGTGCTGTGATACACCACCTTGGCCTTCTTCTTGCCCTGACCGCCGTGTGTCATTGCTACGGGATGGTGCTTGGATATCTCTGGATGGCTGGATGCTGGGTGCTGGGATGCTGGATGCTGGATGGCTGGATGACTGGATGTGGGACAGAGCGATCCCAGTTTTTCTTCCCAAAGCCCTTACCCGCGCCCAGCACGTGCGTCGCTTCAGAACACCGACGCTTTTCATTCCATTTCATTCAGAAAACGACGGGACACCTCTCATTCCATGAACATGTAGTCTGTGATGGCTTGCGTCGAGCAGAGCCACAAGAAATAGAACAGATTGCCTCCGAGTGAAGTCATTGGGCCGCTCTCCGGTCTCCACAATCGACCTGCACACTGGTTTCGGAGTGCCAGCGGTGAATGGCGATCTTGGACACACTAAATATGGAGGCAGCATTCCTCATGCTATGAATGAGGGCGTAGCATCGCATCACAGGACGGCCATGGCCAGCGCGGATTTGTCTCGGGTGACAAAATATTCGATCGATGGTCAAAAAACCAGCGTGTCCCGTTCTGGGTTGACTGTATCAAATCCCATGGATTGATGTTTGCTGGGACAGCGACGAGCAGGCCCCGCTCTGCGGTCTCGGCCGATTGACGAACACAGATGCGAAAGTGCCCTCCCCGGTATCGCCGAGCCGGCTGGTCATAGTGCGCTGTGCATTATTTTCTCGGGCCACCATCCTTCCAATGCAAGGGTTTGCAGTCGGCATTCTATTTGGAAAACCAAGCTGTTCATGATTTCGGCTCGCTCTCGCCCTTGGCCGCTTCCCTCAAGGCATACAGCTGTCCTGTGAACCAAGGATGTGCGCCGACCGTCAGACGATGATATGCCGCAGCTCAAACGCAGGATCAAAAATCGGAAATGCTCTCTCCTGTCACATATGTCCATACCTAGCTGCTGCCCATTCATAGCCTCGATCTCGGTCTCGGAGAGCTTCCGGCCAAGACTCCCAGGGCTCGGATCGACCCGGCGGGAGTCATGGGCCTGAGCATCGAGCTGCATCTTGAGCATCTCGTGGTACTCGGTCCAGCTTTGACTGAATCCTTGAACAAACGCTGGATCCGCCTTGCGGTGTCGTCGGAATTCATCGCGGATGTAGTTGTTTCCAACGAGCGACAGGGCTGCGTTGACATCACACGAGCAGAGTGAGGCCAAGTCGCAGTCGCAGTCGCAGTCGCAGTCGCTGGTGGCCCGCTGGATCGGCGCTGGTGCATGCGGGATCGCTTTCGATTTCGACCTACCTCGCGGTAGCCGCCGATGCAGCCGCCGGATAGAGCGATACAGATCGAGTATGGGCGGCAGGGTCATGGTATGCGCAAGCTTGGCGGTGCCTTGGCCGTCTGGATCCAAGAAAACCCGATTCGAGGCCGACGGCCATCCAAGAAAAAGAAGCGGGCCTGCGGTTCGTGCGGGGCCTGTCCACACACACACACACACACACGCATAGCAACGAGCTGCTGCCCTGGACGATACTGCGAGCCAGATCGGCCGGGGCTGCATGAGCAACGACGACGAGCCTGCACTCGGCGATCAGGCCCGCAACACCACCGGCACAAGCGCCGCCCCGATGAGCTCGCAGCGGCTGCCGCCTTGCCTTGGGTGGAACGCCTCTCGCGCTGAATCTCGGAGATGCTCCGGATGCATGGTATTTCGTGGCTGCCCGCCGTGTTCCTGGACGAACGGGTTGGCTGTGATCTCTCCGGCAGCCCCTCAACCGCCGCATCCGCCCAAGCGACGTAAGCTCGGGCCCGGCCAGGAGGCCCTGCATCCAGTACAACATGTCCCAGAGCCTGTCAAAGCCTTGGTTCGTATGGCTGAACAATACCGCCATGGCTCCATCGCATCTTGTTCGCTACTGACTGGTGCTGTCCACGACAGGATTCTGGCGGCTGCACACCAGGCGCTTCAATCAAGCCTTGATAGCCTCGACCGAATCAAGTCCGAGCCCGCTGAGGCGGCACAGGGCCTCGAGACACTCAACCAGCTGCTGCAACCCATCGACATCTCAAAGCGATGTCAGATCATACGGGTGAATATCGTCGGCGCACCAGAGGCACCGGCAATTGTGCTGGTTTCCGCCGACAGGAGCTGACACTACTGTCCTTTGTCCCGCCTAGTTCGACTCGACTCCTTCACAGGATGCTCCTGGGCGACCATACACGGGGATTCTATCGGACCAGGCTCATCAAATTGCATGCTACTTTTCGTCTGCGTCAATTGCCGAGTACGAGAAGCTGTAAGTCCAGCGTCGCGGATCGAGAGATCAAGCGATCGACAAGATGCGGAGTACCCTGCGCTCGACTCTCTATTGACGGATTCGTCTGTTATCTTCCAACATGACTTGGCGGTCGGGCTCAGAAACAATGCCATGCCGCTTGCATCGACCCAAGGCGGAATCATGATTATTAGCTCGTACTCTTGTCAAATCAGACAGAGCGAGTCGCAGCGGCTGCGGGTGTTTTTGAAGATCCATCGTTTTCAGTTCATTGGAGGCAATGGCTCCAACTACTTTGGCTCGCTTCGGTACATCGACGACGTGGTGGATATTGAGCAGTTGTGCGTGAGGCTGCAGCAACGGTAAGGACTTTGTTGTTGTTGTCCCTGGACTTGGTACAATTGTGCAAGTGTCCCGAACCCTCGATCGAGAAGTCTGATATGGCCACGTCATGACCCGAGGTTTGGATTCGCGATGGGCTGGATGTTGATCGAACTGCACGTTGGACAACATTGCCTACGAGCCTGTAGCCTTGGTGGTTACAGCTTGCGACTGGGCCTGACTCTGCTTGTTCACTTGTCCCTGTGTGCTTTCTCTTCAAGATTGAACGAGTGTCGTACTCTTGGTAAGTAGATCAGCTCAGCTCCGGTGGATGCTTTCGCTTTGGTCATGCACTAACCTCGATAACATGCAGCATCAATCGGCATCGCATCGCATCTCCCCCAAGTAAGTATGTCGTCAAAGCATCGTAGCCCGTGCGAAATTCGCCCCGCAGTACTCACGATCCCATGTCTCGCTAGCATGTCTTTCGGATCGGCTCCCATCCTGGCTGGCCGGTAAGCTTGCCAAGTCCGATGCATCAATGTCTCTCGGCCATGACAATTCGCCCATGACCGATCCCTTTGACCGCTTTCTGTCGCTCAGGATCCGGATCCAAGTGTCCACGGACCTTATTTCGAGCTTGGCCGCCATATCCTCAAAGCCGATGATAAATCGCTGCCGGGTTCGTGTGCTTTTGTGCTCATCAGCCAGTAGGCAGCCAGTAGTCTGCCAGTAGTCCGCCCAGAGTCGCCCAGATACGCAACGCAACGCAATGCAAGGCAGATACCTTGCCTGTTACGCTGATGCGAGCCCTCGGGTTTACAGATAGCTTGGATTACTTTGATTCGATCGACGGCTCGATTCTTGCAGCTATGGAAGGCGATTCATCGTCCCAGGTGCGGGCTGAGTCGGACGTCAAGTCTACGCAGATTCCCTTGGTCGCACCAGAATCCAAGCCGGCGGACAAGGTCGAGTCGAAGACTCTATCGATATTTATCAGCGAGGCGAATAGCCTGTCGAGCATCGGTAAGGGTATAGTTGTTGTCGTCTGGCTCGTTCTTGACTTGGATATCTGGATATTTACACGACCCATCACGGATCTCGCGAAATGCCAGCATGAATCGGATCTCTAACAATACCTTGTCCAACGGCCATCAGAAGAGGATGACCCGGATAGACTTGACATCGATAATATCAATCTGCTGGAGCACCTCGAGAGTGAAGACGAGTCATCTCGACCATCAGCAGCAACGGCGCCGTAAGTTATCGTCTCGACTGTTGCCAAGAGTCACAAGCCCAGGTTGCTCACTGCTTTGACATTTGACACCATATCCAGCGCTGGCATGTCGTCTCAAGCTTCACCCAATGTGAGAGAGGCTGCTGAAGATTTCAACATGCCCGAGAAAGCACAGCAGCACATCGTCCTTGATGGTGCTTCAAGAGCCGCGCAAGATGATACCCAACACGACCCTATGCCGATACCCATGTGCTGCGATGCGACTCCGCCATTGATCACACAAGTACCATCCGGAGCCAAATGTGGCACCAATCCATCCTTCGATCCTGACGATAGCTGGGGCTCTATCGACTGGGACGACGTAGCAGCATGCGCTGACGCTGCGGATAGCCTGGCTTCTCGCATCAATCAGGCCAGAGCGAGCCTTGATCGCGCTGAGTTCGCCACGGGTTATGGCCGTTTGGGTGCTCCTCTGGGCCTTGGTCTGGGCCTGGGAGCGCATTCTCAATCGTGCCCGAGTGGACACCCGCAGCCGGCACTTCTCGAACACTCGCAGCAAACTTTGGGAGCATCTCCATCGGCCGACCCCGACTCACAACTTCAGCTCATATCGACCATGGACCGGCCAAGCCATCCTAACCAAACTCAAAGCGAGATAAGAGCCCGATTACTGCAGGGCCCGGACGCCACTGGGCTCGGGTCTCCATACCCGACGGCATATGGGCTCATGCAGGGCGCCGTGGTGGATGATGTGGAGGCATCGTCCCGATCGGCATACCTCCGGCTACAGGTCTCCGACAGCTTTGAATCCAGGCCTTTGGCTGAGCCACGGGCTCGAGCAGGCTCGCCCGCTGAACTTGCGGCTGATGGTGCATTACTGACGGATTCATTCCAGGATATTGGATTCGTAACGCAGGATAAGGGGCAGCTAGACCCATGCGCGAGCGAGGACTTGCAGCCCGAGTCTTTACCAGATCAGACGATGCCACACACCCAGCATCACGGCTCTGATACGAACTATGCGTTTGCCAAGCGGCCGTGGGATGCACTTGAGCTGGAGGCCTATATGAACCAGGCTCGCAGGCGATTCATTCAGCTCAATAGATAGCAGTGGAACGTGGACGTTGCAGCATCCACAGGCGGGCGTGCTGTGTTCAAAGACATGGTGTGCGACCGAAATAGCACCGATGTAGCCGCAGGGCGAGAGGGGGAGAAGATGCAGCTCACAGACGATGCGGATCAAGAACACTTGGGCTGGGCCTTGGAACGACGACTCCATGCGATGCAGTCCGGCGGTCGACTGGCCACGACACGTGCCTCGGCTGGACATTCCGAGCACGGTTCCCTGCCCACAGAGCGACTGTCTTGTTCTCCATCGCATTCTTGCCGAAAATGAGCCGTCAAAATAAGCCTGTGCGATACTGGCCCGGCAAAGCACCTGTCGATGTGCGAGTGAGCGACAGCGACGACGACGACGACGGCAATGCCGACGAGCCGGTTCGCAGCTATGAGCCCGGTGCAGCCATCCAACAGGAGATCACTCAGATCAGCACCCCGCACCCTGGCGACGACCGCCGATTACGGCGTATTATGCAGAGTAAAATCAGCAGCAACGGCAAAGACGATGATGACGAAGACGACGATGATGACGAAGACGATAAAGACGGTAACAATCAGCACATCGCACGCAGCCCCAGCCGTCGACAGTGGCTGCTCTCTGGTCCCAGATCGGCACGGTTCGATCAAGAGTGGAACTACAACTAAATGATGCTGCGGATCGAAGTGTCCGAGCAGAGATACCGCCTGGTATAAGATGAAATTCTGACAATCTTTGGTTGCGCTTGTCGCCTCATGATATCGCTGCCTCACAAGATGATCGGGTATCTCAGCGAAGGAATCAAGAGACTTCGAGACACGGACATGGTAACGGCAATGACGAGGACGAGAGCGACGCTGAAGAGGAAGCTGAAGACGAAGACGAAGACGATGAAGAGCTCGCGGCCCGACGGCGGGAGCGTATGAGGGCACTGGCTCTGCGTCGGCGACAGGAGGAGGATGCTCTTGACGAGAGACTGGAGCAGCCAGAGGTATGGAGGCAAGGCCGTGAGGTTTTCCGATCGCCTAGACTCAGGACAGTGCATTGACAGCTTTCCATTTGGCCTGCAGGAGGATGACGACGAGGAATCCGAATACACAACCGACTCGGAGTCGGAAGAGGATCAGCGGGTGTTGATGAAACCGGTGTTTGTCAAAAAGTAGGATCCGGTCGGTTGGCTCGTTGCTTGAGATACAACGGGCTCGGGTGCATACTGATGCAAGTCCTGTTTGTCCATCTGTCCATCTGTGGAGCAGGAGCCGCCGTGAGACAGTCATCGAGAAGGAAAAGCAGGAGCAGGAGGCCCAGCTTGCCGAGCAGCTGAAGCAGCAACGAATCGCCGATCGACAGAAAGAGTCTCACAATATCTTGGCGGAGCAGATTCGTTTGGAGGAGGAGACTGGTGAGCATGCCGCTAGTGAAATGCTCTCTGTACTCAATATGCTCTGTGTGCTCTGTGTGCTCTGTGTGCTCGATATGCTCGATATGCTCGATATGCTCAATATTCTACATGTGCGGATGCTTCCTGCAGCGACCGCAACCAATGAGCTCGAGGACATTGACGATGCAGATGGCCTGAACGAGGAAGAGGAGTATATGGCCTGGAAGCTCCGTGAATTGCGGCGAGTCAAACGGGATCGAGAGGAAACAGAAGCCCGGGAGAGTGAGCGGCAAGAAACCGCGCGGCGCCGCGATATGACCGACGCTGAGATTGCAGCCGAAGACGAACGCATCGGCAAGACGGTGAAGAAGGAGAAGGCCAAGATGAAGTTTATGCAGCGATACTACCACAAAGGCGCGTTTTTCCAGGACGATGAGATTGTCCAGAATAAGGACTTTACAGCCCCGACGATGGGCGACCTGCAAGACAAATCAGCGCTTCCGACCGTGATGCAGGTCAAGAACTTTGGACGGGCCGGTCAGACGAAATACACACATCTGCTTGATCAGGATACCAGCCAGGCAAGTTACGGCCGCGAGTGGAGCCGAGCGCACGCCGCTGTCACATACTCCGCGCAGCACATGGTGGCTGCCCGATCTCACGCTTACCGCCTCGCCTGTGCCGAACGGAAACACAGAAAGACTCTCCTTGGGCTCAAAAGAGTGATTACAACAAGCGGGTGCTATCCAAGATGGGCGGCATCAAGGACGTTCCTGAGGCATACAAGCGACGCAAGCGGGATTAGATGTATCGGCGCTCCCTGGGCTCGAGGACGGTCAATTTCTGGGCCGACGACAGTGTGCCCAACCGAAGCGGGGCGCTTGTTTCTGAACGCAGGGAGAGGCGGCCCTGGATCCTGAATACACATGCTTGTCTCGACCAGCCAACGCCGCCTTGTGGCTGGGCAGTGGCTGGGCAGTGGCGGAGCACAATGGCGTTCTGTGTTGCTCTGCTGCTGCCACGGCGCACTCGCTGGCGCCAAGCCGAGAGCGTCTCCACCCGAGAGCAAGACCGAGAGCACCACCGAGGGCTCCCCCGAGAGCAAGGGCACTTCCGCAGCATTTGGTCATCTCTGCCTGGTCCATCTCTGCCTTCCCCGTCTGCATATTCCGTCTCCACCCGTCACTCGATCCACCATGTCGCCTACATACGAGCGGGTGAGTCATCCCAGCGTCCTGCCGTGCCATCATCGCTCGTCTCTTCTGGCGCCTGGCGTCGCTGTTGCTGTCTATCCGCTCCTCGGCGCTGGCTTTCTGATCCCCACTACCGCTTTCGCCCTTTCCATCGGGCTCTTTCGCTGCGGCCCCTGTCGCAGGTCCCCGAGCACGAGCCCAGCAGAGAGCGCATATCTATGGACTCGCTGCTCTCGGACTCTTCCACCCAACCCAAAATCTCGCAGGATGAGCCCGTCCACGAACTCCCTGTGGCCTCGTCATCATCCTCGGCTCGGCCCGGTCCCTCGACCTCGAGACCTCATATTGTTGGTACCGGCCACGACGGCGTCTTCTCCAACATGAGCGCCAAACCCTCTCTCAACGATGCTCCGCCTGTGATCACAAAGCCTTGGGAGGTCGAGCCGCCCTCCTATGCCGAGGCCACGTTGGACTCTGCACCTTCGTACATGGACACCACTGTCTTTGCCACCGTCGGAGAAGACGGCGAGGTTCTTGTCGAGGGTATGTCGGCGAAGCTGCGGCGACAAATCGAGCATGATGTCTATTTCGCATTGTCCTGTTGATCCCGAGGCTCAATGGACAACACACTGAGCAACTTTTGGCTGACACATCCCCGCTGCATCCAGGCATGCCTGTTGGAAGCTTCTTCACGTTTTTGATCAACATGATGATCTCAATGAGCTTCGACATTGTCGGCTTTCTTCTCACGTCGATGCTTGCTGTCAGCCATGCGGCCAAGGTACTGTGCACGTACGGTATTGTGAGCCGACGCTTGGTTCGATCAGTGCCATGTTGCCATGTTGCTGACTCTCTGTCAAACCGCATCACACCCAGTGCGGCGCCCGGTGTGGTCTTGGAATCACCCTCATCCGCTATGTAAGTAGGCTTGCTTGTACTTTGAGGGCATTCCTCGGCCGGGGCTGGTGCTGCTGCGGAGGACATCGGGTCTCGATGCCCCCTTGGTCGTGCGCACAGTAAGCTGACCGGCCTGGATTCGCTCAGGGCTTCTATCTCAAGAGCAAAAGTGCGGAGGATGAAATGATGAACTATACGTACTACGACCCGGATAACAACGACGACGATTCGTCGGACAATGACTGGCTGGCCTATCTGATGATGATCATTGGATTCTTTATCATCATGGTAAGTCTTGTCTGCTGCATCCATCGAACGATCGACTGCGTCGTCTAGATTGTAGCTGTGGCCCTCATCAATCTGCTGCTTCCACTCCGAATCAAGCGCGCCAATGCCGACTACCTGCAGGCCAAGCGACTCCAAAACCTGATCCTGTCCAGTTCCGAGAGCGTTGTATAGACCAAAGCGACCCGCCATTCAAGTTTTGTAATTTTTGCACCCACACCCCCTCAATCCAACTACCTTTTACGAGAATATACTTTACAGCGCACCCATGTTGAAACGGGACACCCTGTTTTGAGCCAGGGCCGTCGTTGATTTCCAGGTCTGAATCCACACGCTACCCATGACCGAACGGTGTGCTGACAGTGCCCGAAAGCCAAACGACTCGAGAAGGTCGAGTACCTTGATCTCAGTATGCCAGTCGATCGTCGCAACAGGAGATCGACCGGGTGTATTCAAGACCGCGCTCCTGAAACCAGCCAAACCCAAGAGATTGCCAACCAGGACGGAGCAACAATTGCACGGCCTGCTCACCGAGGCCTACGGCAGTTCGGCAGGCTTCAGGCGTCCGATGCCAGAGAACGTAGGGGCTGTACAGTGTGATGCCTCGTCACTCGACAGTTGCCGAGATGGGCATGCTGCCAATGAATACATATTACTCCCTTGGCACTTTGTCTACCGGTGTTGCTGGTGATGATGGAGCGACTGGAACGCACTATACCGAGTCGCAAACAAAGAATGGGGAGGGAAACAGGACCGCACGGCCACTCAGCTAATCCCCCCGCTCCATGTGCAGCGCGACATTATCGAGCTTGGATATGGTCAAAAGGTCCAAGAGCACATCGATCTTCAGTCTCAGCTGCCGATTTTCTCTTTCGAGCTCCTTGACCCGGCCAAAGACCCCGACGTTGTCGCGCTCTAGGAACAGTCCAAGGGCATCCGATGTCATTTCGGTTGAGGCATGGTACGGTGGTATGTTATATGATGGTGTGTGGGCGGAAATGGTCCGCCGGAGCCGCAACAGCAGCCCGGCTCTTGTTCCGTTTGCATGGCGAGGTCATGTCAAACGCGCCGGCTCGCCTTGCGGCGGTGACCTACCATCGACATATCGCCACTCCTCTGTGTCGTGGACGAGCTCGGCTTCGTTCAGGGTGAGATATATGGGCTTGAGAAGCTCTGCTATCGCGGGCGTTGCCTTGGATGGCGACCCGGGTGAGGAAGCATCGGGAACCGACCGTCTGCTGAACCTGCCGGCAATCCGCGGCGTCAACCAGTGCTACGGTGCCCGGTCCTTTGGCTGTTGGATGCAGCCCTGCCGGGATCGAATATTCTCCAACGACAGCAGCTACTGGTTTCAGCCCTTCGACGGACTCGATGTTTTGGATGACGATGCACAACCGGAAGCATCAAATCTGTGCGCTCCTAACACCTACGTGTCGGACATGCGTCGCGTATGACTCTTGAACTTTTCCCATCCCGATGCCATTGCTGCAGATGGTCTGTCAGAAGCTCGGATTGAGAAAGAAACGATCGATTTGCTCGCAGCCCCCCCCCTACTGGCTGCACTAGATGGCCATGAGCGAACCCGCGCTCTTCTGATCCAATCACCCCGGGATCAATCTCAGCGCCGTTCCCACGCTGCGCTTGGGCTCCTGGATGACTCGAGGGTGATCCTTGGTCGAGAAAGCGCATCTTCACTGCATCAACCACCTTGGGATATCAGCCATGTCCAGCAAATCCGTCAAGTGGATCGCAGGTTTGAGTCTGTTCGAACGCGGTCTGGCGATCACGGTGCGATATACTGACGCTGCCGCCGACTGGCGCGGCCCACCCACCAGATATCGAAAAGTCGTGTCTTCTTACCAACTTTGAGAAGAGAGGATGGGTGAAAGGCACCGAAGGTATGCTACATCTTGAGATATTGTGCATAGTGTTTCGTGCGCTCCTGCGTAACTCTGCCCTGCAGTCGCATTTCTACTTTAGCTTCTAATCCTTTCGAGAGTGCGCTGCTCCAGACATCTTTCCAGCCGCATATCTAATTGGGTCTTGATTCCATTGGCTTTCGAACAACTTTGCGGATCACAGAGGACTGGAACTTCTATTGGGCAGGTTCGATCGATAAGACGCACACTCTCGGCCACTGGTTTCGACCGCGGTGTTGAGTGTTTTCTCCGGTCCACTTGGATTCGATAGGCGTCCACAACTTTCGCAACATCATGAACCCAGAGTCCGGCTATCGTCTTGGAGAAAATCAGTAAGCGCTGCACCTGATATGAAGCACTAAGAATGCTGTTTGCTTTTTTTTACTGGGAGGCTCGCTGGAGATGTGATGTTTCTGATCATATCCTATGACACGCTTTTGGCTCAAGAATCATCAACCACTTTCCAAACCATCTCGAGTTGACGAAAAAGGACCTTATGGTCAAGAATATTAAACGCTATCGCAAGGAGCTCGAAAAAGAGCGAGAGCGCGAGAAAGAAAAGGCCCCGGGGGCGCCCGAGAAGCAGGAAAAGTACAATTATATCGGTATGTGTGCTTGCTGCCCTCCTGTCTGGATTCTTGGGTTGGGCTACTTGGCAAAGAGAAGGATGGCTGCGTTGTTCTCACCCATGAACATCCTCTCAGACTTTCTACCAATCACATACACGCTCCCTGGAGACTACAACTTGTTTGCGGAAGGTACCGTGACCGCATATTGCATATGTCCCTGGACCGCGGGCGAAGGCAGCAAACTCATTCACGCCGATCGAGAAAGGCGATGCCTGTGCCAGACACTGAGTAGCTGCGGCTCCATCGACAAACAGAGTTTCGCAAGGCACCCTCGAGTGTGTGGATCATGAAGCCCACCGACAGAGCCCGCGGAATCGGGATTTTCATCATCAACAAGCTCCAGCAAATCAAGAAGTGGTCCCGCGACAACAAAATGCAGTAGGTCGTCGGAACGCAAGGGGTCGTGAGCACCAAGCACGTCTGGTCCATCGATAAGCGCATCCATCAATTGGAGCTCGCAATTCACCGCAATTTAGCTATACCAACAATGTGGGTACTCGCTTCCACCCCGACGATGCTGCTCAGATGGTCGTATGCCAACTGCAAGGATACGTACGTTGTCTCCAAGTATATCGACAACCCACTTCTGATCGGTGGAAAAAAGTTCGACCTACGACTTTAGTAAGCTTTTCCCACAGCACTGGACAGCCGACAGAGGGAGTAAACGAGTCACCCGGGCCAATAAGTTGCTGATGCTCAGCTGCCACTGCAGCGTTTTGGTGACATCGTGGAGGCCCTTGATTGCGTACAAGTACAGCCAAGGGTTTTGTCGATTCTGCGCTGTCAAATACAACACGGACGTCAGTGACCTCGACAACAACTTTATACATCTAACGAATGTGTCGATCCAGAAGTATGGTGTAAGTTGTGTATTTCTTCTCGACATTGCTTTGTTGGCGATATCTGTCCCGGTGTATGCGGCGCACGAGCGCCCATCGGAATCTTGGCCGCTGTCCTCACAGTCAAGGCGTCTCCGTCCACCAGGAAGACTATAACGAAAACAATGGCGGAAAGTGGAGCCTCAAAAACCTGATCCTATATCTCGAAGCCACCCGCGGCAAGGCCCTGACTTCAAAGCTGATTGACGAAATCGACTCTATCTTTGTGCACTCGCTGCGAGCCGTGCAGCAGTTGATGACAAACGACAAGCACTGCTTCGAGTGCTACGGATACGATATCATCATCGATGCAGATTTGCGACCCTGGCTCATCGAAGTCAACGCCTCGCCTTCGCTAAGCGCAACGACAACCAGTGACCGTCTTATGAAAGTAAGGCAATTTGCCTGGAATCCTCAGCCCGTCAGCGGCAGAATGCCTACTGCACGCCTTCCGTATATTCACCAGAGTTGACCAAGTCTGCGTACTGACTAGACTTGTGTATTTTGACAGCATTGTCTCATCAATGATATCATAGACCTGATCATTCCGGATGATTTTCCCGAGTAAGTGGTTGCCGTAATTCACTCAGTCCTCGATTGTCTAATGAGCGGCCTCCACAGGACCTAACCTCACAAGCTTTGGTTTACCATTAGCGTCAAAAACGGTCGAGGCGGCGTCGCTCAAAAGGACAAAAAGGACGCTGGAGGATTTATCCCGCTGTAAGTGCTCTCGTCCGCGCCCCGGCGGCTGTCCAGTCGTCGGCATTGTTCTCACGCTTTAACCCGTCCGACGACTATCGCTCTTGCAGCTATGATGACGCTGCGGCCCTCGAACGAGAGCGGCCCCGGTCGAGTCTGAACAAGGCTAATGTTGGCGTCAAGCCCAAGGTTCGTTAGACGACACTAATAGTCATGGACGACGAAGGACTTATGCAATGGAGGCAACCACTCGGTTCTGTAGCGTATCCAAAACGAAACGGGACACTGTTGTGAGTCAGAGTTGTTGTTTTCTGGAGCAACTGTAAGAGACTAGCCCATATCATTGCCGTGTCCATTCCCACAATACACGGTTTCATCCGCGGCCTGTAAGGGGTGTCCTTGTGTTCGCTGTGACCAGTGCCATTACCGCCCATTCGCCGGCACGCTGCCTCTTGGCCATCACACTGCAGCGTCGCCCAGAGCGTCGCCCAGAGCGTCGCCCAGAGCGCCGTCACGTTAGACAAGCCTGTAGTCCCCAAGAGAGGCCCTGGGCTCACAAAAGGGGGGGGGAGCGTCCAAGACAACCCCGGGGCTGAAGCAGCAGTAGCGCGAGTGAACCGAGTTCAATTGATGGACACAGTCAGCAATCACAAGTTGCTGGAAACTCCGGGCGGCCCGATCCCTTGTTCAAAATGACTCTGTACGCAAATTGACCTTCAGTGAATCGCTGGCTTGAGTGTAGCGCCCTGAATCATCAAGTCGCTCAAGCCCCCGTTTCCTTGAATCTCGAGGCCTTGTTCGTTGGCAAGATGCAGGACACAGATAAAACAGAATGCTGGTGATATATCCTTGAGCTTCTTGTCGGAGTAGTGTTGTTTGAGGTCCGAGACCACTTCGGTGAACTTGACTTCGCCCGAGGTCTGGTCTGGGCTCGCACCGAGGTCGTCGCTCTGGATCGACGTACGTACACAGGGATATGCACAAAGTCAGATCGGACCCGAAGCCATCAAAGCATGGCATAACGCCCTTCTGTACTCACATGGGACATGGTCTTCCACAGATTTTCCTTAAGAAGCTTGACATCGACTTTCTTGGCGGTCTTGGCAAAGTTGAGAGGCACGGCTTTTGTTTTCTTGGGCAGGTTGACGAGCTGGCTGCCAAAGTCATATGTGCCATTCTGCGACATAGCGGCATAGTCCTCCACAGACAAGTCGATTTCTTCGACGTCGTCATCATCGTCATCATCATAATGATCGTTCATCGGACTGAACCCATCATACGGATCGGCATCTTGTCCATCTAAAAGGATGAGAATTCATATCAAGGACTGAGTCTGTAACGCACACGATATATGCTTTCCGGCGCGCTTGGCCATATTCGCCAGTCTGTGCCGAGTCCGATGTGGTGCTATGCACGATTTCTACAAGACCAGTGGATGGTGCAAGTCACACTCATATCCAAAGCGCAGTTTCCTTACGTGAATCAGCCGGATGGATGGAGAAAGCGACATCATCCCCGTCGTGCTCGGCCCAGAAGGCTCCTTCGTTGGGGTCTAAAGGTCCGAGGGTTCCAGAGATTCAACGGAATTGCGGCCCGTCCAGACAATTATAGCGTTAGCATGTACAAGCAGAGCCCAGCTACCGAGTGTTCACTTGAAGTTGAATAGCGAGGCAGCTAGGCCGAGGCAGACAGGATACAATCATGGCCAAGATAACGCCCAGGAATCAGCGGGGGCAGTTCGCGTCTGCTGCTTGTAACAAACCTGGGTTGACAGAGGAAGCAGTATGCGGTAGTCCACTTGGTCGACTCTTCTTCTTCAAAAAGATAGCCTTATGTTTGTAGCAGAATAAAGGCACGTCAGCCATGCCTCCAGTTGCATCCAACCGGCCAGTGAACCCCTCCCCAAATCGCTAATCGCTGTCCTAGCAGGGGTGAATTTGTGCCAATCGACCTTGGCTGGACCTGTCACGCTCCCCAAAAGTACAGGCAGCACAAATGCGACGCTGGGCGCGAAAGTGAAGCATATACATATTCCCAGCGCGGACTTACTTTGCAGTTGGGCTTGAGGAACAGCCCCAGGAGGTCCTTTGACGAAAAGCGCACATCTTCAGGCAGTAAAAAGCGACTGCCGGCTTTCTCCGACTGCTTGGGAAGACTGAGGCTTGCTTTAGAGAAGGCAAAGAGCTCACTCTCGGCAAGAGGCTCGTCTTCCTGAAAGTCGATGGTGACAACTTCTCGCTGCTTGACTGTTCTCGAGGCCGGTTTTGCCGCGTCTCCTGGCGATAAGCAATAAGAAATCAGCGGCCGATTCAGTTGTGTTATCAAGCAATTTCGCAAGCTTGATCCAACTCTCGCACGGTCTACCTCCGTGTCACACGGCTTACTCTTGAGAGAACGCAGCTTCCAAAACTCCGGACCAGCCCACGATTTTGAGATCCGGGTGTCAAAGTACGAGTACAAGTCCTCCTCAGGCGCAGCCGTGAGCGACACCAGACTCTCTTCGAACAAAGCAATGCCAGACTCATTCAGTGGCTCGTGATCGTTGTTTGGGTAGGGAGCACCATCGTCATCGTCAAAGTATTCGTTAGCACCCATGTCGTCCGAGTCGTATCCGGTCCAGGGCGTTTCGCCGTTGGTTCCGGCATCGCCTCCAGAGACTGCCCGAGAAGCAGATGCAAGTGCGGCCTCGTGGGCCTCGTTGATCATGTTTTGGATGTCAAACTGCTCAATCGAGCTCCCCGAAAACGAAAACGAAAACGACTTGAGCGAGGGGCAAACGCTCAGACCCCATATTTGATTCAGCGAGCCTTCAAATTTGGCTGTCCGCCGAGAGATGGATGAGTCACTTTGTCCAAGTAGCAGGAGAGATGTAGCTCGCAGTAGAAGCGCCGGCATCGGCTTTGCTGGGACAGCTAGTGCAACAGTCACATACATTTGAGCTTTGTAATATCGATCCGGTCGTTCTGAAAATTGGAGTCGGCGTCCACAAGACTGGATGAGAGATCACTCGAATCGAATATAATGCCTCCCTCTGAGGAGATGGCTAGGTGATTCAGCAACAGGCCGTGCGCACCGCCTTCGTCGAAATCGGCCGATGTCTTCTTGAACAGCGGATCAACCATAAAGTCGAGCTCCAGCTTCTTGATGTTCAGCGAGCCAAAGTCCTTCTCGAGCGTCTTGCCGCCGCGGCTTGGCTTCTTCTTGGAGGGCTTTTGGGATGGATTCGGAGATTCGCCGTCGTCGTCTTCGTCGTCTTCGTCGCCACCATCCTCATCAGGCTCCCTTTGCGATCCTACATCACAGACAGACCAGATGGTTGGCAAACAGCAAGCAGACTCGTCCTTTTTTGTCCTAGCCTCGGTCTTGGCTTTGGTCTTGGCTTTGGTCTTGGCTTTGGTCTTGGCTTTGGTCTTGGGCTCGGTCCGGGCTCGAGGCCGGGGTGCAGCCCGGACCGAGCCCAAATGCAAGGTCCAACCCACCTTCCATGCGGTCGGCGAGACCACTCAAGAGCTTCTTTGTTTCGACATCGACATAGTCCACTCGAGATGTATAGATTTTGATGCAGCCATCCAGGGTACATGATGCTCGTTGGAAGTTTATGGCATCACCGTCCCTCAGAAGCGTAAGATCGTGGAAGTAGTCGATGAGTGCAAGGTTGAAGCAGTTGTTGGAGTTGATTTTCTGGAAGAAAGGGCGGCAATATGCCATAGGTCAGCGATGTTAGTTGGGGATGCAGGATGGCTCCAGCGCCATGCCATATCTGCCTTCTTCGGACAGCCGCAATGTTCTCTCTGGATGCCACCATGGAGTCGCTCGCAAGTCTGGCCAGTCATTCATCTGTCCTGAGCACCGAGCTTGTTGGATGTGCAGACATGAGAAGCAGGCAATAGAAGCAGGCAAGAGAAGGGCAAGAGAAGCAGACAAGAGAAGCCGGCCTACATTATCCGCAGCAATTTTCATCCATTCTTCGAAGGACCGCTTAGCTTCTTCCTCAGAAACCTTTTGGCGCACCGGCGTGATCGGGGTTGTGATCAGCGAGGAGCTGGAGCCCACCCGGTCTGGTGTCCGCATCAACAGAGAGATTCGGCGGTTGCGGTCGCCAAAGGATTTTCGGCGTTTTCTGTCGTCCATGGTGAATGATGGGAGGCGATGGTTCTGCTGGGCCACGCTGCGATCCGGCGATATCGGGGGGAGGGAGGGCTGTGCTGGCTTGCTGCTTGGGATCCGGTCTGGTTGCAGAGCACAGGGCGGGCCCGTCCAGTCCAGTCTGGTCCAGTCTGGTCTGGTCTGGCCGGCTTGTCCTGGCGGGTCGTGCAGCTGCCATTTTTGGACATATGGATGGCCAACCGCCTTCTGGAACGGACTTGCCGCAAGGTTTGCCCCAATCGGCTCTGTGAAGAACAGCGGCTGCACCAACCCGTGGGAGCCAACCGGGCCCGACTCGCGCAGGAACAGATTGCTCTTCCTCCGCCGAAGTTGCTGAAAAGTCTCCCGCCGGCGGACCGAGCCCGGGCATTCACCCTCCTCCTCACCTCTCCAAGTATCATCTCGCAGCCCACGACTGAGCATCAAGGCGTCCAAGCAACCTAGCCTGCAACCCAACCTACTGCAAAGGCCAGATAGCAACCGGCCAAACAGTTCCGACAGCAAAAGTACTTGCGATTGTAAATAGCAAGCACATATCAACATCCCGCTCACCGGTATTTTAAAGCAACGACAGACTGAAATGGGAGAGGTGGCCATTCCAAAGCCCGAGACCGAAGACCCCCGCCCGCAAAGGAGGCACTTCATCAACGCACGATTGAGGTACGACCCCGTGGCAGTACCTGTCAAGCGTTCTGGCGGCGGAGCAATTCAAAATGTCCACGGTCGCTCCACCAGAAGCTCAAGAGTGTGTATTTGGGAAATTACAGTGGCGACGGACGAGCAGTGATGCCACCCGACATACCAGGCTGACACGACCTCTTCATTGCTCGACCCGCGGCAGAGACCGCCAGTCCAAGATGCTCAAGGAGGATTTACGTCGTTTTTCGGAAGTCTCGACGTATCAGTCCGAGTACATCGGCGACGATACCAAAACATCGTACAAGACCAAGCCCACAGTGAGAGTGATACGGCCCAAGCTCGATCCCGATACGGTCCTGTTGAATCTCAAGGTACATGCTCGACACAGCAATGGCGATAGCAATGGTGGTGCCGTATCGGATGCTTTTGGTTGTCAGCCGGTTGGAAACATGCCCTCAATATGGTGATCCAGACACGTGCGAGAAGTATTTGGAGGGGCTTTCGGCATTTCTGACTCTACTGAGCCTGGAGTGAGTCGGCCATACTCGAATGGCGTATGAACGATTAAATCCGTGTGGCTCTGTGGCCGCTGTCGTAACCTTCCAAATCAAAGCGCATCGACCAGATCGTAGTGTCCGACCACATTTCCAAGAACTTTAAAGCCCTCGATGTCAAGAGCGACATCAAGTCCTGCCAGGACGAAATCGACAAGTACATGCACGAATCCACATACCAATCCTCATTCAACGACCGTGGGATATACAAAGGTGACCACGACTCAGGCGTCATGAATGATATTATCGGAGCTGCCCCGGGTGGGTTTTCGTCTTTCTCTAACACGTTGATTCACCAGTCACCCCACTCCCAGCGCTCCTGCCAAAGTTTCCGATCGAAGAAAAGGAGCCCAAGTTCACCCTTTCTTTGTATCAAAACTCGTATGTGCATCCTCGCTACATCAATTCGAGGCTGTGCTCGGAAGAAATCAGCCCATATGGCATGACCAAGTCGCTCTATCTGCAGCCCACGGCCGGTAAGTCGGTACCGCTGGCCTTTTCCAAGGGCCACTGAGGAGGGAGTTGAGATTGCAAGCGAGCCTGTATCATGTCCGCCGGTGGCTTCAAGCCAGTAATATGCACCAAGCACTGGGCTGCACTAATGCTGGTCTCCCGATCAATTGTAGGCATGGGTGTTCGCGATCTACTGCACACCCAGCAAGCCTCCGATGTCACTTCGTACAAGTCAGACTTTAAATTGTGTCCTCCGATCGAGACACCCGAGGTCCAGGTCACGGACGAGCAAATGAGACCCCGAGCCCCAACCACGATCGTCAGGAAAGCGCTGAAATACCGTCGCTACTACCAGTAGCGATATCGGCGTGCGCGGCTTGAGTTGGAAGTGCGGGCAAGACACTGCCATCACAGGAGCCAGGATCATATATCTTCACAGCCCGACTAAATCCAGCCATCGGTCGCCATCGCTCACGAATTGGCTCAAATCGATGTATTATATGGGATGTGCACTGCACCCGGAGCGAACGGAGCGCTCGCTGAGCTTACTTCCCTGCATCCCGAACATACACAGTGTACGAAGCTGTCCAGGAAGCCGAATACATTCGTCGCACCGCATCGCAGCATCAATGCCCCAGCATAATGACCTCGAATTATCGGCCAGCTATTGCCCTGGAGGTTGACCGGTTGCTGGGCATCTGCTTTCGGAGTAGCGTCCCCATCCGCACCTCGGGTGCTGACCCGGCGCTGGCTTTGATCCGAGGCCATGACGAGGCTCCGCTGGCTGTCTCCCTGGCTGGGTGGTGTGGTGCGGTTTGCGTCTTTTGCGGCTGTCTCCCCTGCGCCGCTATTCTGCGACCGAGCGGAGGATATCCGCCTCGGCAAGAGAAAAGTGCGAGTCGTCCTTGACGGCTGTGATCCGGCATGCGAGTTGCAGGCCGCGGGAGACCTGTCCCCCTCAGCGCTCTTTCGTCTTTGCATCGGCGGCGGCCACCGAATCGGCCTCTCCAGCTGCATGCTTGGCCATTGAATCATCCGCCGCCTGCCGCTCCGTTCCCTTTTTCCTTTCGGCAGTCGCCAGCCGGCGTTCCTCCGACCTTTGTCAATGAGATGGAACCTTTCTATCGCCACGGAGACTCGAGATTGGGCTATAAAATGCGGCCGTTGGGTGCAAGACAAGATCCAGCCAGGTTGGTCTCGCTCAGCGAAGCACCCCAAGTGTCTGCCCAACCGGAAGATCCATCATGAAGTTCCATGCTCTCGCTCTTGTCCTTTTCATCGCTCTTGCTGTGGCTATTCAGGCTCTGCCAGTCACCTCCAACGGCAATGCTGCTCCACCAGGCCGTCATCCAGCGAATGGAGATTCGAGGGAGCCAGTTGCTGAGTCCCACGGACACCACTCCGAGAAGGGCGGCCAGAAGCACCCAGGTCATTCCAAGCACTCGTCGGCAGCCCCTGTCCATGCAGTCCTGAGGCTCAAGCATACCTCCTCCACCGCCAAGTACCACTCTGGCTCACAGCATCACTCATCCAGCCACCGGCATGGTCCACCAAGCCCCAGCGCTCTCTCCGCCCAGGCTGGTCGTCATCACTCGTCGGCCTCTGTCCAGGCTGGTCGCCATCATTTCTCAGTGACCCGAACCTTTAAATTGTCGAAGCCCAGTCCCACTCATCACTCGGGGACTCACACGAGGAGCGCACCGCAGATCGTTCAACGACGCCAGCATTCTGCTCAATCTCGTGGAAACCCAGAATACGAGACAAACAGCTATGATCATGGCAAGAATAGCAATAATGACGATCACCACCCCAGCCATTCCTCCAGCCACGATTCCAACAGTCATGATTCCAACAGCCATGACTCCAACAGCCATGACTCCAACAGCCACGATTCCAACAGCCACGACTCCAACAGCCATGACTCCAGCAGCCACGATTCCAACAAGCATCACTCCAGCAGCCACGATTCCAACAGCCACGATTCCAACAGCCATGACTCCAACAGCCATGACTCCAACAGCCACGATTCCAACAGCCACGACTCCAACAGCCATGACTCCAGCAGCCACGATTCCAACAAGCATCACTCCAGCAGCCATTCTTCCAACAGCCACGATTCCAACAGTCATGATTCCAACAGCCATGATTCCAACACTCATGATCCTAGCCAGCACGGCTCCAACAAGCATCACTCCAGCAGCCACGATTCCAACAGCCACGATTCCAACAGCCATGACTCCAACAGCCACGATTCCAACAGCCACGACTCCAACAGCCATGACTCCAGCAGCCACGATTCCAACAAGCATCACTCCAGCAGCCATTCTTCCAACAGCCACGATTCCAACAGTCATGATTCCAACAGCCATGATTCCAACACTCATGATCCTAGCCAGCACGGCTCCAACAAGCATCACTCCAGCAGCCACGACTCCAACAGCCATGACTCCAACAGCCACGACTCCAACAGCCATGACTCCAGCAGCCACGATTCCAACAAGCATCACTCCAGCAGCCACGATTCCAACAGCCACGATTCCAACAGCCATGACTCCAACAGCCATGACTCCAACAGCCACGATTCCAACAGCCACGACTCCAACAGCCATGACTCCAGCAGCCACGATTCCAACAAGCATCACTCCAGCAGCCATTCTTCCAACAGCCACGATTCCAACAGTCATGATTCCAACAGCCATGATTCCAACACTCATGATCCTAGCCAGCACGGCTCCAACAAGCATCACTCCAGCAGCCACGATTCCAACAGCCACGATTCCAACAGCCATGACTCCAACAGCCACGATTCCAACAGCCACGACTCCAACAGCCATGACTCCAGCAGCCACGATTCCAACAAGCATCACTCCAGCAGCCATTCTTCCAACAGCCACGATTCCAACAGTCATGATTCCAACAGCCATGATTCCAACACTCATGATCCTAGCCAGCACGGCTCCAACAAGCATCACTCCAGCAGCCACGACTCCAACAGCCATGACTCCAACAGCCACGACTCCAACAGCCATGACTCCAGCAGCCACGATTCCAACAAGCATCACTCCAGCAGCCATGACTCCAACAGCCACGATTCCAACAGCCACGACTCCAACAGCCATGACTCCAGCAGCCACGATTCCAACAAGCATCACTCCAGCAGCCACGATTCCAACAGCCATGACTCCAACAGCCACGATTCCAACAGCCACGACTCCAACAGCCACGATTCCAACAGTCATGATTCCAACACTCATGATCCTAGCCAGCACGGCTCCAACAAGCATCACTCCAGCAGCCACGATTCCAACAGCCATGACTCCAACAGCCACGATTCCAACAGCCACGACTCCAACAGCCATGACTCCAACAGCCACGACTCCAACAGCCATGACTCCAACAGCCATGACTCCAGCAGCCACGATTCCAACAGCCATGACTCCAACAGCCACGATTCCAACAGCCACGACTCCAACAGCCACGATTCCAACAGTCATGATTCCAACACTCATGATCCTAGCCAGCACGGCTCCAACAAGCATCACTCCAGCAGCCATTCTTCCAACAGCCATGACTCCAACAGCCATTCTTCCAACACTCATGATCCTAGCCAGCACGGCTCTAACAAGCACCACTCCAGCAGCCATGACTCCAGTAGTTACGGCTCCGACACGCACCGCTCCAGTGATTCCAATTCACAGTCGCAAATCAAAGACAAGCACCGTGGCGTCTACTACAAATCGAAAAGCCCGGATAATGACTCCAGTGACGACTGTGACGAGTCGAACGATACACCTGAAAGCGGTCCTGATCATCATCACGACTCTCACGACCAACAAAAGGATCCAGAGAGTACAACCGGATACATCGAAAGTGACGAGAGCTGCGACGAAACCGCTTGATCAGCCAGGCCCCTCCAACGTTCATTCGCTTATTCGTACTCATTCACGCACTTACTTATACTCACTCATACTCGCTCACGCATTATTCACTCGTTCATTCTCGCTCATCCATTCATTCCTCGAACTTGACTTGGTATTTTCCGTATGATTTTATTCTGAAAATTCACACAATATCTCGATATCATCGATCTGTTCAGCTGTTGGGTTGTTCAGACGGATGTTCATCCGCAGAGTCATAGCCTCTACTTTGTTGGGATCACCATCGGTGGAGTCCTTAGGCACAGAAGCGTCGGGTACATGGGATCGGGCGCCATCGTTGCCGATAGCTGCCGAGTCGCATTTTATAATCGTGCTCCAGGCTGCATCGATATCACTCTGATGGGCATTGGCATATCGAATACAGCCGCTATGCATCTGGGAATCGGTGGGTGGCCGCGCTCTTGGAGCCGTTGGAGGTAGGGTGGTGTATTCACGGTCCAAAAGGAAGAGACGGGTACTATCTATCAGAGTTGTTCATACCCAGGTTTTTGCGTTTGCGAATGCTGTCCTTGTAGCTGTTCAATGGCGAGCAACTGCTCAGTTGAGACACTTAGCAATCAACACCCTCCGATCCATCTCTCCAACGTTCGAGGACCCGCGAGCAGTCAAACATTGGCTTGCCCTGGGATTTGTTGACTTTGTTGTGGACGACGCAGAGCCACTTGGACAAGATCAGATTGCTGGCGACAGGGGGCGGATGCTTCTTGATCTCGGCTTGCAAATGCTCGGCGCAGTAGCCGCATGGATAGACTCTCGAGAACGAATTGAGGAACTGGGACATGTTGGTCTGCTCGTCCTGTGTTGGAGCCTCCGGGTAGTATGCTGCCATGGTATGCAAGAACGTCCAAGTGGATCGGCCGAGCTCGCCGGCATCAGGAGGGCAGGGGAAAGGCGTGTAAGGTGCAGACGGGTTTCCGGACTGGCCGGGGGACGACTGTGGCGAGGCTGAAGCTGAAGCCGAAGCTGCGACGGTAGCCAAGCCAGCGACAGCACCGGCAGACGGCAGGTGATCTTTGGAGTTGGCAGCGCCAGAATCGCCTCGGGGAGCAGCAGAGGATACGGGGCCAGCGCTTTGTGATACTGTGTGAGTCTTTTTGGCTTCGTCGACCCGCCATGTCTTGAAATCATGACAGACCCGACACGGCGGCTTTTTGGGCGGGGCCGTGGTCTTTTCTTCCAGCAACTCGTCGAGACCCATTGGGATGCGGGCAGTAAGCTTGCCGACGCAGCGCTTGAGAATGACCAGACAGATGCGATCAGCGAATCGCCCTCCGAAACAGGCGATCGAGACGATCGGTCGGGGTGGTTGACCGCGCGCGACGAAGTTGCCAGATGGGCGGCTGACAAATGCAGCCCGCTTGCGACGCCGACACCGCAGGCAACGGCGGCGACGGGGAATCACAGGGGCTGGCCGCTGCCTGTTTGGTTGCGACAGGAGCATGCCCGGCCGGCACGGCCATGGCCATTCTGTTGCGTTTGTTGCTGCTGCTGCTGCTGCTGCTGTTGCTGCTGTGACTGTGACTGTGTTGGCGGCTGGCCAAGCCGGGTGTCTGGAGGCCTTCCGGGGCGGATGTGCGTGTAGCCGCTGGTGGCTGGCCACAGCATCGACTGCGCGATGCGCAGCACAATTCCGGCCTGCGCAGCGCAGCACATGCGATAAGCGCCTGTCATGGCCGCGCAGGTGATCGCCGCCGCCGTCGCCCGTCAACGTGCTTGGTCTGCCGAAATCTTTTCTCGGCCATCTCTCCCCGACCGCTCTCTGCCCAGAGCTCGGCTGGCTTTTCCTCCGTCTTGCTCAATCTTGGCGCCTGCTCCTCGCCGTCCTGCCTGCCTATTGTCTGGCTTGTCGTCTTCCCCCCTGATCTTCCTCTGTGTCGCTCCGCCCCGGCCCGCACTCCTTCGTCGCCATGTTCGTTCCCTATCTGACCCCAGAGTCCGGCACAGACCCCGCTCTCTCGTCCAAGGAGCTGCTTGCTATCCTCTCCAAGTACGGCCTCGTCTCCGATCCAATCTTCAAGCCTGCATCGGTGCAGGCCCTTCCTGAGGCTGCCCTCTACTCCAGGGATATCCCTCAGCTCTCCGTCGCTCTGCCCACCGATCTGCCTGTCTCGAGCATCCTCGATGCTGCCAGAGATCTCCTTGACGACAGCGTCGCCTGTATCGTTATCGACTACAGCCCTGCCGTGGGTCGATCTGCTACCGACTTTGCAAGCTCGATCTTGTCAAAGCTCCCTGCCGACCGGGTGGTCGTCTCCCTTGCACTGGACGAGTCGGGCACCAATGAAAAGTGGCTCTGCAGCACCATCGAGGCCTTTGCCTCGGCTGTTTCGGGCTTTATCGTCGTCATGCATACCTCTGTCTCGCCTGTCGAGCTCCCGGATGAGCAGCTCAGCCAGAGCCATCAGCTGAATCGCAAGTTCATCGCTGGCACGATCGGCCACATCGGCGCCCTTTACAAGAAAACACCTTCCCTCACTCGAAAGCTGACCCTGTCGCTGCCCAACCAGCTGCTTTCCATCCCTCTGATCTCGGCTCTGAATGCGCGCGAGATCAATCTCCTTGCCCCTCATCGGCAGCTATCCCCGATTGATCTCGGAGAGGCCTATGCCTCGTGTCTGATCACCGACCGCTCCGACGGGCTTTTCTCGACCGTTGTGGTCGACGAGCATGGTGTTGCCCTTGGATTGGCATATTCCTCTGTGCAAAGCATCTCGGAGGCTATCAAAACTCGTCAAGGCGTGTACCAGTCTCGAACTCGGGGCCTTTGGTACAAGGGACTCACGTCCGGTGCTACTCAGGCTCTGTTGCGAATCGATGCCGACTGCGACCGAGACTGCGTGCGCTTCATTGTCCGCCAGAATGGTCCAGGCTACTGCCACTTGAACACTCGTACCTGCTTCGGCCCGGACAGCGGTATCACTGCTCTGGCCGAGCTGCTGGAAGCTCGAAAGGCCAGTGCCCCCGAGGGCTCGTACACCAAACGCCTTTTCAACGACCCCTTGCTCCTGCGATCCAAGATCATGGAGGAGGCCGAGGAGCTCTGCGATGCCGCCACTCCCGAAGACATTGCCTGGGAGGCCGCGGATCTCATTTACTTTGCTCTCGCGCGCTGCATCAGCCAGGGAGTCTCGCTCAGGGATGTTGAAGCCAATCTCGATCGAAAGGCTCGTAAAATCTCTCGCCGCTCCGGCGACGCCAAGCCCAAATGGGACTTTACCAAGCCTCCGGCTGATTCCGGTGCCTCCAAGCCTGATGTATCCACCGAGACACCCCAGGCTCCCCGGGCTCCCCAGGCTCCTGCTGCAGTTCCGGAGCCCCTCGTTACCCCGGAGCAGCCGGCCATCGCCATGAAAAAGTACACCCTGTCGGCCCTGTCGAAGAGCGAGCAGGCGGATCTGCTGATCCGCCCCATCTTCAAGACCGACGAAATCATGGCCCGTGTGCGGCCGATTGTCGAGTCGGTGTCTCAGCAAGGCGATCGCGCTCTACTTGATTATACAGCCAAGTTCGATGGTGTCAAGCTCGATTCTCCTGTCCTTCGCGCCCCCTTTGCCCCGGAGCTCATGAGTATCTCCGAGACTGTGCGCTCTGCTATCGACATGGCCTACTCGAACGTCGAAAAGTTCCATGCGGCTCAGCTGGATACCACTGTGTTGACCGTTGAGACCATGCCTGGCGTTGTGTGCAGCCGGTTTGTGCGCCCTATCGAACGGGTCGGCTTGTACGTTCCTGGAGGCTCGGCTGTGTTGCCCTCCACGACCTTGATGCTCGGTGTCCCCGCCAAGGTGGCCGGCTGTCGTGAGATTGTGGTGGCCACGCCTCCCCGCAAGGATGGCTCCATCTGTCCTGAGGTTGTCTATGTGGCCCACAAAATCGGTGCCAGCGTGATTCTGGCGGCCGGAGGAGCGCAAGCTGTCGCTGCCATGGCCTACGGAACCGAATCTGTGCCCAAAGTCGACAAGATCTGCGGCCCCGGAAACCAATATGTCACATGCGCCAAGATGATTGTCCAGGTATCGCGCGACGCATCTGCTCTTGTTTCGTGTTCTTGAGGCATTGGAGGTGTGCTTTCTCGCCTGGTGTGCCTGCCACTCCGAGTGAATCTTGCCGCACACACCGCCCACGGCATGGTGGCGGCAGTACACAGCAGGCTACCTGCCTTGAATCTGGATATCTGTATTGACGTCGGTCTCTGCTCCTGCCAGAACGATACCTCTGCTATGGTTGCCATCGATATGCCCGCCGGTCCCTCGGAGCTCCTGGTAGGCACAACGCTGTTTGGAGATACCCTCGCTCGCTTCGGCCACTGGGCCGCGCCTGACCGTGCTCTGATCCATTTGTAATCTTCGATGCTGCACTCAGGTCATTGCCGACATGTCGTGTAATCCAGCCTATGTGGCCTCGGACCTCCTCAGTCAGGCAGAGCACGGCCCTGACAGTCAGGTTGTCCTTTTGGCGGTGGCTCTGACGACCGAAAAGCTGGCCCAGATCGAAGCCGAGGTTGCCAGTCAGGGTGCTGCCTTGCCGCGTGCCGAAATCGTGCGAATCTCGATTCCCAAGAGCTACATTGCGCAGCTCGCGACTGTCGAAGAGGCTCTGGACTTTTCAAACCGATATGCTCCGGAGCACCTCATTTTGCACTTGGACGATGCCGAGAAATACGTCGAGCTCGTCGAGAACGCAGGATCCGTCTTTGTCGGCCCCTATTCGCCAGAGAGGTAGGTGGCGCGCCTGGATGATCGATTGGATAGTCGCCATCAGATTGTCACTGCTGGATGGACCAGGTCTGCGGTTTCGATTCCCATCGATCCCTTCAAGTGACCCTCACTGATCTTTGCTTCCCCATCAGCTGCGGTGACTATGCCTCCGGCACCAACCACACCTTGCCCACATACGGGTTTGCAAAAATGTACTCTGGCGTCAATACCGGAACATTCGTGAAGCACATTACGTCGCAGTGCCTCACAAAGCAAGGGCTCGATCGCCTCGGTGACTGTGTCACGACTTTGGCTGAAATTGAGGGGCTAGAGGCTCACCGGAATGCAGTTGCCATCCGACTGAAGGATATTCGACAACAGTAGGGCTTGCGATGTAGCTGAGATACAGTCACGCATTACAACGCACACAAACACAACACACCACTTGTATTCTTGCAGCTGATTGTGAGCTCTTTTGAATGGAATACACACGCCTCCGCCGCTCACAATGACCATCTGCCCTGTGGAAGTAGTCAAGGATATCCCTCCAGAGCAGTCTTTGGGCAGCAGTCAATGCAGTCGGTGCGTACGGTTCCGGAATGATAGCACCGTCACCGGTTTGGCTTGAGGGTCACACATGCAGGATGGACAGACACTCCAACCAAGAGAAACTCGACAACAACGAATGCGTGTCTCAATGGCACCCACGCAGATGGACACTGCTCGCTGCTGCGGGCAGGCCGTGCGACTGCTTCCCGACTTGGCTGGCAATCGCTATGCTTTCGCTGGTTTGGGAAGCATGGTCTTGAGCACTCTCTGGGGGTGGAATTACAGCGTTTCCAAAATGAAATGGGACACCCCGTTGAGCCATGACAGTGGTATTTTCTGTGACCTGAATACACTCACCCACTCATTGCAATCATGGCCAAACACAGCACGCTCGATTTCCGCATCGCTGCACTGCGACCGGTGGTGTTCACTCGGAGGCTGCCAAAGTGATCTGTTCTATTTCTTATGGCTTTGCTTGACGCAGGCACATCACATACTACGCTGACGAATGGGTTGTGGGCAGGTGTCCCATTTCCCCCTGAATCCAGTGTACTTGAAATACCGAGTATACCTCAGTCTCTGTGGGCTGGAACCGCTTCCCTTCCCTTGCTTCCAAGAGGCAATCCCAAAGACGATCGATCAGTATGCTGGTTTCTTTGAATATGCCGTTTGGTCACGGTGGCGATGGATGAGTGTATATTCAGGCCCTGAAATCAACGACAACCCCAGCTCAAAACAGCGTGTCCGTTTCGCTTTGGGAAAGCTATTCCAGATTCAGAAACGGCCTCGATTGATTGTAAAGCCAAAGTGCCTCTCGGCAGTGCATGCGGCCGCTGTTGCATTAGGCCCAAATGACCAAAATGCTGTACTGCTGCCGAATCAGTCGCCGATATCACGGCCGTCCCAATGGCACACGCCTGCTGAATTGGCGGCTGAACCTGCTGCATACTTAAAAGTCCAGGCCAGCAACCCAGTTCTTGTAGATCTTGCAAGCCTCCGCCAGTCCCTGGGTCTGGCGACTGTCGGCAATGACGTCGTCGCCATGAACCAGGAGGACGTTCATGTCCAGGTCGACATTGGTGCCCGCAGAGTACTTGGGTCCGGCCTTGAGACCCTCCTGGTAGCCCTTGCGCTCGGACTCAAGCTTTTGCTCCAGAGGAACCTCAAGTTCGTGGATCCAGGCATCACCAGACAGCGGCTTGCCTGTCAGCTTCTTGACGAGATCGAGGAACATCTCACTGTTTCCAGGAGCCCAATACACGTTCTTGAGATCCCTGCCAACGTTCGAGTTGTCGACGATGCCCTCGGCATAGGTGGACAGGAAGTGGGCGCGAGTTTGCTGCACGCTCATCTCGGCCAGCACGTAGCCGTGGTAGTAGGCAGCACTTTCGTCAGAGAGAATGTGGGGCACCGAGAGCAGAGGGCGGCCCGACAGTTCACCCTGGATCTCGCGCTCAACCTGGTCGGCGAGGGCAATGACGTTGGCGGGGGTGACGTCCTCGGTGGGCAGCTCGTAAAGCTTGCGTTCAAAGAAGGGCACGGCAATCATGGCGCGGAGATCAAAGACCTTGTAGGCATGGACGGCTTTGATGTCCTGCTCGATAACTTCCCACGGAATGACCTTGCCCTCACGGGAGAGAGCATAACGGGCCATCCAGGTTGCATCGCTCACGAGCGAGTCCAGGAACATGGACTGATTCTCGGCATATGCGACGCTGGTGGGAGCGCGCTCCTGGGAGAACAGGGGGCTGGGCTGGGTAACGTTGGCAAAGTGGGCGGCGTGGCCGCCTTCGTGCATCAGGGTGACGAGAGCAGTGAGGCCCGAGCCGACGCTTTTGGGCGACGCCAAGCTGGTAAAGTTGGCCTGCGAGGGAATCCATCCATCCTTTTGGCTCTTCCAGGCAGGCTGCGGCCAGTGGCAGAAGCCGTTGCTGTACTTGCCGGGGCGATCGCAGAGATCCAGGCGCATCGTAGCGCCAGCATAGGAGATACCCAGGGCGGCAAACGAGCGGGTCCACACATCGACGGCACTTTCAAAGGGGAAATAGGGGTCCTTGAGCTTGGCAGTCTCGCCAGAGAGGTTGTAGCCCATGTTGTAGGGCAGGACGGCGGATGGGCCCTTGTTCTGAGCAAGGGTGTTCAGGGCTTTGGAAAGCAGAGGGCGAGAACGCTCCTCGAGCTGGTCGAGGATGCCAAAGAGAACCTTCTTGCTGAATCCCTCGGCCTGGGAGACCTTCATATCGTAAAAGTCTTCATAGCCCAAGGAGCGCGCCAGCTTGTTGCGGAGCTTGACGATCTCACAGAACTTTTCGGCGACAAAGGTGCCGATGCCGCGCATGGCTTCGTAGCAAGCACGACGGTCGACCTCCGAGTCCGAAGTGCGCATGACGTTTCGCAGCTGGACGCTCGATGCCTTGACGAACTTGCCGTCTTTGATGTAGCCGAGCTCCATGTTGTTGCGGGCCGTGGCCAGCTCGGCCTCGAGGACGCCGATCTGATCGCGAAGGGCGAGCGCCTCAGGATCTTCAATGATATAGCACAGGAACGTGCGCTCAAAGATCTTGAGGGTCTTTTCGTCTTCCTTGCTGAGATCCGCCAGCTTGAGGAACTCGCGGACCTTGTGAAGCATGTTTTTGTTTCCAAGGAACTCATCAAGCTCGCTCTTAGAGGTTGTGAGCTTCTCTGGTTCCCAAGCAGAGGCAGGAATATGGAGTCAGGAGACGATTGCACACTGGACGAACTGCATCGAAAAGCACTGGGAGACGGCTCAGTGCCCACGGCAGGCCGTCGACTGTCAGAAGATGAAACCTACCGGTGGAGTTGCCCTGGAGCTTCATCTTGGTCGCCCAAAAGTTGTCTGAGCACGATGCGCAGCGACGACAGGGTTGTGATTGTGGCAATGAAAATAACGATGAGTCAGCGACTTACACCGTGCGGCTGCAGCGTCGTTTATGGGGAGGGGCCGCCAATCATGCATTAATTAGCGACCGCTACCTTCGTATGCCTTGTGCTTGGACTCATATTCTCGGTTGAAGGCCTCGATAAAGGTCTTGACGTCGGTGATGGCGGTCAACATGGCTGAGCTTGTGAACAAGTGTCGAGTCCAGACGGGTGCAAAGAGAGGGCGGATACGCTGCGTGGCAATCCGGAACATCCAAGGCAATCCTGGAGGCGTAAAACGCAAAGAAGGCTCGGGGCGACGAGGCCGATATATACACGGGGCCGGCCGCGCTGATTGGCCGGGCCCCGGGAGGCTGGCCGGGTCCGGCCTGTGGTCACGCGCCCCGCGCCGCCGTCTTTCTCCGGCTGCCCCGAGAAAGCCTGTGGCCGAGACACATCTGCGCCAGCGGGGACGCCGATGCTGCGGGAGCGTCGGTGTCGGCGATGGATCCGCCAGCATGGCCATCCTGCATCGGCGGTGTCTTCGGCGCGATTGTCTGGCGGCCTCGATCGCCGTCCTGCCTCGCTCCCCGCCCTCTCGCCCCCCACCAGCCGCGATTCCACTCCGGTCCCGTGCTTGGGCATGTGTCACCCGGGTGGCTGTGCAGCAGCCTGCCCACCAATCGCCGTGCGTCTCCACACGTGGCACACCTCCGTGCGCAGTGCAGTCCGCCACCAGCCCCCCGAGCGCCGCCTGCGCAGGGACTGCGGCCCGATCAGCAGCGACTCCCACGCCAACGATCAAACCCGCGGCATGGGAGCGATGCCTGGGTATGGTCGCGCACCAACAGCTGGAGCAGGTCGAAAAGCCCCCAGTCAGCATTTCGATTCTGCTGGGCTGAAAGCAACGGTGCTCGCACATGGTGTGTACAGTCGGTCCAGAAAGAAACGGGACAGTCACTTTCTGGCTTCAGATGTCTGGAGCCCGCTGACTGACTGTAGGCCCCAGTGAGCAAGCCGTGAGATTGTTTCCCGTCCTGGTTGGCAATCGAGTGGCCAGCGCGCGATTGTATTGGGCAACAAAATATTTGATCAATCGTCATAATCACGGGTGTCCCGTTTTTTATTGGATTGACCAGTAATCAGACGAGATGGTGCTAACACCCTCTCGAACATGTTGTGTGCAAAGGCCTGCATCCAGTGATCGTGCGGGCATCGGCGGTGAAGAGGGACGAGTGTATATTCACCCAAAAAAACGGTTATGCAGCCAGGCATAAGGCAGGTTGACCCGCTTCATTTGGATGTGCGCCGAGCAGGATATGCTGCGAACTGCTCACGGGGCAATCGTCTCGCCGGCAGTGACATACGGGACGGCCTCGATCTCGCCATCACCAGTCTGCCTTGGAGCCTGTGCGGCCTTATTGTCGTCATCGGACTCGGGCTGCGACTCATTCCGGCTCGACAGATGGCCTGTTGGGGGGGTCGAGGTTCGCTGTACACGAAGAGAGTGGCGCGAATGAAGCTGGGGCCGGCTCATCAGCTCGCGCAATCGCTCGATAGGACTTGGCTGTCCTCCAGTAAGACTCTCCATGATTGCCCGGAACTCTTCGTCAATTGATGCACGTAGAGCCGGGTCTAAGGCAATTTCTCTGGCAGCCAGCGGACCAAACATGCAATCAATGCTCATTGTTCTCCGCAGAAGCGCATCCCAATGGGCCCCTCCATGCCATGACCGTGGAGCGCCCAGCGAAGACTCTCACCCGTAGGAAGATTCGTTGGTGCTCTGCGCATCGGCTGATATGTCACTTCTCCAAAACGAGCCGAGAGCAACCCGCATGGCGATGGATCGATGCAGGGCTGGGTTGCGTTACGACAAATCTCGGTCAGTGTCATCAGCCAGCATCGCGAGCCGGGATCGTGGGCCGGGATCACCAGAGCGGCTGCCCTTGCGTCGTTAGGTGTAATGCATATTCACATCCACTCTCATATTCATCCAGAGATGAATGACACCGAAACTATTCAGAGATACCGTCAATAGCTTTACCTGCACTCCGGACCAGCCTCACGGAATGATCATACCTTTATCTGGTGTTTCATAGTCTTCCCCAAGCTTGATCCAGTCGCCGTGGTGCAACTGTATCTTGGGGCTCTCGCGACCGTGAGGACTGATCCGAACACCATTCAAAAATGTTCCGCTGGAGCTGCCCGAATCTTGTAAAAAGACCTGGTGACCACGAAAGGCACCGATTATCAAATTACATTTTCGCATCCCTATCACTCCGATGGCGAGCTTGCTGCACAACAACACATTCAAGTCGCACCTTCTGTTCCGGATGTGATATGATCAAGATTGCATGCTGGCGTGACACGACCTTCGAGGCAAACATCAGCACTGTGTCGCCCTCTCCTGTTATTTGAGCGTTCGGTAGGCGCCCAATTGGCACGGTTTTGATTTTGATATCGTTTCCAGACGCTGGAGATCGCTCGAATTCATCGAGGGATATGCTTCTCCTTCCAGACTGGCCCTCATACGTCCAGTAGAACGATACGGCCATGGGGTCAACTTCATCGGCCATCGAAGTTGGTCGCAGTGCTGTTCGAGACATCGGGTCGCAAGAGACCCTATCTGGTGTGAGGAATTCTCTCTATGGAGAGACTGTGTGGCCGACCTTGCGATCCACACGCGATCGAATGGATTGATGCCATGCATGGTGGGGAGTGTGCATCTACTGATGGATGCTCGGGGTGTTGGCTACTGATCTCACCGTCGTGCCCATCTCTACCTGGGCTTGCATCGTGGATATCAAGCATTGACTTGATCGAGCCTATGGACCGACTCGACCTTAGCGATTGTGTGTTGGAAATGAAACGCGAATCCGAGAGATGTTCGCTAGCAGAGCCGTGAGACGAGGCATCGGAGGGTGCACGGCGATGTGCAGGATTTGATGTGGTTGTAGCCGTTGCCGTTGCTGTTGCTGTTGCCGTTGCTAGCGCTGGGGCCGGGGTTGTGCCTGTAGCCGCAGGATTCATATTTTCAAGAGCGACGCTCCAATGGAGGCAGACCCAAGGCCGTATCGTTTGGTTGGATGCTTGTGGCTGGAGTGACCTATGATCAAGTGCCCAGGGTTGGCCGCGCCATCAAATCGCAGGTGAATCAAGTGGGTCGACTCGTGAATCCTGGAGGATTTGATTGAGTCCGAGATCATCCGTGGTTCGACAAACAGCCCGTCTGGTGGAATATACGACAAGTGAACTATGGGAGCGAGATACTCCCTTGCCGTGTTCCCATGGTGACAGTGTCTACTAGTAGTTTCGGAAAGATGTCGGGAAACCATGGAGCAGTCCAGAGGGCGAGTGAATGCACCACACTCCCACATCGAGATATCAGTACCAGTCGATCGTCATCACAGGAGATCGACCGAGTGTATTCAAGACCGTGCTTCCCAAACCAACCAAAACAAAGAGATTGCCAACCAGGACTAGAAACTATCGCACAGCCGCAAGCCCATCGCCGCCTACAGTCGGCCAGCGGGTTTCAGACATCTAATACCAGAAAGGGGCTGTCCCGCTGCATTATGGATCCACTGGACCAGCTCGAAGAGATTCAGACAATGTGTTCGATGATTTATCATGAAATTCATCTAAGTCATCCGAGCTCCTCAAGCTCCTGGCTGCTCAGAGTGGCCATTGTTTCTGTCTCATGGCAGCATGTAGCCAATATTGAGGTTCTTTTGTCCGCTGCCATAATAAAAGCTCCCCCACTTGCAGGGTCTTGGAGAGTGGAAAAACACATATCCGGGCCACAGAAGACTCCGGATAATGACAGAGGCACCCGATTTTTCCATGATCAGGGACCATATGCCTGCATGTCATGAATCGATCGTCAGTCACCATTAATCGCCAGCGGTCTGCAACTGCTGGCGATCATTTAGATCGTACCTTTGGGCTCGTCTCGAGCGAGGCTATCAAAAATGTCGATGCTCTCGTCGAAAGAATTGGCTCGATCCATGATGGTCCTTGTGTTGATATCAAAGCCCTCACAGAAGTGAAAGTATTCGGTCAACTTGCCAAGACCATCTCTGGTGAGCCCTGCGTCCGAATGGGGTTATTGATGGTTTGTTGTGTCCAGTTGGTTCTATTTGACTGTCATTTTTATCCTGAGCCAATGCTCAGTGAGCCTACACGCTCGATCGTAACGGTATTGCTTGGACTGGCCTCACCTTGGAACGCCGGATTCAGAGACAACTTGTGCAAATGGTCGCGATAGTATGCTCCTCGCGGAACGATTTGAACTTGGTGGTTAATGAGCGCAATAACACCGGATAGACGCTTCAGTTCGGTGATACGCTTCTCCTCCTGGGTATGTCGCGGAGTCTGTTAGTCTATGCGGATTTGCCATCATTTCCCCTCGGTCCGCTCCACAGCCTCCAATGACGGTACACTGCTCCATTGCTCGCCTACCACATACCACATGCGGCTCATCGTCTCCGGTGGACTCTTGCTCCTCGTTTTTGGCTGCATTGAAAAGCGTGTGTCTCTTGAGCCTCAGAATATGGGGAGTGGGGGGAGGGCTCGGTTCTAGATTTCGGACTGTGGTCGCGTCGGTTAGGGGAATATGTGTCTCCTACCTGTGATGTACTCATACGCGGGATCACCGTAAAAGCGTGACATTATGGTGTCGACGATTTTGATTTCCTCGACCGTCACTTCCGGAAGCTGCAGCCAGGTCACCAAATCGGTACTGGCGGTTGTTCAACGAGCAATCAAGGGGGTTGGCCATGAGTATTACGGATGCTCGCACCGCACGCTATGCAAAGAGCGGTTCACGGGGCAGCCACCCGAAAGACCACGCACGTAGGCCACGACAGCCACAAACCTGTAGAAAAATTTGCGCACAAAGTGGTCCTCGCCAGTTGCCTGGGCAATCATATAGTCTTTCTGCACTCCCAGGATTTTGCCCCACAGGCCAATTTCGTCAAGGCGCTCCTCGTTTTTCTTGAGCAGGAGCGAAGATCGAAGGGCTGCGCGCTCCTCGGTATTGAGAACAAATCCGGCGCTGCTGAAGGCAGCAATGTCGTCCAAAGAGAGGAATGCCATGCCTGTGTGCTGCTGAGATGGTGGAGCTGATTCCAAGGCATCCCTCGGGCAGGTTGCTCCAGGCAGGCGCAAAGGCCGTTTCCCACAGCCCAGTCCAGTCCAGTCCAAGCCACACCACGCCGCCCCAATCAGCCGCGCTTGGGTGATCCGCCAGCGCCCGCCTCGACCACCAGATCAAATCCATCAAGATCCACGACAGCCAGCACAAGAACGCAGCTGCCCTTACTTGAGCCACGTCCCGATCCGATCCGCCTTCCCGAGCATTCAACGCTGCAGCTAATGAGCCATTCCCAGGCGATTCCCCTGTATGTGCCCGCTGAGCCATCACTGTCTGGGGCTCGGGCAGTTGTGGATCGATATCGTTCTCATCCGGGGTTATGGGTTATGCTCCTCGTGCTCCTGTCCGCTTTGGTTGGCTGACCTCTCTGTGTGCATAGCTATCCACTCTCCGGATATACATTTGGATCGAAGGATGCTCAGCCCGAAGAAGATCCGTCGGTGGCAGCACGGCTGCAGCGTCTCCAATCTGAATTTGAAACACAGGGCATGCGCCAGACTGTCGAGGCCGTCCTCGTTGTCCACGAGCACAAGCATCCGCATGTCCTGATGCTTCAAATTGCAAACACATTCTTCAAACTGTACGTTAGCGAAGACTGGACGGGCCAGACCGGCGATCGCACACTTTGGATCGATCGCGGATACGATGCGCTATGAACGCTGCAAATGCGATCTGTAATCATCAGAGTCGATGCGATGAATACCGGCCAGAACCACTTTCTGGACGGATACGAGTTTTTGCTTTCGGCAGCTGCTAGGATGCGACGGCAATATGCCTCGATGCCATCGCAATGCAGCACCGCAGCTCATTCACTGAATCGCTCTCGCCTGTATACCTAGACCTGGTGATGCATTGAAGCCTGGCGAGGACCCGATAGAAGGGCTGAAGCAGCGCCTGACTCAAAAATTGTCGCCAGCAAACGTCGACGGAGACGATTGGCAAATTGGCGAGCTCTTGACAGTCTGGTGGAGGCCTAACTTTGAAACATTCATGGTTCGTTCCAACAAGCTGAAGCCGTTGTGATCTTGGAGGGAAGCCTGCCTGCTTCAATTTGATGCTAATCGATGATGCCCTGGCTCCTACATACCCGGTATCTCCATGGGTCGATGTATCGCTGTCGACGGCAATGCAATATCGCATGAGCAGTACCCGTATGTTCCAGCACATATAACTGTAAGTGATACTTGCATTTTGGGGATTGCAGCATCGAAACCGGAGGCGTTGTGGTTACAGTCCCGGGCCGCCAGCATGCAGTGATTGTGCCACAATATGCTGCATATCATAACTGGATGTACAATTTGGACAACAGCAACCCAAGGAAATGAAGCGGGTCTATCTCGTCCACCTGCCCGAGAAGAGTATGTTGATATAATCGACCGCGGTAGTTCCGGCTGGCTATATGATGATGTCTCGGTTGGAGCAGCATCTTGCCGTCGGGCATGTGCCCATCCAACAGTTTGATCGCTGGGATTGGTGTGCTGTCGACGATGCTTACCAGTTATTTTCCTTAATTTCATTCAGAGCTGCTGTCGGTTCCGAAAAACATGAAGCTCTTGGCCGTCCCGCTTTTTGAGCTTTACGACAATGCTGCGCGCTACGGACCTCAGCTTTCGGCACTACCCCATCTTCTATCGAGGTGCAACTTTGATTACAAGTAGCGGGCAGCTGGTGGGGCGATGCCCGGCACCTATCCACAGCTCACTGACGGCGATACCATCCGGCGAGGAGCGGCAAGGCCAGCGACGATGCACGCAATGGCGAGGGGACACTATGCTCGGGAGCCTATCAATGAAAGGCACTGTCGCCGTTCTGAAACCCAATAATAGCCTCTGGCACCCGCGGCCAGTCAATGTCCCTCGCAATAGTCCGCTCCGCAGCCTGGTGGCGACCCCGGTGGAATCGTGGGTTGGAGACCAGGGTGCAGGGCCAGCGAATGATTGGCCAGTTGCTGTGGCGTCCAGCCCAGCCATCGACAAGGACACCAAGAGCCAGCCCCCCTCGCAATCCTTCGGTCGGCTTGGCCCTGTCTTCCTCGCCAAACTCCATCGTCTTCGCCACCGTGGATGGCCTGGGTCGTGTCTGCTTCCGCAAGCCAACCACACCGTGCAGCCCCTCCCCGCCCATCGCAGAGTGCACATTTTTGCAACCATGTCTTTGAGCCCAGACGAGATCCAGCAGACCCCGCCAGCCTCGCCCCTGCTGACCAGCGAATCGGACAAGTCTCCCCAGGCTGCAACCCTCGACGATTCGATATGCAACAATATCGCCAACTCACCTGCTGCAACGACATCAGTTCCGCCTTTGTTTTCGCCCTTCCTCTCGTCGGAGCCGATCGACATCGTCGGGGCCAAGTCGGGCTCATCCATCGACCGCTCCCACAGCGTGCGCTCCAGAAACTCTCTCGATGGCTTCCCAGGATCCATATCTAGCTTCTTTTGGGAGATGGCCAAGGTAGCCGGTCGGGTGGCATTTTCTCCTGAATACGTAAGCACGCTGTTCTCCGAGAATCCGAAGCCCCCCGCGCTCCAAAAGAGTGTTTCGGCTCCAAGCCATCATCCGCGGGGTCCCCTCCAGCAGTTTGACCAGGAGTCAGAAACCATCTTCACTGATGACGGCCTTGTGCATTTGCAAGGTGGTTCAAGGATGTCGTTGATCGACATCAAGCGCCCACCCGTGAGGCTGGAAGGTCGAAATTCCGATCTCGAAGGGATTCTGCTGCCTCCTGTCGTGGAAAAGGTAAAGCGACATCGCAGGCGGCCATTCGCGACCGTGCCCACGATCCCACCAGACGAAACGACACGGCAACTCACCGCCTCTGCAAGAAGACGTTCGTTGAAGCTGAGCCATAAGTGCAAATATTTACCGTTTGATTTGCACATTGTCCAGATTCGCCCACACTTGCCACCATTTTTGCGCGAGTCGTCAACGTGGATACTGAGCTACAGTCTGGATCAACATGGCATCAGTTTGAACACTCTCTACAGGAGAAGTGAGGAAAATGGCCCGTCTCTTGTTGTTATCCGAGACGGAGACGGCGGGACGTTTGGTGCTTTTGCATCCGAGGCCCTGCACATCGAGCCAACGTACTTTGGAAACGGTGAATGGTTAGTCAGCGCATCCGAGCTTGTTCGCACGATGAGTCGAGTGTCTGGACGTCGAGTACCGATTTCAGCATCGCCAATATCTGATTTGAATCCTGCGCGTCTGATCTTGAACCGGGCAGCTTTCTGTGGAAGCTGAGTGACGACGGGGATATCCAAGTATACCCGGCCACAGGAGCGAATGAGTATCTGATCTACGGCGAGCCTCATATGTTTGCTTTCGGTGGAGGGTAAGGACGTCATGCCGAAATCAGAGCCGTCTATCAGCCACACACCGCACCACTGACAGTTGGCATTGAACGATCCCAACAACAGCCAAGGTCGATTTGGTCTCTGGATATCCGATGATCTTTACAACGGACACAGCGAACCTTGCGACACCTTCAAGAACGCTCAACTCTCAGCGAAATCCGAGTTTATTGTTGTCGCCATTGAGATTTGGTCATTCAAAATTTAGGCAGAACAGTGCGACACATCGCCATTCCGATGGGATAGCACCGGATTTTCAATTTTGGATTTGAAATCAACGTTATTTTTGTATGATAGTTATCAAAGTTTATGACATAAATGGTTTCTTTTTGGCAAGCATTGATTTGCGGGCTTCTAAAGCCGCAGTGCGTGGGTGTGTCTACTGTGCGGTCATCGAAGGCAAGGCATCGGTATTTTATGAGGGCGTAAGCCATATAATGTCACATTTTGGGTGAATATCACAGCCAAGACGCAACGCATACATTCAACAAACCAAACAGGAGCAGAAACAAATGAGATTGTGGCGAGAGAATCGGCTATCCTCATCGGCAGAGACACATGAAACTGCGAGCGGTTGCAGACCACCCAAACAATGGTGTGGCTGTCGAGGCGGCGCTCAGGAAGTGAGCATCGGACCCTGACCAATACGAACCCATTGCAATCGCGATCAGCAGTAAATGGAGAATGCTGAAATGAGCGTGCATTTGTAGGAACATGGCATGAGCGTATAAAATGACATGATGAAGCGAATGGAAATCGACCAGAAAGGCCGATTTGGGAGTCGTCAGGGAGAACCAAATGTTGGATACGAATCCTGGCGGATGTTGTACTGATGGCTATCTGAATAGGAAACGCTGTAATGAATTCAATGGGTGTACACTCTCCAGGGATACTCTGCGAAACAAAAAAGGGCCACTCTGACGAATGGGTCCATTCAGCACAGTATGTCGTAAGAAAGAAGGACACGGAAGCGAGTGTCAAATTCGAACAAACGGTAGAGGCAACAGAGCAACGGAGGCAGGGTGACGGAAACAACTGAGAACAATGCAAGGAGACCTGGAGGAACTTGCTCGGGGAATGCCGGTTCATAACATGCTGGACCGTACCAGCAAGGGTGGGGTCCATGAGAGATTCCTCATGCTGGGCAACCGAGTAACGTGACAGCAATGCTATTCATATTCATATTCAGAAGTAGGTCATGGCGGAGATGCTGCAGTCCGCCCAGAACGACTCGGAACACAGGGGGGGGAAGACGAATCTTGTATTTCCAACGCCTTGTCCGTATGTTCTGGATGCTATTGAATATACAATCGTTCCCATGTCAAGGTCGTCGACATCAGCGCATCGCCCACTCCAGCACACTTTGACCTTCCGGGTTTCCGTCAACTTGGCTCCTTTGATTTGAATCAAAGTAAAATGAATATATCAAGGACATCGAATATCAAACTAGTGTGAAGAAGGGATGGTAAACACAGGCTCGCATGTAATTTTGTGCGGTCAGTACATTGAATAAACCTAAATAGCGGTCGCAATCAAAATATGCTTCATTGAATAAGGGTCTGGGAGAAGAATCGCGCCACCAAGCGCTCTCGGGGAAGAGCGATATTGTTGTGGGAACGCGGACAGGGAGCTCCGGGACTATGCGGAATGCTTCTCGATAACCGCTAACGGGGCCAGGGAGAACAGATATGCTGGTTCACTGAGTCAGAGATGTGAATGCAAGACATTTCCCGCCACAAAACAACTGGCGAGACGACAGCAACGTTCAACAATCAGTGTGTAATGGGAATGAGGATTGGACGGAGTGGGCGGACCGAGACGATCGGGAAATCACTGGTTTGTTGGGCGAAGAACGGTGTTGTCATCTGGCCGGTTTTATCCGGTGGGCGACAGCCAAATCGAGGTAGCGAGCGAGAACGGGTCGGCTTACCTGCGCAAATTGGCAATGGACAAGCCACCTCCAGGGCACTTCTGGATCTTTCCCGAGTCCTCGCACCAGGTGTAACGAGCGGGGAACTGGGACGATGGAGCGATGGGACGAGTGAACGACAGGACGACGGGACAACGGGACAACGGGAGAACATGATGACGGATGACGGAACGCGGAAGCGAGGGCGACAGGACGACGAGACAACAGAGAATACTACGCCTGTATTGGGCAACAACGAGGGGGAGGTATACAGGAGAATTGTCACAGATCGCTCTGCCCGCCTAGCTGCACCGTCGCACTTGTGTCACTGTTTGCGTCGCACACTTTCCTTTTCCTTTGTCCTGTGACGCCTTTCCTTTTTCCTTGCTCTCATGTTGCACACGCCGCTCTGTTTTCCCTGCATTTGTCATCGACCATGCATTAGTCAGACGCTGTGTCACCCGCATTTGTCAGCCACCGAGCATTTGTCAGACTTTCACATGTTTCTCCGGTTAGCCGTTGCTGCCTGGCTGTGAGGACCACGACAAGCAACGACACTGGACGACCAGGTGCTTGGCGAACAACGATAAGCTATATTACGACTTATCAGATAACAACAAGTGTTGTTCGAACTGAAGATACAAAATGGGTGCAAGAAAGGAGGGGCTTTATAGCCAAGAGGGAAACCGAAGGGCGAAAGTGGGCGAGAAGGGTGGAGCGACAAACGAGGGACGAGAAGGGGGTGCGAGGGAGGCGGAGCATCCAGCGAGAGGGGCGAAGCACAGCGCAGTCGGAGGCGAAGTAAGAGTCATCGGCGCCAGCCAATCAGGGAATACACGCCAAGACAAACAAACATGACTCACGGTGCATCACGCGCAGCAGTCCACACGTGTTCCCAACGTGCATGATCATCACATCATCCCCTCCCCAAACTACGGCCACTCCTACGAACAATAAGTCCAGGCTTGTCGGGGTACCGGCGGTGGAAGTCGGCTATCTTGTCGGGAGCGTTAACGTAGTTGGCGGGCTCCCAGCTGCGATGATCAGTCGAGTAGCCCTTCCAATCAACGAAATAGCTCAACTTACCGCGGACCAGCTTGGAGTCGAGGATCTCCTGAACTTCATACTCCAAGTGGTCGTCGACGCGGACTGGCGGAGGAGGGTCTTGGATGCGGCCGGGGAGGGTGTTCGACTTGTGGGGCTCGAGGAGGGAGACATGGAACACCGGATGGATCTTGAGATCCTTGGGAAGGTCGAGGCGGAAGGCGAGGGAACCGATGGCTTCGACGATCTTGTAGGGTCCGATGCGCTGGTAATCCAACTTCTTGCTTGGACGGGTGGTCTTGATGTTGCGTGTTAGGACCCAGACTTGATCGCCAGGAGCGAACTTGGGAGCGTCGGACTTGTGGGCATCCGCAAAGCGCTTGTAGTCCGCCTTGGCCTTCTCGAGGTTCTCCTTCAGCAACGCCAAGTTGTGCTGAAGGTGTTCGACTCGGTCGGTCGCGGAGGGGACATCGAGACTGGAAGGAAGGACCGGAGACTCGAATCGAGGGTTGAAGCCGTAAGTCGCCAGGAACGGGGAGGCCTTGGTCGAGGTGTGCTCGAGGTTGTTGTATGAGAACTCGGCGAGCGGGAGCAGCATCGCCCAGTCATCCTGCTGGTACGAGGTGTAGCAGCGGAGATGCTGGTTGATGACTTGGTTGACCCGCTCAGTCTGTCCATCGGTTTGGGGATGGAACGCCGTGGACAGACTGGTCTTGATGCCGAGTTCCGAGCACAGGGCCTGCCAGAACCGCGAGGTGAACTGGCTTCCTCGGTCCGAGACGATGTTGTCCGGGAGACCGTGGAGGCGGAAGATGTTGTCGAGGAACAGCGACGCTGTTTCCTCGGCACTTGGGAGGGACCGACAGGGAAGGAAGTGGGCCATCTTGGTCAGGCTATCGACGACGACAAAGATGCAAGTCTTGCCGTTGGACTCGGGGAGGTCGGTGATAAAGTCCATCGTCACCAGAGACCAGGGTCGCGATGCCGTCGGGAGGGGCTGCAAGTATCCAAACGGCTTATGTCGAGGGACTTTCGAGCGTGCACAAGTGTCGCACGTCGAGACATAAGCCTGGACATCCTTGCGGATCGAGGGCCACCAGAACTGCCTCGAGATCAGTGCTCGGGTCCGCCGAATGCCAGGATGTCCAACAGCGACAGGGTCGTGGCATGACTTGAGGACGGGGACTCGACACGACTCTGGCACAACGATCTTGTCCATGAAGGTGAGGAGATCATCCTTCAGGACATACTTGGGATCGTTGCGGAGCTGGTCCAGGGACGGGTCCTTTGGTTGCTCCTCGGCAATGAGCTTGAGCAAGTCCACAGGGCGAGTGGAACTTGCATCCGAGGAGCGACGGACGGCACAGGCGAACGCCGAAGGTGGCAGCAACGGGGGAGGCTCCTTGGACACAGGTGCGGACGGAGGGACGTAGTCCGGGCGGCGGGAGAGAGCGTCGGCCTTGCCGTTCTTTGGACCGGGGAGGTATTGAATCCGGAGGTCGAACCGAGACAGGAACTGCGACCACCGGGCGTGTCGCTGGTTGAGGATGCGGGCCGACGCCAGGTATTCCAAGTTCTTGTGGTCGGTAAGGACTTGGACTGGGTGTTGGGCGCCTTCGAGGTAGTGTCGCCAGACCTCGAATGCCTCCTTGATGGCCAAGAGCTCCTTCTCATAGATGCTGTAGTTGCGTTCAGCATCCATGAGCGTGCGGGAGTGAAAGGAGCACGGGTGCAGGTGGCCATCGGAGCCGCGCTGGGACAGGACGCATCCGATCGCAAAGTCTGAGGCATCAGACTCCACGACAAAGGGCTTGGATGGGTCGGGGTGCGCAAGGACGGGCTCGGAGACGAAGGCTTCCTTGAGGGACTGGAAAGCCTTGTGGGCGTCGGGGGACCAGCGGAAGACCTGGGACTTCTTGAACAGGAGCGTGAGCGGACCGGCGATCTTGGCATATCCGTCAATGAAGCGACGGTAAAAGTTCGAGAACCCAATGAAGGAGCGAAGGTCGGAGACATTGCGGGGGACGGGCCAGTCGACAATGGCGGAGAGCTTTGCTCGTTCCATCTCGATACCCTTGGGCGAGATGACGTAGCCGAGGAACGAGACCTTGTCCTTGGAGAACTCGCACTTCTCCAGCTTGCAGTACAACTTTGCAGCCTGGAGCTTGGCCAGGACCTGCTTGACGTGATTTGCATGCTGAGTGGGGTCAGCGCTGTAAATCAAGATGTCGTCAAGGTAGGCAATCGCAAAGTTGTCCAGCTCCTCACGAAGGACATCGTTGATGAAGTGCTGGAAGGTGGCCGGAGCATTGGTGAGTCCAAAGGGCATCACCAAGTACTCGAACTGGCCGTAACGAGTGCGGAAGGCCGTCTTCCACTCGTCGCCTGCGCGGATACGCAGCAGGTTGTAGGCCCCGCGGAGGTCCAGCTTCGTGAACACCTTCGCGTCCCGGACTCGGTCCAGCATCTCGTTGATCAACGGTAAGGGATAACGATTCTTGACCGTGATCGTGTTCAATGCGCGATAGTCCACGCAGAGACGCAGAGAGCCGTCCTTCTTCTTGACGAAGAGGATCGGGGAACCGGCGGGAGAGGACGAAGGACGGATGAACCCTTTGACGAGGTTGTCGTCGAGGTATTCACGAAGGGCCTTGAGTTCGGGCTCTGACAGGGAGTAGAGTGGTCCGAACTTGGGGGTCTTGCCGGGCTCCAGGTCGATCGGGCAGTCGTACGTCCGGTGCGGGGGCAACGAGTCGGCTTCCTGCTTCGAGAAGACTGAGCCAAACGACTTGTACTCCTCGGGGATCGACGTCGAGAGGGGCGTCGGATCCGGATCGGTGGCAGGAAGGACGAGGACTTGGAACACAGTCAGGGGGTCGGGGCTAGACTGTGTGTCGAGGACGGACTGCTCCAACGACTTGTACCTGATCGCTTGGACACGGACAGGAGCGGGGTTGGGAGCAACGGGACCGGGGAGACCAGGACGGACGGAGACGAGACCGGAGGGACCAGGACGAGCAGCACAGGAACAGGGCACCTCACTCGGAACACAATCAGAATAACGTTGAGCGATCACTTTATTCTGATCATCTTCGCGAGTACAAACGGTGCGAGGCGAAGAAGCGAGCACCACAGTGGTGTCGGTAGAGGCACGAGGGAAAACATTGGGTGTGTCGCCAACAAGAGGAAGGGGAGAAGGAGAAACGGAAGAAACGGAAGGGAGGGAAGAGGCATCCACAACCTTGAGGATGTGGCTTGCAGGACGGGGAAGGCAAAGGAGTCCACGAGCCCAGTGAAGCCTGGGTTCGATGGACTGCAGCCAGGGATAGCCAAGGATAACGGGTTGGTGGGGAGACTTAATGACATCAAAGGAAAGGTGTTGAGTGTAGTCCCCAAGAACAATCTTGAGGGGTTCCGTCTCAAAAGTGATGGGGCCGGAAGAAAGTGGCTGGCCATCGACACCTTGGA